TGATGTAGTCGAACGAGGTCACGACGAAGAGTTTCGGATGGTGGAACGTAAATCTTTCCCTTGTAGAGGATGACACCATCGCGAACTTCCCAGTCGGAAAGCGATGATTTCATGGGGAATGGCCCTTTGTGCGCAATCGCTTTGAGGGCTTCGTGAACAATGAGGTCTTTTGCTGCGTGATTCCTGATTTCGTCGAATAGTGTCGGGGAAATGGATCGCACGAATAGTGCGTTGGGTAAAAGAATGCGATCTTCGTTGTCACTTTCACTGTCATCGAGTCCATTACGACGAGAGAGCGCATCAGATTGGATCATCTGAGTTCCAGGGACATGGATGAGGTGAAGATCAAATTGTGATAATTTGAGACTCCATCGTGCTTGTCGGCGGTTTAACTTCTGAGCTGTACGGAAGTACGTGAGGTTCTTGTGATCACTGCGAACTTCGACGGGATGGGGAGAGCCTTCAAGATAATGGCGCCATTCAGTGAGGGCTCGAATGATTCCGAGGAGTTCGCGGTCGTAGATTTCGTAGTTCCGTTCAGCTGGATTGAGTGTCTGTGAAATGTAGGCACAAGGATGGAGGTCTCCATTGATATCGGCTTGGCGTAAAACTGCACCCGTAGCAAACTTGGAAGCGTCGGATTCAACAATAAAGGGTTTTGCCTTGTCAGGCAGTAACAGTACTGGGGCGGTACTGAATCGTTGCTTCAATGTGTCGAAAGCTGTCTGACATTCTGTTGTCCATTCAAAAGGTGGAGATCCAGCGGCAGTGCGCGTAAGATTCGTCAATGGTTTGGCAATATCCGAGAAGTTGGCAATAAACTTCCGATAGAAGTTTCCAAACCCTAGGAAAGAGCGAACACCTTTTACCGTGGTTGGTTCAGGCCATTCTGCAATTCCTTTAAGTTTGATAGGATCCATGCCAATGTAGTTTTCTCGAATGATCATGCCTAGGAATTCGACTTCTTTAACGTCAAAGAAACACTTTTCCGGTTTAAGGAATAAGTCGTTGTCTTTAAGTCGTTGGAGTACGTGTCGGGTTCGAACGTGATGTTCTTCCAAATCGTTTGAGAAGATGAGGATATCATCCATGTAAATGACTATCCATCCCTCATCGATCATGTCCTTGAAGAGTGCGTTCATCATCATTTGGAAAGTCGCCGGGGAGTTGCAGAGTCCAAAGAACATGACCATAGGTTCGAAAAGTCCGCGATTTGTCTTAAATGCACCCTTCCATTGGTCACCATCTTTGATTCTGACATTGTTATATCCGGAGCGTAAGTCCATTTTCGTAAAGATCGATGCGCCTTTGAATTGATCCATAAGGTCAGAAATGAGCGGAAGAGGATAGGCGTTCTTCACCGTCCCTTCATTCAGGTATCGGTAATCCTGACAGGGACGTAGTGCTCCGTCTTTCTTTCCTACGAAGAAAAATGGTGAAGCCATGGGAGATTTCGACGGTCGGATGTATCCTTTTCGCAGATTTTCTTCCAGGAAGTCATCCATCGCTCCTTGTTCTTTGAGCAATAACGGATAGACTTTACAGTCGTGTGGAATAAAATCGGGTTTCAAGTCAATGGCGTGGTCCCAAGGTCTGGTTTCTGGAAAGCGTTCAGCTGCTTTCTTTTCAAAGACGGACTTCAAATCGTGGAGGTAGTTGGGGACCAACTCCTCGACGGTTTTGGGTTTGTCTACAGCTGATGCTTCCTTGTGTGCCTGTTGTGCCAATTCTTGTGATTTACCGGATGGTTTGTAAAAGACCGTATTCTGTGCGTTACAGAATAATGGGGATCGAGTACAGTGTGTCATTCTTCCAATGGCGGGGCCTCTTCGTATGGTGAAGACTGCGGTTTCAGTCTCTTCATTCGTCAAAGGTGACTCCTTCCTGATGGGTTCAAATATCCCAATAACTGGCTCTCCTGCGATATAGGATATAACTAGATCGTCGTCATCGAGCTGATCCATAGGGGTTTCTGATGGTGGGTCATCTGGTTCAGTATCATTCCGCACTGCGGGTAACTCGCCACGCTCAGTGTTATCGGCTGTGATTTCTCTAATAGACTCCGAATGTCTAAACGAGGTAGGGGAAGTTTCAGTGGTGATTAACTCTGGGAGTCCATCTTCCTTGAAAATCGAAACTTCTTCATCTGGTGCATCTTCGACGGTGGGTTTCGGTGGCCATTTGGCGTCTTTACCAAACCAAAAGTCACCGGTTTCCCAGTTGATCATTGGATTGAGGCGTTTAAGCCACGGCATGCCGAGAAGTATGTTTTCTTTGCCAATGCCGGTCAAGAGGAAGCGAGTAAGTGTCTTCCTTCCTCCGATTTTCATCATCTTCCAGGTACAATGAGTAATGGTGCCCATTTGATTTGGTGTACCATCTGCATTCATGACTGTAATCGGTTTTGGTAATTCCCATCTGATGAAATCGTTTTCTTCCGCAAAATGAATGTTCATGAACGTTTCGGCTGCACCGGAATCGATCAAGGCTTCTGTTGTAACGTCTTCCTTCTCTCCCAACGAAATATTCACAGTGATTGAATTTCCGCTAGTGTTACAAATAACGAGGGGAGATACGGTAAGATGCGACGGTCCATGCATTACTAGTGGCCATCGTCTCAAAAACCCAATTGGGTTCGTTCTTCATCAGTCATGTCGTTGAAGACATTTCGCACATAGGCGATCTGTTCCTCTCTGGTTTCTTCCTTTGACGTCTCCTTCTTCTGTGCGAGGTCTTCTCGCATCTTCTTGATCCATGTGATCGTGTCTGTGTCTAACCCGGGCTGTATCGTTCTAGCACGGGTGAAACTTCCAGACTGGGGGTGGAATTGTCTGTCGTTGGCTATATGGCCCTTCTTTCCGCATAGGAAACATAATCCTTCTTTCATTCTCTTTTGTCGCTCATCTGGGGATAAGCGCGAGATATTGACACGATCAACATCCATCGCGTTTGGATCCTTTGCAGAAGCCGAGTAGTAGGGACGATGGACAGATCGGCCCTTTCCTCGCGTCGTTGTAGTGGCTCCTCGCTTGAAGATCTGAGCAGATCTCCATTGGTTATCAAACCGCGAGGCGTATTCATACCACTTGTCAAGTGTCTTGGGCATGCTTTCCATCCCATATATCCTTTGTCGGAGTGGGTCGTTAAGTCCCCACTTGAAATACTCGATATTTCCGGCATCTTCTAGTTTCGCCTTGGATTCAAGCGATCGGAATTCGGCAATGTAGTCGTCCGCAGTACGAGTTCCTTGCTTGATGTTACGCAGCAAGGTACGAGCGGTTTCTTCAATATTTTCATCGCCAAATGCTTTGTTCACACTTGCAATGAAGTCTCTCCAACTCCCATAAGAAAGGAAGTCATCATTGGTGAGTTCCGTTTCTATGAAGCTCTGTGCCCATGATCCTGCTGTTCCTCCTTGCATGTGCGATAGCACGAATGCGATCTTCTGATTGTCCTCCTGGTAGACATGGCTATTTCTGGCCATGTAGTTCTTGCATTGGTTTATAAATTCCCTAAGCTTCGAACGGTCTGAACCGTTGAAGATCTCGGGTTTTCTAAAACCAAGTTCCTTCTGGCTAACATGGTGACGTCCTTCATCCATGGTAACTGTAGCCATCGGTGGCATGTAATCGGGTACGATTGGTGCAAGAGTCAGTTGGGGTACAGGATTCTGGGCAGGGGGGTTCCAAGGGGCGTCTGGTCTTTCTCCTGGATAGGAGGTCGTTATACCGCTGTCTGCGATGTGCTGGAGCACTATTCCACCAAGATTATGGGGAAGTGTCCTTTCAAATTCCTCTGGGGAGTAGTCGAAGTTGTGATTGTCTGGCCTGATGAATACAGGCCTTCCTCCTATGAAATGTGCGTTTCGTTCTGTGCTCCACTCCGCTTGGGATGGGAGGTGCTCGCGGTACTGCTCTGGAAGAGCGGTCGGGTTGATATAGTTAAAATCCAGCGTGGATAAATTCTTCTGTGTGGCCTATGTCTACACGTAGACTGCACACCGTCCTTAACTAAGTGGGTTCGTTCGTCGTCGGCTAACAAGCCCGTAGAGTGTCTTCTGTCTTCAAACTGATACACCTATTTGCTGATTGCTCGAGTGATTACCTCAGCCTCCTCGGCCTATTGGTCTCTCGGACAGACCCCTCTCCGAAGATGAGTGATCAGTCTATCCCTTCAGCTACCTCGATTACAGAGTAATCTCAAACGGTGCTTTAGCAATCGAATCGGGTGTATCGTTCAGTCTTCAAGGTTCGGTCCGGTCGGTAGTTCGTTGTTAGACTCTAGGAAGTCACAGAGAGTAATAAGATCTCGACCTAATGTTACGCGGCAGCGAAACACGAGCGTCTAGTCGAGTCGTCACGAGACAAGGTCTTAGTCTAAGACACAAGTCCGTTCAAGTGACACTTCTGGCGATGTCCTCGCACTGAAGGTCGATCAGAGTTCGTTCTTATGACTCATAGTAGCTGTCTGCTACTGACGGTCGATCTCAGTCAAAGGCAAGTGAAAAGCTGGTTTAATGGTAACCAGGTCGAGATGGGGATCCAGCTCGACAAGGTCGTCTACTTATACAAAAGGTATCCGCAGTACTACGCAGTAATGCAGGATCGTTCATTGGCTAGATAAGGTGAAACGATGTCTAAGCAGGGTAACAGCGAGGAAGTAATATGTATGGGAAAGCTGAGTAAGGTCGTGAGAGATAATCAGTACTAATGGGAATAACGAGTCATGTATCAGAACGAGGTAAAGATGAGGCATACATGCACGTCTTGCATGTGCGATAAGAAGAAGGTTCGGAGTTGGATCCGGTGTAACCCTAGACTAGGGGTTCTGGACATCTGAATAAAGAATCGGGGGTTGCGCTCCGATGAGTCACGTGTTGGATCACGTGGTCTGGTAACGTAAAGGGAACAAAGAAAAGAAAAAGAAAAGACGCGCCACAAGTGAGGAGCGTTGTAACACCCAAGCTCGTTGAGGGGAACTACATCAAGTGGAGTGCCCTGATGAAGGCACATCTGGTTGCTGCAGATTTGTGGGAGGTTGTTGGGCCCGAGGAGGAGGAACTGGTAGCAAGAGGACCGAAGGGAGTGGCAGCAAAGAAGAAGAAGCGTGAGCAGGCGTACTCGAAGATCTTGATGAACCTCAGTCCCCCGCAGATGGCTTTCGTGTTGGGTTTGGAAAACCCCCGAGAGGCATGGGCTGCACTTGAGGAAACTCATAGGTCAGCGTCTGTCAACTCTATTCTGTCATTGTGTCACCGTTTCTTTCGGTGAAGGGACGCATAGCGCGCTGAGGTGAGAATCCTATCTGCGAAGAGGTCTCACATTTCGGAGATACCACAGGGTGCTACACAACAGACCCTAGTCCGACAGCAATTGGAAGCTGGTTATCGGACGAGGGAATGCTACGAGCCCGAATGCTATTTCTAACTCCTCAACTATGATCCGCAACCGCCTCAAAGTACCATCCGCCAACTCGCATCTACCGGTGATCCCGTGCATGACATCGTACAGTTCGCAGGCCGCATTGCGCAATGTCTCAACCTGAAGGTGCAAGGTTCCTGATGGCAATATAGCAAAACTAAGGAATGCGATCTCAGGGAAATGGGGACAGGACGACTGCACATCAATGTCAGGGAGACCATCCAGTGGGTGACCCAAACTGAAGTCCTCGCAGACAGTGGGGTCATCGTACAGAACGCACGCAGTCAAACCACGAGGAATGACAGCAGGAAGGTGGTCAGCAATCCGAGGGACCATCCAACGGCCGGCTTCCACAGTGCGAGCTGTCGCAAGATGTATTTCCACTTGGGCAAGGACAGGAATATCATGCGGAAGGGGTAGGATGATCCCCACACTGGCCGCTTCAGACTGGACTTGGACCATGAAGACCTGAGGGACGTGTGAGGATCAGACAGTGAAGGAACATATGCTCGCAGGGAGCCTCACCAGCAGGACGTGCATTCGGACTGCCCATGCTTTTTACAGGATCGGGTCGAAGGGCTCGGTAAAGATCTCAATGCAAAGAAGGGCTTCGGTGAGGGTGTATTTGTGAAGGATGACGCTGGCATCCATGGATGAGAGATTGAGTTCAGGATGAGAGATATGCCTCCGAGGCGGGCGGGTGTTTATCAGGCGCTCGGGCGGGCCCGGTGACGGACGACCTCTCAGATTGAGTAGGAGCGTGAGGGGACAGGATTGCGAGCTATGGCGTGATGGGCAGTGATTCAGCGGAGTAATTGTTAAGCAGATGCGGGCAGTATCAGGAGGGCAGGAAAAGGTCAGGACCAGTTTAAGTATGATGGCGGGGAAAGAGGTGGGGGTAGAACCCACTGTCCCGGAAGGTACGCTTGCAAAAGCCTCATTCACATTCCCATCCCATCCAGTTAGTGCATCTTTGGGCAGTCTTGCGTTTGTGCATTTTCTGGGCAGTCTTGCATTTTCTGCATTTCAGCGTTCTTCTTAGAGCAGTGCGATTTTACCCCGATGCGTTTCCAGCGATTATTGTGACTACAGAGATTTTCCTAGCTATGCCTTCGGGCCACCCACCTCATACCTCTGGAATAGAATCTTCTCCTTCATTGCATCTCAGACCCCACGCGGACTTGATTCCGCTTGTACTCCTCCAATCCGGCTTGCGACAGAACAACAATCTCGTCAACTGGAGCCCACCGTGAGGGGTCTTCGTGCGACATGGCGGAGCAGTCGCCTTGCTTCCAGATCGCTCCAAGAGGAGCTTACCTTGACAGCTTCCCAGCCGCCGACTCCAGGATCCCCAGTGTTCACGGGTCCACTTCCTGACAATTTCACATACCGACCACCTATCGACTTCGACGATCCAGAGAACCCATTTGTTGACCCCCATCTTCCAATTCCCTCTTCCTCGAGATCTCGCGAATCGTCTCCCCTTTCGTCACTCCTGGAGGACGTCTCACTCATTCCGTCTCATCCCCCATCCCCAACTCTATCACCACAATGCCGAGAAGCAACAGCCATGGCAGACCAGGAACCTGCCTCCAGACCAGGCTCAATGCTGGCACGTGGTCACTCGACGGCACCCACCTTTGATGGATCCCCGTGAGCCTTGATGCAATATTTCACTGATCTTGAAGACTTGGCAATGCGAGCACAGTTGGACGACGACGCAAAAATCTGAGCTGCCTGCAAGTACGTCTCATTGGACGAGGCAGATCTTTGGATGGGTGTGATGGAGCGAGAGACCTATGAGCAGTTCAAGACTGCGGTCATTGCATTGTACCCGGGGGCGGAGGATGACCGTCGCTACACGCAGTCCGACTTAACTCAGATTGTACAGGCGGCCCGGATGAGAGGAGTGTCCAGTCGCGCGGAGGAGGGACAGTACTATCGGGACTTTACTCGCGTCGCATTGTTCTTATTGTCCAGGGGTCGACTATCGACCTATGAGCGGGACCGGCTGTACCTTGAGGGATTCGAAGTGTCCCCCTTACATGCTATCAAGAATTGACTGGTGATTAAGGTTCCTGATCAGAACCCGGACAATCCATACGCAATATCGGAAGTCCATTCCGCAGCACAGCATATTCTCAGTGGGAGCGGGAGTGCATCGAGTGCTGTGGCTGTGTCGAAGCCGAGCACAGGGATGGTGAAGTTGGAGGGGAATGAGATGGACGCGATGTGGTTTCTAGCGAACGTGTTGCAGCAAGTAATGCGAACATCGGGAGGGGGACAGGCGCCGGTATCACAGGCCAACATTCAGGCGGTGGTCGCACAAAACCCTCTTCCACAAGCTCTGCATGCCTGTAACTTCTGTCTAGCCATTGACCATTTCATGCGAAACTGTCCACGCATCGAGGATTACATCAGGGTGCGGAAGATTAATCGTGATGCGCTTAGTAGGATCATTCTCCCGAATGGGTGGTTCGTTCCTCGTGACCTACTGGGACGTAGCATGGCAGAACACATTGATGCATGGCATGATATGTATCCGGGGAACCTTTTTGGCGATGGTCCGGGGCCATCTGCAGCGCCTCTGCCAAACGTTTCCAGGGATGGGCGTGACCAGCCTCTGCATATGGTCAGCCTATGGGAGATCACGAAGGAGGCACTTAACCCCAAGGAACCATCATCAGTGTACATTGAGGAATGTCTTGATGACTCCGTGACGTCAGTGTTAGAAGCCAACGTGGCTCCAAAGAAAAAGACGGTTCGGTTTGATGACAGCGCCGCGAGGAAGTCTGCAAAGCGTCCTCCTGGTGTTCTGGCCTCCCAGGTCCCCGCGTCAATTCTCAAGCCAACGTCGGATCCATCTGCAGCACCCAGAAGAGGCGCGAAGGCATCTCTACCATCTCTACCATCTCTGGGAAACCGCACTATGCAATACAGCTATAAGATGCCCGTGGAAGACAACATGAATGTGCAGGATATATTCGAGTGCATCCAAAATGAAGTCCGCATCTCGCTTACACATCGGGAACTGATGGCATTGTGCCCAGAGATCCACAAGCTTGAGAAGGAGGAGATTACTGCGAAGCAAGTAGCGATGATGGGAAGCTTCGAGGCTGCGGATGGCGAGGAGGTTGCGGAGGCTCTCTTAGTGGATGTGAGCGACGGCGGCGGACCACTCGTGGTAGCTGATGATTCTCTTCCATTGCGAGCAATTGACGCCCTGGTTGAAGGCAAGGAATCAGCAGAATGTATCCTTGACCAAGGCTCACAGATCATCGCAATGCAACGGGACATCTGGGAACGCATCGGGTCCGCGCTGCAGTCTGAGAAAACACTCAACATGGAATCAGCTAACATGGGTATCAACCAGATGCTCGGATGCCTCGCTAACATTCGATTTGGGTTCGGCGAGATGGAGCTGTATCTTCAGGCCCATGTTCTAAATGATGCCCCATTCGAGGCACTCTTGGGCCAGCCGTTCTTTACCTTGACGGCATGCAAAACACTCGACTTTACCAATGGCGAGCAACACATTACTCTGCACGACCCTAACACACGTCAAGTAGTCACGCTTCTCACTCATGAGCGTCACCCAAGGCCACGGCCGACGCCACTTCCAGGAATGGGTTTTCAAGACTCGAGGAGTCAGGCTTGATCTGAGGAGGGTCCACAATGAACAGGCACCAGTGTGCTAGCGATACCCTTAAAATGACAGGACACATCAGGGAGTGGTCCCTCGTGGATGGTAGAGTTCCTCATATTCTAGAATCAGCGTCTTCAGTTTCCTCTCTCTCTTCCCCTATGGCTGCGGTCTCCTCTCTCTTTTCCTTTATGGATTCGTTTCCCTCTCTCTCATCCTCTGCGACTCTGGTTTCCTCCCTCTCTTCCTCTGAAGAATTATTTCCTCGGATCGTTTCATTGCAAATCGAAGAGCCCCGCGTTCTTTATACCCTTTCCTCATCTTTTTGCAGTATCAGAGTGGCCAGCAGTGTGAACACACCTGTGGTGGCCCCTGGTGCATTCCAGATAGAGCACAAGGCCAGCCCATTCAGTCATGTTTGTGAACTGGACTCCCATTTACCCTGACATTGTCATGAACTGGACAGCCAGCGGACATCGGCCCATCGGTCTGCATAAGGAGTTGTAAGCGATCAGCTCATGGCGAGAAAGGGAATGCTGGAGCGATCGGCCCACCGCCATAGGAGTATTTCTGAGTGATCGGCCCACCACCATGGTGCTACTATTATATAGGCATGGGCCCACCGCCATGGTGATAGTTTTGAGCGATCAGCCCACTGCCATAGGTGTATTTTTGAGCGATCGGCTGATCACCACTAGGGCTATTATACAGCCATTGGCCAACTGCCATAGGTAGCATTCTGAGCAATGGGCCCACCGCCATAGATAGTGTTCTGAGCGATGGGCCCACCGCCATAGGTATATTTCTGAGCGATCAGCCCACTGCCACTGAGGCTATTATACAGCCATCGGCCGACCACCATAGATAGTGTTCTGAGCAATGGGCCCACTGTCATAGGTATATTTCTGAGTGATGGGCCCACCGCCATGGTGCTATTATACAGCCATCGGCTGACCACCATAGGTAGTGTTCTAAGCGATGAGCCCACCACCATAGGTATATTTCTGAGCGATGGGCCCACTGCCACTGGGGCTATTATACAGCCATTGGCCGACTGCCATAGGTAGTGTTCTGAGCAATGGGCCCACCACCATAGGTATATTTCTGAGTGATCAGCCCACCACCATGGTGCTATTATACAGCCATCGGCCCACCGCCACCGTGGTAGTACTAAGCGATCGGCCGACTGCCAGGGGGTAAGTTCTGAGCCATTGGCCAACCACCTCGGGGCTACTATACAGCCATCGGCCCACCGCCATAGGTAGTGTTCTGAACTATGGGTGTCATTCTAAGCAGTGGGCCCACCACCATAGGGGTACTTCTGGGCAGTGGGGCCCATCACCATAATGCTATTATTTAGTGATGAGCTCACCGCCATAGGGGTACCTCTGAGCAGTGGGCTCACCGACATGGTGTTATTAGTCAGTGATTGATTCACCATTATAATGCTGGCAGTGCCTGGACTCAGCAAGACACCTAATCGCTAACCTGACACTACATCTCTGGTGGAGTTTTTACAACATGGAGTCCTGCCTGAAACTTATCGTAGCTATTGTATAGAGTGCAGTGCCACCATTTTATGAGTTTCTGATATATGGTGAACCATGGCTTTACATTCTAGTGATGGCGAGACTCAAGCTGCCAAGAAGTCGCCAACCTGGCTGTCCTTCTCTGGCGAAGTGTGTTAAACTTGGAGGACTGTCTGAAACTTGTAGCAGAGGATTTATAAAGTTAAATTCCATCATTTTATGAGTTCCTAGCATATGGCGAGCCATGGCTTTACATCCTGGTGATGGTGTGACTCAACTAGTAAAAAACTCGCCAACCTGGCTCTCCTTCTTTGGTGAAGTTTGTTAAACTTGGAGGACTGTCTGAAACTTGTGGAAGAGGACTTATAAAGTTAAATTCCATCATTTTATGAGTTCCTAGTATATGGCGAGCCATGGCTTTACATCCTGGTGATGGCGAGACTTAATTTGCCAAACAGTCACCAACCTGGCTGTCCTTCTCTGGCGAAGTTTATTAAACTTGGAGAACTGTCTGAAATTTGTAGAAGAGGACTTATAAAGTGCAATGCCACCATTTTATGAGTTTCTAGTATATGACGAGCCATGGCTTTACATTCTGGTGATGATGAGACTCAATTTGCCAAAAAGTCGCCAACCTGGCTCTCCTTCTCTGGCAAAGTTTGTTAAACTTGGAGGACTGTCTGAAACTTGTAGAAGAGGATTTATAAAGTGCAGTGCTGCCATTCTATGAGTTCCTAATATATGGCGAGCCATGGCTTTACATTCTGGTGATGATGTGACTCAACTAGTAAAAAACTCGCCAACCTGGCTCTCCTTCTCTGGTGCCATTTGTTAAACTTGGAGGAATGTCTGAAACTTGTAGCAGAGGATTTATAAAGTTAAATTCCATCATTTTATGAGTTCATCGTATATGGCGAGCCATGGCTTTACATCCTGGTAATGGTGTGACTCAACTAGTAAAAAACTCGCCAACCTAGCTCTTCTTCTTTGGTGAAGTTTGTTAAACTTGAAGGACTGTCTGATACTTGTAGTAGGGGATTTATAAAGTGAAGTGCCACCATTCTATGAGTTCCTGGTATATGGCGAGCCATGGCCTCACATTCTGGTGAAGGTGAGACTCAACCAGTAAAAAACTCAGCAATCTGACTCTCCTTCTGTAGTAAAGTTTGTCAAACTTGGAGGACTGCACTTCAGGGTACCCTTCCGACCTAGCTCTTAGCTTCAACATAATCTATATTGTGTCATGGCTAAGAGCTTCTCAGGTGTCAGACTGACCATGGTATCTATGTAAGTCCCATGGCCTTATAGGGGAAGTACCTGACCAAGGGAAGGCCATGAAGGGCTAATACCTAGGGACATCCAATAGTCATCCTGTTTAACCCTGTGTTGTCCTATTGCCATGGGAAATCCATGGAGGTCCTTGGTCATTGTCACCTGTCACATGGTGGTAGGGGTCAATATGTATTTCCCGCTCATTATTTCTCTGCCAAATTGGCAGCCACTGGGACTGTATACCTATCGTAGATGCTTTCTACATATACTGTAAACACTGTTATCTGAATTTTATTATAATGAAAATAGCTGCTTGCTGTCAGCTGTTACTTCTCACTTTTTGTGCTTGCTCCATCACATTGTATGAGCAAGGAGGAAATTATAGTCTAGAACAGCACGCTGGCTGAAGCGTGAGCATCAGGTCTACTCAAATCACTAGTCTCAGTTATAAGCAAGGCTTGCATTGACACATAGGATGTTCTTACTAGTGATAACAAGTAAGGAGGACATGAGAAACTGCTGAGCAGCACCTCAACAAGAAAGTGAACTAGGTAAGGAGGATGTGAGAAACTGCCGAGCAGTATCTGAACAAGAAAGTAACTAAGTAAGGAGGACGTGAGAAACTGCGGAGCAGTATCTCAACAAGAAAGTGAACTAAGTCTGCACCTTTTGCAAACTATCAATATTAGTCTCTGACACAATGATATCATGTCCAAAGGGTGCACACTCCTCTCTTAATTGTGCCAAAGTTGTAGGTCATTCCAGTGCGGCAGCCTCAGCAGCTTCCACCAACTGCTGTGTCTTCTCTTCCTGTACATCCACCTGTATGTGGGTAGCAAGCACCAATATCTCAAGTGCAGACACCTTTGCTTCAAGATTTAGGATCGTCGACTGAGCATTTGTATGCTACATCTCCAATGAGTGAGACAGTTCGAGCACAGACTCAAGCTGCTTTGACAGTGTGTTGAGGCGTTCAGTGACATCCTCTGAGGAAGAAGCAGGAACATGGGGGACAGGTGGAGACAATGGCGAGTGCAGATGAGCATGAAGGTGAGACAGGTCTGAGTTGCCACCTTGAAGATGGATGGGATGCGAATCATGGTCCTCATCATTGTCACTCATGCCCATCCCAGTTGGCTCAGGCATTCTTGGGCACCCTAACTCCTCCCTTCTCCACCTTCAGTCTTCTTCCTCTTGCTCAGTGGCTAGCTGTTCTTCATCCTCTTCATCAACTCATTCCAGTTTATGCGGGACAACTGTCGCAATGCTACGTGCATTATCATCATCTCCGAGTAAATCTCCGTCATAATTCATTTTGTCCTGATGCTGCTGCTGGTGAATAGGACTGCCGTTCTGGTGCTGTCTGTACACCTATCAAGCAGGTTCTGCGCACCAGCTGGGCTGTCCACAGTCATACATGGATCTCCTGACAGGTTACTCCAAGGAGCTACATCTCTCCTGTATGGGCCTATGGATGTCCCAGAGGGCCATGGCACTATACATGGATCTCCCGACAGGTCACTCTGGGGAGTTACATCTCTCCCGTATGGGCCTACGGATTTCCCAAAGGGCCATCACAACATATGTGGATCTCCCAACAGGTGATTCTAGGGAGGTACATCTCTCCCGTATGGGCCTACAGATGTCCCAAAGGGCAATGCCAGTCTTCACGTATCTCCCAACAGGTCACTCTGGGGAGTTACATCTCTCTCGTATGGGCCTACGGATGTCTCAAAGGGCAATGCCAGTCTTCATGGATCTCCCGACAGGTCACTCTGAGGAGTTACATCTCTCCCGTATGGGCCTACGGATGTCCCAAAGGGCAATGCCAGTCTTCATGGATCTCCTAACAGGTCACTCTGAGGAGTTACATCTCTCCCATATGGGCCTACAGATGTCCCAAAGGGCCATGGCAACATATGTGGATCTCCCAACAGGTGACTCTAGGGAGGTACATCTCTCCTGTATAGGCCTACAGATGTCCCAAAGGGCAATGCCAGTCTTCACGTATCTCTCAACGGGTCACTCTGGGGAGTTACATCTCTCCCGTATGGGCCTACAGATGTCCCAAAGGGCAATGCCAGTCTTCATGGATCTCTCGACAGGTCACTCTGGGGAGTTACATCTCTCCCGTATGGGCCTACGGATTTCCCAAAGAGCCATGGCAACATATGTGGATCTCCCAACAGGTGACTCTAGGGAGGTACATCTCTCCTGTATAGGCCTACAGATGTCCCAAAGGGCAATGCCAGTCTTCACGTATCTCTCAACGGGTCACTCTGGGGAGTTACATCTCTCCCGTATGGGCCTACAGATGTCCCAAAGGGCAATGCCAGTCTTCACGTATCTCCCAACAGGTCACTCTGGGGAGTTACATCTGTCCCGTATGGGCCTACAGATGTCCCAAAGGGCAATGTCAGTCTTCACGTATCTCCCAACAGGTCACTCTGGGAAGTTACATCTCTCCCGTATGGGCCTACGGATGTCCCAAAGGGCAATGCCAGGGAGATAGAAAGATAGCCGGATCTTCTCACACATTTCACACACATCCCACAATACAGTGGTATATTTTAAGTCAAAATCAAACCGAAACACATTGAGATATATAAGTACATCTGGTAGCTCCTTTTATCGCTACTCTAGCATTCATGGTACCAGTCATTACCTTTATCATCACCGTCAAATAAGTCGCCATAGTCATCATAACCACCCTCGTCATAGATGGGAGATACCACGCGTTGACAAGGGTGAGCAACTTCCACCCTGCGAGATGGCCCAGGCTCAGATTCGTGCAAAGAAGTGGCTACACGGTGGGCACGCGACGTGTCCGCCTGAGCACCGTGAAGTGCACCTGAGGTACCCGCAGATGGCCTGGAGCCAGATGCACGCGTGGACTGGTCATCGCGACGACACTGGCCGTTCCCCGCTGCATCGAAGTCTTGCGAACGATGAGATGCATGCAGCTGTGACGTAGGAGCCCGAGGCCAATGCGGCGGAGGCAGAAGACCTTGTATGGATCGCAGGTGTTGTTGGGGCAGGCGCGAGGAATATTGATCTGCATATGAATAAGGCACATGATCATTGTGCGACGAGGCTGCCGATGGAATTCGAGGGCGAGCGGGTCCGACCAGAGAGTTGTGAGGGGGTACCTGGTGAGGATATTGGGCGCCGCCACCGAATTGTTCATCTTGTGGCAACGGGAACACTTGGCCAGGTGGTGCGAGATAATTGGAAGCCTCACCCATCCGAGCTCTGGCCATAATGTGCAGATTGTTGCTGTGAGCTGCGCCGCCATCGTGGTCTCTCGAATGACGAGATACGCATTGAGCGTCACGGCCACGAGTCGATGGCTCGTTATAGCGAGGATGATGATTGCGTGAAGGAGGACGACTGGCCTGACCTGGACCCTCGTAGCCTTGAATACTTTGGGGCTTATGTCCGAGTGTCTTGCGTGTCGGCGAGATCTCCTCAATGTCCGACCCATCGGACGAAGCTTCACGACGGTGTTTGCGCGGCGGTGCAATGTCAGTATTGATGGTCCTGGCAGGAACCACACTTCTAGCTCTAGGTGGCAATCCTCGCACCGGCCGGACATTAGGGGTTGGCAGCTCCTCAGACTCAGATGACGAAGGTAGAGCCACAGGGCTGACATGGCGACACCTACCCTTCGGAGCAGCATGTGCGACAATCCTGGCCCAACCGGCAATGTCACGGAGGACTCTTAGCCTATTACCCTTGGTGTCCTTCACCAAGGTGACGAGACCCTTGCCCTTGCGCGGATCGTCATCCGGTAGGTCGATGTCAGCTTACAAAATTCATATTAGTCTCAAGGAGTATAGAGTAAACATGAAATAATTACCTTGATCCCATCGTATTATGTGCAGTATTGGGATATTTGTTCTCCCTTTCTGGCACGCCTCAATGAAGCCATCGGTGAGGACCTTCAACTCGGCAGCATTCAAGCTCCTGAACTCGAAGTCGGGGCCCAGGGCGAGAATAGCGGGCGGCCAGTCCACGATGCAGAGCTTGTATGTCGATGCCGTCTTCATCCAGTCTTTCCAGCGAACGCATTTCGTGGCGGCCTCCTCAAATTTCTCTGTATAACTATGATGAGTACAGTAAGATTGAAGGGAAAATGACAACGTACGCAAGTTCTGCTGCATCATGGCCATGAACACTCGATGAAAATGATCACGCGGTGCTTCATTTCCCTGAGCATTGACGTCGACCCGACCGAATGACGATGGCAGCGAGAAACCTCCCTCGTTGAGATTGACAGCCCTGACAGAACGTTCAGTTAAGAATATATTGGAAAGACGATGGAACGAAAACTCACTTGATGGCGGTGGTAAGATCGTCCACCATCTTCCGTACATCCACTTGATTATCTTCGATCAACCGCTTCACTGCAGAAGACCCACCAAAAATCGCGGATGTCTGCCATCCGCCAGCATCAGTTCCCATGTATAAGATGGCCCCCACGACTTCCATGTCAGCCAGATTGCGATACGAAGCGGCCTACACACATGAATCAGCCATGTAGTCAAGTGGGGAAGGCACTGTGTGCACATACCAACGCGGTAAACTGGTCCTTCGCACTCAACATCCGAGCAGTGATGGACTGCATAGAGTGCTTCGCCAGGCTGGGATCCTTCTCGATCGAGTCACAGAAATCGAGAATCAGCTTCATGACGAGTGCACGTTGCTCGTCATTTTGACCGTCGACACCTTCAAACATCTTCTTGTAAGTAGTATTAACCTCCTTCAGGTAGTCCGCAGTGGTGACTGTTGAGGCATGCAAGTCAGCCGCATGCGTAATGACGACAACAGTGAGGACACTCACCATTGTCCGCCTTCGGATGGTGGTAAGAATACCACTGCCTATACTTGTTAGCAGGATTCGCAGCGTGCGAGGGCTTGAACGACAATCCAGCGAGGATCAGGACGTCCCGGGTGGATTTGCCGTGCTTCTGTGCAAGGTTCTCAGCCTCACGCATTACAACCTCTCCAAAGGTGACCGCGGCAGCCCTTGCTTGCTTCGAGAATGGACCCGTACTCTTCTGCCAATTGGCACTGCCAGCCACGGCCTCTTGTTCAGCAATCTCTTCAGCCTCATCAAGCTGCACAACGTGCTGCTTCCCCTTGCCATGAACGGTCCGGCTGTGCATGCGAAGATCATTCCGCTTTTCAAGGGTGCGTGCGTGCAGTCCATGGACTTCAAGTTCGGTGACAACGTCATCCACCATCTCCTTGTCGAGTAAGTCATCATCTTGCTCAGTATTAACATCTTCTTGATGACGTCGCAGATGGTTCTCGCGTCTCATCAGCTCGACCTTCTTCGTCTCACTGTAGTCGCTACCCGAGTACTCCGACATATCATAATCTACATTTAAATCAGTGATGAGCTCATGCACGCACACGGGATAATCTCACCTTCTTGACCTCAGCTTGTAGCAACATTCTGTCCATCAGCACCACTGTGCACGGAGTCAATACCGCCTTCTGATGACAGTGCAAAGCCCCCGTCCGAGCCACCATCAGACATACTATCATCTGGAATTTGTCCTTGAGGCTGCTGCTTCCTGACGGCATCATGGGTCGTGTCCTGCTTGTGTCTTATGTCACGTAGCTTAGGGAGCATAACATATGGCTGGTTCTGTGTGCGGATGGTCAAATTGCGGATGACAAGTGAAATGAGAAAATGAACTTACCGCTTTTGTCGGCTTGCGTAGCACCAACTTGCGGTCGCGATTCCCGGGCATGGGTTCATCGATGGTTTGAGTGTCACTGTAAATGGCGCCGTCCTCCGAGTCTTCGGTGTTGGGCACTCTTTGGTCTCCACCTCTGTCTACATCTGTCCTTCCATGTTCCTCATGAAGTCCATCATTGCCGGCTGGCTCTTCACTGCTCTCGTCCTCGTTGTACGCATCAGCCTCATCAACCGATCTGTGCAGGTTGGCAGCCGCGTGAGCATCTGGCTCTGCTGAGTCGAGATTCGTGTCCTTGTCATTGTTGCTGGGTGCATCGATGCCATCATCCTCGCTCGCCGGTGCCACAGACTTGCCATCACCACCATCGGAGTCGGAAGGGGATGTCCTCCTGGCCTTAGTGTCCCTCTTCGCCGGTAGCTTCGCCTTCTGAAGTCGGATAACAGTAAGTAACACACGTCGAAAAACAAATATGGAGGGAGTGGACATACCCCTTGATGTTGCGCAACCGACTCTGCAGCTTCTTCATCGGCCACGTCAGTAGTTTTGCTCGTACGAGAGCTCTGCTATAGCGGTCAGATCGTTCAGTAGCATTAGATGATGGTTGCGGCACTCCACCTTTTGCTTTGATCCATCTGTGGCTGGGTGACCTTCATCTTTTGGTGGAGAGACATCTTTCTTCTTCTTCGCGGAGTTGCGAGGACGCGATTCTGAGGCAGTCGAAACTTTCTGAACTCCCTTCGTGTGCGACCGCGTCTGCCGCGGTTCGCTCGCATCCAGTGCAGACCGCGTTCGAGGAGGCATCGCGGCTGAGTTCTGAAGTGCAGGAGTCAGACGATTAATCGAACATGGCGGAGGAAGACGAAGGGGCAGTGGATGGCGTCTACTCACATGGAATTGTCCAGATTTGAGTCATTGCGGGCGGCCTCCAAAAAGATCCTTCCTGCCGGATTCTGAACAGAATTCTGAAAAGTCCATCAAACTGAGTAAGGGGATGGGATGAAATGCAACTCACGATATTGCGCCCGCACGAAGGCTCGCGCTAGTCTGAAGAAGAGCTGACAAGACCTCAGGGTGTGCTTCAGCTGCAGATCTGCAGTGAGTATCAAAAGGACAAAGAGTAAATGATACTGTACCTGCAGCTCACACTCAAAGGATACCGTGTTAATAATGGAGACTATTGAGTCGTGCGACATTATCTGCATGTGCAATGTTAATTCCACGGTGTCACGATTTGTCAAGATTCACGAAAGGAGCACAGGAATGTGATGCTAGCGCATCGGTGACGCGCTTGTTGCGACGGCGGTCAGGGCACTCGGGGAATAAAATATTGCCTTGTGGAGCTAAGTGGACCCGATGCACCACACAGACTCACCATAGCGCAGCGTTCGAAGCCCGGAATGTCTTCATCCATGAGCGAAACATGAGGTGGCGGGCAGGTTGAAGACAACGCGCAGAGTTTGGTTGAGAATTTGTATGGGTATACTTGAAATGCTCGTGCTTCCCACAGATGCACAGACTCGCAAGAAATTGAGTCTGCGGGTGAAGCTTCAATAGCGTGCTCGACCGTACAATATTCAGGCGGGCCCATGTAAGTGTCGCTACATTGAGAGAGAGATGACGCAGCCGGATGATACTTGCTCGATATACCACGATATGAGGGTGATAGCGGCCAGTAAACCATGATCTCAGTACCAGAGTAGCAGCAAACATGCAAAGCGGACTGTAGCCATACAGATGCGTCGATACAGGAGAGGCGGTTGATGAACTTGAGCGATCCAGGTGCCGAGTTTGAGCAGAGTGCGAATGTACAATGGGATGTCCCTACATGGAAGTCCCACGTGGTCCTTGCGTTGCCTTCAACAATTCCTATTGACTCGGACAAGTCCTTCGTCAAAATTGCTTCAAGAAAGGTGAGCAAACCAATCTATCCTGATACTCTTCCATCTGTCCGAAATAACACACTACTTTACTACAGACAGCTAACTACACCCCGTTTTCTCTGAGAGTTCCAGCAAGCATCCCTCTAGGGACGTGCACTCCTTCCACCCATCGATCGCGATGGTTTCTCACTCGACAGTGAGGTCCCCACCGAAATACGTGCAACATGATCCAGGTCCTACTTTTCAACAACTGCCCCACGATGATATGGTAGACGGAATTCCTTGGTGCATCACAGCTTGCGTCCTTCAGCATTCGCAAGACCTGCATCATGAATCACAATTATCTGTGTACATGTACGTCTCGCTCACGGATTAACGCGTCAACGTACACCAGCTATAGAATGTCCAAACTAACCCTTTTCATCTCTAGGCAATTCGAGGCGGCCGTCATAACTGCGGTTCACCCACGCCCGATCTCTGCCTAAATATCTTGGGCGGATGCCGCCGATTGCGACTGTTCGCCGCCCCCATGGCGATGTTTCAAGGGGCTCGAGCATGTGTCAAGCGGGACGTGGAAGGTAAGCCCCTTCTGCATGTCTTCGCGACCATCCCCTCAACGATTTTTTCAGTTCAAGCACTCCCAAGACTGTATCGCAATGTCCTTCCGCCGACCCAGGGTTCATTATTCTAAAGGTTCATCTCCCGTGCATCCTTCGTCATCCCAGCCATCTTCTCGCTCAGTTTCTCGTTCGACCTCTCCTGAAAAAACCCCTACGTCACATGTTCATCTCATCCAGCCTATAGACTTCCCTCGACAAAGGCGACCCCATGGTGCAAAGCATCTTTTCCTGCCTGGCCCCGAGAGCCTGGTAACGCTGCCTGGCTGCCTCAATTTCACGCATGCCAACCTTCCGAGAGGTCGATCTTCCACTCGCATGCAGCACGGTCCGTCCGCTACTCAGCAAGGGGTTCCTAGTTCAGACGATCCATTCCTTTCACATGTCGACGATCTTCCTGTTTCAAGTCCAGAGCGTTTTTTTTTTCGACGGCGTTTACACGTCCTTGCTTGATGAACCGGCTGCCGTCCGAGCGGCACGCCTCCGGCAGAAGAAGGCCCACCAGTGGCAGAGGTGGGTGACGGAGGTCATACCTTCGCTGCTCCTTCCCCACATGGAATTACTTCGGTTGAGCGAATCATTGCGTCAAAACGTTGACATCCCGCGTGCGTGCACCTGCGGTGGTGAGCACGTAAGAACACTGAAGGTTGTGTGTGTCTACTTTGAATGTAGGTTTCCTTTCCCTGTGGTACATGATCCTATGCTCATGAATTGCAGCTCTTCGCTATGTAAATATCAATGTTTGTTTATGCTCGCCTGCTGCTCTACAGTTACTCTCGCGCGGGCTGTTCCCCTGCACGCCTCAGGCGCCCACACTCGCCGTGGACCTGAATCTGCTGCGATTTACTCAACAGCTATTTGTCCGCCTACCTCCTAACACCACGTCATTCTGTGCGACGCTAGAAGCATTTCTCGGGGACCGGGGATATAAGCTCACGACAAGGGTATGAATTCTCCTTACTGCTCTATTTATATAGCTGCTCACATCACCGGTAGGACTCATTGCATCGACGATTCGGAAACGCGCTCCTCTGGTACTCAAACCTCCTCAATGCGACTAAGAGACACGTGCAGGATGCTGTCAAACAAGCCCGATGTTCTGTCTTGCATGAGGCCTGTGAGTCGACATCACACATTCGGACACCTGGTACGTTAGTAGCGTTACTTGACCGAACGCATCGTATTGACTGTCTTCGCAGATATTGGCTCAATGCGGCCTTGCTCCCCTTCCCCCTCGCCATTGCCCTCGGCCTTCGCCTCTTCATCGCACTTCGATTCGCACTCACAATCATGCTTGCCCTCGGATTCACCGATGCGCTCGACCTCGGATTCACTGATGCGCTCGACCTCGGAGTCACCGATGCACTCGACCTCGAAGTCTCCGACGCCCTCGAACTCGGAGTCACCGACGCACTCACGCTCGGAGTCACCAACGCGTTCGCCGTCGAAGCTGTCATCTCCCGCCGTAGATGGAGGGCATGCTGGACAGAGCAAGCCGTTCACACTGCCGGAGGACCTGCTGAGACCAAGTGAGTACTTGCGCAAGCGATGTCCGTTGTGCTTCAGTGGGAAGGCGCAACAAGACGGTAACGATATGTGAGCTGTGCTACGCTATTTACTGACTGTAAATCAAAACTCATTTGTCTTCAGTCCAGATGTGATCGTTTATATCGACGCTTGTTTCACTCAAAAACGTAGAAGGGGGAAGGGAGACGGGCATGATCATCCACGTGAAGCCGAGGAGTCAGTCTTCATCCCGGAGGAGGAGGTGAAGAAAATGGAGTCGTATGTTGAGCAAATTCGACCAAGTAGGGACACTGGGCGGCGCCGTGCCCAACCTCCCATTTCAGCCGACGACAATGATGGGTATGAAGAAGGCCTCAAGGTACCAAGGTCTGTGCTCGATGGCTGCCATGAATCCTTCCTTGCCGCCGATGAAAAGCGCGAGAAGGCTAGCACACAGTTTTTCTCGGACACCGGCCTGATGGCATTGCTGTGCAGGCATGATCGTGTCCTTTGGTTAGTAAACATGACCTCAGCAGGGGAGAAACAACATTACACTCTCGCTCTCATTCAACGGCTCTTCGTGCATCTACCCCGTTCCACCACCATCGGGATCTTGTATGATATCGCCTGCCAGCTGCACTGGAGTTGCGTCAAGTGGGACCTTCTCGGGGATTTGTTTGACCGCATCATGTTCGCTGTCTCGATCTTTCACGTGTACGGGCATCAATGGCCATGCCAACTGATATACCATCCGAGGAAATGCATTGGATTTGGGCTCACAGATGGGGAGGGTTGTGAACGCTTCTGGAGCTCAATCCGGAAGCTAATACCATCTCTTCGTGTCTCTGGGGTGAGTGTTTCAGCGTGCTCATTGTGCATCAAAATCTAACCGCTACTTTAGTATCATCAGCGCCTGTTCATTCTCGATGCACAAGTCAAGTATCTTGACCAGCAGTCCCTCTTCAGCCTCGGTCATTGGCTCAATAAGAAGTGGAAGCAATGCCAGGCCAAGAGACTTGTAGCGGCGGAAGCAGTTGAGCAATGTGGGATCACAGATGAGGTGTTACGTGAGCAATGGGCGGCACAGGTTCGCGATCAAACCAAGCCCGCGCCTCGTACGTCGTTCATTCATATCTCTTATCATGCAAATGTGATACTGATCCGCATACTTCAGGGCGTTCTCGCGATAAAGGAAAGAAGGCAATCCAGACAATCCTGGCGCTGCAGAAGATGCTCGGCGCGTACAACGAGAGTGTGCGCCTACTGGAACTCAAGTTACTTGGTGACGACGATGACATATTCAGCATCGAGGAGGTCAGCTTAAAGCTGATGGAGGCAAGGTCTAAAGTAGTGAACGTCAAGCAAGCCTTGCAACGTAAGAAGACTGCGTTAGGAGTTGGTGAGCGGCTGCAGCTCTCACATTTGATCAACAACGCCTTCCTGAGGCTGCGTATGAATGCGCACGCAGTCAAGCAGCACATCCGCGACCGTCTCCACCAGCGCAAGTTCGAGCTCGAGCGGCTCGAACGCTCGTATCGTCAAACGGTCAACAGTAAGTCTCCACATGTTGGATTTAGTCTAACAACTGATGACATGTTGAGACAACAAGCTCAGCTCTCACGCTGAGTCGTCAATCAAGCGTCGTGAGCCCGGCATCCTCAAGCTGGCCAAGACCTACAACGACTTGTGCAAGCAGATGGACCTTCTCATCAAGCAACGCAAGGCCCCGCGATACGCAGTGTCGCTGCAGCCGATTCAAGGCAACGGCCTCTTCAAGCTTGACATCGATGACGATATTTGGCAAGATGTCGGCCTCGATGATGATGACGACATTGCCGCGGTCCCACGTTGGCTCGGTGATGAGACTGTTCGCGAAGGCATCAAGAATCGCCTCTTACTAGATCGCTGCAATGAGGAGGAGGAGCGGTTGCGGGAAGAAAGGTGTTCTCTGCAAGAGTGGTTTGCGGAGGAGTGAACGAGCAATGAGAGGGCTTGCGTGGATGCAGGTAAGTCTCACTGCAGTTCTCTCTCTGTCGCAGTGGTCTGATTATATGCAGGTGACAATCCAGACCTCCTCTACCAGCTTGACTGTCAACGTGAGTCGTTATGCCTGCTGTGTGTGACGTGGCAGGCCCGAGTACGCATGATCCCTTGCAAATGAGACATGACCGAGACCTGGGGTCCATCCAAAGCACAGCTAACTGCAGCAGCTGCATATGAGGTCACCGGAAGCTGGGATGATGAAGGTGATGGTATCCGCTCCGTGAATGCTGCGCTGGATGCCAACGATGAAGATGAGGTGAGCTTTGATGAGGCCACGGATCCCGAAGATGATGGTGAACTCCTTGATGCTGCTGAGGGTGCTGCATTGACTGATGCATATCATCCCAGTGCAGTAGATTTTGACTCCGATAGTCTCTTCGATGATGGAGTCATGCGAATGGTTAGTCAATCCTCGCGCAAGCGGGTGCTTCACCTCTAGAACTTTGTAACAAGTAGGATTGCTCAAATTGTCTAGTTAAAACTGTAGCACAGATGAGTGGGAGGTATACAACTTCGGAAATCCAAGTATGTCTATATATCTCTGACATAGCCATTGGGATGTCCATTTCCCCAGATAGGAGTGTTGTACCTCCCTAGAATAACTTGTTGGGAGATATGATGGCCCTTTGGGACATTCGTAGGCCCATACGGGAGAGATGTAACTCCCCAGAGTGACCTGTTAGGAGATCCATGAAGACTGGCATTGCCCTTTGGGACATCTGTAGGCCCATATGGGAGAGATGTAACTCCTCAGAGTGACCTGTTAGGAGATCCATGAAGACTGGCATTGCCCTTTGGGACATCCGTAGGCCCATACGGGAGAGATGTAACTCCTCAGAGTGACCTGTTAGGAGATCCATGAAGACTGGCATTGCCCTTTGGGACATCCGTAGGCCCATACGGGAGAGATGTAACTCCTCAGAGTGACCTGTCGGGAGATCCATGAAGACTGGCATTGCCCTTTGAGACATCCGTAGGCCCATACGAGAGAGATGTAACTCCCCAGAGTGACCTGTTGGGAGATACGTGAAGACTGGCATTGCCCTTTGGGACATCTGTAGGCCCATACGGGAGAGATGTACCTCCCTAGAATCACCTGTTGGGAGATCCACATATGTTGTGATGGCCCTTTGGGAAATCCGTAGGCCCATACGGGAGAGATGTAACTCCCCAGAGTGACCTGTCGGGAGATCCATGTATAGTGCCATGGCCCTCTGGGACATCCATAGGCCCATACAGGAGAGATGTAGCTCCTTGGAGTAACCTGTCAGGAGATCCATGTATGACTGTGGACAGCCCAGCTGGTGCGCAGAACCTGCTTGATAGGTGTACAGACAGCACCAGAACGGCAGTCCTATTCACCAGCAGCAGCATCAGGACAAAATGAATTATGACGGAGATTTACTCGGAGATGATGATAATGCACGTAGCATTGCGACAGTTGTCCCGCATAAACTGGAATGAGTTGATGAAGAGGATGAAGAACAGCTAGCCACTGAGCAAGAGGAAGAAGACTGAAGGTGGAGAAGGGAGGAGTTAGGGTGCCCAAGAATGCCTGAGCCAACTGGGATGGGCATGAGTGACAATGATGAGGACCATGATTCGCATCCCATCCATCTTCAAGGTGGCAACTCAGACCTGTCTCACCTTCATGCTCATCTGCACTCGCCATTGTCTCCACCTGTCCCCCATGTTCCTGCTTCTTCCTCAGAGGATGTCACTGAACGCCTCAACACACTGTCAAAGCAGCTTGAGTCTGTGCTCGAACTGTCTCACTCATTGGAGATGTAGCATACAAATGCTCAGTCGACGATCCTAAATCTTGAAGCAAAGGTGTCTGCACTTGAGATATTGGTGCTTGCTACCCACATACAGGTGGATGTACAGGAAGAGAAGACACAGCAGTTGGTGGAAGCTGCTGAGGCTGCCGCACTGGAATGACCTACAACTTTGGCACAATTAAGAGAGGAGTGTGCACCCTTTGGACATGATATCATTGTGTCAGAGACTAATATTGATAGTTTGCAAAAGGTGCAGACTTAGTTCACTTTCTTGTTGAGATACTGCTCCGCAGTTTCTCACGTCCTCCTTACTTAGTTACTTTCTTGCTCGGCAGTTTCTCACATCCTCCTTACCTAGTTCACTTTCTTGTTGAGGTGCTGCTCAGCAGTTTCTCATGTCCTCCTTACTTGTTATCACTAGTAAGAACATCCTATGTGTCAATGCAAGCCTTGCTTATAACTGAGACTAGTGATTTGAGTAGACCTGATGCTCACGCTTCAGCCAGCGTGCTGTTCTAGACTATAATTTCCTCCTTGCTCATACAATGTGATGGAGCAAGCACAAAAAGTGAGAAGTAACAGCTGACAGCAAGCAGCTATTTTCATTATAATAAAATTCAGATAACAGTGTTTACAGTATATGTAGAAAGCATCTACGATAGGTATACAGTCCCAGTGGCTGCCAATTTGGCAGAGAAATAATGAGCGGGAAATACATATTGACCCCTACCACCATGTGACAGGTGACAATGACCAAGGACCTCCATGGATTTCCCATGGCAATAGGACAACACAGGGTTAAACAGGATGACTATTGGATGTCCCTAGGTATTAGCCCTTCATGGCCTTCCCTTGGTCAGGTACTTCCCCTATAAGGCCATGGGACTTACATAGATACCATGGTCAGTCTGACACCTGAGAAGCTCTTAGCCATGACACAATATAGATTATGTTGAAGCTAAGAGCTAGGTCGGAAGGGTACTCTGAAGTGAGGACTGTCTAGAATTGATAGTAGCTGCAGTATCAAGTGAAGCACCGTCATTGTTTGAGTTTCTTGTAGATGGGAGCTATGGCTTAATATCCTGATAATGGCTAGACTCAACCGATAAACATATCACTAACCTGGCTCTTCTTCTCTGATGAAGTTAGTCAAACTTGAAGCACTGTCTGGAATTTATAGTAGACATTTCATAATGTGAAGTGCCATCACTTTCTGAGTTCCTGATCAATGGTGAGCTATAGCTTCATATCCTGATAATAGTTAGACTTAACCAGGAAAAGAATGACCAATCTGGCACTTGTTCTCTGATAAAGGTTGTCTAACTTAAAGCACTGTTTAAAAATTGAAGTAAATGTTATATCAAGTGGTGCCAGCATTTTGTGAGTTCCTTATAGATGGTGAGCCACAGGGAAAATGTAACTGGCAACCTGATACTTCTTTTTTCACATACACTGATGAATTTTATATGATATACAGTACTAACTATAAGTTGTAGCAGTAGCTATATACTGTGATGTCCTTTTATATGGACTTCTGGCTGATGTCAGGCTGTGTTTGTACATTTTGGCAAAGTGTGGATGCACTGAGATTCAATGCTGACAATCTGCTATTTATTATAAAGTGAAGTATCTAAGCCTTTCAAAACTTAAAGCAGCAGTTGCATTACTGTTCAATGCCAGTGCTGTATGACTTCGTAGTTGGTTTTGAGCCACATCTAATCACCCTAAATACACTCACAAGTTAGCATGCTAACCGGCTGTGATAATCTTATATATGTATAATATGGAAGAGTGACTAAATCTTACAACAGCAGTTGTATGCTCTAAATTAGAAGCCTTGCATTACTTCTTGAAGTTTAGCAAGATACACACACCCATTCTAATGATCTGTGAACACTTTGAGAAGTTCAGCATACAACTTACCATTTCTCTGCATGATACTATGTGTAATAAAGTACAACACTTTATATGCAAAATATGATGTTGTGGTTAGTTTTGATTGTAATCACTTAGTGTTATGTGAAGAATTCAATATTGTCTACCTTTAATGAACTTCACGTGACTTGCTGAACTGGTCAAGGAATCACACTTTCCTTTTTAGTCTCCGAGTGCACACACATCTACATGAACATAATGGCTCCTATATGTGTTTTCTTCTATATATTTGAGATTCTTCTTCAATACATTTTTCTATCTACATTAAAGGATGGTGATTATATAGACCTTATATCAGAGCTAGATAGATTCTTGACATGTTTATAAGAAGTCTATAGAGCTCAGAGTGAAATATTGCTAACTCTTCGGAAGTGAACTTTGCTGTTTTTTGAGAAGTAAAGCTTGCCAATCACTTAACATTACAGTTGACCACATGTTGTCTTGAAAAAGATACATCTGTCATTTTCTAACAAATGTCTGGCATTTAGTTATATGAAAAGCAAAACACACTTTATAAACTTAAGTGTAGCTCTCTCCAAAGAATTACACTTAATTGTTATTGAGAATTAATAGCTGTTAAGTCACAATATGATATTGCTACTCCAAGTTGCAGTTCATCCTCCACAGTATATAACTTTGGCCGTAAGTTTCAGATAATACTCCATTGCATACAGACTTCATTACAGAAGCAGCTAGTCGTTTAGCATTTTTATGTGTGAAACTATGGCTGGCCATCAATCAGGAACTCATAACATGGTGGCCCTTCACTTTATATAACAGCTGTTATCAATTCCAGACAGTGCTTCAAGTTGAATTAACTTTACCAGAGAAGGACCGCCAGGTTAGTGGAGAATCACCAGATTAAGTCTAGCCATCGTCAGGATGTGAAGCCATGGCTCAACGTCTATCAGAAACTCATGAAATGGTGGTGCTTTACTTTATATACCAACTACTATGAATTCCAGATAGTGCTCCAAGTTTTGTGAACTCTGTCAGAGAAGGAGAGCCAAATTGCTGAGTTTTTTACTGGTTGAGTCTCACCTTCACCAGAATGTGAGGCCATGGCTCGCCATATACCAGGAACTCATAGAATGGTGGCACTTCACTTTATAAATCCCCTACTACAAGTATCAGACAGTCCTTCAAGTTTAACAAACTTCACCAAAGAAGGAGAGCTAGGTTGGCGAGTTTTTTACTAGTTGAGTCACACCATTACCAGGATGTAAAGCCATGGCTCTCCATATATGCAGGAAGTCTAAAATAGCAGTACTGCACTTTATAAATCCTCTTCTACAAGTTTCAGACAGTCCTCCAAGTTTAACAAACTTTGCCAAAGAAGGAGAGCTAGGTTGGCGACTTTTTGGCAAATTGAGTCTCACCATCACCAGAATGTAAAGCCATGGTTCACCATATATCAGAAACTCATAAAATGGTGGCACTGCACTCTATATGACAGCTACGATAAGTTTCAGGCAGGACTCCATGTTGTAAAAACTCCACCAGAGATGTAGTGTCAGGTTAGCGATTAGGTGTCTTGCTGAGTCCAGGCACTGCCAGTATTATGATGGTCAACCAATCACTGACTCATAACACCATGTCGGTGAGCCCACTGCTCAGAGGTACCCCTATGGCGGTGAGCCCATCAGTAAATAATAGCATCATGATGATGGGCCCACTGCTCAGAACAACACCTATGGCAGTGGGCCCACTGCTCATTCATTGTACATTGGCAGTGAGCCCATTGCTAGGAGAAACATGTCCTGGTGATTGCCTACCCCCTGGCCTGTGGCAGTAGGCCCATCTTTCATCTGATACTCTTGGAGATGGGCCCACTGCTCAGCTATTGTACTCTGGCTATGGGCCTATTGGTGGTGATAACATGCTCTGGTGATGGCCAACCCTCTGACCTTTGGTGGTGAGCCCATTCTTCATCTTACACTCATGGTGATGGGCCCACTGCTCATTGATCATACTTTGGCGGTGGGCCCATTACTCAGAGAAACATGCTGTGATGATGGCCAACACTCTGACCTTTGGCAGTGGGCCCATCCTTCATCTTCCACTCTTGGTGGTGGGCCCACTGCTCAGAAGTACCCCTATGGCAGTGGGCCCATCGCTAAATAATAGCATTATGGCGATGGGCCCACTGCTCAGAAGTACTCCTATGGCGGTGGGCCCATTGCTCAGAACTACCCCCATGGTGGTGGGCCCATCACTCCAGCCTTCCCTTCATCATCATGGGCCCATCGCTGACAGCTCTCTACACAAACCGATGGGCCGACGTCCGCTGGCAGTCCAGTTCATGACAATGTCAGGGTAAATGGGAGTTCAGTTCAGGTAACATGACTGAAAGGTGTGACGAGGCTGTAGTCCACGGTTATGGATATAAAAAGGTTGACAAGGGTGTCAAGCCTGTTCCAGGAATACTGGCGGACGAGTTCCGGATCATGCGGCGTGTTCCCCGTGACCCCATGCAGAACCTCCCATCACTCCCCTTCCACCCACCAGACTTCATCGGCAGATCATGTTATATGGAGGAACGATGGCGGGACCTTAACATCAACAGCGACGGGTTTCTCTGGGAGGAGGAGGTGAAGCTGTTCGATCACATCCTCTATCTCCATAAGCAAGCGTTCACCTGGGATGAGTCCAAAAAAGGGAAATTTAGCGATGAATATTTCGAACCGATCCGAATTCCCTATCAGCAGCATGTCCCTTGGGCATTGTGCAACATTCCTATTCCACTGGGAATCCGCGAGCAAGTTATTCAAGTCATTCACGATAAAATCGCATCAGGTGTATACGAGCCATCGAACTCATCCTACCGATCACGCTGGTTCTGCGTCCTGAAGAAGGATGAGAAGTCGCTATGTTTGGTACATGATCTCCAGCCACTAAATGCCGTTGTGATTTGAGATTTGGCAGCACTGCCACAGATTGAGGATATAGTGGAGGCGTTCGGTGAATGCTCTTGCTATGCGAGCTTCGACCTGTTCGTCGTGTTCGACCAAAGGACTCTTCACCCGGACTCCCGTGACCTAACGACCTTCCAGAGCCCGCTCGGAGCACTCCGCCTGACCACCATTCCAATGGGGTATACCAACTCAGTCCAGATCATGCATGGCGACGTGACCTTCATTTTACAAGATGAGATACCACATGTCACGATTCCCTACATCGACGACATCCCTGTAAAGAATGGGACAATGCGATACGAGATGTCTGACGGAGGATACGAAGTCATCCCCCAGAACTCCGGAATACATCGCTTCATCTGGGAGCATGCAGAGAACGTCAACCACGTGATTCATCGTCTGGAGATGGCTGGTGCGACGCTGTCGGGAAAGAAATGTATCATTTGCGGACCGAAACTTGAATACCTTGGCGGGTTGTACAACTATGAAGGTCGGTGGCCTCTGCCATCTCATATACAGAAGATTGTCAACTGGCTGGCATGCACAACTGTCACAGAGGTTTGCAGATTTCTTGGGACCTGCGGTCTCATTCGGGTCTTCATCAAAGATTATGCGAAGATGGCATGACCTCTGACTACCCTGACGCGTAAGGAGACAGAGTTCAGTTAGGGCGACAAGGAGGACGCAGCCATGGCACAGATAAAACAGACTGTACAGTCCTGTGGGGCATTGGTTCCCATTGATTATGCATCATTGCGCATCGTTATCCTCGCGGTCAACTCATCAAACATTGCTGTCAGTTTTGTCCTTTTCCAACTTGGCGAAGATGGGAAGCGATGCCCAAACCGATTCGGATCCATCACTTGGAACGAGCGCAAGTCGCGATACTCACAAGCGAAGGTCAAATTGTATGGTCTCTTTCGCGCTCTCCGCGCGGTTCAGATCTACGTCATTGGGGTCGCAAACCTGGTCATAGAAGTCGACGCGAAATACATCAAAGGAATGCTAAATAACCCCGACATCCAACCCAATGCTACAATCAATTGTTGGATTGCTGGTATTCTACTATTTGACTTCTGCCTCGTACACGTACCAGGTTCACGCCACACTGGGGCTAACAGTTTATCATGTCGCCCCTGTGCAAATGAAGACCCCGAGGAGGATGATGACTTCGAGCAATAGTTAGACAAAGCTAACGCCTTCACTATTGATGCCGCAAATTCTGGGATAATGTGTGAAGGGTGGTGTGCCTGTGCTCCGGGGACTGTCTTGACTGGCTTGAGTGCTAGGACACCAGATGTCGCAGTCTACACCTCGGCCCCAGAAGACGTCGAGATTCTGCGAACGACAAAGGCCATGGCTAGGAATGCATGCGTTCTCAAAGTCCACGATTTCCTACGTGATCCCGAGGTTGCTATGAGTGTGCCAATAAAGGAACACCATCAATTCCTCAGGTATGCATCGGACTTCTTCCTCAGGGATGGGAATCTCTGGCAAAAGGACCTGAGCGGCAGGCACAAACTATTTGTCGATGAGGGAAGATGCTACATGCTTATCCGACAGGCGCATGATGACCTCGGCCACAAGGGAATTTTCACAGTGCGGACACGCTTGCTGGAACACTTTTGGTGGCCACTCTTAGACCAGGATGTACGATGGTACGTGGGCACATGTCATGAATGCCAGGTCCGCCAGATGATGAAGGTGCACATTCCACCAATGGTTGTGCTTCCTTCCGCACTCTTTCACAAGGTGCACATGGACACGATGCTCATGCCGCGGGCAGGAGGGTACCGATATATCGTACAAGCACACTGCTCACTTACATCATATCCTGAATGGCAAATGCTCTGACAGGAAAATGGGCGGACCCTTGGTGCATTCATCTTTGAAGAAATCCTTTGTCGCTGGGGGCAGTCACGGAAATTGTCACCGATAACGGCTCCGCTTTTGTTCAGGCATTAGACTATTTGGCTCAGCAATACAAGATTCATCATATCCGAATTTCCCCATACAATTCCCAGGCAAATGGGCTTGTGGAATGCCGACATCTGGATGTGCGAGAGGCTGCAATGAAAACGTGTCTGGGAGATGAGCAGAAGTGGCCTACAGTCATGCCCGCAGTTTTCTGGGCAGAGCGCATCGCAATTCAGCGATCTACAGGATACTCCCCATATTACATGGTGCATGGAACCGAGCCTCTGTTCCCCTTTGACATCGCGGAAGCAACTTACCTGGTTCCATATGAGGGTGTACAGATGACTCGGATTGAACTTTTAGCACACCGGGCGCGTCAGCTCCAAAAATGGGAAGAGGACCTGGTGGAGGTATGGGAGCGTGTCATCAGAGCGAGATACAAGTCCATGGAGCAGTTCGCACAAGAGTTTCATGGGACCATTAGGTCCTATGACTTCAAGCCGGGCGATATTGTGCTGGTTCGAAACTCCCGAATTAACATGGAGCTCAATCGTAAAACAAAGCCACGTTACTTGGGACCCATGGTAGTCATTCGACGAACTGAGGGAGGATCGTATATCCTCGCAGAACCGGATGGTGTGGTGTCTCAGCTATGGTTTGCAGTGTTCCGTGTCATACCTTACAAGTACCGAACTCATGCCGATCTCCACTTCACCCCGTTGTCCGACGTGGATGAGACGGACAGCGCTGCAGGATCGGATAATGAGCCTTGACATCAGCATGTATCCATTCCAGTTTATTTCCTCAAGAATTTTACTCCTTGTTTTTAATTGATTATGAGATTCCTTGAGAACGCTCCATTTTGATCCAGTGAATATTGTACAAGTTATAACCACAGAAGCGAGTTTCGTGGAACACAACAAAGATATCGTACACTACTGTGACAAGTCGGCCGATGCATTTCCGAGGCCTCGCATTCCCTTCACCTCGCAGCCCCTAATCCTCCTCGTCGAAATTGAGCCCTTCGTCCCCACCGCTACGCGAATCCATACTGGGGTCGAAGGCACCTGTGGAGATGCTATGGACGACCTCGTCTTCCTCCTCGGAGGGGAACTCTGCATCTGAACCCTCCAGCCCGCTGACATGTTCCTCCAACTCGGCCAAACTCTGGCTCAGCTCGTGCTGCTTAGATGGGATCGCATTGACGCGAGTGGCATACACCCCGAACCGGGTGGCGAATGCGGCGGGATCACCCCTGAGGGCACCCATGATGGCATCCAGCTGGGAGCGCATAACATGCTGGCTGTCCTCAAGCACACGCATGCACTGCCAGCTGCAACGGAGTGCCACTTTCAGCATCGCGATCTGCTCGCCCGGTTGCATGGACCGGAAGCTCGCGAGGAGAATGTCGGCAAAGTGAGAGTGAAAAGCCGGAGGGCGGGGCAGATCGTCAAGAGATATGGCCGGGAGCATCGGACTGCCATAACTACCTTGGGACCCACTGCACTCAATTGGGGATGGCGCGATGTGAAGAGACCGCGCGGAAGCCTGTCGACTAAGGGAATGATCGGACGGGTGCCTGGGAAGTGCAGCCATGACACGAGGAGAGGGGCGGGCATACGGCTCGTCCATCAAATCTGTGGTGACGGCTTGGGAGCACGAGGGCACACTCATCTGAAGTGGTGGAGGAGGCATGGCCGATGCCGCGGCGCGGATTGTCGGCGGGTCATCAATCACCATGGGATCCAGCTGCGGGGAGGCAGCGTGACACTTCACCGGATGCTCATCTCCCGCGATCGATCCGATCGGTAGTGAAAATGGTTGGCGACTCTGCAAGGATGGCCCACCAGCGATCGTAGCGACGTCGGGCATGTACTGAACACCAGATGCGTGATCGATCGGACGAGCACTGCCCATCTCGAGGTTCAATGTAGGCGGTATGGTGTGCGGAGTGGACCCCATAAAGGCAGGTTGAGGAATGGGCGACACAATTGTGGGCTTACTGTGCACGCCTGAAGTCGGAACCTTGGCACCAGACGGGAGGGGCAGTCGCGGGCAGTTCTTCGCCTTCCCCTCTTTCTTCGAGGTTGATGAGGCCGGAGCAGGTGCCATGAGGGAGTCATACGCTGCCAATGCGTCCCGGATATCGGCGCGTCCATCCAGAGTGAGGGGGACTTCTGATCCCTTAGTGAGTAAATAAGCATGCATAGCCCTCGCACACTCCTGGCATTTCGGAAGAGGACCACGGTCAGTCCTGGATGGTCAATAGCAATAGCGCGCGATGCACGATACGATCTTTTAGCCCCTCTGCCCATCCGCGATCCCACGTGCATGGGACCTTCATCTCAGTCACCAGGCCAAAAATGAAGACTGCATAGTCCTTCAGTTGGAGGTCAGGATATTCCGACGACATGATGTGAAGGGAGGAGAGTGTGAGATATGGCTAAAGGGATGAAAATAAACACGATGCGCAGAAGTTCCCAGGAGGCCGGAAGCTATATGGGCACACGCATGCACCCCGAAGTGCGTGCTCGCACCCTGCACGTGCCGTTGGGAGGAAACTCACAATTCCAGGGAATGTGGAGTGGCAACAATATAACTACAGCTCGATCGCGGGGCGTAATACTAATACAGTGAAAGACCATAAAGGAAACGATTCCGCTCAGACCTCCGCGTCCCCGTCATCATCTTCAGCTTCACCCCCGGGCACGCTATCCACATCGGAGTCGTGTTCCTCCACACCCAAAGTCAGGATCATCACTCCAGCCTGACGCAGTGCATTCACGACAGTGATAACATCCACGGCGACCCAACCCTGCCTTTCTCGGATGAAATAGAGTGCAGTCTTGAAGCCGTTGACATGAACGATGAGGTCGTCAGCACCACCAGCAGGGGCAGGAGTGCCACGAAGCTTGTTGAGGAGAGCAGTCGCCTTGTTGTTGTCGTGTTTGAGTCAGTCCTGTTTTTCTTCCAGGCTTGTGATACGAGCCTCCAGGTCCTGCATGAGCCCTTTCTGCGACTCACGAGCAAGCGCATCATGGTGATGGCGAGGCATAGGGGGCACGTCGACATAAGGGCCGCGGCTGATGACGGGAGCTGCACCCGCAGCAGAGGACGACTCCGCGACATGACTGCGGGCACCCGAGGAGGCAGCCTTCTTTCCACGGGATCATTTCATCTGTGGCCCCGGTGATCTGCCCGTGTTTGCGGAAGTCGCTAGTTGGAAGGTAGTAGTGAGAGAGAGCAATCCGCAGGGTAGAAGTGTGGGCGCACCTTGGGATTTCGACCTCTGCTTTGCATAGGTGCACCTGCACCTCCTCGCCTGGCACCTGGCACAAGCGCCTCTCTCGAAGGTGCCGAAGATGCAATCTACCTCGGCTTCCTGGCATGCCTCGCATCCGGGATTGTGAATCAATGCAGGCTGGGCTGCGCGACGTTCGAGTGCAGTGAAGAAGTCCTGGCCCAGTGCCAGCCGGGTCATCGCAGCATCAACCTCCTCTTGGGATGGGTCCGGAAGATGCAGACTGGCGAATGATTGCAAGCGCGCATACAAGACGACATCGACGAAGGTCGCGTGTATCTCGTTGACCTCCCTCGGATGAAAATCCGACTCCCCGAAGGTGGTGAGGACCTGGAAGCGATCCTCCAGAATTCTCTGAGGGACAAGAGGGGTCAAAAGCAGATAGCGAGGATACTGAGACACTCACCACTAGGCGGGACAGCTCACTGATCCACGCCTTCTGCACCTCATCTTCTCCGGACCCATCGGCCTTTGCAAGATGACGATTCACATCTGCTATGGTGTCGTGCACATTGTATTTAGAAATAATGCAGGCATCGGAGGGTTGAGCCATCTCAGCGCGGATCGTCCAGGGTTGTAGGCCGGGGTACAAGGTGCCCTGCGTGCAAGGGAACCACACATGAGACTACAGGTGCTACTTGCATGCATCTCTTCACGCCGCATGCCTGGGCACCTGTGCCAGTCTCACAGGGCACGTGATGAAGGGCCGGTCTCGTGAGGCACCCGACTAGTAATACTTGCAGGGTGCCAACCGAGAGGATCTCATTTAGCGCTGAACTGAGACAATCTCGCGGGTGCAATCTGGTGTCGTGTGGTACCCGCAGCTCATTCTTGTATGGGGGGCCCAGGTACCCTGACCGAGGGTGGTCAGTATTTGAAGTGTTGAAAAGATGAAGGGACGCATAGCGCGCTGAGGTGGGAATCCTATCTGCGAAGAGGTCTCACATTTCAGAGATACCACAGGGTGCTACACAACAGACCCTAGTCCAACAGCAATTAGAAGCTGGTTATCGGACGAGGGAACACTACGAGCCCGAATGCTATTTCTAACTCCTCAACTATGATCCGCAACTGCCTCAAAGTACCATCTGCCAACTCGCATCTACCGGTGATCCCGCGCATGACATCGTACAGTTCACGGGCCGCATTGCGCAATGTCTCAACCCGAAGGTGCAAGGTTCCTGATGGCAATATAGCAAAACTAAGGAATGCGATCTCAGGGAAATGGGGACAGGACGACTGCACATCAATGTCAGGGAGACCATCCAGTGGGTGACCCAAACTGAAGTCCTCGCAGACAGCGGGGTCATCATACAGAACGCGCGCAGTCAAACCACGAGGAATGACAGCAGGAAGGTGGTCAGCAATCCGAGGGACCATCCAACGGCTGGCTTCCACAGTGCGAGCTGTCGCAAGATGTATTTCCACTTGGGCAAGGACAGGAATATTGCGCGGAAGGGGTAGGATGATCCCCACACTGGCCGCTTCAGACTGGACTTGGACCATGAAGACCTGAGGGACGTGTGAGGATCAGACAGCAAAGGAACATATGCTCGCAGGGAGCTTCACCAGCAGGACATGCATTCGGACCGCCCATGCTTTTCACAGGATCAGTGTATTTGTGAAGGATGACGCTGGCATCCATGGATGGGAGATTGAGTTCAGGATGGGAGATATGCCTCCGAGGCGGGCGGGTGTTTATCAGGCGCTCGGGTGGGCCCGATGATGGACGACCTCTCAGATTGAGTAGGAGCGTGAGGGGACAGGATTGCGAGCTATGGTGTGATGGGCAGTGATTCAGCGGAGTAATTGTTAAGCAGATGCGGGCAGTATCAGGAGGGCAGGAAAAGGTCAGGACCAGTTTAAGTATGATGGCGGGGGAAGAGGTGGGGGTAGAACCCACTGTCCCGGAAGGTACGCTTGCAAAAGCCTCATTCACATTCCCATCCCATCCAGTTAGTGCATCTTTGGGCAGTCTTGCGTTTGTGCGTTTTCTGGGCAGTCTTGCGTTTTCTGCATTTCAGCGTTCTCCTTAGAGCAGTGCAATTTTATCCTGACATGTTTCCAGCGATTATTGCGACTACAGAGATTTTCCTAGCTACGCCTTCGGGCCACCCACCTCATACCTCTGGAATAGACTCTTCTCCTTCATTGCATCTCAGACCCCATGTGGACTTGATTCCGCTCGTACTCCTCCAATCCGGCTTGCGACGAAACAACAATCTCGTCACCAGATGATGAAAGTTGAGTCTGAGTCAATTATGACTTGGATTTCTCGTGTCCACACTGCTGCACTCGAGCTCAGTCGCACCCCCTATCCCACCACTGAACTCGACATCATTATGGTCATCAGCAATGGCCTTCCTGACGAATATCAGCCCGTTGTCAATGCTCTCGACAGTCTTTCATTTGAGGAGCTCAAGCTCTTCGCTGTCACCATGCGGATCACCAGTCTCGAAGCACAACTTGCTCGTTCCAAGGAGAAGGCTTCAAAGGTCACTGTTGCCTACTATGCTGCACAGTCCAGGAGAGATGGAGATGGATCGCGAGGTGGAGGAAAGCAGGGACCTGGTCGACAGGAGGTCTCATGCTACAATTGTGGAGGTCGTAGACATTATTCAGATGAGTGTCCTTCCCCGTCTCAAGGTTCTGGTCATTCCTCTGGTCATGGTTCAAGTTGTGCTCATGCTCACATTGCTACAGTGGATTCGGAGAATGGGAAGGATGAGGCTGCGATGTCAGCGAGGGTTTGGGATGACTCAGAGGAGGTTTTGTGTTTGTTTTGATTTTACTTCCTTACCCTCGATGGGTGCTCACCTTGTGGGAGAGTGTTGAAGGTGGGCAAGCTGGCGCCCATCTCAGAGGTTGCCGGCAGAGTTTTTCATAGTAGATTTTGTACGCTCGCGCTGGTCGTCGTATGTCAGGAGAGAATTTTATCGTCACCACTGCGCCGTCTGTTGCTGCTTATGCAATACTGATGTGGTACGTGCATGAAAACGGTCATCCTTGGCAAGCGCAATAGTGGACTGATTGTTGGAACAGAGAGGCAGCGGGTGTTCCGGGTCACCAAAGAGCTTCTTGATGAAAGAGCGAAGCCGGATGGCTTCCTTGCTCGTGTGTGTCAATGCAACGTACTTGGCCTCAGTCGTCGAGAGGGTAACGAGGTTCTGGCACTTTGAAGACCATGAAACTGCGCCGCCGTTGAGCATAAAAATGTAGCCGGAGATTGCACGGTGTCCCTCCGTACTCATGCCATCAGCATCTGAGTATCCAACGATGTCGTTGTCCTCCGAGCTGCCGAGCATGAGCCAGATGTCCACGGTCCCCTTCAGATACTGGTAAATGCACTTTAATGCACTCCAGTGTGCGATGCCAGGGTTCCGTCCGAACTGAGCAAGTTGTCCAACTGCAAAAGTGATGTCAGGGCGAGTAGCGATAGAGACATACTGTAGTGCTCCTAACGCCTCGAGATATGGCTTATCTCGCATAGTGGCATATTCGGCTGTCGAAACAGGGCATTGGTCGACAAAGAGGCGGACATGGGGATCCATGGGCTGCGAGAGTGGCTTTGCATCAGAAAATCCATAGCAGGCAATGATTGAATCGATATACGCCCATTGTGAGAGCGCGATTGTGTGCTTCTCGAGGTTGCGTCTGACTTCAATTCTGAGTAGCCAGTGTAGTTCACCATTGTCCGTGATTTCAAGTTCGGACTTGATCATTACTTTGAGATGAAGCAGGTTAGCGAGTAGCAAGCAGACCAGTGTCATATCATCTATGTGAAGGAATATGATAGATATTTCACCATCGGGATGGCGCCAATAGAACACGGTGTGATCATGCTCAAGCCGAACAAGTTTGAAGCCCTCGAGAATCTTGCAGAGACGGATGTACCAGCATCGGCCAGACTGGTGGAGTCCATAGAGTGCAATGAGTAGTAATAGGATCTGGCCAGGCTTCAGGCCATCAAGCTCAATGTCAGAAGGGGGCTGCATATAGATCTTTTCATCGTCCCGCAGCTTGCCGTAGAGATACGTGCTCTTGACGTCAACCTGATGTGTGAACCATCCATTGTGGGCAGCAACAGAGAGAATGACGCAGATAGATGCAAGCTTGCACACGGCGGCATAGGTATCATCAGAAAAATAGTTGACACCTTTGACTTGTGTGAAACCTTGAGCCACTAAGCGTGCACGATAGCCTGTAACTTCACCACGAGCATTTCGCTTCATGTGAAATACCCATTTCGAGCTGACGACATTTTGGCCCGACAATCGTGACGGCGGGTCCATGTACACCCATGCTTTTCTCGACTCCAGCCTTCTGATCTCATCGTGCATGGCTTCTTGCCATTCAGGCCAATCCGGGCGACGTTTGGCCTCTGTGATGGTACGTGGATCAAATCCTAAGGAGTCGGATGCAGCGACACCAACCAAATATGCAAGGACTTCACATTCATCGTTCTCATCGATTGTGATTTCGGTGAGTGCACTCTCAGCTCATCCAGATGCAATGTCACGCAGTTTTGCGCTCAGTGTGCGCTTGCACTTACTTGTGACAATGTTGGGATGTTCGGGCTCGCGAATCTCACCAGGCTCAAGCATCGGTGAGCATTCGGATTCAGGGACATATCGCGGATGCTTAGGAGGAGGCAGAGTGGCATCGGAAATATTCGAGGTAGGTCCTATGTCAAAATCATGCTCCCCTTCGACGTGCGGAGACTCCGAGCTGAAAACAATGTTTCGTTCCACAGAGATCTTCCGTTCTTTCAGCCAGTAAATGCGGTGTCCATTCGACATTCTGTCGAGGCCTATCCAGCATACCTCATGTCCTCGTGCATCAAACTTTGAATCTGTTGCTACAGTGACAAATACGGTACTTCCCCATTCGTGCAAATTTGAGATGTCCGGTGTGTGGCCATAGTGCACCTCAAACGGTGATTGACCCTGAAGTGCGCAGCGCGCAGTCCGGTTGTACACATAGACAACATATGCCAGAGCCTCACCCCAAAGCCATTTTGGAAGACCAGAGCAGGCAAGTGCAGCTCGTATGCCATTGAAAACTGTGAGGTGTGTGCGTTCAGCTACGCCATTGTGCTCAGGTGTGTCGTGCACTGTCAGCTTCCGAATAGTCCCTGCACGCTCAAGATGGGAGTCCATAACTGCAGAGAGAAACTCTCCACCATGATCTGACTGCACGATTTTCACGTGTACACCATCCTGTGTCTGCAGATGTGCCTCGATGCTAACATACTTCCCGAAGGCCTCAAATTTTACTCGCATAAGTGGCATTTCAAGCCATCGGGTCACATCGTCAACAATTGTCAAGACGTACTTGCATCGGTCGATTATGAAGACTGTTGCAGGCCCCCAAATATCCATGTGGAGATGCTCGCCAAATTTTTCTGTGAGCGGGGATCGGCGCACCGATGCTATGGGTGCACAGTGGGCCTTCGCTATGAGGCAGGTCTTGCACTTGACTGTCTTGCTATTGTGTGGGTCAAGTGCGATGCCGGTGAGATGGTTCTGTTGTAGCATATCTTTGATGTAACCGTAGTTAATGTGGCCAAGCCTCTTGTGAATTTTGAAAAGTGAGAGCTGGACTGGTGCAGTGGCAAGTGAAGCGAGAGACGAATCATAGAAGATCTGATATAGATTGTCGTTGTGTGGGACTGACACAATGACATCATTTTGCCTATTGATAATAGTCAGCTCGCCTTCATGGCCAAGCCACGAAAATCCTGCTGCCTCGATGAGACCCAAAGAAATTAGGGTTGCATGCATAGCAGGTGCGTGCAGGACACTCTTGAGCCGGATGTGTTTGCCGCTGTTCTCAGCAGGTAGGTGCATCAACAAGTCACCTATTCCATGTGAGTAGAAGATTTCTGAGTTCGCAGCATGAATCCAGTGTGGCATGGTGGTGTGGAAATTTGAGAGGCGATCCAAGTGCAGTGTCATATGTCGCGAGGCTCCCGAGTCGAAAATATCAATGCGGTGTCCAGTTTCAAGAACACTGCCAAAAGCTTGGTGCGCGTCCGAAATTCGGATCTCCTCCTGCACAGCAAAGTCCGAGCAGTCAATAACAATTTCCTCTTCGCACAGAGGTGAGAATGATGTGCAGGCACTCCAGGCCTCTTCAATGTGCACAGACGGCACAGGGGCTGTCACAGCCACTGATGTAGATGACTCCTTCATGGCGCCATCCTTGGGCTTGGCATCTGCCTTTGTCTTCCCATCGGTCACGTTCACACTAGTGGATGCAGCCTCGGACTTCTTGGGTCTCTGGTAGAACTGCTTCTTTGATGGGCATTCCGGAGCACGGTGCCCTTTGCCTCCACACTTGAAGCATGTCAGGTCATTCTCAGACCTAGGTGCACTATTTTTGCTCGAGTTTCCACCACGGCCTCGATTACCATGGTGTCCATGTCCATGTCCTCATCCTCCACCACGTCCACTCATAACAGCAGCACCAGCAGTGGTGCTTTTGTCAGTGGACTTCAGCACTGCACGTGAGTCTGCTTCCGTGCGGAGGGCCTTGATTATTTCCATGGATTTGACAACACGAGCAGTTGCACCTGCCGCTAGTGTTGAGTTATAGATGTCGACAGCAGTAGCAATAGCAGTGACGGTGGGAGCAAAGGAACGTGGAATGGATGTTGTAATGGCATTGATGTATGTCCTATCCTCGATCTGGACATTCATCTCGGATAGCTTGTCCTTGAGCTCGGCAAGTTGGTCCAAATGCTGACGGACCTTGCACTCATCTGTACAGTGAAGCGAGAAAAGCTTCGCCTCTGTCCACGCCTCAGAGGCAGCCGTGGATGTTTCAAACTCAACCTTCAGGCCAGACATCACGGAATGCACCTCTATGAAGTTGAGGTATTTCTTGAAGAGTGAGTCCGGAAATTTTGCCGTGATAGTATTGAGCATCTGTTTGTTCAGCTTCAGCTCCGCGGCCAAGGCAGGGTCTGCCGCACCCTTGAGTAGATGTTCTGCTTTGCAAGCACCCGCAGCGCGTTCAACGCGACCGAGCCATATGCGGTATTTCGAGCCGTCGGACGCGAGTTTCAGGACCTCCGAAAATTCCTTCGCGACAGTTGTGGACATGACTGGCAATGGAATTGAGCTCTGAGTGACCGGAGTGAAAGATACAGATGTGAAGATGTCGGGTTCAATCCGAGCAAGGTGAGCAAGTGGTGAATCAGAATGATAGAGAGGGAGATCTGTAAGATCCGAGACTTCGTAACCTTGTTGAAGTCGAAGTGTTCGTGATGCAAATGAGTACGTGCAACACATGAGGGTAACGGTCTGTCGATAGTGGGGAAAATATTTCATAAAATTCCAATGTGCATGCAAAAATAAAGAGACTTCTCAGCCGCTAAGGCCGGGGCTCATAACCTGTGAACGTATAGAATACGATGGGGAAAACGGGCAAAGCCGTTGGAGTGCAGTGGTACGGTTGAGTGGCTGATGAGACCGGAGAGCGGAGCTGCAGTGACACGCGGGTCAGCGGAATGCTCCAGGTGTAAGCTCTGTAATTCATACCTGCAGTGACACGCGGGTCACTGCACAGCTAGTAAGTAGCTATAGTATACAGTTAGGATGAGAATACGTACGCAGAATGCTCCAGGTGTAAGCTCTGGAGCATTCCCTACTCAATATACTGGTTAAGTAAGATAAAACTGTCTTGTCTCATAATCGTGAGACAAGACATTCAATGAGAAACAAGAACACAATAAAAGAATGAAATAGACCATGCACGTATTGTAAATGCGCCGTACAAGATCTCAATCTCAGATCGCGACACCCTGTACAGCTCTACTGCACCCAATGCTACTCTGCACGATTCTGCACCCAGCACCGCCGTCCCACACCCAGCACTGCCATCCCGCACAGAGCATTGCCACCCTGCATGTAGCATCGCCATCTCGCACATAGCATCGCCATCCCACATGTAGTGTTGCCGTCCCACACGTAGTGTTGCCGCCCAGTAACCCAGCACCGCCGGCCCATATCCTTACCCTCTGACGCATCGCCCATGGCCAGCGCCCTTGCCCTCCACATTGGCATGGGCAGCCAGCATGTTCGTAATCCATTCCCACTGCTCATGTTCACTGCACCGTGTCCAGGATTGCATTTGGCCATCATCACCGCACCAGCCATGTTCTTGTATTTTCTGCGGGGTGGTGTAGTTAGAACAAACATGTATATAAATTAGTCTTACCTTCGATGTATCAGCCCCTGGGCTCTCATGAGTGCATGAGAGATCTTGTCTCGTGTTGACTGTGCTGCAGAAGTTAGAGTAAGAGTGATCATGATTATTGGCGAGTGCAACGTACATAGGACCGGTGATCTTAGCATTCGAGTGATCCATTGGCACTGTGCATTTCACTCTCGCACTGAGAATGGGGGGTAGCGCGGCAGACCTGCTGCCTGCTGGATGGGACACATATGTCTGGTATGTTCATTCAATACTTCGCGCGCACCAGCCGGTATGCACAATGTGCATGCATTCCCGGTACGTCCTCTTTCAACACCCATGTCATCTCTGCTTCAACCTCTGCTGTGAGCCATCTGCCAGCTTATGGATAGAGCGAGTGTGTACTTGTCGCCATGCCCAAGGGTCATCGTCCGTTGTCGTGTTCACAAAGCTCCTCAGCCTATAAGCATAAGGCCTTCAGGCCTTGCTGAGCTACCTGTCTGCATCCTCTGCGGTGACAGGTCTCGAGAATTGGCTCACAACATTTGTGTGACATTAATGCTAGAAGTACTTGCCCACAGGCGCAGATGGAGGTGTCGAGGAGAGTGACGTGGCGAAGAGACGGTGCAAAAGGACTCCAAAGTACCAATGATGTCATTGTCAAACGATTTTCACATCCATGCCATGTGACCTCACAATAGAGGATGGTGTTGTTAGCATACGTTGAGCAGTGTGATGCAAGCTGTATGACAATGTGATATGTAAGCTATGCAAGGTGGAACTATTGCACAGTGTTTGACATGTCTAATTGTAAGGTCAAATGTACACTCAACATAGCTCGATCTCACCCGATGAAAAAGTACTATCCCTCTCTCGCTCGACGTGGCTCGATCTGGCCCGAGGGGGTTTTGACTGGGCAGTATCAACCAAGCAGGACCCCTGACAAAAGATGCCTGATCCAGAGAGGCCAAAATGTCTGTTAGGAAAGTGCCATTTCGGACCCAAAACATCCGCAAAAAACCAGGCATCACCACCAACTTTTCGGACCATGTCCGCATTTTACCTCAGGCATGGCGTCGCGCACAGCCCCAAAAAAGGGGGTTTTGACCGTTTTTAGAGCAGCGGCTTCCCCGCCTCCTCCGCCCTGCCTCGCCAGTATTTAACGGTCAACCCCTTGATTTGTCCGTGAAAAACCATGCATGAGGCTCTCAAAAGTCCAAATTTTGTCTGAAATCGGCTCAGGGATCCTCCCCAATTGTCAGGGGTCTTTCCATGGTGCACCCAATGACTTGCTCTCCGTGGGTGGAAACAGAAATAACAGGACCCTCCGTAATTCGCTTAGAGCTCCAATCCCACCAGAGGCCATTTTCGGGGGTCAGGACACGGTCATTTTCGGGGGTTTCGCACCCTTGCAAGGTCCCGGCCGGTTTCAGGAAAATTGGGATTGAACATCTACGATGAGAAATGGGCTTCTGCTGGGTTCAAAACGAATTTTCACCGGAAAATCCTTCCACGTTGAAGGTCTCCAGGAAAATTTCTTTCAGGAACCATTTTCCGGGGGTTTCGCACTGAACCTCGGGCCAAAGGGGACAATTCGGGAATTTCTGGACACAAGTTGTACCGATTTTTCGACCATTTTCGGGGGTCCAAGATCGGAGGTCCGGCCTGCGGCAGGCCCAATTTCGGGGATTCAGGCATCGGGGCTCGTCGGGGATTGCGGGGGGTCCTGAAATAACTGGATTTAGGTCCGGGGCACGTGTTTGCTCAGAAAAGCAATAAATAGAGAGACAACCCAGTCCTTCGAGCCGGGATCGAACCAGCGACATCAAGATCAATTGCAACCAATTACAGTCTTGCGCTCTTCCAACTGAGCTATCGAAGGCAACTTATCGGGTCCTCGACAAAAAAACTTCTATTGACTTACAACATGCTGGAACACGTGTTGCACACGAAATCTTCCAAGGGTGCGTATGAACAAGAGATAAAACATGAAGAATAAAGCTAGGAAAGCACACAGGCGGCTTTGGATCGAGGCCCAGTCTGAGAGCCTGGTGAGGGCTGAAGAGCGCAGGCAGACGGTACAATGCATAGCACCAACATCACCGCGTCGGCGTTCTTTGCGGAGACACTTTTCTTCTCGATGTCTTACATTCTAGGTGTAGAAGATGAGGAACGGGTCCCGAGGAAGGTTGTACGCCATGTACGGACCTGCGCTGTCATCTCTTGTTGCTCTCCGCGTCTTCGTTTTTGTCGTCTTATGTCTGGGTGCAGGAAACGACGATCACGGGAAAAGCGGGACAGCCCGTACGCATGAGTAAGGCCGCGTAGTGCGCCGTACACGTCCATAGCTCGTCCTTGACAATGGTGTCGTCCTCGTCCTCGTCGTCTTGCGTCTTGTGCATGTAAAAAACAACAGCGGGGATGAGAGCTACACTGGATGGTCACGAGAGAGGGGGGGGACGCGGGTCACCGTGCACGTTGGCGCACGATGCCCACATACCTTGGTTGCTGCTGACAACGGGCCACCTTTTCGTCTGCTTGTGTTTCTGTCGAAGTGGGAGCTTAACACTTGGGGGGAGGTGGACATCGGAGGGCGGCATCGCGAGGGCACCGTCCATGACGAGCTTCATACCATGTCGTTCTGAAGTACTTGGGGGGCAGAGGAGTCCTCTGCGAGGACGGAGCTTCCAGACAGCGCTCGAGAATCCTGGCCTGCCAGTGGTAAGTTACCATTGCAACAAAGCAATAAAATGGTCACCTACGGAGTCCCCCCTACTTTTGTGCAATGCGTCTCTTGAATTTTCGGTCACGTATGTTTTGGTGGCTGAATGATGCCGGCCGGAAAACGGACCTGCTCAAAATCAGTAGAGTTTCCTTGAGGATACACGTGCTCTTATTTTGGTCTGCTTAGGGTTAGGGTCTGATTGGTGTACGGTAGCTGGTGCCACGGTACTACATAATCCATGACCGGAATTCACTATATTTCAGAGGCGATCCCAAAAATATCTCGTTTCTCATTCTGTTCTATCCTGCAGAAGTCCAACTAGTACTCGATTCGTTATCTCAATCAAGTTCTCAAATCACTGAACGAGACGGATGGGAAATAATCCTTCTCGTGCAGGCACATATGGATACGACTATGACCTTGCACAGAGATACCCCCGCAGTGGAACCCTCTCGCGATCGCGCACACAACGACCCCAAGAGTTCCAGTCGACCCGGCGGCGGCACCGCTCAGAAGATTACTACCCTGAAGAGCAGGCGTACCGACCGCAACATGCACCACAGGGTTTGGTACCCGTGTTCGCTCCTCAGCCCTTTCTTCCCGGGTACGCGCAGCCCCAATACTTCCGTGCGTCCTGCCTCTGCAGTCCTCCCAATCAAGGTTGACGATGTGATGCGGCGAGCACGCAGAGCCGCCGCCGCCGCAGATGACCTTCGTGCAGCAGCCGGTTCCGGTGACGGCACCACCACCAGGGTTTGTCTACTCGCAGCCACAAGTAGCCGTGCAGCACGGCGTGCAACCTGCACTGGCGCAGCCTACGATGCGCGTCCCAGTCGTGCAAGCTGCGACCATGCAAATGCCAGAACCTGTCATCCCAGTGCAGTACCAGCAACAACAGACTGCTGCCCAGCCTCCCGTTATCCCGCAGATGCCTCCACCGCCTCCACCAGTCCAAGCACCGTCCATGCCCTCGCCGGTCACCTTTCCTGAACCTCAGATCTCCAATCCCACACCACGGCCGCACTCACGACCAACCCGACTTGCGCCAGGTCAGTATGGTCACCAAGAACACGCAACGTCGCCATACGATGATTTTTATGGTCTCTATCCCCACAACCCGATACCAGTACCGCCCAAAAATTTCTTCCTAGACTCACCGTACAGATCGATCCTGCGCAATCTGAAGGAAAGCGGGGAGGTCGTAGATCCGTTCTCCAAACTGCAGAGAACCAATTCAGTACCAATAGGGTCCTTCCGCTCGCACAGCGGCTCGGGGGGAAGCCGTCAAGGGCGGCGCAGAGGCCTGTTGGGTGTGTTTGGCTCACGTCGGCGACATGATGATGATGACGACCAGGCCCAACAGGAGAGTGCTCCCGTCGTCGGGGGTGTGCATGCTGGCATGCCTACTCTGCAAGAAATGCCAGATGGAACAAAGGCCCTTGTCTACAGCATCCCTCCACAGATGGTGCAGGTCGCCGGCGCAGCGCCTGCACCAATAGTGCCCGTGCTCACACCCATGCCAATGCCTGAGCCTGCTCATAGTGCATCGCCCAATCCTGCTGTACGCACAGGCACACCTGCACCATTGCGTCCGCACGCGCTGAAGATTGACCGCCAAAACGAGCTTTCGGGACTTTTGCACTTCTCGCCGCACGGGGTGCGTTACGAGCACAAGCGATATCCTACAGCGTTCCATCTGTTGGAGGCGTTCAAGTTCATGGAAAGCCGGCCGGACATTGCAGAGCGCATACGAAAATGCACCACCCCGAATGATGCGGCCGCGATCGCTGCAGACAAGCAACGGCACATCAGACCCGATTGGGAGCACGTCGTCCTTCAGATGGTGCGTGTCTCCGTCGCAATGCAACGTGTCAGTGTGGGTTGCTTACCCGTGATCCTGTGCTGCAGATGGACGTCGCGCTGTACCATAAGTTCGTGCAGCATCCAGATCTGCGCGCTCTTTTGATGCACACTGGTACAGCAGAGCTTGTATATTCGGAACTCAATGATCCCTTCTGGGGAGATGGATCCCTAGGTGAAGGGGCGAACGAGCTCGGCAAGGCATTAATGCGCGTGAGGGATCGGCTGCGTACAGAGGGACTGAACACTTGATCAGGATGATCCGGTCGTAGGTATTGTACTATATTGCACGCTGGTGTCGTGTTGCATTTTGGATGATCGGTGTAACAACAACAGGACGGCGAGATGCGATGGTGCACCGCGAGGCATGACTTAACCGTTGTGTTTCCCGCGCTTCCGTTTGCGTTTCACTTCCGTCTGCTCGGATGCATCGTGGTATTCTCCTGTAGCATCCGTACCTTCGTGGGGTAGAGCCTTCGCAAACGCCTTCTCGACAGCCTGTCGACGCACCTTTTCCGGCACCTTCGTCCAATACAACTCTTCTCTGGTGCCATCGACGACCTCCATGGCGATCGTCTTGTCCTTATTCATTGCGCTGGCGTCAGTGCCACTGCTGTCCAGACCCAGGCTTTGAATCTTCGGATTTATGGCGAAGAACTTTGTGAGCACTTCAGTGTGGTGGGGCGTAGTGAGACGGAGGTAGCACTGCAGACTGGATTAATACTATCGTGTGGTTTCCGGTTAGGAGACTTACCGTCTTCATGCCCTTGTTGAAGTCAACGTAATCTAACTGGTCCATGCCTGAAGAGGAACCAAGAAATGCCTGAGAAAACAGGGTGCGCAGGGTGGTCTTGTTCGTCTCTGGGTGTACGTTACGCACGAATACGAGACAGCCCTGAGGGTACGGCGCAGAGTGCATTGGACTGGCAGGCGCTTCACTGAGAGTGTTATCCGCCGTATCAAAGAATTGCGGTTGCGCATGAACCTCCACGGTTGGCTGTTCGTGGACTTCTACTTGAGCGATCTCATCGAGGAGCATCTGGCGGTAGAGTAGATATTCCTCTTTCAACCTGTCCCATTGCGTTTTTCGAAGTGTACGGAAGCCAAATTTGACTGCTTCCCCAACTTCTTGGACATGTTTTACGCCGCGTTCATCTAGTCGTCTTGGACTCCAGGGCCACTGAGAGAGAAGTAACTCTGCGCTCTCGAGATGTAGGAAAATTACGATGGCGAAGCCCTTGCACTTAGGCTGATCGCCAGGTTTGTCTTGGCGGTGCGGCGGAAGCAGGATACTCTGTACGGGCTGTGCTGTCCCTGAATACGACGAGGAGGCTGCTAGCAACGACTCGGTGAACCTGTAGATCCCGGCAATGCTTCGGTGTTGAAATGGAATGTTCTCCTACAAGATAGGCACAGTTATCGTTCCATCACGAGAAGCACTGCAGTTGAACATACCATGTAAATCGTTCTAGACTCCCATTCATGCCTGGCATAATTGCGAGCCACTTGCAGAACTGTCCGCCACGTTTTCCTTCTCACTTCGAACCCTCCCACATCATCTTCGGTTGTATCCTTTCCACGCCATGATGAACGCGATGGTTCTGAGACTAACATGCGAACATCTAGGTGGTCGCTAGTATGAGTGCGTATTGCTTTCGCTAACACGGCTTCAACAGGTGAAGGTGTCAAGTTCGACAAGAATGGTGAATGACGCATGAGATATCTCAACGGAATGTCTGAAAGACAATAGCAGGACCATAAACAGTTAGCTGAGGAACATAAAGAATAAAGTACTTACACCCTTCGTCACCAGAAGTTATAGTCCTCCTCAGATCAGCGTCAGCCCAAATAATATGGTCGGACAGAGACAGCATAACGAGGATGGCATAGTCGTCCTCAGATAGGCTATTGTCCTCCACTTTCTCCTTCCCTTTCCCTTTAGCTTGGGAATCTGACGCGTTTTGTATGTTTTCTTGGGTTACGGGTGTCTGTGGGATCGTCGTCGGACGGTTGGACGCTGCTGGTGCGCGCACAGTTTTCGAGGACTGCGCGATTTTCCGTGGAAGAAAAGGAAACATATGTAACTCCGTTTCTGTCGATGCACCGGGGAGCTTTGCTGATTTCAGTCGATGAAAAAGCAAACCATGCATTGGTGGCGGCACTGTGGCAAATGTCACGACGCGATCGAGATCTCGAGATCTCTCAGGCTCCAAAGTAAATGATTGGCAGCCGCCTCAGTAACGACAAAAGCCAGAAACAGGTTGCGTCTGAAACGTCCTACTACAGTATGGTCTTTCAGCATTTACAACAGTCTTTATTCCACGGAGCTAGCGGTATGTACGACATTGAGAGAGCGACTAGGCAAAACATGCCGGTACAGGTCGTGCACTGAGCAAGTAAGTGGTCTGCATGTCGCTCATGCATAAACACCTGGCTTTTAACTCCCTCAACAATTCCGGGTATGCAGGTGGAGCGTCTATAACAGATGGAGGTGTGGCCGTCGTCACAGGTACGACCCCAGCAACTTTCGGCGGGAGTGATCGCGAACTGTCGCTCTCTTGAGGGCTCGCAACTTGCTGTGACGGTCTACACCTCTGTCTTTGGAACTTTGTCTGAATGGCCAGGACGACCCGAAGGAGAACCGCTGCTGCTAACTGGCCATCAATGGTGTACGTGATCCCATCCCGCCATCGGATCAATCTGCCAAACTCAGTGGAAAAGGCACTGTACGTATATGGCACATACTACCTACGAGCGGTCATAGACTTGCAAATCTCACCTGGAGCAGTCAACAGCCTATCGTATAAGTTGCTCCAAGTTACTGCATCGTGCCTGACCTCAGCCGAACGTACGTAGTCACAAAGCGTCTTGATACCATGAGAACGGAGGCTGGGACATTGTCGCACGCACGGACGACGCTGAGAGACATGGCTTTCACGTCCATCGCTTTCCCGGCTGAGGTGTGAATCTTGATCAGTTTCGACATACCGCACGGCATCGCAGCATCAGTGCTTCTGAGAAACGACAACAGGTCATGGAGGTCGGGTATGGACTGCTGGTGACATCATGTACCGAATTGAGGAGATGGTTGTGAATTGCGTGAAATATCTGGTACAGTCAGCTACGCCAGGATCATCGAGAACATCGCCCAACGCACATCCACGAAAATTTCTATGTTATAAGGAACAGCTTGTAGAGGAGAGCATGAGGTGAATGGCTTCTGTCAATGTCCCCATCCATATAAAATCAGCTAGCCCGGTACCTGATGTCTAGTGGTCGTATTCGAATGAACCAAGTCTTCAGCCCCATCATGCGTGAGTATACGCGGGGGGTACCTCCACGACCACGGGTGCCGGCGCTAACCGCACACCAGAGTCTTCATGCTGGTGTGTTACAACAGACGTGAGTTCTGATATTACAACAGGTTGTTGCTGCGAGGGGACAGAGCCAGAGCTAGTAGAGCTCACAGACTCCGGTGAGCTCACAGACGCAGTCGCCACCATCTCTGGAGGATTGTGGGAAGTGCCTGGGAGGGGTGATTTGTGATATACGAAAGGGACCCTCGCCGGTTCCGGATCGTGGCGCCAGGACGCGAAGGGACGGACGTCCTCACCTATTTCAGTATAAGCATCGAACATTTAGCAGAAAACGGAGCAGGAAGTGCTTACCAGAACGGCGTCCCCTCCGCCGCCACAACAAAAAGAACAGCAAAAGCAGAACGACGAGTCCGACCACACCCCCGACCGACCCACCTGCTATGGCACCTATAGGTGTCTTCGATTTTGATGCCGCAGCTGAGATGCCAGTCGAAGAATGATCCGCTGCAGAACTTGTGCCTCCCGAATGACTGAACGCACTGGGCGACGAGGCGGCATATCCTGGGGTGAGCGAGGTGAGCTCAGTGGAGGAGTTATGCGACGGGGAGGATGAAGGAGAGGTGGGATGGTTGCTTGACGAGGAGGATAGGTCAGTGGAGGCACTGGCACCTGGTGAAGTTGGGCCTGAATTAGCGGACGGACTGCTGGGAAAATTTAGGGATGGTGACGAAGACGAAGACTCGGGCGGGCTGCCGGGAGGCGGGGAGGTGCCCGGTGGTGTCGGACTGGGGCTGGACGACAGTGGCGTAGTCGCGGGGGGAGGTGGGGGAGAGTCCGTCGTGGGGGTAGAGGCGGGGGCGGTCGTAGCAGCGCCCGGAAGATAAATGACGTAGTCGAGCCAGAATTCGCTCGGTGGCGTCCCGTTGAGGTTCGTGATGACCAGCGTATGTGTACCCTGCGATAACTCCGATGACTGGAAATACAAGGTATTAACCGTGTAGTATGGAGGGTCAACGATGGGTGCTTGATATGCCGAAATATAGTTGCCGTCGATTGTGTACGACGTCACCGGCCTGCCAAAGACGTCCCAAGACCCTAGGGAGCCGTATGCAGCAACTGATATACCTGAAATAGCAGACAGCTTGAGTCTACCTGTGCGCAGGCAACATGCAGAGAGAAGTGTGCACCAGTAAAAGTGAAGGTGGCAGTCATGCCGGCTTTGGTAGCTCCGTGGTAAGTATCATCGTACTGGGCACTGCTAATATTGAACGTCCAGCCAGTGGAGTACGTGATGCTCGGATCCGCATCGTCGACTTTGATAGACATACTGAGACGAGCGTGGATAGCAAGGGGTGGTTAGGTCAACGACCAGAGGTATAGCAAGCCGCGAAGGTCAATAGTACCTCCTGCCATCCGGTGGGTCAGGACACATAGTTGATATGGTCTAAGATTAATTCAATTCCCATATGAGCTGTTCGGAACGCCGCCCACATTGCATGAGAAGGAGCGCTGAATCATGGGTGCCTGAGAGTGCTAGTCCATCAATCAGTCGAAGAGAGCGCGTACCTAACCTCAGAAAAAGGCATCTCGACAAGGATGGGGCACCGAATCCTAGGGAGCCGCGTAAGACATTGGCAACTTGAAGTATGCTCGATGACCGCGAGGAAGCGACATTGTCGGGCAGCAGCAATTGGCGAAACAAAACAGAGACGAAGTGACGGCAACTTTCGGACACAGCTCAGGCTCTCAAGTGGTCCGTCGCTCACCGACTGATTCTCGCCCAGCACTGTTACCGGGACAGCGATAGCAACCAGGCTCAGCCAGGCTTTGTTTATCATAGCCATGGAAAAGGCATGGACACAGTTCAAGTCGATGCACGTCGCACGTTATATGTCTATATGAAACAATCTGCTGCAGAAGGTTTGTGTTCTCTTGTCCGTGATCGATTGGACCGCCTCGGGTGAGGCAACGAACATGAGCATATCTTTCTAGACGTTGCTATTCAGTTCACCTGGTGAGTTGCACTGCAGCTGGAACTGAATGAAGGACCGGGTGGCATGAGGACGGGAAACGAGACGGACAGCCACATCTGGCACGGTGAAGGAACTCAGTGGACGGACTCGGAGATCACCGATCTTTAGGCAATGCGAACACGTGACAAGGGCTGCACCCGAGCGCGCTTGAGGCGGAGCACGGTAACGTTCGAAACAGAGACCACCTGCAACCTCCCGACCAGTGCGTAGCGCTTTTACCTCTGAGGACGAGAAAACTGGCGATTGATCCATTTGCCTGAGGAGCCCATGTTGAGTCTGCTTGATGATAAGGAATTTCTTGCTGAAGTTTTCAACTTGAAGCCACTGCCGTTCTGACTTCCTGTGCGAGTTTCAAATTTGAGCGACGATAGAGTCTAGGAGTCGTCTAAGTGGCGAACGGAGGGCCTCTGACATCCTAAGCAGCTAAGGCTTGGAATTTTTATTCTTTGTCAAACTAATTGTTGTCATAGATGGATGTGGCATACTGCACTGCGCTGAAGTCGTCTTGGAGGAAGGCCACCGCAATAAATCTCGAGATAACCACCATATGTATATATGTCTCACTTGGCCATTCCAATAATGCTTCTTTCGGGATTAGTCTATTCAGAAATCCGGTTTACGCAGAAACCCCCCCTGCTTTTGGTAATTTCGTGATGGCTCTGAAAAAAAGTCGAAGACGCTCACCTGTCAATGTTTAGCAGCGGTCTCCTGGGTCCGCTGTCGAGCTCGGTGAGGGTGCACGCATTGGCCAGATGCTAGGGTGGGTCGGTGCACCCCATGTCGTTCATCGGGTGCCGCTCATCGTCTACCACGTCGAGTAGTGGTGTCCCATCGTTATTAAGGTGAGCTGAAAAAACTTTGTATAAGTGGGCATCATGTCGTACAGAGCCAAAGATATGGTACACACCTAAATTCGACGACCGGCCATTGCTCGTCTTCTCCAATGACGACTCCGATGCTGTCCACCCTGTGCGACACGGTGAGCAATGACGCGCGGTCGACGCCATCGTTGGCACCCATTGACATTTCTTTCATGGTATTTCCGTCTTCGCATTTTTCTCTTCAGCAGTTCCGGGGGAAGGGGGTTTATTTTCCCTCGGGGGGGGGGGGGGGGGGGGGGGGGGGGGTTTCTGAATAGACTCATCCCTTCTTTCGACGAAATACAGCGAAGCGATATATGCGCGGGTCCGACTGGCAAAAGCAATGGCCATGAGCATTGATGATTGCCATTCCACAGTCTTATAATCAAGTATGCTTCCCTTGCAAACCCGCGATACAAAAAAAGGTGCTGGAATGAGCAGGAAGACCGCGGGAGAAGGCTGCATGAGCGCTCGAGTTCTAAGCGGAGTATCGTCATTTCGAGACATACCATCTTAGCTTTAGTACCAGGATAGTATCAGGACAGAGAGCATAAGCAGCTTACGATAAAATAATGTTCATTTACTGACACTACGCCCAGAACATATAAAGGTTCCATATATGTGTTGATTCACCCGGTGAGTGGGTATGACCTCGAGATCGCCGGCATCGCTGATCCGCGGCCTTGCGTTCCGATATTTATATAGGTGTTTACGGAGTGACACTGGACTATCCGGTTCTGCGACAGACGGCTTGGCGCCTTCGGACGTCCGATCGCTTGTTTTCGGCTACTCGGGCGTGACAACTAGATATTCGACCCAGACTGGCGAATGCGTGGAACAGATGCAATGCAAATGCAAGGCAGGAGATGGAATGTCGATAGAGCCCGCTGGACGAAATCCCATTGATCCGCTATTGTTTGGGGCCAGGCAGTTCAAGGTCAGTTCAGGCATCGACTGCAGCCAGCCTGAGCTTGGACGTGGCTATCTATTGGACATCTTCTGAGCGATGACCCGAACGTGATCGAGTGACTTCTTGCCATGACAGCCTCGAGAAATATTGCTGCTGTGCCTTGCTGAGTGGTGTTAACGGTGGATCGTCTAGATTGTGTCTCGGCTCGTGTTAGGAGCTGTGAAGCTGCGTATGTCGATTTCTCTTAGTTTGGCATATGACTCGTACGACAGGATGCGACTTCAGCGCTGTGCGTGGGTGTTATCTCTATTGAGCACACCCAAAGACGTGGCCAGGCTGACAGGAAGAAGCGGAAGTTCAGGAAGCTGGGCGAGGAATGGTGCGATAAGACGCAGGCCAGGGCGGAATCACAACACCTGCCATATATGGGGCAGAGTGGTCCCGAAGCGGTAACTTCGAGTAGCTAAGGTATGTTCTGATGCCGCTGTGGTTTCCTGGCTGCGGCTGATAAACGCAGAAGACCTGGAACAAAAGACACGGGACGAGAGCCAGGGGCTGGCTGTGAAACGTGCACGTGCCTCCCCGCAACGGTGCCAGGCGTGGGTGCAGAACCGGAAGGCTGCAGCTGGATGTGATAAAAGAGACGGATGATCGTTCTCTCCCGGTCCCGCTCTGTTCGCCCCACGATCGCCATCCGTCAGTGCTTCAGTCTCTTCATCGCCGCCTGTTTCCTCTAGTCCGTCCCCCGCCGGGTCCGCAACTTCAGTCAGACGTCGCTATCTTGTGCTATAAAGTCTCGCCGCCATGGGCTGCTTTCCCTCCAAGTCGTCTTCCGAACCCCCACAAGCCTCTACAATGCCTCAGTCCAAGCTCCAGCGACTCGAGCGCCCTTCTCGTTATCCGAAGGGCCAGGGTCCCTCTTTCTACGCCGCGTATGCACGCGCTGCACGCCGCTACGGCTTCGAGGCAGGTGTATACGCCGGCTTCGCCAAGCGCAACAATGTCGTAGTGAAGGTCAGAGGCAAGGAGGACAAGTCCACCGAGCACGAAGTCCCCGCCGAGTCCATTCAGAATGGTGAGATCCGGCGCTTCTCGCACATGTTACACCACTGATGTGCGTTTATGGTTTAGAGTGAGTCCGATGCCATCTCGGAATTATGTCCGCGCACTTGTGGCGTCGCTCACCTACTTTCTCCCATTCTGACAGTACGGAGTACGTTGTCCAAGTGACCATTGGCACTCCTGGTGTTACTCTCAATCTCGACTTTGACACTGGCTCGTCGGACCTCTGGGTCTGGAGGTAACTGCATAAATCTCTTCGTGACATTATTTTACATCTCACTCCGCTGCTACGTAGTTCCGAGCTTGCGGGCGTCTCGACGAGCGGCCACAACATCTACAACCCAAAGAACTCTTCTACCGCTGTGAAGGCAGATGGAACCTGGAACATTAGCTACGGTGACGGCTCTTCCGCCTCCGGCGACGTCTACGCCGACAATGTCATCGTTGCCGGAATCACAATTTCCAAACAAGCCGTCGAGCTCGCGAGCAAACTGAGCTCCAGCTTCTTGCAGGACGGCGGGAACGACGGTCTACTCGGTCTCGCATGGCCTGCGATCAACACCGTCCAGCCTCAGTCAGTCGCAACGCCCGTCGAGAACATGATCTCCCAGAAACTGATCAATCCGGTAAGTTGCTCCATCGGCGATCAAGGAAATGTGCCATATTGAGGCATATGTCTGTAGTCGGTCTTCACTGTCAAGTTGGGCCATGGTACTGAGGAGGAGAGCTTCTACTCGTTCGGTAAGTAGATAGTTCTCTGGTCGTGCCGTTGTGCTTATGCCTCCGCAGGCTATATCGACAAGACTGTCACCTCCAGCCCGATTACTTACGCCAAGGTCGACAAGTAAGTATAGATTCACCTTATCAACACTGTTACCAATTGGTTCCCCGAAATGTAGCTCTCAGGGCTTCTGGCAGGCCGAGTCCACCTCGTGGACGCTCAATGGTGAGAAGAAGACTCGCTCGGGCAACTCGGCTATCCTCGATACTGGCACCACGCTCTGCCTCGTCGATGACAGCGTTCTCGAGGCCATCTATGGTAGGTTGTGCAGTTTGGGTGAGACTGCTCCCTCATCACCTTCGGGGCACTGTAGGCGCGATTGAGGGTGCTCAGTACAGCAACCAGCAAGGCGGTTGGATCTTCCCCACCAATGCCAAGATCCCCGAAGTGTCTTTCGCGGTCGGTGAGACACTGTACAAGGTGCGTGCAGCCAAGTTTTTTACCTTTGGCGTTTTTACTCATTAAACATGCTCGACCAGATAAATGCGGTTGACTTCGCGTTCGGTGACGCTGGCGATGGAAACACCTTCGGCGGTATCCAGAGCCGCGGTGATCTCAACTTTGATATATTCGGTGACATCTTCCTGAAGTCGGTATATGTTGTCTGTGAGTCGTCTACTGCCCAAGCTTCTCTGTAAGTATACATATACTGACGACTGTGGTGCAGTCGACCAAGGCGGGCAGAGGGTCGGACTCGCGCAAAGGGATGATTGAACATGTCCCAGCAGCGATGATCGATGGACCTCCATATATTGTAGATATCTCCTTGTTCTCTCGCATTGGAACTGTGTTGTAGCACCGCTGTTATAGTTCACGACATGTATGATCATGACATTACATTTGGAAGTGGTGAGAAGTAGAATGATGAATAGCACGTACGGCGCCAAAATACCAAGATATACACGCGCAGAAGAGCACAACCGCTCAGCGCTCAGGCCTCGGGCTCAATATCTCGAGCTTCCTCGTCTCCTCGGAGGGCTCCTCGACCTCGACACACGTCTATCCCTCGGTCTGTCTCGGTCTCTATCAATATTCCAATCTCTCCTAGGTGGTGGTGGAGAGTCCCGGCGCAGCGGGGGTGCACGGCGGTCCGCATCCCTATCCCTGTCCCTGTCCCTCGCTAAATCTGCTCCACGCCCCCCAGCACGCACAGAACGCGGGGCAGGCGGCACGGGGTTCGAATCGCCCCGCCAATGCCCGCCGCCCCTCCCTACGCCCGCGGGCGGGCCACCACCGGCTGCACCCGCGCTCCACCCAGCATCGCGCTTCCACCCATTCGTCCCCGCACCCGCGCCCGGCGCTGCCGCAGCGGCGCCGCCCTTGATCGCGAGCTCGCCGCCGGGGCCGGGCACGGTGGCGCTCTTGGGGAGGAGGACGGCGACGCAGAGGAAGTCGCCGGGGACGAAGCGGAGCTCGTCGAGCGTGCGCTCCGCGGCGGGCGGCGGGGGCTCGTCGTCCGTCTGCAGACGCGGGGCGGGCGCGGCGAGCGTGCCGGGCTCGCCGAGGATGTCGCGCGAGTAGATGAGGCCGAGGTCTTTGGTGGAGACGCGGCCGCGGGCGAGGGCGTCGAAGAAGAGCGTGCGGAAGGAGTAGCGCGCGAGCGGGTGGGTGGAGGGCAGGAGCGGGCGGAGCGTCGTGAGGACTTCGCGCAGGGTTGCGTCTTTCCTGGGGTGGGGTGGGGAGCGTAAGTCGGCTGTCGCCTGAGGGAATGGAGAAAGGCGTACCAGGTGTAGATTTGCTGCTCGTCTGCGATGGGCAGCGGGCCGTCTTCGAACTGGAGGGCGCGGTGGAACCCGCCGACTTTGATGAAGGTGCGGATGAGGAATGGCGCAGTCTACCGAGGAAAGAAAAGACGTTGAGATGCAGCGGTTGTATGAAGATATGATCAGTGAGCAGAGAAATGAAAATTGCATACCTTTTCACGGTCAAGAACAGGCCGTCCTGCAGCGGTCGTCTCCTCCATTGTCAGTGAACACTCAGAGGCAGAGAAGATCGCAGTATATGGTCAGCTTTGACGCTACCTTCGAGCGTCTACGCTCCTGCCTCATATATTACGTAATACTTCCGTTTGTAGAAGGTCTAGTGGTGGACCGAGTCCGACACGACCTCACAAACATCTTCGCGAGAACGTCGACACGAGACATAAGTACAACGACAGCGTAGAACTGGGTGATTTCAATCGAATTTGATCTCTAGGTCACACACGTCCACGATGTCTTGCCACTTCTCAATTGAACCCATTCTTTTGGGAACAAGCATTTCGCCTCCTCACCACTCTGCACGACCAACGCAGAGCGGATACACGGCGACGGGATAGACGGTGTTCCGTTCGGTAGATCCAGGGCATCTTCCAAGAACTTTAAGCCTTCCACTTCGAGGTCGTGTCTCTCCGCGACTCATTCAAGGACGGAATCCGCAGTGTTTTGATAGAAGGCAGGTAACCGAGAACGGAGCCGATATGCCAAGACATAATAGAGAAATATCGTCTTACCTGTCGGCGACGCTGTGAGTCCGACTTCATTGAAGTTCAACGTTCATGAATAATAGACGTACCTATGCCGGAATGACCAACTATAACTTCATTACCCCACGGTCTCGTCTGACAAAGCACCGTACAATCTTGCAACGCCTCGACATACTCATTGCGTACCACCACATTCTCTACATCCAGTCCTACGAGCGGGTGAGCTATGATCAACTGGCAGGTTGCAGGAATCTCTTCATCCAGGTCATGGGCAGACAAGGTACCATCCCGCTCGACGGAACGCTCAGAAGGGGCGAACATTTCTTTACCCCGCGCCTTCACCCAGAAATCATTTGCCGTTAAATTGTCTCTCGGAAACGAGGGGAGAGAACGCCTCCTGAAGCATTTTAAGTCCCAGCAATGTTAACGTACTAGGCAGTGGAAGTTTACCGAGTCATTGTCAATCCACTCGGCACAAGACCATGGCTTTAGTAGAGGTTCCGATTCCTCTTTTAAAAGAATCGGGTTTGCGTTCTTGCCAATCGATATACCAAATTTTATAGGGGCTTGCGCCTTAGACACGGATATCCTGAGGCAAAGCAGAGTGTCTACCATCCGCCTTCGGGAGACTATTGCATGCGCGTACCAATGTTTGCGGTCGTGGGCAACCGCTGCGGATGGTTATTGATAGCGATGACTCAAGACAGGTAAAATGAGGCATATTTGGTATTTCAAGGGCATAAATATCAGTTTCCGGTGTTCGCATTGTAGAGGTAATTAGTACGGGCAACACAGTCAGATACTAGAGTGTACAACATATTAAACGAGTGAAAGGAATCATAACGACGAAGGAGGCCATGTACGTAGTGAAAGAAAACGGAGGTATCTTCATGGGTGGGTATAGAAAAATAGGGTAAGTCATGTAGCGTTATACTACGTACGAGGAATCAGCAGGTGGGAAATTAAGTTAGTTATAATAGCGAGATGAAGACGAGAAAAGAAGAAAGAATAAGATTAGTTCATCAGCATCATAGTCCATTGGTGCTTGGACTTGTTCGTTCAATCGACCATGACGTGACGGCGAGTTCTGCAACACAGGCAACACAGCCGGCCGAGAAAGGCGAAGAATCCCTCTACCAAGATATGAGGCAAGAGGAAATAACAGGTCACAGTATATATGCACACCTTTAGGGGCGGAATGCGGCAGGTTTCGACGTCTGTTACCGGACGGCTTATTGGCTGTCGCCGATGGCCCGTTGAACCCTTCTATCCCATTGCTGACGATAAAAGTCAGACCAGAAGAGTTGTCTCGCACAGCGGCAGCACGCACCGCTCATGGCCAATGCTGTGCAAGTGAAGATGCGCAGTGAGTGCTCGCACGTCTTCTAGAACATAATGACAACCCGGTCGTCGACAGCGGATGTTTCTCGCGCCGACGCCAGCGCTCGCCATCTCGACCGCCTCGGAGGACTGTAAACGATGCGATCAGGTCTTACTCAAAGCGGACAAGCCTGCTACTCACGAAGCCCTCCATCACGTCCTCGTCCAGCTGACTGAAACGCACCTGGGAGGCGGTATCGGGGGAAGTGCTCAGCGCATCGACGGACAGCATGGCACTGCCGACGTAAGTGCTGGAACCCACTTCGCTCGGCTCGTACTCCCATGCCGTGTGCGTCGCGCGGTACTGCGCAGCGAAGTCTTGCGCTGGGGTCGGCCCCTCCCGTGTGCGCGGGGCCATAATCCTCAAGATGCTGCGCGGACCCAGCGGAGGGAAGAGCTCCACCACATTGTGGCCCTTGTAGGTGCTGGAGCTACTGCTCGACGACGGAATGCTTTCCAGCTCGGGGATTACCACGTCGGAGGGGAACACCATGCCCCGTCTCTTAAAGCGATGCGACATCTCCGCGATCGACAGCGGGCGACCGGAGACGGAGAGGTATCGAGGCACGCCACCTTCCAAGAAAACAGACTGCGGGGCATATCTCGGGCCGTCCATAATCTCAATGTGGCTGCGAAGCTAGGACAGTGCAGAGAGTGCGTGGAGTATGAATGCAAAACCGCAATGGGGTCCATCCGTCCATTCCAGCAGCCCTTTTAACCCTGGAGGCCATAAACGTTCCCCATTGTCCGCAGAGAGCGGGATTGGGGATCACCACCGGGCAAACAGCCTGCTTTGCGCGCACTGAGTAGCGAACTCAGCAGAGGCGCGCTAGCAGGGAATAAGTTCCCCTATTATGTCGGACAGAGACGCTGCAACATACTCCGGGCTCGCGAAGGCCTCTCCGGTGTAGCAGTTAGAAAGGCCTGAACGTCCCGATTGGACACCTTGTCGAAACGCAGCCCCTGCGTGTCCAGGGCCAGCACCGCAGAAGAGCTAGTGGGGTTTAATTATCAGAGAAGCTTAATCGATATCGCAGTGCCTCAGAACAGCTCCGAGATATTGCAGCAGAGTCCCAGAGGCTGAAAGAGTGGCGTGGAACAGGCATGGCAGCCAGTGCCGCAACCGAGGTGTTCTAAAGTATCAAGGCTGCTTCCGCAGACATCGAAAACGCCCATAGCGCTATTTAGCTCCGAGTACTTCAGAGACGACTGCCGGCCAGCGCTCAGCGCTCACGCCTCAGGGTCGAACGAGAAGTTTCGACGAACTCAAAACAATTTGGGATACACCCAGCACAGCATCGGAGCATAAGGGATGGTATCACTAGACGGCGTCGTACAACGAAAGTAGTCATTAATAAGATTCAGTAGCGCGACTGGATAGCAGTATGAAGACAGGTGCGGCTCCGACAGGGACCGCGAGCAGGCATGCATATGAAAGATGTCCGTGTTCCCAGAGATGTATCAGTGTATAGGAAGTGTGAATGAATGACGACACATGCAAAGTCCACCAACGAACCCTGCTCAATTCCGTCGGCAACACCGGAAGAGGTTGCGCTTGAAGAAGTAGAACAGGCACTACAATCGTGCGTGTCAGTCGCTGCGAAGCGTGCAAAGTCAAGCGAAGACGTACCCCTACGAACCGCGTCATCGCAAGACCGAAGGTCGAGTAAAGGATAATTGCGAAGTAAATGTTCTGTTTTGTGCGCAAATGCTCGTTGTCCAGTGTCTCATTACCGGTAGGCAAGCCGTTCAAATTCGAGATCGCGACAGACAGCCCAGCGTTGCTGAGCATCCAGCACGCAACGAGACGCGTGCGGAACGTCTTGTTCTGGTCGTCCAGCGTTGGCTTCTCAACGGCCTCCTTAATATCGAGCTTCGTCACGGCACGCGTCACGGTCTCCTTGAAGTGGGCGTCGAGATCCTCTTTGTTCCGCAACGTATCCTCAACGACTGGTGCATCAGCATCCTTTGGCTTCTTGGACGAAACCGATGGCAGAGCCTCCGCTTTGTCGCTACCCTTGGTTCCCCATGATACCTACGAAGTCCGTTTTGTTAGTCATGATTACCGGTTGAAGAGGGAAATAAAAGACATACGTCGTGAAGGTTGCAGAATGCGTACACGTTCAGCACGTTCGTGAAGCTAGGTGCAATACACAAGTATTGTGGGAAACTCGTGAACATATGCCATGGGTCGCGCTACACAAGGAGTTAGTTGTACGGAGGCATCTTAACACGGTACAGAAAGAGACATACATAGAGGAACGAGGAGGCCATGTAAATGCCTTCACAGTAATTCAGCTATCGTCTAACATGCGCGGTCAACACACGCACCATAAGTAGAAACCAGGGCAGCAACCAGAGATCCAACTGGAGGCACGAAGAACGTAGCGACAATCTGGAGTGTCGTTTTGTTCTTCAGCATCGCAGGGACCGCCTATACGATAGAGGTGAAATGAGCGCCAGTATCACATCGTCGACAACTAGACGTACCAGGAACGCCCTGATAGTCAACCAGAAGGCGCAGACCAATAGGTACACAGCCATGAAGGCGAACACCCTATCAACAAAATGAGCAACCTTATTCACATCAGAGAAGTGTCGTCATACCAGAATGTGGCTACGTATGTCACTCGTTCTCCCTTTGGTCGGTTACCAAGAGCCAGCACAAACTGTGACCACGTTAGACAGTAAACATACTCAAAGTTGAGAAACCAACCTGGAGTGCAAGGAATGCGAGGTAAATCCATTTGAAGATGTCATTGATCCAATACGTCTGATAACTTATATTGACACGGGTATAAATCACTTTCCACAACTGACTCACAACGGCCGCTGTACCAAAAGTATTGACTCCACCATCAGGAAGGAGATCGATGACGATGCTGAATGTCAGCCACATGTTGGCAAGAGCAAACCATGAGAAGAACAGGGTAAAGATGTTGTACTGCATATCCTGGGTAAGTACGAGACATTGAATCCCAAGAATACAAAGCACGCACGAAAGCTTGTACATGGAAGAAGAACATGCGGATGATACCGTGGCTTGACTTGTACATCTTGAAGAAGTTGACGAGGGAGTACTAGTGCAGAATGTGAGTACCAGTCGACCACGAAAAACGACAAAGGAGCACTTACCACTGATGCAGCGAACGAACCGTTCAACCAACGACGGCGCTGACCGATAAGCTCGGCAGCGGACTCCGGGACATCCGTCTCAGCCTTACTAGGCTTGACGTATGTCAGCGTCCACCGCTCGTTTGCCTTCGCAACAATCTCGAAACAAAGTATACGATCCTCGGCCAGGAACATGTTCTTCGTGAAGATGTTCATCCCATAGATACCCTTCGGGCCCAAGCGGTCCGCCAAAGAGTGATCACCATGGAAGTACTGCTCCATTGGGCGCCCAAGAATTGCGCGGTATCGGTATGCGGAGAATGCACCAGGCAACACGGACACATATCCAAAAGTGCTCTCTAAAGGTTTATCTATTTTCGCGGTTAGAATGACATGCACATAGAATGCACTGCATGAAACTGACCTAAGATGTTCGACATCTTGTATTCAAAGTTCTGCGCAGCGACCAAAGGATTGAGCAGTTTCTTGCCACCCTCAAGCATGGCGTGGATTTCACCACAGCAGCCTCCCAAATGAACATCGTTGTAGAAGGCTTCCCACAAGTAGTAGATAGACTTATGACCGGGCTTGGTACCTGCATCTATCAGGACACAAATTTCGGGCTAAGTGTAAAATTAGTACGGGAGTCTGTCATCTGGTGCCACGAAGACAAACCTCCAACAATCTGCCGATCGCATTGAAGAGCCAACGGTGAGAATTGATCTTCTTTTGATTTTTTGCCTTGATGACGAGAATAATCTGAACGGGCACAAGATTGTTGGGATCGTCGCCATGAGGAAGCACCAACTGCGGGGTGTGGTCTACTGACAGTTGGGTGGTATACTGAGGGTGCCTTAACCGCTGCAACCGTTATGAGCGAAACATCAGGCGCACCTCGAAAATGTGAGCCACGGTATCCTTCCCATCGACTTGCTTTTTCATCACACCATCTTGGTATACACCGACTGTGGCAAGAATATCTAGAACTGTCTTATCCATGGGTTCCAGACCATCAATTATGAGTGCGACAGTGATCTTCTGCCAACCAGGCACACCCTCCTCCGCCGTGCGGCGCCAGTACTTCGACTGCTTAGTCTTGCAGATATCGCGGATGTTCAACATGACACCATGGAGAGTACGAGCGTACAGGATCTTGTCCTCGTTGTACGAGGTGACGGCAATGAGCAGTTCCGTCTGGCGGTTGTATATCTTCGTGCGGAGAGAGTAACCATTAGCTTCCGTGAAGTCATCCGGGTCACATGTGGCCGCAGTGTATCGCATGTGCCTGTGAAGCATGTCAATGTTAAACTGCGGGAACAGGCATCGATCTAACTGACGAGAACTCCGTCGTATTGGTGTTCACCCACTTGGCCTCAATGGCACTATACACGGGTGTCGGAACGGCGTACTCGGTGATGAAGTTACCCTTGGTGAGCTTAACCTTGCGCGTTACGCCGCGCTTGATCGTCTGCCGCCGTCTCCATGCGGAATCAACTCCAGAAGAGGAGGTGGACACGGTCGACAACGGGCGCTCATACGGATCTCCATACGCGCTGGGATCTATGGGGCTGCAGGCAGACGGCAGGTTAGGACCGCGTGTAGCGTAGCGCCTGGCAACGACTCACCTAGGCGGGTAAAAGCCCTGGTTGGCGGTGAGTGGGAGCTTCTCTATGTCGTCTTCATCGTAGTTACTCCCTCCCATGCCACCGAACTCCTGCGGCAGCGACACGGTGCTCTCATAGGGACGTGGGGGCTCCAGGAAGTTGACGTGGTGGTCAGCAAATGGGTCGGCCTGGTCAGAGAGCGAAGTTTGGGAAGAAAAGGAAGGGAGCGGGGGACGGTTGCCCTCAGCCATGGTGCTGTTCGTCAAGGTCCAGAAAAAAACAAAAAAACAGGCCTGAGGAGCGGGTGTGGAGAGCGTGGTGGTGAGTAGAAAGAGTGACCGCAGTTCGTTGGCAAGTTATTGAAGGAAGCCCTCTTAAGCAGCACCCCCGGCCACCCCAACACAGCTGTAGCGATCCTCACCCTGTTTAGGAAAGTATAGCGCTCGCGACTTTCCATCACGATTCTACATTTCCCTTGCGGCGCAGCGCTCAATATTATGCATATCGCTTCGACCTCGCCCCTCAGATATGCACCGTCGCAACGTCAAGGAACACATTTTCTGTTTGACAAGACCTCTGCCGCGCCTGGTTGCACGTGGCTGTAGCCCTTGGTGCGGAAGTACAGTGCATTAACTTGAGCAGTTTGCAGCAGTGGCACTAATAAAGAACCGCGGAAAATTCATTGATGCTCTTTGAAAAACTATCTCAACAGGGATCCCGGTACGTCCGCGTGCTTGAGTTTGAGGATATCGATCTTGAGGCTGAGCAGGATATTAGGCACACCCTGTGGGTGCTGGAGGGGCATGCCAGCCGAGGGGTTGCTTGACCTTGGCTTGAACCGCCTTAGGGTGGTATAAACCATCCTCGCTGCAGTCTATAATTTCCGTTGGTTCGGAAGCGTCGACACCATGAACGTGCATGATTTCGGCGACCTAGCGCAGTGTGCACGACCATCATATAGACCTCTCAGATAAAACAAGTTACAAATGTGCATACTCACCTTCGTCAATGTTTCCTGCAGTCCCTCAGACGCGAGCTGTGGTGTATGGGGTCCAGTACTGTTTCATCACAACGATCTGCTTCCGCCGCAGTAGTAACACACAGGCGCCCAAGCAGTGTTACATTGCCTCAATCTACAGTTGCGGACAATCAAACGCGGTAACTATTTTAGTCCAATTATGTAGAGTCCGGACAGTGCCGGAAGCTTTCGGAAACTGCACAAATGTGATGCTTATGACTCAGAGACTCGATTTGCACGAGCCGATTTCACTAATTCTTATTATTTCCTGTTTTGGACCCAAAATTTTGGCCAACCCCATAATTAATTAGATAAAAATACGAAAAAATATGCAATCGACTCCTTTCAATGAGTAGGGCATAATGCCACAAACAGATGAAAAATATACATCCAAAAATATGGCTATAGAAAATGCACAAAGTATACCTAGAATATGGAATTTGTCATTTAAAGTTACTGTCTTAGATAGCATTCTGACCATTGCCAATCTAGCTATGATGAGCGGGTTCGTGCCAGAGGCAGTTTCAGCTGAAATCTGCGCGAACATGTGAGAACACCTCAAACGTGTGGCGTAAGAACAAATGCGTAAGTAGCAGTAGGATCCCTTACGGAAGCTGGTTGGGTGAATTTTGGGTGGATTCGCAACATTTGAATGAATCAGAGGTTGCGGGTGACTAGCAGGTGGCCAATAGTACTCACTACGACCGCAAAGTGGCCTATAAGTGTCGAAAAAATCGCCCAAAAATTTGGCCATCCAAAAACTTCGTGGGAAAAACTATCTGAGTGCATTTTTGGGGGTTTAAAACCTCCCTGAGTCTGAATCTGAAGTCCATTTGTCTCAGAAAAATCTAGTTCAGGCGCTATCAAATTAACCGTGTTTGATTGTCCGCAACTGTAGGAGTACCCGGGGAACATTACATCGCTCAGCACAGCGTGAAGAACGAGTCTATCTCGAGTTGGCAGTTGACCATCGCTCGTTTTTCATACAAGAACAGATCCATGCTCTCGACAAGGTAGTGACCAACACAGAGAACAAGTGGTGAAACCCCGCAAGGGAGGATATTCAGGCTAAATGTGAACCCTTGACTTTGTCCGCTGTCCCATACCCTACAACTCTGACCTATTTCGCACAGCGCGTCACAACTTCGTGTGCGCTTTCTTGATGGAAAAGTTGAGTCTCGGGAAGTGACAACGAATGACAGCGCCCGTCGTCCCGCGGGTTTCGATGACAGCCTCTTCACGGTTCAGCGCGACAAGCTTACCGATAGTCGGTATTTTACCTGCAAGACAAATAAAGGTACGTTAATGCAACGAAGGCAGAAATCGCGCGACGACTGTGCGCACCAGTGTCCTGTGGTTCTATCGAGACGTCCTCGCCCAGCTTCACGCCCAGGTGCGCGGCCTCCACATTATCAAATCCGACGATGCTCACATCCTCGCAGGGTGATGAGCCAATCAGCTTAGCGGCTTGTTCTCCCGTGATATTCTCAAAAGCGGACGCGCCCGTCTTTTGTCTGCTGTCAATGTACGCAGTCATATTGGACAGCCACTGCGATGCGGGATATCAGAAATTGACAAGCGCGCGCCAACATATGGCTTACCGCGAGGCTCTTTGGGAACTTTTGCGCATCGAGCAGGTCGTGAAGAGCTCTGAATTGCGGGCCTTGCAACCACTCAAAAACAAAATGGAAGGATATGTCAGCCAAACCGGGAGCCTCTGTATCGAGGAGCCATTCGCGACCATCCGCAAGCTGCTCCTCAACGAGAGTCTTCAAGCCTGGAATGAGACCCCAGTGCTTATCAACTTATTGGCGTAGCTTACCAGATGAGAAGAGATGGCGCTCTTCACCTCCGGTTGACGAGAGGCCATCTGTGTTAGGTCAATCGGCTTCGTAGGGCTGAAGAACTGCAGAGATGATCAACGATATACACATCTAAGCAGGAACGTTGGAACCTACTGCATTTCTATCCTCCACAAAGGCCTTTGGGAACTGGTTGAAAGGAAAACTGTCCGCGGCCAGCTGGAGCAAAACTCTCTCCGCATAGTACATAGACAGTGCCTTAACCAGTCCCACGTCCGAGCTCTTCGTTCCCTTCCTGTTGGGAAACAGCGTATAGTAGCCTTCGGAGGGAGGGAATCGGCGTTCGAGCGCGGACGCGATGAGGCCGGTATCGCAGTAGACGTCGCTTCCAATGGCGAGCACGGGAATGCGGCGGTAGGATACCCCAAGGAGCGTCGAGATCTCCGGACGGGGAGGCATGAAAGCGACCTGTAGGGAGCTCGTTCGAAACACAGTGGGCAGATACAGTTCATTGACACTCACATCTACCCTGCTGTGCGGGATCCCCTTTAGAGCCAGTGTGTCCTTGACCTTGGTCGAGAACGGAGAGGCATCATATCTGTTGTGCCGTTGGCCGTGTGCCATGAAGAAAAGCGAGTAGTTTACTCACTGGTACAGCACCACTAGGACTTTACCAGTTGCCATCGTCAAAGAGATGTGTTGGAGCCGTCGCAAAGGTGGCGTAGGTACGAATTCCGGTGGGGTGACGGCCTAGTCTTGCCACCGGACACCCGACGTTCTGAATCATGTGTACAGACAGAGGATGGTTGGTCACCGTTGCCGCGTTGCGTGTGCTGCCCCGACTCGGGATGACACGTACTGTAAGCATGTACGGGCGCCAATCTAATCTATAGCATACGCGTGGCTTTCACGGCGTTCTCTTCTGCAGACAGCCATGTCGACCACCAACTCCCCCGCAAGGCCTGTGGCTGCGAATGCGAATGTTTGAGGAGGCCAAGACGAAGGCCAACAGGAGTGGTCGTCCCGCAGATTGTTCGGTATCGCGCAGGACTCAAGACGTCCGGTCGACTGAGCGGACGTGGTGCAGCAATTACCGATGTTATGGGCGGGGATGCAATTGGGTACGCTCGGCATTAATTGTAAATCGAAATCTGACAGTTGATGTTGTACACAATTAACATCCAGGTTCTTCTCACCCGCAACACCCCCAGTGGCACCACCCGCAGTGTCCTCCACAGTCGGCAAGTCGGACAAGCTGAGCCGGGCTCCACCCCTCAATCAAATGAACCTGTTGCGGTGCACCCCCATACTGTACTCAAACAACGGTAGGTTCACACCTTATGACCTGTGACAGGCCAATTTGACTTCGATGTCCGCATGCTCGAGTTTGAGGATCTTGGGCAGGATGTTATTAGGCACACCCTGTTGCTGGAGGGGCATGGCAGCCGAGGGTTTGCTTGACCTTGGCCGCATTAAGGCAGTATAAAAAACATTCTCACTGGCTGTAGTCTATAGTTTCCTCTGGCTCGGAAGTGTCGACACCATGATACTGACCTAGTGCAGTGTGTGCACGACCATCGAATACGCATACTCACCTTCGTCAATGTTTCCTGCAGTGCCTCGGATACAAATGCGAGCTCGTCCGTGTGTGGTGCATGGGGTCCAGAGTCCTGCTCTGTAAAAATGGGAAGTCCAACAAAGTCATATGTAGTCAAACAGTATACAGTCGTTGTCGCATTATAGTCTACTGCTAGTCACAAAAATTGTCAGCTTACAAATTGAGAAAAAAATGCCAAGAAATTTGTCATACAGTAGTCTGCAATAGTCAAGAGATCTGCTAGAATGTGTTAAAGCCTTCTTCTAGATCCTCTGCCTCTTCCTCTGCCTCCCTGGCCTCTCCCCTTTCTTCCGGGTTCAACCAATCAAGTCCTGGATGCTTTCTAAGCACATAGACAACAGACTTGTAGTTCCATACTCCAACAACATCCACAATTTCTGAAATTGGGGCAACTTTGATCTCATTAGACCACTTCCCCTTCCAAGTCTTCAATGGATGCTGTATATCATTGATTGGATGATAAACAGCTATTGCCTCTCCATTGAATTGGTAGAATGCAAGTGCTTCACCAAAAATTGGGGCTGTACTTCCAGCCAGATGACCCTCGAAGTAGCGATGAGATCTCGAGGGAATTTTGCCTTGATGAAGCTCACCCAAATGGCTGTTCAAGACAGCACCTTGACTGCCTACACGTAGTTTTCCATATCTTGTAACAATTGCATCAAGATTGAAAGCAATCTGCTGTGACTCTGAGATTGCTTGTAATTGTTGATAGAATACTGTTCCTGGTTTACGCTCCTTTTTGTTCACTGAAAATTTGGAAAAAAGCAACAGCTTATTGGTGTCTGGTTGTTTCGAAGTTGGTGCGAGTGCAGGATAGTATAGAAGAAGGGATTCAACAAGTTGTCTTTCCAAAATTAGGTTGGCCAAATTTGCAAATGGTGCCTTCTTGGAACGAATTTTTGAACCAAGTTCCCCAATAGTTCTTTCCATAGTTGCTTGTGAGCCAAGGCGTATAGAGCCATACCATTTGATGTGGATGAATCAACTGAAAAATGCATAGCCGAAATCTTGAAATTTTTTCTGGATCGACTCCAATATATAGTGTCTGAAAACCTATCAGAAATGTCTTGATCATATTGTGAAACCAGTGAATATCGGCATTGCTTCTAGGCCTGATTGTCATGGCAAACTCTACAATTTCCACAAATTGGGAAAAATTGTAAAGGACCATAGAATTGAAGCCCAGTTCCAATCCAATTGGAAGAATATACCAATGAAGCAAAGCCATCCATTCGTAGATTTTGTACTAGCTTTGTCGTTTCAAATAAGGATCGCGAACTGGTCCACAGAATGATGGAGGGAGTGAGGACATTGCTTCTGAGATCAGAGTTCCAAATAATGCTGCTTTCTCTTTGCTGAGATGAATTGGATCTTGAGGTGAACTAAAAGTAGTCCACAAATCCCATATAAAAGCCATTTGGTTTTCATACTGGAGGTGAAGGATGAAAGTATGAATGCATGACTTGCTGCAGCTAGAGGCATACGAGAAATTCCAGTATCTCGTGTAATCACAGCTTGTTCTCTCTTTAAGATAGCATGCAAAAGCTTTGCAATAGTGTCCCAATATTTTGTTTCAGTCCGCAATGGTAAATTGTCAAGATCATAGAAAGGGGTGTGACTGGGATTATATCTTGCATTATCTGGAGGTGATATAGGATAGTACTGTGCCTTTGCTCCTTTCTTGAGGCTCGAGCGTGCACCCTGTACTTCACTAAATCGATCACCATGAAGTTCAGAGTGTCCTGCCATTCCATTCATTTTTGCAGAGCCCAGCATATCTCCAAGGACCATGCAAAGAAAAGCATGGTGAACAAAATACGAGGAATCGATGGCATCCCACATCCAAATGCCCTTACTTGCCATAGCTAGATCTTCAAAGAGAGGTCGCAAAAAGAATTCAATGTCTCCTGGACTTTGTGTGCCTGGAATAGCCATAGGAATGAGAATGCGATGAGATTTATAGCGCAGTTCTGGAGGGAGATTCAGCAAGATCAGGATAAGGATCCATGTGTTTGAGTGTTTCTTCATTGTGAGCTGAGCACCATCTGTGGACAAGGCAAATGCAATATCTCGTGAATCCCAAAATAGATCCATCTGTGTATAATGATGGATGTGCACATTGGAATCTGCAAAATCTGAATAGAGCCTTTGAGACTAGAAAATTCTAAATCAGTTTCAAACATATTAAATATATATATATAAGTAAAACCTACCTGTGAAGCTTCTGCAAGCAATTTTAAGGTCTCCACATTTGCAAACATGGCCTTGATAACTGCAGTAAATGGGGTATAAAGCATCTGTGCTCTGGGCTTTTTCGCAGCTCGGTACTGTGGCTTTCCACAGAGTTTGTTGTCTCGAAGAAATGGACAGGTATCCATCTTTTCGAATTGACCAGTATAAGCAATGCAGCTTCGTGGACACATATCAATTTGCAGTGGTGTGGTGTCTGTTAAGGTCATTGCTAGCCTGCGGACCAAATATAGGGACAAGATATCCACTTGGGATGCATCTGCCAAAACATTTGCATGATAGTTATATGCTTTCACTGTTCCATTGGACAGCTTCCAAGCAATATAATGTCGAAGAGATTGAAATTCAGACCTAGATAAATCCCGTGGTGGAGATGCAGAGAAAGGAGGCTCCGAGGGACAGGAATATTTATTCAGGAGAGCTTTCTGAAGATCCACTCGTGCTTGAGGATATTGAAAATGAGCAGGCTCTGCGATATCGTCTTGAGTCTCAGTATCACTTGAGTTGATACCACTTGTATCACCATCATCTGAATTTATATTACTTGAGTCAGTTTCTTGAATTTGAGGAGGAAATATACCACTTGTATCACCATCGTCTGAATCTATATCACTTGAGTCAGTTTCTTGAATTTGAGGAGGAAATATACCACTTGTATCACCATCGTCTGAATCTATATCACTTGAGTCAGTTTCTTGAATTTGAGAAGGAAATATAAGAAGATTTTTATTCTCTTCCTCGGCTTCTTCCTCAGCTTCCTTCTCATTATCCTCCATATCTTCATCCACTTCCATAGCATATACCTCTTCCATATTTTCATCAACTAGATCTCTCTCCTCACTTATATTCAAACTGTCCTTAGCATTGGAGGCTATAATTATATTAGCTGTAAGATTTACCAATAACTAAGTAGAAAACATACAAGGATTCAAACTGTCTGAGTCTATAATTATATTAGCTGTAAGATTTACAAATAACTAAGTAAAAAACATACAAGGATTCAAACTGTCCTTAGCATTTGAGTCTATAATTATATTAGCTGTAAGATTTACAAATAACTAAGTAAAAAACATACAAGCAGGCAATATTTCACTGGAAGCTTCTGATGATATGTTCCACAGTGTCTGAGTGTTCAAAGAAATACAGGTGTGAAGATGGTCGCGAAACTCCTCTGTGTGAAACAGATGTTCAAGCTCTTCAATATCTTTGTAGAGATGTTTTCAAATAGTTTTGGGACCGCATTCCTTGACGGGGTGGCATTGACTGCACTGGCAAAGCATATTGTCTTTAGTCTCAGGAGTGTAGAGCTGGTCAGAAAAGTGTAATGAGATGTCATAAGAGTCAGAGAGCAAGAGAGCGGTACAGCCAATAGCTGCATTGCATCCGTCTGGTTACAACGTGGTCCATTTCCTAATTTGGATTGCTGACAAATCTCGAAAACTCAAATCTTGCAGTGACGTGATTGATGTTCTGTCGCAAGCCGGAAAGGAGGAGTACGAGCGGAATCAAGTCCGCGTGGGGTCTGAGATGCAACGAGGGAGAAGAGTCTATTCCAGAGGTATGAGGTGGGTGGCCCGAAAGCGTAGCTAGGAAAATCTCTGTAGTCGCAATGATCACTGGACAACGCGTCGGACTAAAATCGCACTGCCCTAAGGAGAACGCTAAAATGCAGAAATGCAAGACTGCCCAGAAAATGCATAAAACACAAGACTGCCCAAAGACGCACTAACTGGATGGGATGGGAATGGGAAACGAGTCTTTTCGCAAGCGTACCTTCCGGGACGGTGGGTTCTCCCCCTCCCCTTTTTCCCTGCCATCATACTTAACTAGTCCTGACCTTTCCTGCCCTTCCGATACTGCCCGCATCTGCTTAACAATCGCTCCGCTGAATCACTGCCCATCACGCCATATCTCGCAATCCCGTCCCCTCACGCTCCTACTCATTCTGAGGGACCTTCCATCACTGAACCCGCCCGAGCGCCTAATAAGGACCCATCCATCTCGGAGGCGTCTCCCATCCTAAACTCAATCTCCCATCCATGGACGCCAGCATCATCCTTCGCAAATACACCCTCGCAGAAGCTCTTCTTCGCATTGAGATCTTTACCGAGCCCTTCGATCCGATCCTGTGGAAAGCATGGGCAGTCCAGATGCACGTCCTGCTGGTGAGGCCCCCACGAGCATATGATCCTTTGTTGTCTGACCCTCACATGTCCCTGAGGTCCTTATGGTCCAAGCCCAGTCTGAAGCGGCCAGCGTGGGGATCATCCTACCCCTTCCACGTGATATCCCTGTCCTGGCCCAGGTGAAAATACACCTGGCAACAGCTCGCACTGTAGAAGGTGGTCGTCAGATGATACCCCGAATTGTGGATCACCTTCCTGCGGTCATTCCTCATGGTTTGACTGCCCGCGTTCTGTATGACGACCCTGCTGTCCACGAGGACTTTGGTTTAGGCCACCCGCCGGATGGTCTCCCTGACATTGGTGCACGGTCGTCCTGTCCCTATTTTCCTGGAGTCGTGTTCCTCAGCTTTTTATCGCCATCAGGAACCTTGCGCCTTCAGGTTGAGACATTGCGCAACGCGGCCTGCGAACTGTACAATGTTATGCGTGAAATCACTGGTAGACGCGAGCTGGCGGATGGTACTTTGAGACAGTTGCGGATCACAGTCGAGGAATTGAAAGTAGCGTTCAGGCTCGTAGTGTTCCCTCCTCCGATAACCAGCTTCCAACTAATGTCGGACTAGGGGTCGGTTGTGTAGCACCCTGTAGTATCTCCAAAATGTGAGACCGCTTCCCGGATGTGATTCCCACCTCAGCGCGCTCTGCGTCCCTTCAGCGGACATGGCGCTCTCTGTGTTTGCCGCCTAGTAATGTCGTTCCAACCCTCTAATTTTTCAGATTTCTCTACTAACTTCTCTCTGCCTTCTGGATCTGCAAGTCTTCATCAGTCCTTCACTGATCATGACATTGCAGGGCTCGAGCTCTCCGAACTTATGAAGAATCGCCACGTTGCCGACTTGTACACTGAGCTGCGCAGAACAAGTGCTCAGGTGGTCAAGTTATCTGATGTACAGACTGAATTGATGCAGGTTATGCAAGAAAATAAGCAGTTGACACAAGAGCTGCAGGCCTTAAAGTCCAAGAAAAGCTGATCCCCAAGTTTTGTCAGGTAAGCTTTTTCCCTCACGTTTGATCTGATTAACCTATACACTACACAGTACTTCGACACTTATGCCAAGTGACTCTGTTTCGCATTGCGGTGGCACGATCTCACAAGATAGCAGCATTGTCTCTCCTCCTGTGCCGAAAAAGACATATCCATTCACGGTCCTCTGGAACAAAGAGGATTGTAAGAAGGACGATGATGTCCACATCACGATAGCTAATCCTGAACGGATTCCTATAGATCAGGCCATTCAACACGAGAATGGTGACCTCATCTCAAGTGCAGAGTGGCACGTGATTCAGACGACTGCACGCGTAGTCAAGAACGAGCTTCTCTCTCTTCCACCTCCTTGAGACCGTCGGTATCGCAACATAAAGTGAACAAAAAAGGTATTCAAGGCTGCGAATGGGAAGCAGCCATGCTAAAGATGGAGAAGCAACAACTGTTGCTTGCCCTTTGCTCAGACCATTGGAAGGCAGAGTACATTATTGGTCCTATGCTGCTTCAGCAGCACAAACCCGACTCCGAACTCGACAATAACGACGATGATGTTAGTCACGTCAGCACTTCTGCCACCAACTCTCGTGCATCTGAGCGCAGTGAAATCTCTGCCTCGATGGCCTCGCAGGTCTCTGTTGCCAACAAGAGGTGCCGCGTCCACTCCACTTCTTCAAGCAAGCCGAAGAAGAAGCCTGTCACGGGTGTGGTATCGCAATATGCAGAGGGCCGATCATCTGGCCCAGTGGCCACGCCTGCATTGGAACCGCAGCTGAATCTAATGTCTGCCCCAGTGACCATGCCTGTGTTGGAACCACAGCTGAGTGCAATCGGTAATATTCTCGGTAAGTAAATTTACATGGTCCTTTTGCGTTATTAAACCTCATGGTAAATAGCCAAAGTTGCCTTCCGCGCCTTCCTCTGTCGTTGCCTCTGTCATCTCTCCTTCGGTATCTGGCCTAATGGTGAAAAGCGCCGTTGGCATCAGCTTCATCAATGTCGATCTGTCAATCGAAAATTTGACAGGTACGCTTCGTTCATCATTATTGTTTGTTTATTTATTTGCTTGCAGATGCCTTGTCCAGTAGCCATCCGGATTTAATAAGTGGTTTGGAGCTGCTCAATTCCATGAAGCTCACACCTGTATTCAACATCGGTTCTCCGACATCAGAAGTCATCACATTCATTGAGCGCATCGAGAACACTGATCCTAACTCACCCGACCTCTCGGAAGACAATCTTGGAACGGTGTGGGGCCATTACCAGTTTACAGCAGGCTTGATGACCTCCAGCTCCACACTTGTCTCATGGGATGGCATTGGGAGTGAGGCCACGCGAAGATTAATTGCTGCCGCCATCAAGATGTGCAAGGTTGCAAGACATGTGTGTTTTGTCAGCGGGATCAAAATGAACGCGTATCTTAGTGATGCATACTTGGAGACGACAGTTGAAATCCTTTGGAGGCTCTGAAAAGCCACAGGAGGAGTAAGTGCTATATTATCTTGGTGGGTGTTGCTTCTAAATATGTTCACTACAGCCTGTTGTGAAGGGGAAGGGCAAAGCTTTCACATCATCGGACTCACGCACCATGTCCACTGCTGACACCATCGCCAGTATTCCTGACTCCTCTGCTGCCACTCTTACCCCCTCTGCCGCCACTTTGGTCAATGTCTCTCAGCCCTCTGCCGACACCAGTTTGTCCATGAACTCTGATTCATGCCCTTCCAACTCGTCTGGTAGTGGCAAACCTATGGCCAACAGCAATTCTGACCTGCGTGCATATATCACTGTACGTACATTTAGCCTTTACCGTTTATTTTCACTGATGTGTGCCACTGGATAGTCGCTCAACAGAGACGAATTGTTTGAATGGATCACCGATCGGAAGTTGGCGGTCAATATGAAGCTTGGAAAGAAGAGTTCCTCCATTAAGAAAGGTAAGAATTCTCCATTTTTTTACCTTCTGTATGACTTGGTGCACTTATTTTCATGTTTACAGACAAGCTCGTATCAATCATTCTGTCTGCCGAAGCGATCGCCCAGCCATCTAAGGCAGAAGTTGATGTCATTGTGCAGCAGGTATGATACTAGTCCCATTCTTCGCATCTACTTCTGACACTTCGGTTCGCAGTGCAAGCTTAAGAAGATGGCCACTTCAAGAGTTTGAGCCTCATCGTGAGGAGGGGAGGGGCATGTCGCTGCTGTGTCGCTAGTGCCAAATTGTTCTCATTTGTAGTAACTCTGCATGACAAATTCATGACTTTTGATGACCTTTGATGACTATTTCGATGAAAGAGAGTGACTGGAGTTTGACTTCTTTATGACTGGAGTCTGACTACTTTATGACTGAAATTTGACTACGGATGACTATGACGGACTATTGTTTGACTTTACTTGGTGGCTGCAGTGTCATTACCGCTCCCCAACTCCAGACTAATTCTCGACTTTTTGTAGACTAAACCTGACAAAGATAGTCACAGGCTGGTAGCTAAAACACAAAATTCTGGCCAAATTGACTAGTACACGACTATTTAATGACTCTACATGACTTAGTTGGACTTCTCATCTTTACAGAGAGTCCTGTTTCATGTCAGCGATCTGCTTCCGCCGCAGGGGTAACACACAGCAGTGTTACATCGCCTCAAACTAGAAGTACTCTGGAACATTGCTCGCTCAGGGCAGGCTGTAGGACGGGTCCATTTCGAGTTGGAAGTTGGCCATCGCTCGTTCTGCATACAGTTGCCAGTGAAAACAGCTCGATCCTTTAGACAATATAAGGACCAACACAGAGAATAAGTGATAACACCCCGCAAGGGAAGAGGATTGAGGCTAAATGTGAACCCTCGACTTTACACGCTGCCACTGCCAGACACCGTATAACTCTGACCCAGGCTCCTAAAACCAGCCGTCGCTATAGCGTTCTCGCTCCTTTATCCTATGTTCGTGTTTTAGGAGATCATGTGACAAATGTTTTATGAGACTTACCTGATTGAGCGAATCTTACTGTAAAAGGATAGCCGAACAAGAGGAGGAGAACGCTATAGGACGGCTGGCCAAACTGGTCATCCGAGGATACGCCGAGCGCGCACACCCAGCATTTCTCACAGGAAATCTCGAATAAACCCTAGCATGGGTCTTGTTTTCTGTGATGCTGTCAACCCAAATTTGGTGTTTGCATAGGGCACCATCGCGCGCTCCCCGCAGTGTTGCAGAGACATGGAAGCCATACAGTGTACTGCGCATGCTTTTCTCTCTTGTTGCCACTTGTTGGAAATTGACCGCAATGCTCTGGTTGTCGAGTTGTATGTAAGTGCACGTCAGAAAATTAAGTACTATGTAGTGCAACAGCATCAGCTTGAACTCGGGAAATATTGTAGGTTGTGGGTGACCTGAGTCTCACACAGCACAACACCAGAGATTTTGGACGTGGGAAAATGTCAGCAGTTCCCAGATTTTCCACGATTCTCCATAGGTTATGACGATTGTGAAGCCTCCGAGTAATTCCTACATGCAGAACCTTAGAAAATATACATTGTCTATCATCATGCTTTCCAAGTGTCGAGACTTGGACAAAATAAGATTCTTGTCAATTAGCGCCCACTGGCACAGTCACATTCTGAGTCGTGTCGCACTTCACTGGCACCTGACTCCATCTTGCGCCGCCACCACCTGACTATATGTCCTTCAATCACCTATATCTCTCTGCGAAAAGGGCTACACAAGTGTCTACCAAGTCTTCCCTGGGTGCTCGGATCTCAGTCTAAAGGAGAACACTCACTGATGTCTGCAGCTGTTCGCATACAATGTCGCTGTGCTCGCTGCAGTCTGGACCTGCTAGGATTCAAGTATCAGTCAAAGCAGGTCTGTGTGAAGCATCTAAAGCTCTATGGGCCATACACTTCTGTTCAGGAGAGCTCGCAAACCCCTAATTCAGCCCCATTGCAGCCTACAGCACACCACAACATCGCTGATACTGGATCCAGTAGTGAACCTCGGCAGGCTGAACATTGGATTCCAGAGGATGCGCGTTTGCCTGAGCCTGTACTCACTCATGATGACGATGTCGACTCGGGGTACGTATGGGCCTTGGCCGGAGGAGCTTTTGACTCCAAGGTCAAGTACGTGGTACTTCGCTGTGGTTCACCGGGTGTGGCAAAAGGGAAAGTACGCCGGGCTATCACAGTTGTTCGGTGATATCAAATTTATGATAATGGGTTTGGGACGCCTGAGCTATACGTGTGATTTGTTGTCTGAAGTCGGGATGGGAGTCTGCACAATACAGATGGGGGAATGTAGAGGGAGATGCCTAGCAACCGTGTGCAAGGGCTTGCATTCTGTCTTCTTATACGATGCTGATTCTTCTGTGTTCTCTTTTATCCATGTGCCTACAACTGTGTGCAGGGCTTACCGAGTCTTCATTGTCTTCTTAACAGTGTGCCTACAACCATGTGCAGGGCTTACCGAGTCTTCTGTGTTCCTATCTGAGTGCCTACAACTGTGTGCAGGGCTTTTACCGAGTACGTGTGTCCGAATACGATGTGCCTGGCTGATAACTTTCCTACATGTTGTCCGAGAACTTTCCGAGAATGGGTTGAGTATCTAGCAACCGTGTGCTAGACTACTCAACAGAAACGATACGAGAGTGCAGTAGTTGTGTTTCATAATAACTCACTGCCTGCGCTGAACTGACTTCATCGGGATCCTTTTGATTACGAGTAACAATGTTACTGGGAGGAGTGGAACAAACTCCTATTCTTTTGGTTTATCACTTTGTAGGGTAAGCTACAAGCGGAGGGAGAACTCTTCACTTATAGGGGGCTACAAGTGGGGAGAGAAGAACTGAGGGTCGGGGCGCCTCGGGGGTCCTTTTATACCCCTTGGGTGTCACCTGTTGTGACCGTTACATAGTAGTGTTACATGGCAGATTGGCCAATAGCAAAATAAGAGCATCACATGATCAAAGGGGAAAGTAGGAAGGAAAAATGTCTTAGGACCTTTGTGTCCAATAGCATAAAGTGAGCAGGGAGAAACAGGGAAGACAAAACTCTTGGGACCTCCGTGTCCAATAGCATAAAGCGAGCAGGGAGAAGTAGGGAGAAAGCACTTTCCGAGTTTTTCCCATCCAATAGCATAATGTGAGCATCAGGTGACATGCTTGGCCAAACGTTCTCGGGTTCCGTCTTAGTCACATGACTTCTTCGTCGAGCGCTTCACCGGTGGTTACATGTTCACAAGCCAAACACTTTTGGTGTGTGACAACGGGGCTGTTCATCCTGGCCCACATGGTGCTGAAGATCAGGGATGGCAGTGACGGGGTCTGACCCCGTCAAGCCAGAGGTCATGACCCGTCCGACCCCGAAAGGTCAAAAAGGTCAAGGGTCACCGCGTGACCGACGCGCGCGCACAACTCAATGGCACGCAACATATATTTCGTACGAAACTGGTTCATTCGTAGAATAGATCTTGTCGTCTCGAAAAAGTAGACAAAATTAGCTTGAATCCCGTCACCTACAAATTGTCATGGTGGGCTATCTTGATATATTATACAACCCGTTCTCCGAGTCATTCAAGGGCTACATACCGTCCTTCCAACCTCTCATAGGACTGATTTTGTAGTCTGGCTTTGGGAGACTAAGGGCTACAGGACTATTTATGCTACTCCTCAAATTCCTCTGAAGGTCATGTGTCCGGGAGACTTGCATCCATGACAGCATCCAGCCCCAGGGCCTGCATGCATATCTCATGAAGTTTCATAGCCATACAGCAGACACACCACATCCTTGGATTGACTACTTATTCATCCAGTTTTGGCCTTCTTTAGAAACCCTTCCGGACTGAGTGACATACCAGAAAGCATGCACATAGTGCCAGAGGGAAGGAATAAATATATGTTGTGCTACACAGTAAGTTAGACACTGCATCGCCAGTGTTAAGCACCAAGCGTTTAGTCGCTGCCGAAGCTGCCGAGCCGTGTCAGTCACGCCTTGACGCGCTGACCTCCGTGACCCTGGGGGTCGGACCCCGTCAAGGTCACTGACCCCGTCAAAGGTCAAGGGGTTGAGCGTGACCTTGCCATCCCTGCTGAAGATGACTTTGAGAGCTTTGACGACTTTTAGCCACAGGATGTGGAACCGGACTCTCAGCCGTCTAGGAATCCTTCTCGCTCGCCTTCTCCATATGTTGATCCTCCACCTGCACCAGGGCTTGAACCTGATGACTATCATGAAGTGCTGCCACCAGACATTGCCATCCCAGGCTCAGAGCATGACAATAATGACGACGAACCCTCTGTCATTATTCCGGCCTTTAGCGAGGAGTCCTACATTCGGATGGCCTATCTTCATGCTGTCATGGGTAACACCTACCAAAATCTCACGTGGAACGCCGCAACCGAGCAGCTGAACAACACATTGGACTGTCTGTCAGTCTAAGCAGGCCAGCTACCCCTCAGGCCTCAACCTGCACGCACTCTGGCAACTGCTAGACGACGCCTCAGCATTGATCCTGATGCTTGGATTATTCAGTATGCAATTTGTCCAGTTTGCTGGAAGCACCATACTCCGAGGGAACTAAAAGAGCTTGAGTCACCTGCCTCATCAGGAAAACCCCACTTTTCCTTAAAAAGACACTTAAATAACTTAAATGGACTTATGGTCCTTATTTAAGGACATAAGGACAAAAAGGGCCTAAGGCATATTCCCTGAGTGTCTGAAATTCGACTTATTTGAACACTTATGGCCTTAAATAAGGGTTCTCAGACCCAAAAGTCTAAATAAGTCCATAAGAGAAAGTTGGGTTTTCCTGGTGCTGTACAGTTCTTGGCTGCTCCGGTTCACTTTATCTTGAATCACTCGACTCAAAGGGCAAAACTCGGCGGCAGGCAATCAAAATCAGTCCACAGGTGTCTATTATCGAGTCGCTGCGACGCATGATGATGCGTCCTGGGTTTGCCAAGTCATTGCATGAATTGCGTGACTTTCGCAATGATCAGCCTGGGCACAATCGCGATGAAGACTTCATGATGGAGGATATCTATGACGGTGATATGCTCTTTAGGCTGACAACCGGGACAATCAGAGAAATTAACTCTGCCAGTACTGTTCGTGATCGTCCTCGAGAAGACCATCAAGAACCAGTGAAGCTTACAAGCCATCGCTACGGACTAGCTCTTTCTATGAACTTCGACTGGTAAGTACCATAACTACTGTTCCGATGTAGAATTAATCCCGCATAGGTTTGGCTTACTCTCTGGCCGTCCTCACTCGACTGGCCCAATATACCTCGCCCTTAATAATCTTCCACGCGACCAACGGTACCTTCAACTTAACGTAATTTGCCTTGCAGTACTTCCAGGTCCAGGCGAGCCTAATCAGCAACAGCTTAACCACGCACTTGAGCCCGGTATCAAGGAAATGATTGAACTGCACAAAGGTGAGATCCGGTTATAAAAATGATATAAATTTGCTAATAATCTCGTAGGCATTGAAATGAATGTGCACGATGATGATGCAGCCACGGTGTATGCCGACTTCCTCTGTGATAACTGCGACACACCCGCGGCACGCAAGATCAGCAGCACAGCATCGCATAACCATGATTTTCACCCTTGCTTGTACTGCGGGATCAATATACTGGATATCAACAAGTCCAGTGGCTACGACAATAGTTTGCCCTTTGTGTTAGTTGTGTTTCAAGCGCTGATGTACTTCTAGGTTGACTGGAGAAGGATGACTACAAATTGCTCAAGCATGCATTCTCCGCGAGAGGAGTGAGCGTTCACCGGGAAAGCGCCATATTGCGCGACCATGGCGTGCGCTGGAGCATCATGAATCTGCTCGCAGGCTGGCTGCCATCCTCGCAGACTGTCTTGGACTTCCTGCATGCAGTATTCTTAGGTGCGTAACAATAGACTCATGCATTCTATGCTCAAAATACCATGTTTATGGACTCTAGGAATTATTGCACATCTATATCTTGACCTTCTCTTCAAGGGTTACATGTTCTCCGGTATCGGAGGTGATGATTCCCCCAAACAGAAGTTTGAGGACACAGTGAACTCAGTGCGATGGCTGAGTCATGTCACTCGGCTTCCAAAGAACGTGCGTAACACATATCTGATATTCACAAGCCAGTAAGCCACTCATTATTGCAGCTTGGCGAGAATCAATCATTGAAGAAGGCTGATGAATGGCACCGGCTTCTTACCATCATGCCAATCCTACTCTGGGTGTGCTGGAAAGATGAACATGACCGCATATCAAATGTCACCCCACCTATTCCTCCAAATGCGAAGACACGACCTACACATTCTCGTAATTGCAAGAGCATCTACTTCGCAATTCTTCTTCTTTGTGCAGGTGTCCGTATACTAGCCTCGTGCAAGATCTCTATGTCGCAGGCTCAAATTGGTCAAGACTTCCTGACACAGTACAACCGCAAGATGCAGGAGCTCGGTGTCGACCTTACAATCAACAACCATCTGTCGACTCACTTCGCAAAATTCATCAAATTATTTGGGCCTGTCTACGGTTGGTGGCTCTTTGCCTTTGAACAGTTTAACGGAATGTTTGAGCGAGTGAATACTAACGGTCATGACGGGGGATGCATGGAGCTAACTCTCATGTGGCACTGGGTACAGTGCCATCTCATCTATGAGTATCTCCTGGCACTACCTCCCGAAGCTCATTCAAAAGAACGCGAGTACGTCGAGAGAGTAATCAAGTCAGAAGGGCACAGTCAGTGAGGTGGAATGATGACGGAACTTGCCATATATCACAGTGAGGCTACAACAGGTAGGTGTTATATTCATAACCAATATACCACATGAATCTTTCTTCCTGTAGATCACGTCAAACTCCCCCGTGTGCTCGGGAAGCCTATCAATCTTTGTGAATTCCTGGCGCCTGGGGCTGGAGGAATATACTGCCTTGCTCTCAAGTACTCCCAACTGCTATATCCTGAACTCCATCTCATTGACGATCTGTCGCTAGAGGATGGAGTTGCTTTCATTGCATCTCAAGTCGCGCAACCCCTCACGTACATTCGGAAAGATGGGATACGCTACGGATCGACCTCTAACAAGTGCACAAAAGCTGATCAATATGTCTTCATCATAGATCCTAGTGGAGAGTCAGGTGAGCGTGTACCTGTGGAGATTGCAGCACTACTCGGCATCAAGGTTGCGGAGAAATCGCCGCATGTATGCGCTGTCATCCGCTGCATGGTCTCTGATGAGAATATTCCAACATTCCCATGGCAAACTTAGTACGCAGTCTGCGCTCTCACACACAATCAGATATACCTCACGCTGATGTATAACTCCCACTCTAGCTCCAATTTGCTCGGAATTCACGTCTCGTATGCCAATCGCCTCGGACCTTACAAAATTGTGCCTGCTACGGCCCTCGATGCTCCTCTCACCTTGATCCCAGTCCGATCTGAACATTTGGCACAAGAACTATGGGTCTCAGTTTCATTCGACCATGTACGTCTACCTACAGCGCCGCTGAACTATACTAACTATGGAACAAGATGGAAAATGAGCCTGAAGAGCTTCTCGACGAGGAAGATGATTAGAACAGTATGCACATGCCAAGAATGCAGAACTTCGGGACAGTGGGCTGCAAGCTGCTACCCGAAGTACAAATCATCAGAATCATCATCCTCGGCAGCTACCTCTTTCTCTTTCTCCTTCACGGTCTTGATCTTCTTCACAATCTTCTTCTTTGATGATCCCTTACCCTTGTTGCCTGCACTCTCTGCCAAGCGTGCCTTTTTGTTCGAGGTGATCTCTGCCTTCGCCTCTTGCATGCGCTTCTGCTTCTCAGTGATATCCTGAGGGTCCTCTTCGTCCCCCCAAAGATGACCGTTGTTCACGATGCGGCTCTCCACATCATATTGCTTGTTATTCTCGAGGGCTAACCAAGCTTGGTCAATCATCCAGTGCCGTGCCTTATTCTTGAGGTCTCTTGACACCTTCGGCGGCTCATCAATGGTCTCGGCAGCCTTCATACGAGGAATATATCTGTTCGGTGGCTTCGGGTCTTGAGCTGCATCAACCGCCCGAAACAGGTTGATTAACTGGTATACAAGTCATTCTCTCCGTGCTTGCAGAAGAAAATAATATGCACACCTCTTGGCTTCGGTAAGCAGGGGCCTTTGAGATATATTTCCCCGTGAATTCACCCTTCTCATCCACCTGGTCCTCGTCATCAGACATCAGGTTCATGGTGAACGCTGCATCGTACTTTGGATCACGCCACTTGGATTCCTTGGGCAAGTTGGTACGCTTACGGATGTGCACTTGAAGCTTCTATAACATATGTAAGCCCATGCCTTCGTTACTCAGAACTGCAGACAGACTTACCCCTTTCGCACGGCTGGTAGTACGTGTTGACTTCTTCGCTGTAATGGGCATGTCTTTCACAGCGCCATTTCCACCAGCCTCTGCGGAATCATTATCCTCGTACGCCATCGCATTCATATCCCGCTGAACCATTACTGAACGACCACGTGCACCGATCAGCTTTTCATCACGAAGAGCTTTTTGCAGTGCACGGAATTTCTTCTTCACGCTCTCCTCAGCATCAGATTTGAGAAGATCTCGAATGGGCTTGGCCGCGCCAGGTACAAGTTCCGCTCCTTGTTTGATGATCATCGTGACCAGTGTCCTAATGTTCTTGTAGTTTCCAGCGGCGTCCCAAGGCTGATCCCATCGAAAGCGCATCAAGTCGGTCTTGGTTGCAGGATCAACTGGCATAGACTCTCCATCCTTCGGCCAGAATGGAAGAGTGCGCGGTTTAAGGTTCGGAACACCCATGCGCGTCTGGAAAGCCTGCCAAACGAGCTCCTGAGACTTTCATGTGAGTACCTCTTTGTGAACATCACCAGGGGCTGACTCACTCGGTAGGACGCATCTCTCAACGCTGCGGCACTGGCTGCAATTCTCATCTTCTCCTTCTTGTCAAAACCTTCATCCAACTCATCCTCCCCTTCACTCGAGGCCTCCTTGGTGGCCTCCAAGCGGTCCTGCAGCTCTGATGCCAAGTCTTGCAGTCCGCCAATGAGCCTGGCCTGTTTATCAAGCTGATCAATTGCGGTCTCGAGGCGCTTTTCGTACGTCTCTGCAACTGTCTTGAAGCTCTCCATCTCCATCCTCAACAGCTCTTTTTCACCCTCCAGAACTTCAATGCGCATCTGGTGATCAGACACCTGCACCACAAGCATCGCCGTCTTCTGTTTCCTCGCCACCATGCCATTCTCGGTGGTGTTCGCATCCTCCATGGCAAGAAAGTACTAGTACCGTGAAGGTTGAGGGCATGTATGACGCTGAGCAGCGGACACAGATTCAGGTGCTCTCATCGATGCAGTGTCTCTCTGCGCGCTTGACTCGAGCTTCTTGTTCATCAACTGTACAATGCGAGCGCACGCGGATACTGATCATTTCATTATCATTAATCTATCCTAATACATCATTTCGGCGCATGGATTACTGCTTTTCACACCGCGGGAGACTGTTAATATGGGCGGACGAGGGACGGCAAGGAGGAGGTGAGGGAAGGCTGCACGGTGGCACCCAGCGCGGCCGGAGAGAATGTGATAAAATGTGAGCAGAAATGTTCAGTAGAATGATGGAACAATGCTGCAAAAACTTGTAATCGGAAGTAGATTCTCTGCAGAGGGTATCTGAGGCACAATGTTGGGAAAATGTTCTAAAATCTGACATTTCTCTCGGAATCTGCCGGTGTCAGAATCCGGAGCATTGTGCTGTGTCAGTTCCTGTGGATTAGACAACATAGTGATCTATCAATTTTGGGTAGTGCTTGCCTCAAATCAACAACATTGCACCTTGTATTCTGCGACACTGCGCGATGGTGCCCTATGCGAACGCCGAATTTGGGTTGACAGCATCGCAGAAAACAGGACCCATGCTAGGGTTTATTCGAGATTTCCTGCGAGAAATGCTGGGTGTGCGCGCTCGGCGTATCCTCGGATGACCAGTTTGGCCAGCCGTCCTATAGCGTTCTCCTCCTCTTGTTCGGCTATCCTTTTACAGTAAGATTCGCTCAATCAGGTAAGTCTCATAAAACATTTGTCACATGATCTCCTAAAACATGAACGTAGGATAAAGGAGCGAGAACGCTATAGCGACGGCTGGTTTTAGGAGCCTGACTCTGACCTATTTCGCACAGCGCGTCACAACTTCGCGTCCACTTTCTGGAGCGCCTTGATGGAGAAGTTGAGTCTCGGGAAGTGACAACGAATGACATCACCCGTCGACCCGCGGGTTTCGATTACAGCCTCTTCGCGGTTCAGCGCGATAAGCTTACCAACGCTAGGAACTTTCCCTGCAGGACGGGCAATGGTATGTCAATCCAACGCAGGCAGAAAATGTGCGAGTATTTCACGCACCGCTGTCCTGTGGTTCTACCGAGACGTCCTCGCCCAGCTTCACGTCCAAGCGTGCGGCCTCAACGTCGTCGAATCCGACAGCGCTCACATCCTCGCAGGGTGATGAGCCAATCAGTTTTGCGGCCTGTTCACCCGTAATATCCTCGAACGCAGACGCGCCCGTCTTCTGTCTGCCGTCAATGTACGCAGTTACAGTGGACAGCCACTGTCATGTGGGGCGTCAGAAATAGACAAGCGGGCGGGTACAAGCGGCTTACTGCGAGACTCTTGGGGTACTTTTGTGCATCAAGCACGTCGTGAAGAGCTCTGAATTGGCGGTGTTGCAACCATGCGACAACAAAATGGACGGATATGTCAGCTAAGCCGGGAGCCTCTGTATCGAGGAGCCATTCGCGACCATCCGCAAGCTGCTCCTCAATGAGAGTCTTCAAGGCTGGGATGAGATCTAGCGCATTGCAACTTAATTATGTAGCTTACTAGGTGGGAGGATATGGCGCTCTTCACCTCAGGTTGACGAGCAGTCATCTGTGTCAGGTCAAACGGCTTCGTGGGGCTGAAGAACTGCAGATATGATTAATGATAGATGCACCTAAACACAAAAGTTCGGACATACCACATTTCGATCCTCCAGAAGGGGCTTGGGGAACCGGGTGTAAGGAAGACTGTCCGCGGCCAGCTGGAACAGAACTCTGTCCACGTAGTACATAGACAGCGCCTTTACCAGCCCCGTATCCGCACGCTGCCCTCCCTTCCTCTTGGGAAATAAGGTATGGTAGCCTTCAGAGGGTGGGAATCGGCGCTCGAGCACTGACGCGATGAGGCTGGTATCGCAATACACGTCGCTCCCGATCGCGAGGACGGGAATGCGTCGGTAGGGTAGCCCAAGCAGCGTCGAGAGCTCCGGGCGGGGAGGTGCGAGAGCGACCTGTAGGGAACTCGTTCGGACATGGTAGGCAGATACGGATCACTGGCACTCACATCTACCCTGCTGTGCGGGATGCCCTTGAGAGCGAGTATGTTCTTGATCTTGGTAGAGAATGGGGAGGCTTCATAACTGTTGCGCCATTTACCCTGGTCGCAATAAGAAAGAGCGAGTAACTTATACACTCACTGGTACAAGACCACTGGAACTTTTCCTATTGCCATCGCAAGAGAGACGAATTGGTGAAGCCGTCACAGAGGTGCGGTACTAAGTAGCAGAAACCCTGTGGCGTGACGGCAGTGTTGGCACCGGACACCCGACGTTCTGAATCATGTGTGCATGCGACGGGAGAGGATGAAGTGGTTGGTCAACTGCCCGAAGGTATGTACGGGCGCCTATCTAATCTACCCGCACACACGTGGCCTTCACTTGCTGCACGCGTCCTGACCGTGACACCGTGCAGTCCGTCGTGTCTCTTCTGCAGACAGCCATGTCGACCGTCAATCCCTCCGCAAGGCCCGCGGCTGCGAATGCGAACGCGGGACCAGGACAAGGACAACAGGAGTCGCCATTCCGCAAATTTTTCGGCATCGCGCAGGTGCGTAGACTCTTGTCAAAGGAAGACGTCCGATCGACTGAGCAGACGTTGTGCAGCAATTGTTGATGATATGGGTAATAATGCAATTGGGTATGCTCGGTATGATCTCGCACTTGAAACTGACAATAGACGTTACACACAACCAGCGACCAGGTTTTTTTCACCCGCGACGCCGCCAGCAGCGCCCCCAGTACCATCCACAGGCGACGTTGCGCAAGCGCAGCCGGGCTCCGTCCCACAATCAAATGTACCTGCTGAAGTGCACCCCATATGGCCGCTCGGCATCCCCCTCGCGATGCACGTCCACCTGTCGACGTCCCCGACGGGCAATGTGTTCTCGCCGCGGTGGAAGGATCAGGACGGCGGACTGCCCAGCTTCGTTTGGGCAAACATTACGTATGGAGACTGGAAGGAGTCCCGGACGGCGGAGTATGAGATCGATCTCCCTCTGGTTCGTTGGCGTGCTGCGATGAGTGTGGTGCAGTGTGCTGAGGTGCTGTGCAGACTGTGCAGCATAACGGATCTTTATGGGCGGATGTGTTCCTTGTTCGGGATGGCGCCAGCCCTGATCCATCGAGTCCTAAATTTGACCCGAGTTCCGTGCATCATATCAGGAAGTGTGGGTAATGCTCTCCACCTCGGACCTTTTCTTCGCTCAAATTATGTCCTAGTATTGACGCACTACTTCCCACGTGCGAAGGTTCGTAAGGAAAAGAACTTGCTCAAGGGTGCAGAGGATGAGAATGCAGAGGAGGAAGAAGTAGGTGTCTCATTAATTCCAAATGTATACTGCTGACTTCCCGGTGTAGCCTGAAGTAGATGTCATTGTATCACACTGGCATAATGTGAGTGAGAACTGATACTGGAAGGAATGGACGATGATAGATCTGACATTACAGAATCTCACCCTGGCATTGATATCGGACGACTCAGACATCCCGGTGAATCAGATGGCTCCTCCGGTAGCTCAATGTAAGCTAGGAGCGTCCAGCGTCATATGTCTCTAACAAAAATCGTAGTTGTTGAAATCGTTCCTCCTGGGTTCTACAAGCCCATTATCTTCCCGAACGAGTTCTGGCACCTGCGCTCGCAGTACGTCGAGATCAACACGACAACGCCACGTTTCCCGCTCCAGGTGACATTCCAGCCTATGTCGTACTGGAAGTTCAACCTGTTCGCGTCCATGACGCAGGGGTTCAATGACGCGGAGAAGCAGAATGGTGGCGCGGCTAGCGCGGAGCTAGACGAGCTCAAACGGATGCTCATCGAGACGAACCCATACTTCTTGGGCTTGACGGCGCTCGTCAGTATCTTGCATATGGTGTACGTGATCCCTTATCCTAGGTGCGGTGTTTTACTGAGAATGCGATAGGTTCGAGATGCTCGCATTCAGCTCAGATGTCTCGCATTGGAGACAGAAGCGGGAACTTGTCGGTGTTTCAGTGAGGTGAGATGAGATGAAATACTACTTTCGCCTCCGCCGCATAACCATAACCACGACAGATCAATTGTCACGAACGTTGTGGTCCAGACGATCATTCTACTCTATCTCATCGACAATAGTGAACAAACGAGCTGGATGATCTTGTTTTCTTCGGGGATTGGAATACTAATTGAAGCTTGGAAAGTCGGTGATCATCTGGAATCTGTTCGCTGATTGATCTCACTGGCCTTACCGACAGATCACAAAGGCAGTTGACATCAGTATTGTCAACGGAGATGCGGGCTCTTTGTTGCCCTACAAGCTTGAGATCAAAGGTTGGTCTTACTTGTTGTATATACGACAGATGCTGGGAGCTCACGTCGTATCAGATAAACACGTTCTTAGCGAGGATGAGAGGAAGACGCAAGAGTGTGTCATCTTGAGGTGCAGGACGTGCTTGTTTACTGACACGTATTTTCAGATACGACAAGCTTGCGTTCCGCATCGTGGCATACTTCGCAATCCCTTGTCTCGCTGTCTACACGCTCTATTCGCTACTCTACGAAACCCATAGAGGGTGGTACAGTTTCATCATTTCGACGCTGACGTCGTTCGTCTACATGTTCGGCTTCGTACGTTCCCTTTATCACTCCGTGGAGCTAGGTTTACTGAGCATCTCATTGTACAGGCACAACTGATCCCACAGTTGATCATAAACTATAAGCTTAAGGTATGACCAATTATCTGCTTCTAGATGCACCACTAATACTCTGGCTATTTCAGAGTGTTGCTCACATGCCGATGAAGGCAATGATATATAAGTCCCTCTCTACAGTTGTGGACGATTTTTTCGCGTGCGTGCATCGGTAGCTATTTCGTCATGTTCCGTGATGCTCACACCTCTCCTTAGGTTCTGTATCAAGATGCCATTTTTGCATCGCCTTGCCTGCTTCCGCGATGACGTGGTCTTCCTCGTCTTCCTATATCAGGTGCGCAACCCCACATCTCCGAACATTTTGTCAATAGAAGGGTGATGCGAACCTAATCTACAGCGGTGGATATACCGGATCGACCCCAAGCGCGTGAATGAGTACGGTCAGGTGATGGTGTCTGAAGTGGCTGCCGTACAGGAGAAGGAGGCGAAAGAGGGGACGGAGACGAAGAAGAACAAGTGACCCGGTGTCCCGCGAGTAGTTACACGTTGTACGTATCACGGCCGGAACACGCAGGCACAAATCTGTTCTGCAGCTGGTATCGGCAAGCTCATCTGACCCGAAAGACGTATGCTCGTCGCTGTATCTATTCGTGTGTTGTGGCATGCGATGCTGTGAAGGTTGGCGGGATGGGACATAGGCCACTGGAGACGGCCCGAGCCGCGGAGCCGTGGTAAAATTCTGCGGCGATAGTCATTTTAGGCCGGGCGCTCAGTGCAAGTCTGGCTATGTCTTCCGCCTTTTCACAAGTCCCATCATCTCCTCTTTCCCCTCCTCCGTCCGTATGGCCCCTATGGGCTCTACAAGTCAGCAGCAGGGGTACGCATGTCGCTGCCTGAACGTGCGTGTCCTACCCCTGCCCCCGCCGGGACAACCGCCGACGGTGGACAACGATTATGACTCGGTTTATGTCGATGACGACGGTTTATCTGTCGTGAGTTCGAGTGTACGCCCCGGCTATGATCTCCAAACTTACGCGGACATATTTTAGGCCCATCTACAACTTACTCTCCGCAGCCGAACCCGACCAGTTCAGGAGAAGAGCGGAGAAACTACCCGCTCCACCCGGTACACATCACTGACCTGTTTGTTATGCCAAACGCCCGTATATCGTGTGCATCAGATAGTTCACCCCGACGTGGAGGAAGCGGAAGGCCCTGTACTCCCTACGGACGACTGGGCGGAGCAAGACATGCTGAAGAGTACATCTGGGTGGATTGAGGTGTACAAGGGGTGTCTGGTGCGTTCGCACATATACTTCGAAGTGTACAATATCGTGGCCGGCCGACGGAGAACTTTTGCAGTGAGGCAGCATCAGTATAGGCTGAGCTGACTGCAGAAATTTCCCACCGCGCAGTGTTACGCTGGTCCATCGTCTTTGGCGCTTCTTACTGTGTCTGCCAGCTGACTGACTACGGATGCAGACGCGGGAATGTATATCGCAGGCAGAAAATTCGCCTGAGTACTCCAAACTATTTTCTGTCCTCCTACCCCCGGAATTACCGGGTTCTGCCCCTGCCGGTGATTCCGAACCTCCGTACAAGAGCCTCCCTCAACAGTCGGGACCACACCTTCCACCGCTTCCACCGCTTTTTGCGCCCCCACCATTTTCGCCCGCGGATCCTGTGTTCTCTCATCTTTCATCTATTGCTGCAGCCGAGTCTGAGAATATCAGAAACGGGGCTGAAGAGTACATAGCGAACGTTACACAGGAGAAAGTTGCCGAAGTTCAAGCCGCGGATCTCGACCTAAAGCACAAAGTTGAGCTCTTGTGGAGCAAGTTTCGAGAGACTGTAGACAAATTTGAAGGTAAGGTTAACGGCATCGCGCCACATTCGACGTCCCGGCGCAGACGTAGCAGCGTCAGGCGGCCGGGACACGGTGCGGACCCCATCCCAGTCGAAGCGTCCTCCGTGCGCATCAATGACTTCGTCCCGATTCACGACCTCCACCCGCGCACATCGGCGGCAGCTGCCTTCCCCAAGGTCGCCTCTGCGCTCTCGGCGTCTCTCGCGACGTCGTCGTTCCATTACCCACACGCCCACCGGGAGCGGGATGCTTCAGGCTCCTCGCCGTCGCCGAGCCGCTCCAGCGTTACGCGCGTCAAGACGCCCAGCATAGCTTCCTCGCGTACGGCCGCGTCGGCGACGAACGGCGAGGGCAGCTCTATCCTCGAGGCGTTCCGCCGGAATATGGATGAGTCAAAGGACATTGCGACCAGCTTCCAATACGTGATGAACATGGAGACGATGATGGAGGGCGTCCGAGGGCGACAGGATAGTAACAGCCACACTGTAGATCTGAGCGTGGTGGAGGGGAATCAAGCTGCTGAGAGCAGTGCCGCTGCGGTTGTTCGAGCACGATCTCCGAAGGCGGGCAAGAGCTCTATCAAGAAGCCGAAGGACGAGGAGAGGCCTGTTGAGCCAACGCAGGACGTGCCGCCACCAAGCACGAATGGGAAGGCAGAAGATGGCCATCCAGAGGGCAGTACTGACAAAGGTAAAAGAAAAGTGACCTTTGTTGTGAAGCCTGAAGTTACCATCATAGATGGAGAAGCTCAGCCACAGGAGGCGGTGAAGGAGGCAGACGAAGGTACTGAGGCAGTTTCTGCATCGTAGCTTTGTGGTTCGCTCATCATATTACTTTGCCGAAGTGATTTTCGACATGGAAGGCGAAGGGGGCGAGCGCAAGGATACTGGTCCTGTCTTAGATCCCTCGTCTCCGCTGAGCCCGAAGTCACCTACCCCAGATTCCCCGCGAGCACCGAAACGCCCGCCCCGCGCAAGAAAATCGAACGACTTCGGGCCCGTGTCCTTCGCCGCTCTGCGCCCGGCATCGCTGCCAACATACTCCACCGTTCCGCCGCCGCCTCGGCTGCGCGAGGAGCCTGCGCCTGCAGCAACCCCGCGTCCGCAGGCCATGCGCGAGTCGCTCCTCGTTCCTCCAGACGGCAGTCGACAGGTGAATGGCAACCACGACGTGATAGCGAACGGAAAGGAGGACTCAGACGACGAAGAGAACTTCGGTTTACAGGAGGCGGAGATACTTCGTCTCGTCGCTGCGAGCACGCCGAGCCATAGAGGCGCGTGGAAGAAGAACAGCAAGGCGTGGCAGCTGTTTGTGAACCGGAGCGAACGCAGGATGCGGGATGCTGACCCGGAGGCGATCGCAGAGGAAGAAGAGAGCGCTTCTAGTGTGGAATATACCAGTCCTGGCACACGATACACGGAGAGACCAGAAGATGAACACGTGTTAGAGTATGGCGACGATGACGGCCAAGATGGTACGTCTTCTTCCTCTTTTCTGCCGCTGATCGTAGATTACTGATGCCAATGCGTGTAGATGAGCGCTGGTCGTCACATCGGGGTGTGGCATCTTCGTTGCCTATTCCCATAGACAGGTCAGGCTTTGGACTCCCGTCCTACCAACTCAAGACGTCGCTATCCGACCGTCCTGGCGTGCTGGTGCCAGCGCTGCACAAGGTCTCGTCCGCGGCGATGCGCAAGGCAGCCTATGCGGAACGCGACCGCAGCCGATCTATTGACCCGGGTGCGCTGGATTGCATTATGGATGAGGATGAAGAGGAGGAAGAGGAAGATGACGGCGATGATCTTGAAGCCGGGTCGAGAGGCCGACAGCGCGCGTTACAGATCTTGAAGGCGCGCAGTGAGCTCCCACCAGCCGGTGAGTGCCCCGCGCTCTCTTCATTCACATCTTCTGACTCCTAAACCGCTCAGGCATGTGGAGAAGCCTGGCCTGACAAGATACCTTGCTTGCCGAACGAATTCACAGTCCTACCTTAATCTTGGTTTAATTTTCCCCGTGGCGTGGTTGTGGTGATGCCGTTTGTTGTTGTTGTTGTTGTTGTAACAAGCTAACGCAGTCGTACCCGTATTCACATCTACTCGCTGTATCCGTGCTGTGCAATGCTGTCGTGTACATAATGTATCGCTAAGTGCGTTCACGCCCGTAAGCTAATCTCAAATGCACCAGTTATGCTTCGAATCCAATGCTTATTGAGTATCGAGTGGGGGAAATATGTGTGATGAAAATTGGTGCAGCTTGTAAGTAAATTTTCGTACTAGATGATCCGGTAGTATGAGCAGCGTTAGTTGTGAACACCGGAAGCTTAAGGTGATCATCACCAAATAATTATTTAGTCGATGGGACCCGCGGCTGGCATCGTAAGCTTCGCGCCCCTCTCGACGCGCTGGACGACATCCTCCACCTTTGACTCGTCCTTTTGAACGCCCACGTCGCTCTCGCTCTCGCTCCCGGCCTCGCCCGCGGCATTGCGCGCGGCCGCTAGCTCCTCCACGCACCTTGTACACTCGCACTTGAACCGCCAGCCGCGTGCGAGCTCGATGCGGCGACGACGGCGGGCCTCCGCAAGGGTCTCGTTGGGATGCTGCGTGACGTCGACGTACGCCATTGTGACCTCCTCGCCCTTCTCGAGGTTGCGCGTCGCGATCAGGTGCAACTCAGACGTGCCGGAGCTGAACGAGGGTCGCGCGGAGGGCGCGCAGGAGTGCGCAATCTGCAAACGCCTATTAGATCTGTAGATATGGGTCCAGGACGATGAGGCAACGAACGTAGGACGAAACGGGATAGAGGCCACTGCCGATCTGGCGCGTAGTGCCGTACGGCGTGCGCGTTCGCTCCTGGTCTTCCGGCCGTTCCTTGGGCGTAGGCTAGCGCGAAGATCAACCAGACGCACATGTGGAGGAAAAGCGTGCACACGCACCTTGTCGTCCCGCCCGCCCGCAAAGCACACACCGATCGCATTGTAAGTCATCTTCCCGATGTACATCGCGTGGCGCTCAGACGTGAGCGACTGCTCAAGGCCGGGGAGCGCCGCAGCGAGCACGTCCTTGAGCAGCTTCGTCTCCTCATCCGACACCTTCCCGTCGAGGAAGCGCAGGCGCTCCACGTGATCGTACAGGCTGTACTCCGCGTCGGTCTTATCCGCATTGACGAACTCGTCTGCGAGCGGGCCTTCCTTCTTCGGCATCATCTTTGCGGTCTCGATCGCAACCTGGCGCGCGATGAAGCGGGCTACCAGCAAGGGCGCGGCGCGGGTGGAATTCTTGATGTACGCGGCGAACTGCGTCTGTGCGCGGTCGCGCTCCTGTTCAGTGAGCCTGCCCGTGCCGTTGTCAAGCTCCGGCGGGAGAACGGAGTCGAGTCCGAAGAGGAGGTTTTGTGATTGCACTTTAGAGCGCACTTGGCAATCTTTGGAGCAGTACACGGAGTCGAGGCGATCGGTGGGGCAGATCGCCATGCCTTTTTGAATGTCGCGCAGACAGTGCGAGCAGTGTGTGCCCTTTTTTTGCAGGTCGGCGTCGAGGACGGCCACAGTTGGTTCTTCCTGGACAATGTGGGGGCGCACGTTCAGTACTCTCGCTGTAACATCGAAAAGGTTGATAACGAGACCTTGTAAATCACTTCGCCAGCCTTGAAGTCTTTTTCTACGACGAGGATCTTCCGGAGGCTGTCGCTAGGTGCTGGCCGTACGGATACGTTCATGCTCTTACGCGGGAAGACATTGTAATAACCTGATTCCCCACCAGTCCCTTCTCAGCTACCGCAGCGTCACTCTCAAGTTGACAAGCTCACCTTCAACGCGCGCTTTCACCTACGACAGAACGACGATATGAAAAAGAGATAAAACAACATGTATTAGAATGGGTTCATGCGGGATATGACAGATGGAACAAGGATAGATGGAGCAGAGGCAGATGGAGCAGGGGGCGAACGAGGGTGAAAATATGCTCTTTCGATATCTACGTCTTCAGCCCGCACTGAAGGGGTGGGTAGTTCAACTAGGCAACGGCAGCTTGGCTGCCCGGGTCGGTGACCGTGTCCCACTCCTGTGAAGACGTTTCTGAGGGAGGTCCAGTCCTCGTCGGACTCGTCTCGCCATCTTCGGACGTATCGTGCGACAAAGGCGGCGGCCTGTCCAAGGACTCCGGTGAAGGGGTACTCACGTCCATGTTCATTAATTCCATTACAACCTGGGAATGGGTCAGATGCGCATGATGTGGAGTGTGGCGTCACACACATTGAAGATAGGTTCTGGAACAGTCTTTTGATATATAACGATGAGCTCAACGGGGGAAGGATAGACACGGAGAGCGCGGTAGAAGGAGAGAGCGGCTGGGAGGTAGAAATTGGGACCTGATGACAGATTGAGTTCGCTCCACAAAACCGCAAGCGGTGATATGGACCCACCTTGAGCACAGAGTTGTTCACCAAGCCCGACCTGAGTCATGAAATATTGCTCCTTGTCTTCCGGCGAAGTAGGAACCTCTTCGTCACGGACTTTGGCCAAAGCAGCCTTCAGATCCTCTGGACTGACTTTAACAGCAACTTTCGCAGCCTCTTCGGCCTCCGCATGCTGTTTTGTGACGCGTTTTTTGTCCTTCCCTGTAATGGCGTTGTGAGCAGGCGTCAGTGGCGCGAGTGAGCAAGAAAGCCAGCGAAGCACTTACGCAGTTTCTTGCGGAACTCAGTATCGTTTCTCCGCCTGTAGTCGAAGTAAACGACATACGCGACGAGGCCAGCGAGGACGGTTGCACTAGCGACGGTGAAGATGGTGGACGTTCTGTTCGCCATGGCTGTCGGCGACAAAGTTTCAAGGCGGAAGAGACGCCGAGCTCAGTCCGGCTACCGCCGGAACGCGCTCGGCGCTCAGCGTACACGCGCGCGCGGCGCGTCTGCCGTTCGCTATGCTTACCGCGCTGCGATCACTTCGCATCAACGTCTCCCATCCACGCTTTCTCACTGTCTTCACCACTTCAGTGTCGAAAAATGCCCGCCAGTATGAAGCACAATACAACCGACCGTGCTGCGAAAGAGCTCGAGGATGCGTTCATTAAAGTTACTTTCGAGGAAGATGGTCACGGCGCCGGAGCGCAGTCTACAGAGGCATTTTACGATACCTGGGTTGACCACGGTGAGCCCAGACTCGTTTTCATGCTCAAACCTCCAAAACCATGCTGAATATGGAATGCACGTTCCAGTTTCTGCGAAGTTCAGTGATGCTGCAACTTACGGGTATGTGACATTTGCTCTGCGCATCGGCACCAGACCCTCGGTAGAGGTGCGGAGCTGTTCACAAGTCGGGACCCTATGGTTTTTCCCAGATATGTTTAGTTGTGGTCAAACATCCATATTGTGTGCTATTGAAGGCGCTAGCGCATAGAATCAACGCGTTGTGCAGAAGAGAGCAGTGCGGTCTCTCCTGAAGAATGCGTTGTTTCTCCTAGAGCATCATTGTTAGTGTCCTTGATGGAGACAGAGTTGAGAGCTTTCCGAAATAAAATAAAAATGAATTCAAGCAGACGGCAAGCGGGCGAAAACATTCATGGGCTGCGATGCTTTTCAATGGCTGGCTCTGTTTCAGTATTTGTCTTGGCGTACAGATGCTGAAACCAGAGTATACGAGTTGTGAGCTAATCAAAATTATATGTTCACAGTGCAATAGCCCTGCAGAAGTTATACCCAGAGCACTCCATCGTGCTCTCCACTGATCGGGGCATTGATATCCTCAGCTTCCCCAGCGCCGCGTTCTTGCCCATGTCGCCGACAGAGACAGTCAGCTCGGTCTACTTCGTGCCATTCGCACGTCGTTTAGGGCAGATTCCGGGTATTCTCGTCAACATGATTAGATTCGCGGCGTTCCACGTCTCCTGGGATGTGCGTACTGCAACCCTGCGTGATCCTTTAAGCAATTTACATTTTGATGCCAGGCATACGACTTCATTCTGTACATCGTCAGGGTAAAATTTCAGTTTTTACCGCTGCGTTGCGTGCATGGACTGACTGATGCTCCCAGTACCCACAAGGCATCTCGGAAATTGTGCAGCACTACGTCCTGCACGAAGGCCCCGAGGAGCACTCCCGCGCTCTCCTCGTCGCTGCCGGCGCCTGGCAGAACCAGCTGCATGACGAGATCCTCGTCTTCAATCAGGGCCTCTGGCGGAAGAACCACGAGTTATGGATGGAGGTCCAGAAGGCTAACTGGGGTGACGTCATCCTCAAGGAGTCATTCAAGACCGCGCTGCAGAAAGATGTGCGCGGGTTCTTCGACTCCGAGGAGCTGTACAAGTCACTGTCGGTGCCCTGGAAGGTGCATACGCCCCTGGTTTACTGGGGCAGGGTTCTGACGGAGTTTCTCACAGCGTGGTCTCATCTTGCACGGGCCTCCAGGTATATCTCATTACATGCGCCGTGACGAGTCGCTGACTCTGACATGCACACAGGCAATGGCAAGACGATCAGTGTGAAAGCGATCATGAAAGACTGCGACGCGCGAGGGTACGCGACGCTGTATGTCAAGTCGTTCAAGAGCTACATGGGCGAAGAGGGTTCGATGGCCGCGGTGTTTAGCAAGGCGCGTGAGATGGCGCCGTGCGTGATCGTGCTCGAGGACCTCGACTCGCTTATCAACGACGCGAACCGCTCATTCTTCCTCAACCAGCTTGATGGCCTCGAGGGGAACGATGGTTTGCTCGTCATCGGGTCGACGAACCACTTTGACAAGCTCGACCCCGCGCTTAGCGGCAGGCCGAGCCGATTCGACCGTAAATAGTGCGTGGCGCTCTGCGTATTACTGGTGCGCGTCTCCTGACGTTGTATACTCAGCCCGTTCGAGGATCCCGATCAGGACGAGCGCGCGTTGTACGCACGCTACTGGCAGGGCAAGCTGAAGAGCAACCACAGTGTCTCGTTCCCAGACAGCCTGGTCGACGAGGTCGCATCCGCAACCGACGGCTTCAGCTTCGCCTACCTCAAGGAAGCTTTGTATGTCTCACCACCTTCACTGTCGTTCCCGCTAATCAGTTGACCGGCCCAGTGTCTCTGCACTGGTGCTGCTTGCAGGCGACAAGGGCGACGAGAAGCCCGTCTTCGCCACCGTCCTCCTCGGGCAGATTAAGTCCCTCCGCGACCAGCTCAAGAAGCAGCCGCATAGCGCAGGTGCACAGAGCGCCACTGGGGACGTCCGTCATGTCCGCATCTCTGGGGGCTCCGCTGCCGGAGGGTCCGACGGTCTGCCCGCGAGCTGCCTCACGCTTGCCGGTAGGATATGGTCCGCCGGGGAGAGCAAGCAGGCACGAACGTCGGTGATGCCAGGCGGAATGCCTGGTATGGGCGCGGCGCTGGAAGGGCGGCCGCATGCGACGCTGGCGGCACTGGGGCGCTCCTTCGTGTAGTGGCTGACTTTAAACTTGTACGATGCTTGGTTTGCAGGATGTTTCCGTGGTGACTGTGTATGATGTATAGAGTTCCTTGAATTACTGGAGGATTGTATTTAAACGGAAAGTTGTAGGATACGTTCGGGCTCAAAGCTCTAAACTGGGGTTCAAACTTGGTGTGGCGTCAACATAGATAGCGAAGTAATATATAGCCAACTAGCTCATTGTAGCATTAGAACAATACGGGGGTAAAATATACTGACATGACAACGAACATTAATATTGTTAACTTCGCGAAAAGTGATGTCGTACCGTAGTTGGTACTGGACCGTTTCTAGTAAGCGCTTACATACATTATTCACGAGTATTGAACGATACCCACAATCTCGAGGCTGCCACTCAGTACGTACCTGGACGGCTCAGAGCGAGAAGATGAACTCATTGTAAAGAAGCGCGCCGACCGCCGATTCTGATCTTATCTTATCCTGCTCGTCCACCCTGCCAGTGCGGCGGACTCGAATGTGGCAAGTTGAACTGTCTGGCCAGGGAGCTGCCTTTAATCTACCGAAGGCAGATGGTAGACACTCTGCTTCTACCCTCGTGCCTCAGGATATGTAGCTGTGTCTGTCATCGGGCCGGCCCCGCGTGGACTCAGGCCACCCCGTCAACTGACATTTGTCCCAACTAATTCTAGCAAAGAAATGGGCCTCCTGCAGTCATGCTAATTCTCTACGGAGCATCTGGTGACTATCCTGTTGGAGCTACCACTTCACCGTAACTCTTCACGAACCCTGGATCATAGGCTCTTCGTTCCGGTCCCTCACATTATCCTACGATCAGCTTTTGCTCCTCGAGAAGATAGCGTCCACGTTATATTATCCACTACTGCAGACCTGACAGCGGGGGATCCATCTAGGATAGGAAGAAATTATACTCCCGAGGTACGTCAGATTGGCCCTTGTACCAACTTGTCTGAGTTCGTCCCAGTGAAGCACACGTTACGAGGCTGTGTCCACTTCAGCGAAATTCCATATTGGCTTGTCAGGCTTCTAGTAGGACTTATTTTTCGCGTCTTAAGGTGAGCGAGATTGCTGAGCGCGAGCTCTTATTTACGCTATTTCCGCAGATCCCAGTATACCCGTACATACCTCTTCTCAACCCAACTTCATCCAAAAACCCAAACGCTCGATGGTCCGCTGTCATTTTCTCTCATGAGCTTAGTGGCAATCGCACGAATTAGAGGTTACCTTGCTTGTCAAGGTCTCCTCGTCCCCCTTAATTGACGCACTTTTCGTTGCCCCGTTCTTGCCCGACTCACTTCCCGATAAGCTCTGGCCTTCCAGTGCCGTCTCCAAATCGTAGGTCTACAATAAATGTAAATGATCCATTGCTTATCAATGATGTGTCGTTGTACGCTGCATAGACAATTGTGTAGTACTTTCATACATGTAGTGTCAACGTGAACTAGGATCTCTCGATATGCAATGGCCCATCTCTACCCACCATGCTTTCGTCTGCTCATTCAACCGCTCCAGCCTGTCATCCTCTGCCAGAAGATCGGGATCATGCGACTGTTTTAGAAGCAATTCCGGATCAAAATCCCGAAGCAATCGAATCGTTGAGCGACCAGAACTCCTTGAGAGCGCGACATAAAGGTTGAACAGACTTAGAGTTCCAGGTGGTGGTGGTGTCTTCATATCGACAATGACAATAGGAATAGTTTGCCCTTGAGACTGGTAGTCAGTGAACGCATATGCGCCTGTCACTGGGAACTGCTTCCGACGCACATAGCGGTGCCCGACCATGCCTCCCGGTAAGTCCACCTTGATCCGCATCGACATCGCCATGGGCTCCACAGGAATCACGCATTCTCCCAGACCCTCCAATGTCGTCGCACGTGTACGACTAAGCTTTACGAGCACAAATGCTGGCAGATACTTCATCAGGTTAACGACTGGTTCCGGACCCAGTGGCGGCTCATCCGGATGAAGCACGATGTCTACGATCTCACCACGCGCGCCATTCGCAACGTCAAGGTCGGTCTCCACATTGGAAGTCACCATCACCTTCATTCCTTTCGCCAGCTCGATCTGCTCTGGGAGATCCTTTTTGTGTGATCTGTTTCTCTTGTCTTTGTTGCGCATGAGCACGGCGTATTTTTCCCGAACGGTGAGCGGACGGCCTTTGCAACTGTCCTCTGCACCCACAACGAACAGGCGCTCTCCCGATTTCCTGCACCATTTTCGGACTGCCGCCGCATTCCACATCTTGCGCACGGCATGACGAGGCGTGACTAGAGATGCATCGGACCAAGGTGCTGAATCAAAGTCGGTATGTGGACTTTCACGTTGATTGATGATCAGGCTCCGTAGCATGTCAATGTGTCGTGGCTGGACATTGCCATGTCTCAGATGTGCCAGAAATTTCCTCCACACCTCATCCGTCACGCGCATCTGCTCCTTGAGGATGACAACAGTGGTGAATTCCTCGTAGGTCATCCGTCCGAGGGCACAGTCGTCAGAGTCTCTGACACCGATGGGACGGAACAGGGCTTCTGATGCTCCCTTCGCAACAGGAGGGAATTGATGCAGGTCACCACAAAGTACAACATTGATGCCTCCCCAGAAACGATCCTTCCGGTGTGGGGTGCCTTCTTTTCCGACTGACACAGTGTTTGACAGGTTCGCGAGAAATGTTTTCGCCAACATGGAGAACTCGTCGATGATGAGATACTGTCGATTTCGCCAGAACTCCTGCAGTACAACCTTGGAGTCGTCACTGATGGTACCATCAGAACCAATTGATAGGTGCGCAATTGTGTGCGTCGTCTTCCCATCTATCAGTGATGCAGCAACACCGGTGTATGCTGATTTCACCAGCATGTAGTCGACCCCCTTGGTGACAAACGCCTCTGTAACCGTTTGGATCACTCTCGACTTTCCCGTCCCACCCTCGCCATACAAGATCATGCGCAGAGGAGGAGGCTTCGACCCCGCTAATGTCTGTTGCAGATGCCAAGTGATTATGTCGAATGCACGATGTTGATCTTCCCGAAGGCTTGATGGATCAACTGCCGGAAGGGCTACGCAGGTTTTTCCGCCGTTCGTTCGACTTTTTCCCTGTAGTAGAGTACGTATGTAGTCTATATAAAATTTCACGTTCGTCGCCCGTGTGCCTAGTCACAACGGTGACATCTGACAACAACATTAATTGACTTCTGAACTTCCGCTTTGAACTTGTACAACGTTGACCACTCGAAAATCAGTCAAAACTGTGACACTACGCTAGTCATCTCGGCAAGCAAGGTCACGGCCGACGCCAGTCCCGTGATCAGTTTGTGCACGTATAGCCTCCTAGGGCAAAATGGTATTGGCCATGGAACGTTGAGAATCCTTGAGATGGCACAAGCCCTCTCGTCATCTCTCGCTGTGGCTTGCTTACCGGCACTCGTGGATGCGAAGATCACAAACCAAAGGCCCGAAGATCCTTATCATCAACTCAGAGGAATTCACAACTCTGAATTTGAATCACTTCTCAAGGTGGTGGTGGGACATCGCGACGCGACGTGGCAGAGAAGCGGAAGCCGAGTTCGGGACGCTGCTGGGGCGTCTGTCGGACTTCTCATGCTCGTGCGCGCGAAACATCGTTCACTGACTTCGGCGTGATCTTTATCCGAAACGTTGAGTCATTCATGAGTGCGTCCAAGCTCGGGAATATTCGACCAGATCGGCGAGCTTGCAACGGCGTTCCTATCAGATTGCCTGGGGGAGGAGCTCCGGAACATCCCAAACTAGAGGAATGCAGGTTATGTACGTGGGTGGACAAGAGGCGGACCGTTTCAAGCGCGCAACGTGGGAGCACTCATCACAAGAAGCTAGTCAGTCGCATTGGGGATGTGGTTATGCATTGACATAGATATTGAACGGTCTCGTCCGCTTAGACTGCTAGAGCTAAGAGACGCATCTTCATGGAATACTCGCATATAAATGGAATCGACATTTCTGTCGGTAGCAATGCTGTATTGCAGTCGACACATGCATCACTGCAAGTCAGATCTATCTCCTTCTGGTACAACCACACATTAATTACTTCTACGATGGACGCGCACACTCAGGCACACTATCATGCAGTCTTCCCAGAGTCCTCCTTCAGACTAACTATGCGATTGAGAATGACCAAGTCACCCTCCCTCCGGCTAGGCACAACGTCATCGGGCTCATCCAGACACGCCAACTTTGCGTCCTTGTCAGCAGCGAAGTACGCCACACGCAAGCCCTGGAAGCGAATGCACTCCTTGCCAACCAGCTGCTCGCTGGTGGCCTTCGGCGTGTCATCGTCAAACCTTGGCACCGTATCAGACTCTGCGGTCGTCTTTAACGCCTTCTCCGTACGCTCCGTGCTCTCCTTGCGCGCGTCGGCATACGCTCGCTTCGCAAGTGCCCAGAAACCCACCTCCACCATCGCTCCCTCGACGATCTCGAGGCTGTCCGGGTTGATGTCTGCCTTAAAGTCCGGCACAGCCGCAGATGGATTCTCGCTCTTGAACAGCTGGTAGAAAATGCGGGTCTGGTCGACGCGCACTGGGCTGCCCGAGGGTGCGTGCACCGCGACCCACTGAATGAACGCTTTAGGCTTCTTCGCACCGGAGTCTTCCACGCGGCAGACGAGCTCGACTGGCCGCCCTGTGACCGGGTCAGTCTTGTATGACGTGCACGTGATGGGATGCGGGGCCTGGAAAAGCCCGACAGTCTTCCCTGGTGCGAGTCTGAAGTAATCCTTTGAGTCCTCCAGCCGGAAGTCATCTGCGTCAATGTAGATCGTGCGTGTGAACGGCACCTTTGAGGTTCCGAGCTCTGGTACCTTGGGGTGCAGAGGCTTGTCAAGCCAAAGGAGGTAATCCTCCGGGAGGTTCTCGATTGTCACTTTCAGCGGGCACAAAACCATGAGCAGGCGCGGTGCGGTACTCTCCAGGTACTGCCGTACTGTCTGTTCGAAGCGCACAGCCTGGATGTTGGAAGCAGCTGTGGAGACACCAAGAGAGCTGACGAAAGAGATGATTGCACCCGGAGGTACGCCTCGTCGCCGGAGTGCGATGAGGGTGTATAGACGGGGGTCGTCCCAATCCAGGACATAGTTCTCCTGAACGAGTTGTCGAATCTTGCGTTTCGACATTATGGTTCCCGTAACATTCAAACGGCCGTATTCGGATTGGCGGGGCTTATATACCTCCAGAGCATCGCAAAGCCAGTCATACGACTCTCGCGAGGCAATGAATTCTGTTGTACATAGTGAATGCCTGTGCAAGTTGTTCAGAGAGGGCAGGGGAAAGTGATGACAGATACTGACGAGATGTTCTCAAAGCTGTCACACAGACAGTGTGTGAAATCATATGTTGGATAGATCTTCCATTTGTCGTGCGTGCGGTGGTGAGGAGCGTTTAGCACTCGATACGCAACTAAATCCCACATCATGGTGTTTCCGGACTCTAGGTCCTGCTTCATTCGGAGGATGGCCTCGCCTGGCTGATATATTCCATGCTTCATCCTCCTAAATTCTCCTAGCGAGTGTGAGACAGGTCTTGTGCGATGCGCACATGCTTTCCGCGGACCACGTTCGTCACCTCCTCTATTCTCGTAGATTTCGTCACCTGTGAATATTCAGAAGCAACCAAAAGTGCATATCCTTGTAAACGCACCAGAGCAATGGCATACGTACGCCTTATCTCTCCTGATAAGCTCGACGGCCAGCTCGTACAGCTCGTCAAAGTAATCACTCGAATACGTGATTTTCCACGGCTCAAAGCCGAGCCACCTCACGGACTGCAAGATACTCTCGAAGTATCGCCCCTCCTCTGCCGAAGGGTTCGTATCATCATATCTGAGATAGCATTTCCCGCCATGGTACGCCGCATACCCGAAGTTGACCAAGATGGCTTTCGAGTGCCCAATGTGTAAGAAACCGTTCGGCTCGGGGGGAAAACGCGTATATACGAGTCCACCTGTTGCAGCAAGATGTCTTTCACGGAGATGTGGATGGATCTGCGGATTCTCGCCCGGCTTGTGCAGGCGCCCGAGGAACCCTTCAAGGAAGACAGATTTGGATGTGGATGCAGTTGTGGCGGTTGGTTCACCGGCTGACACTGTCTTTGCGAGCGTATCTTTCTTAGCTTCCTAGAAGCGCGATGAATGAGACGGAATGGGGTTCATAGGACGCGATTACCTTGCCCTTGGGTTTCGACGCTTCTTTGGGTCCAAATTTCTCCGCAAAGGCCCGCTCCACGGCGTTCTTGAGCTCAAGTGGATTCGCCCAGCGCAATTCCGTGCCTTTCAGACTCCCAATGACAGCGCCCAAGTTGTTCCATCCCGCTGAGGCGCTTGAAGTGACGTACGATGCAACTTGTGAAGACAGTTGCTCGGGAGTAACACTAAAACCTGAGTAGGTGCATACTATCAGTTGGGTCATCCGCGAGTATCTCGATTCTTCCCACTCACCTACACCGCATTGCTTGTCGAACTCGAAGCCATCAATCGGAAGGGAATGCGTCTCGAGATACTTGATCGCAGCTGTAAAGCCCCATCCGCAGTCACATTTTGCCTGTCCGTCAGTGAGACAATTCACTCACCAGAAACCTGGTCTGTACTCTTCAACCGACCATCCAGAATCGCATCTACTCCGTATCCTCTCTCTCCAGCCTCCAGTTTCGAGCTTTGCACCGCCAGACTGGCAAGCAGTACGGCCTGCTTCTCCTCCAGTCGTTTCTCCGTCACTGCATGTATCTCAATAATTTCCTTCAATGTCGCAGCACTCTTTGAGCTTTTTGCTGCTTCAGCAGCCTTGGACTGAGTGAGACCAATTGACTTGAAAAGCTCGACGAGACTTGCTGTGTCCGGAGTATCTCGATTCGGAGGCATGCTGGCGAAGCGATTCTAGTGCTACCTAGGGATCAAAGGCTACCGAGGACTTTAGACGGTACTTTCACGATGGTGGGGGTATGTTTTTGAGAACGTTAGGCCTAATTGGCCCAGTGACTCAGACTCGCCGATAATATTGATAGATCTCCTATACCAGATAAGATCATTCACTCTAAGTTCCCGCGCTGCTTCTTGCGTTGTCCCCCACTACTTGGTCTCCACACTGCTATTCACTATCCTCTCCATGTCTTGCATATTCGCGCGCAGGGCTCTTTTAGCAGTGCAATACGTCCTCGAGCGGACTAGTGCAGCTTGGAACTGATTGCATTATCATGAACGTCCCCGCGGAGGCAACTTCACCGCGAGAAGTGCTGCCAAGTGCTCGACAACTCGGAAGCCTGGCGTTATGGAACTTCAGAAACGCCGTGATGGTACCTGCTTTAAAGTCATTCGGGTGCTTGTCCTTCCAACTTTCGTTGCCGCCGTGCCGAAAACCCATGGCATTTTCTCACCTTCTGGTTCTATGCTGTTGGAACGTTGGTTGCTCCGGAAATAATCACAGAGGACCTTCACTTCGTCTCACAGTCTGAAAGCACCTAGGACATAGTACGTACTGACTTCTCTTGACAAACTCTCACCTATATGGATGCAGACGCCTTTCCTAGGCTCCTGGGGAACTAGGACGGCTGTAAGGCTGTAAGGCTCCCCGCGGAATACTCGTCCCGATTTTTGTGATTTTTGATCCCCCTTGTCTTATTCAGTCGATTTCCCTTCTAGCTGTCTTCGCCTCCGTCTCCGCTCCTATATTGACCCGTGAGGCTGTGAATGCCGCTTCCCTTCGTCCGTCCATTGTCAAGAGCTTTGGCGACGGATGCAAGAAATTCAGGCGGGAAATCGGCTACTCCTTCATCGCGACCTCAGTTACGAAGAGCAGCGCCGAAAATGCACGGTATAAAAGGTATGTAATATCTCGACGACCCTAACAGCGACAAGTACACCTCTCACACGCAGTGCTACTCGTTTTCTCACCGATTGCTTACCCTTTCATATACAACGATGCCTTGTGGATTCAGATCTTGCTGTGTGAGTGAGCGTTCTGCCAGCTTTGGCCTGGGTCCCTTTGCTGAGTCGACCGGCTCAGATGTGCGGCGGGCCGATCCCCAGAGGATGTGGTGGCTACTCGTGTTGCTGCTCCCAAGGCTGTCATCAACGGCACTGCCCTCCTCCCGGTGCGTAGTTATTCGTTCGTGTCTCCTACTGCTGAGACAAGTTGTTCGTCGTACATACAGGAGGACACCTGTGCCCAGTGGTCAGTCGCTGCTTTATATCACGCGTCCTGTCTCTGACATTTATGTACAGGGCGGTTGTGGTGTCATGGTTGACAGTGGCCACTGCTGCTGCGGTGCCGCGCACCACATGATACACTGCGGATACAACACTTCTGGTACGTTTGCGTTCTCAAAACACATACACCCTGATACTGATGATACGCAGGATGTTGGCCTGGTGGAGGACACAGGTGTCCAGCGGCGAGTCTTATATCGCCTGCTGATTGTGTTCTTGTCTGACTTGATGTTATAATCAGCCTGGATGTGGCAATATGGTCCCCTCTGGAAATTGTTGCTGCTCGCCTCGTTGCCACCAGAGGCACTGTTGAATACTGTGAGTCGTTAAATTGTTTGAATTCACCATCATTATAATTGAATCTTGTACTCTAGGTTCCCGGTATGAAAGAGACAATGAAGGCGGCATGCATACAAGCACGAAACACTTACTTCGGAACTTCTGCTCCCGCCGTGCAGTTCCTCAAATTCCGCTGCCTTTCTCAGACAGACTCTTCAAAAATTCACTACTACTTCTCATATACCGCTGTGCACTGCAGACCCATATTATAGCCGGTGCAGTGTGGAGATTCCTTGTAATAATTACCTTCTCTTGCAACACCATTTTCTGTCCGACGGGGAGGTTTGCCCAATGTTTCGTGTAGAAGTTGTGGCTTCGAATTCCTGGAGTCAAACGTTTATTGCTGTAATGCACAGAGAGACTACTCGTCTACTTGTCTACGCAAATCGCGGCTCGTATGTTATTTTTTGACTTCTGCCCCGTCGGAGAAGTAACTTCGATCAAAACTGATCGACGATCAGATATCGGGTTTTCCCTAGATAAACGTTTTTTCTTTTTGAAATTTGACCACAGCAATCATAATTTATGTATTTAATCTCTGGCCAGCGTCACCGCCATACGAAGACTGCGGCCCAGCAATCAGCGTCTGAGACTGGACACTGATATGGATCAGACTCAAGGCGGCCGTCCTGAATTCAAGAACTTTGGAACCTCGTATTTCCTTATTATCATCCCGTACCCTCCCTTGGTAAATGGGGATGATTTTGCAAGCTGAGATTCCCGGGGCTATTTGTCCCGGGCGAACATGCCCAAACCCGAGTCTGTGGACCGTGGCTGCTCACGTGAAACTTCTCTAACAGGTCTTTCATAAGCATTTATTCAAGTCTTCGTTACTCCCCACGTATCTACGGTGACCAGCGGCCCTTTATGACGGAACACAAATGCCTAAGTGAGTATTCTACTGCTCAGCCGCGTCAATTTGTCTGCGCTGATTCTCTCAGTCGCCCGGAGTGCGCATTAAATCCTTTGGCACTCGGCAGCGTATCTTTCGCGGCCGACCTTTAATTCCGAAAGTCTTCCTGAGTTGTCAATCTTCTTACTCTCGTATAGACAGACTCATAGCCTTCGTATCCACCGGAAGTTCTCCGCAGAAACATGTGACACGCATTCAATTGCATGTTGCACTCTATGCAGAGGTTCTCGGATAGCCCCTTCTTCATTCCAGTTAATGGCATGGTGCGCCCATTGCCCCTGGAATTCTGCTGCGCTGTGTTCGGCAACGGCTGCATGGTTCATCTGACCGCTCCTCGGCAGTTGAAAGGCTCACGCTTTCCCACTGTAGCTTCCTCGGCGTTGAACTACTTCATATATGTCGCTTCACACCGGCCTTTACCTTGCAGATGGACCAGCGGCATTATGATCACGCCGTTGATTCTAAAACTCCCGCCAATACATGGATTGCGCACCTTTGAACCCCTTTTGGATTGCTTTGGTCTGGCAGCATTCTGCAACACTGAAGCTCTACCGCGAACCTGGTTCAGATCTTCCCACATTGCGATTCTCCTCATGTAAAGTGGCGATTAACCGCTATCGGGCAGATGCTATTGTATTCATTCGTGCGTCACCCGGCGTGTGGTTTCCATCCAGCTGATGTTCAAGCGCACAGGTCTTTGTCGCGATTGGACCGTAAGGCAGTGAAGTCCCTTCTTCCTGTTGTTCTTATGCCGTGATTCACGAGGTTCCATCGTGCTCACGTTGTGATGCAATGCCTTCGCTAGCGCACCGCCCACCTTTTCCCATTGTGTTTGGCGCCGCGGTGGTTTGATGACTGCGAGGCGGCGATATAACACTGACAGGCCTTAACACTTCTCAATATGAACAATACATTCTGGGCAAATACCGCCTTTAACAAAGCGCTCGCAAACACCCACGGAAGAGGGATAAAAGGCCTCGCAGATATCGCTCACCCCACCATCAGCAACTCACTCCTCACTTGCGAGCCAAGTTCTCTTTCACTGCACATTACTACAATCCCCTCTTCCTAGCACAACTACGATGCCTCACCATCATCACAAGCACGGCCACCACAAGCACCATGGTGGAGGCGGCGGAGGATGCGGAGTAAGTGCTCGCCCGTATGGTGCTCGTCGTCGAGCACCCCGCTAACGAGACGCCACAGCCTTCAGGACACCAGTGCCCGGTGGTATGTCTCACCAAAGCCGGACGTACCGCCAGCCATGACCCGCTAACTAATTTTCTGATCTTCTCAGGGCGGGTGCGCCGTCATGGTGCCCATGGGCAACTGTTGCTGCTCTCCGGCGCACCATCAGATCCACGGCGGATTCCAGGTGCAGCAGCCGGCTCCGGGTACGTTCAAACAGTTATCATTCCTGTATCGTTCAGGATCGCTCATGCGGAGAATCAGTCTGCCAGCCTATCGTCTGGTGCCAGCCCCGCTGGTGCTGAGCAACCGACCTCTGCTCTGTAACATCAATGCAGCTTAAATCGATTTTTCTTCCTATTCATTTTCCAGAGCGAAGTTGTATAGCGCTTTAGACTGTTATTTTGTAGTACGAGGCCGGCGTCCCGCACACACGACATCGCTGCGTTCTCCTGGTACAAGTACGAGCATGCATGCACAAAGTATGTACCATGTGTTGCTGATGACATTACTATTATACACGATCCTTCCCACATGCATTTCCGCCATGCGTGATCGGCCAGTAGTCCACTATAATTGTCGATACTGCAACGACATGGCGTCTCCCGGGTTCTGTGTTGCAGAAGTTGAGATACTGAGCAAACAGAAAGGGACCGTAGATGCAATAAATCGATTACACCACCATGATAGTTACAGCGAAAACGACCGATACGCAGAAGACATATGCCACCTTGATACGGATGGGAGCATGTGGCAAGGACGCGAGGAGAGGGTGTTCTCGCGTTTAGTACACCCGCTTGAACGGCGGCACGGACTTGCACTCGTTCTCGTCCAGCGTAGCGCTCGTGACTGCGCGGTACTTGATGTCGACGTCGGGCGATGACGGGTCGTGCAGGAACGTCAGAGTGTGCTTCATCCAGTTGTCGTCGTCGCGCTACAAGTGAAGAGCAGTCAGCCAGAATAGCCGCCAGAGTGAATGAGAAGCTTACTTCGGGGTAGTCCTCGCGTGCGTGCGCACCGCGAGACTCCTTGCGTGCGGCGGCAGCGTTGATAGCCTGGACAGCATTTTGGAGAATGTTGCGGAGCTCTAGGGTCTCAACCAGATCGCTACAAGGCAAGGTTACAATGAACAAAAAGTGAACATTTTCAGGCAACGGAACATACGAGTTCCAAATCATACTGCGATCCTTGATGCCGACGTTGTCGTAGCTCTTGTAAATGGCACGAAGCTTCTGGACACCATGGTCCAAGCTTTCTTGCGTACTAGCGGACATTTTCAGTAAGGCCTTGAGGCAATATCGGATGACTTACCGGAAGACAGCAGCATCAGCTTGCATGGCCTTCTGCATATCCAACCGGATCTTCGCCGTAGGAAGAGGACCATCCGATTTCCTGGGCACAAACTCAGGACCAACCACAGAGTTGGGTCAGAGGCAAACCAACCTGATCTTGTCCAGGAACTCGATGCTCTCCATACCAGCCTCGTCGGGGATCGCCTTGTGGGGCTTGCCAGGCGTGAGCGTCTCCTTTATGTGGTGGGCACAAGCACGTCCGAAGACAACGATATCCAGAAGGGAGTTGGCACCGAGACGGTTCGCACCATGTACGGAAACACAGGCGGCTTCACCAGCTGCGTATAGACCCGGGACAACCTTGTCCTTGCCATCCTGGAGATGATTTTGTCAAAACAAATCAGATGGAACGACTCGATATTGCCAACCTTGTCGATGGTAAGGACCTCACCAGTATACTTAGTAGGAATACCACCCACTGAAAGAAATGTCAGATCAAAGACCGATCGGTGCCCACATGCCACGTACTGTTGTAGTGGACGGTGGGCAACACCGGGATGGGCTCCTTGGTGACATCAACACCAGTGAAAATAGCAGCAGTCTCCGAGATACCCGGGAGTCGCTCATGAAGAACCTCAGGAGGCAAGTGGCTGAGTTGCAGGTAGATGTGATCCTTCTCGGGCCCGACACCACGGCCCTCGCGGATCTCGATCGTCATGCTACGCGAGACGACATCACGAGATGCAAGATCTTTCGCAGTAGGGGCGTAACGTTCCATGAAGCGCTCACCCTCTCCGTTCAGGAGGTATCCACCCTCACCACGCGAACCTGAGCAAACATATTCAACACTCGCAGAGAACATTGGAAAACCGACGAACCTTCCGTTATCAGACATCCTGCTCCGTATATACCAGTAGGGTGGAACTGAATAAACTCCGGATCCTGGAGAGGAAGACCAGCTCTCACGACCATGGCGTTCCCATCGCCAGTGCACGTGTGGGCACTCGTGCAGCTGAAGTACGCACGCCCATACCCGCCTGTCGCCAACACAGTCTTATGAGAGCGGAAGCGGTGCAGAGTGCCGTCCTCCATGTTCAGCGCGATAACGCCAACACACTCGCCACCCTGCATGATCAGGTCCAGCGCGAAGTACTCGATGAAAAAGTTGGTGTTGTGCCGGAGGGACTGGCCGTATAGCGTGTGCAGAAGCGCGTGACCGGTACGGTCGGCGGCCGCAGCGCAGCGGTACGCCTGGCCGCCCTTGCCGAACTTCAGCGACTGACCACCGAACGCACGCTGATAGATCTTGCCTTCCTCTGTTCGGGAAAAGGGTACACCGTAGTGCTCGAGCTGGGAGTAGAGTTAGGAGGTGGGGCACCTATGCCAGGATTCTGTAGATCATACCTCAATGACAGTGTGGGGTGCTTCTCGGCACATGTAGTGGATAGCGTCCTGGTCGCCCAACCAATCTGAACCCTTGACCTAAAGAGAGAATGGATGACCGCGTGGAGAACGCGCTAGCAAAGAGAATCTTACCGTGTCGTACATATGCCACCGCCAGTCATCTTCTGACATATTCTGGTGAATGCCCAGTTCAGTACCATGCACGACAAAATTGTCCTCTTATGTACTCACTCCAAGTGCAGCATTGATGCCTCCCTGTCGGTGTATTAGATCCGGCACGACGTCATGAGAAATGATAACACACCTGAGCAGCGACAGTGTGACTACGTGTAGGGAAGAGCTTGGTGATACAAGCAGTGTTGAAACCAGCCTCAGCAAGACCAAACGCAGCGCGCAGACCCGCACCTCCGGCTCCTCTGACGACCGTGTTACTGAGGATCCACAACGCACGTAACTCCAGCACTCACACAACAATGGCGTCGTATTCATGTTCAATCAAAGGGTATTTTCCAGACGCCCACGACTTCATACTGGCCGTCAATAGCAGGCCAGCATCAACGTAGCGAAAGCCGTACTTGCACCTCCTCAGCCCTGACAGGGTTTGTCGCGACAACTCTGTGTGCGGGTACTGAGCTGTGAAAACAGCGGTTGGATGCGCGCAACGCCCTGGGCAGTGAAGTTCTGATCATGTCGCAGCGAGGAGGACGCGCCGGACGATGAGGAGGATGGAGAGGACGGTGGTAAAGACGTCGAGGATGGCGAGCACGAGCCTCGGTCTATAGTTCGGGCCTACGACCGATAATGCCCGTCGGTCTCCGACAACCGTGCCAACCAATCCCCACCTTCCTATTCCATGTCCGCCTGTCGGGATCGGCGCATCTAGATCCATCAACGTGTGTATTGTCAACTGTCTAAATTTGCAGGTACGACAAATCCGAAAATATAAATGTCTACGGGAGGGCACCCAACGGGTCCTGCTGCACTCCATGACGCGGGGGATATCCTGGCGATGTAGCAGATTCTACTACTGGGGAAGGGCGTAGTGGTGGGGTATATGCAGAAGGCACAACACCAGGGTGAGTCGCCGTGGACGTGCGTGGAGGAAGACGGGGCAAGTTCGGAATAGGCGGGGCTTTACTGGAGAAATTCGAGCGTGTATGGTTCCACGGCGCCATCGGAACCCCCTTGCTGTTGGGCGTCGAGAGTGAAGGTGACGCCGTCGAGGAGGGGGGTTGAGGAGACAGCCTAGCAACAGGAATCGACGCCCTGGACTGGGAACGCATGGTGGACGAGAAGTAGTCCGACGGCATACCAGATCCCAATGCCTGTGGACGTGTTTCAGCAGGAGGAGGTGCTGCAGGCTGTGGTGGTGCAGGCATCGCAAGCTGCTCTTCTTTCGCCTGCCTCCTCTTGAACTCCTCCTCTCCTACCAACCGCTCCTCCTCGACCACGGTTACCGTCCCTCGTAGCACGTCCCTGACGTACGATAGACACTCTAGCGCTTCCCGCTTCCTGTTCTGGACCGCTCGCGCACGGTCTTCGTTGGGACCGGTGCTCTCGTCTAACAAGAGGGTGTCAACAATCCACGACACCGAGTCCCCCAGACGCTTCTGAAGCGACTGCATCTGCGCAACTTCGCGATCCACCTCAAACCGTATGCGAGACTCCCAAGGCGGGCGCTCACTAGGCAGCCTCTCATCAGTGAGGGGATACGCAGCATATGCCGTTTGTGGCGTCATCGGGAACCGTCCCAGCGAGTTGGTCAAGTCCGGGAGATTCCGCTGCATATCGCTGAGCAATGAACGCGCCAGTGCCTCGATAGTTGAGCTTACCTTCAGCTCCGAGACGGCGTTCATCACGGTCTTGTTGATCCCGAGGCTCTCGCCTCGTTCCAGCAGTCCCCGGGCGAGCATCTCGGATAGGCCCAAGGGGGTGGACTGCTGGCGCCCATGCGCGGATTTGCTGCTTTGGCCTGCCCTCGACGCAGCCTCGGACGAGAAAGACATCCCCCACTCTCCAGGTCGCTGTCTACGGCGCATGGGCGGCGGTGGCGACGGTTCAGGCACCTCGATAGGAATACTGAGCAGGTTCCTGTTCTCGTGTATCACTGAGACGCCGGCAGCGGGGCTTGGAGACATTTGCAAGGTCAGTGCTTGGTGGAGGAGGAGCGTAGCGTGATGTACAGCTGGTGCTTCTGCAGAAGGTGGCTGTGAAGGGTATCGTAGGAGGTAAGTGAGTTGACCACTGTAATCAGACGGAATCACTGGGCAAGTTAGTCATTAATCGCGAGATAAACTGATGGACAGAGCTCACATTGGTTGCGTATGCGAATCAGCATGGCCACACATAACCATTGCGCGAGATCGAAGGAAGGATCACAGGCAAATAGGCCGTCCCATATAATCATGGCATCCTGCATACTGAACTCTCGGGTGAAAAGTAATCGTAGCCACCGTCTGATCAACGCGAAGAAAGTCAGCATAACACTTTCGACAATCGTAAAAGTAGGGCGCCCTACATTCCGTATATCTGTGGCTCAATGCCTGCACTCTGCATGCGCCGCCAGAGCTCTGGGTCTACGGATTTCAGGTACGTCGACTGTATTCGGTTGCACGCGTCCACTATCGGCGCGACATACGGCTTCAACCTGGTCTCACCCGAGGGTATGTTCAGCTGAACGTGTGACCCGAGAGGCGACGTATCCGCTGGGCTCTGCGACTCACGCCACTCATACCACCGACCAACGCCGCGCATGACAGACACAAAGAGCGACCAGGCGTCTGAAGCAACCCATGTGCGGGAGCAGAATTCCTTCACTGGACTATCATCCAGTCCTGGCTCGTCTTCAGTAACCGAGTCGTAGTCCACGGCAAAATACAGCGGGGCGAGCAGCTCGTGCATTCCTTGCCGGTACCCGACATCTGGATGCATGACGGAGTGAACGAACAGGATGTTTGTGAGTTGTGCTTGCACTTCTGGGTCACGGAAATAACCAACGTCGGGGAAGCTGTGGATAAAGAGATTAATAGGGCTTCTAGTCATACAGAGTGTGGCGTACGTGCGCTCAACGTCCTGGAGAATTGTCTTTCGCAAATCAACCGACTCAAACCATTTCGTCCAAGGATTCTGCGGTATCGATATTCTCAGCAAACTCGAAACAGCCGCACTTGGCGAATGATGTCCGAACCTCGTCGTGTAGACTCAGTGGATTGTTCTTCTCTAAATTCTGCTTTGAGAGGTCCACCCTCGGTGGCGATGTCGCAAGACCGGGGATGACGAGCCCTTCCTCGTAGCTTCCATCTGGAGAGCGCATCTTTTCCAGCAGTAACTTAGTGTATTCTTTACGAGATACTCGTAATGATTCGAGAGGTGCGATGGCCACCACATCATGGGGCATTTGAAGGGGCTCTGCTTGCAGCAGGAACAGCTTCCAGAAGGACCAACTTCAGCAATGAGTGACATGCTATTGGAGATAGACAAAAGTAACAACACACCTTCCAAGCCATGCTCCTCCCTGGCACACCGTCTGCATCGTCTGAGCCGCGGAAGAGACGACCACCTAGCGCGGCGTCCTTGATCTTGGACATGTTGAAAGCAGAATTGAACAGGTAGTCATATGCGTCCCTGTCGCAGCAAGAGGTTACAGGACTAATCCTCTGAACCAAAAGGTCAAGCGTAGTAAGACGGACTTGATCTCTTTGACATCAGGCCTGGTTCGCTCGGTCATGACCCAGACAAATCGTCAGACGACAAGTCTCAGAGATAAAAGTTGAATCCGACCGAGGATGAATACGAAGAAGAATATCGGAGCGGGATTGGCAGTTGTGCCGCGAAAGATCATGCAGGTCGGTCACGATCAGATCGTCCGGGCGCTTTCTTCTTTACTACTCTGCGCAGCTCTCGTACAGAGTGACCTGCCCTATGTTTTCTCTGAAATATATCGCCTAGTAATCCCACTATGCCTCCTCGGCGACGGCCCCAATTCACGCAGGAGAATATTGACCAGCACCTCCAGCAAATTCACTTCCTCGACCAGTCCTCGTCTTCGGAGAACCTCGAGCAGCTCGGGCCTATAATCAAGCAGATACACCAGAACCGGCAGCAAGATGCTTATCTGCGCACGGTGAATGCTCTAGTTGAATCCAAGGATGCCGAGATAGAGACCATATGCTCGGATAACTACCAAGAGTTCATCGGCTCCGTCTCTACACTGTTCTCTATCAAGTCGTACACGACGAACTTGCGAGACAAGATCACGACCCTGGATGCCAGCGTCGAGCAGGCCGGACGCGGTCTCGTCGAGAAGAAGAAGGCGCTACTGCAGTCCAAGAAGACCGCCGCCAACCTCGACGAGGCCATTGATGGCCTCCAGGCATGTCTGCGCGTCCTTGACGTCGTGAACCGCGTCGGCGAGATGATCAAGGAGGGGCGGTACTGGAGTGCGTTACGGGTCCGTAACTCTCGTTGTCTGTATAACGTATACATGTAATGAATGCAATCTTCGTTCTCCAGTCTCTGGAAGATATTGAGAGTATGCCTTCGACGTCGCTGTCGCAGAGCCCGCTGTTCCAGCACTTACTTTCCTCGCTACCATCACTAAGGGGCCAAATCAAAGGTGCAGTCACTGCCTCAGTGAAGCAATGGCTCTTAGACATCAGAAATGTCAGTGCACAGCTGGGACAACTTGCGTTGGAAGCCATGGAGCTTCGGAATCGGAAATGGAGAAGCAGGAGAGAGAAGGACCCAATGCTTAAGCTGAGCCGAGTGGGCAGCGCGGTCGAAGTCGTTACAAACGAGAAGACGGAATGTAGGCCTCACTCGTCTGACCAGCTGAAGCCATGCTAAGAGTGGTTGCAGACAATGTCTTGGATAATGATCAACTGAAGGTTGACTTCAAGCCGCTATACGAATGCATCCATATTTACAGTGCGCTCGATTCTCTGGACGAAATTCGACGTTCATACCAGCAGGATCGCAAGGCGCGTACTAGAATGTTCTCCCCCTTTACCATTATTGATGCCGGTTAACAGGCCCAATCCGACCTTATTCTTCCTGAACCACTCCCACTTTCCTCCCTACCATCCGTTACCCAAGAAATAGTAGGTTTCTTCATCATCGAAACCCATGTCCTCCATACCACGGGAAGCTTCCGGTCCGAGAGGGAAGTTGAAGACCTCTGGGATGCGATCGTGAAGCGCGTTGGTACTGCAGTTGAGAATTCTCTCAGGAACTCAACCGATCCAGACGCGTATCTGCGAGTAAAAGAGAGCTTGCTTGCTTTCGTGATGACCCTTGAGGTTAGTCCCTACCGTGCACTGGCTGTTGCTTCGGCTCATGCACGAGAATGCAGTCCTTCTTCTATTCCACCAACAGCGTGCATTCTTTCATCCTCGTCTTATTTGAGAAGTACGTTGGCATATTAGAGAAACAGTTCGGCAAGCGCTTTGAAAGCGTTCGTGTGACCTTTCACCTGTTCGATCTACTTCATGACATTCGTCTCAGATTGTGACGCAAGACGATTGCCTACCGATGTATGTTGAGCAACCACTTGAGAGGAGCAAAGTACTTGATACTGTATGGCTCGGCCGAGAGGAGAGGGATTACCTGTCCAAGTGAGCCACTCCGTGAAAAGTGCAGAACGACCACTAACGTTCTTGCTTTTGCAGGAGTGCCCTGCCGCTCACTCTGCCGTGGTCTCAAAGCTTCTATCTATGCTGCCAGGACGTGAGTAGTCTCACCGCCCCTTCACTATAAACCCTATCATTCTGACCTTCACGCCAGATACGCAGCTTCGTGCAGAACTTTTACCAGTTCATCGAAGGTGTATCCCAACATCATCGCAACATTGACGACTTGTTGAGCAAGGTATTTACTCTTCGATTCATGTCGCATACTATAGCGACTGACGACTCCTCTAGTCGCTGGACACGATACTGACAGCGTATATCAGCGAGAGCATCGCGCGGCGGGCTCAGAGTACATCAAATTTGTCTCAAATTACCCAGATTGTCACCAACTTGGAGCACTTCGAAGTCGCCTGTGCCGAGCTGGAGCGCTCTCTGACGAACATCCGGTGCGCATCGTACTCACACATCTAACCACGCTGTGCTCACTCTTTCGTCATGCACGCAGCTCCGCACAGCGCGGCGGGGCCATCCGCGTGACGGCCGCCGCATCCTTCGCCGCGACGCTCTCTCGCGCGCTGGCACGGGTGACGGCGTCCATCACGTCGAAGCTGGACGATTTCTTCGGGCTCGCGGAGTACGACTGGACGCCGGCAGCGCGGGAGGACGCGCCGAGCATGTACCTCTACGAGCTCGTGAATTGGCTCACGACTGTCGTGGACTCGCTCATCATCGAGGACGCGTACAAGCAGGAGGCATATCGCGGCGCGGTCGACTACATTGCTGACTGCTTCATGGTGCGTTGCGAATCGCTGGGATGGGGGCTGGTGGCTCATTCTGGCGTGCTGCTTAGGACTTCTTGACGGGCCGGCATACGCCCATGATCAACGAGAACGGGCTTGCAAACTTGCAGCTCGACATCGACTTCCTCGAGGACGAGTTTAAACGGAGTGGGCATGCCTTCCTCAACAACGCTTTCGTCGAGCTCCGAGCAGTACGCAGTCACCATGCTCTCTGCTTTTCGCACTCTGACATCCGTATCTCTAGATGATATTCATTGTCACGTCGGATAAGGTGCAAGATTACCTCGTACCGTCGACACGACAATCACAGTATGCCGTTGTGCGCGCCAAGCGCCTGCAGGCACTGCTGGAGAAGTTGGCGAGGTACGGCGGTGAATGCAGGGACGCCCCGTCGAGGGAGAGGGGGGAGAAGCGTAGAAAGGAAGCGGACGCTGTCGGCAGGCTGTTTCCCGAGGGACGTTCATGATTGTACTCTCTCTGCCTGTACGTATACCTGGAAACTCGAAATGTATCAGTCACTGCCCATCCTGCGTCCCGTACGTTATGCTTGATAGCCAAAGTACATATACCGGGCCCAGATTACCTTTTTTTCAGGAGTATTTACTCACACACATCGAAGTCTTAAGAAAGATAGATTTCATGATGTTAAGCCGACTGGGGGCAGCCCATTCCTCGAGATGGGAACAGGAAGTAAGAGCTCCGTTATGTATATGACACAAATAGGTGAGGCGGTAAAACCAGAAGGACCACCGGCGGACTGAAGAGGCGACGCTGACAAGACTATGACATGTAAACTAAGTACTGAGCAGAGACGAGGCGGCACATGAACCCTTCTCAATATCGTGAGGATCGTAATACGACAGTGTTTGTAGGTATCCAGAAACGACGGCGAGAAGAGACGAAACTACACCCGTCGCTTGATGTTTGCGCTCAGCCACTCGAGACCTTCGTAGAGGCCATCTCCGCTGGTCGCGCACGCCGCCTTGTGGGATCGCGGTCAGTGGCAAATACACGGGAATCAGGATAGATTAGAACTTACCTGGATGAACCACGTCCTCTGCCTGAGGCCATGTAGACCGAGCTTGTCGGTAATCTCAGCAGCATTCATAGCATTGGGGAGATCCTGTTTGTTCGCAAAGACAAGGAGGAGCGCATCGCGGAGCTCATCCTCGTTGAGCATCCGCTGTAGCTCCTCGCGTGCCTCCGAAACACGTTCCCGGTCGTTGGAATCAACAACAAAAACGATAGCCTGAGTGTTCTGGAAGTCTGCAAGTAGTGAGCCAGTCAGGAAGCACCAAGTCAGGAGAGGTAGTCTGCACATACAATGCCTCCAAAGAGGACGAATCTTGTCCTGGCCTCCGATATCCCACACGGTGAACGAGATGTTCTTGTATTCCACAGTCTCGACATTGAAACCTGGGTACTTTACTCATCAGATCAAGCGAATGTCGAAAACCGGGCCGACTGACCGATCGTAGGAATAGTAGTCACGATCTCGCCGAGCTTCAGCTTATACAGAATGGTCGTTTTACCAGCTGCGTCTAAACCGACCTGGTGGGTATGTGAGTCAATACCGAATGCTAGAACTAGTTTTGGTGGTTTTCACCATCAGTATACCTAAAGAACGCGGACGGGTCAGACTCAAGACATGCCAGGTATCACTCATAAAGGACACTTACGCATCTCCCTCTTGCCGAAGAGGCCAGAAAGGAGGCGGGAGATTGAGAGCCCCATGGCTGGCTGTGTTCACGGAGGAATAAAGACAACAAAAAGGTTTGGAGGATGAAGAGTTGTAAAGAGGTTTTGGACTTGCTGGTTGAAGGAGTTGTGTGTGAGGCAATACCGTGACGGTTTCAAGCTCCCAAATATTACGTGTAAGTAGATGCGGGTGATGCCTTGGCGGCCCTCCTCGACTTTATACCGATCGCGGTCTCGGTGGGACACAAAGGCTATGTCGCTCCACGTCTAGCCTACGTGGTCTCTCATAGCCTCTGACACAATATTAATGACTCCCGACGTGTTATTGTATGACTCCCGGTGTCCGCAAAATATCTACAAATCTATAACACCGACTTACACTGCCTCCGCTTGACCGTGCAAGGGTCTTCATGCTCTGAAGGTTGCAATACCTGGCAAGTGAACATCGCAAAGGGGAACCTCACCTTTAGAGCTGCAGGGTACCGTCTCGAGCCATCGGCTCCGATCCCTGGCTGACAAGCCTGAAGACAATTGCAGACCGTCGAGACGGAACATGGGTGTTAACCGGTGCTGATGATCCATTTGGTGAAAGGACTGTTAGAATCAAATTCCGATTCCCGTAGGGGCTGTACCTGCGCTCCACTTGGTATCGTTTCTCCTTCAGTCTTCCCCGTCGCGGAGATAACTCCATTCGTCCATCTACTTTGATTCTTTCGTCTATATGGTGGGCCTCCGACAATCTCGATAAAAGGTCTCCCCTTTTCCTTTGCCCATCCAACAATCTGAAAGTCTTTTCACCATGTCACTGCCCACTTCCCTTGTCTTTGCTTTGCTCTTATCATTGCTGTTTGATGGTTACCCTTGCAACACTGCCGACGTTGTGCGTGCGAGTTGTTCTCAGTCGAAGCTTCTCAAAGTTACTGACCAGTCCGCTGTATGTATTCTCACTCTATGTACAACACGCTGCTAATGTGCAGCAGGCATTCCCCTTTGAATGCCTATGATGCGACAGGTTAGAGCTGCTAAGTATTGCTTTGCTGTGTGGAGGACTGGAGGATCAGTTGCCCTGTAAAGATATGGAAGACTTCATTTAGAGTAGTATTTTTTATTCTTGCATGTTTGGCATGTAATTCTTTTTCATCTCATGATTCACTACTATATCACACTCACTCTGAGACCAGGAATACCTTTGATCCTTTTTTCGAGTACTGTTTTGTATGTCTGTATTGTATGCTCTTCTATAATCTAGGTTACCCAATTTTTCCTGGAACCTCACACATATCCTATACTTGCATTACATTCCTCCTTGGCTTTACGAGGGAATCGGCCTGGGCATGCATCAGCATTGCCATTACCAACAAGTTTGGTGAAACACCTGTTGAATTAGAATCAGTATGTGAGGGGAACATAGGACATGTTGACGGCTTGCATGGTTTTTGCCTTGCGCTCGCCTCTCAATACAAGGCTCACAGCGGCGAATTCTGAGTTGATGATGATGAACTCAGAATTTATATACCGCAACAAGCAAACTACGTGCTAAGACGCGGTGGTCACCGGCCAGTACAAACTGTACGACAAGGAACCAATGTGATGGAAGTGGGGTGCATTGGGTGAGGCTTGAGAGTGATATAGTTGATAAAAGGTGTCCATGTGTAGGCATACGGGTGTCATAGCAGATCGACGCTGGAACCAAGACGAAAAGCAGAGACAAAAAGTCAGAAAACTCCCCTCCTCTCACTGACCTCCCGGCTTTTACTCTGTGCTTCAATGGGTCAGAACCGACAATGTCCACCTACACCTCCTGCTCAAGCTCCGCTCGCACCCCAACCATCCCAGACAAGGGTAGAGGGCCTCAGCATTCCTGCTGTACCACTCTCCATCCAACTACTGCGCTGTAAGGCTCCTGCAGAAACGCATTCCTGCTAGACCGGTGGTCTTCCGGGCCTCATGCTGTAGTTCTTCGGTAGATGCTCCTGTGAGTGGGTGGTGTAGGATGAAAGAGAAGGTGAACCGGAATGATAGGATATGGCTGCCATAGCTAAAATGAGGTATTACGTGGGCGGGCATATGGGTGAAGGTCGGAATCCGGATCCGGCGTGAGCCTCGCTATAGGATTAAATGAGGTGCTGAGTCCGCACACAGCGGGCGCAACAACTGGACATAGCTGGAAACCAGTCGACGGTGAGCCTTGGGTGTTAGTAGAGTCGAGGATCAATAAATGGGAGACAGAAAGGGTGGATGGATCGCGGTTGCACCGGATGTACCACCGTGGCAGCGGGTAAGAGTCGTCAGAGAACGCTGACAACTGGTAGCGGGTGCGACGAGGAGCTGTCGGCTTTAGGAGTCTGATGGAATTAGGGAGGTTGCGGGCCCTCCCTGTGCGTAGCTCAGGACATCCTCTCTTGCCCAGCTAAAAAGCGTGGGAAAACTTGGACCAGGTGGTGGTATCGGTTCAAGAGGCTCCCTGGCAAATTCTGAGTAATGATAGTGTGTTTTGCAGAATCTTTGGCGTTCGTTACATGATTTACCTTACTCTCTCAATCTGAAGTCCCAAAGTCAAGGGGCATGCACCGGCAGATTCCGAGACACAGGGTAGGGGGAGGGGGGGGGCCTCCGAGGTCCTTAACCGGAAATTATATATATATATTTAAAACCTGCATAAAATATCCTAAGCACCACATCGGTCGGAAGGGGCCAGCAGTCTCACGAATATAAGTTGTGGTGAGCACAGTCCTTTAAGCTTTAATTGTTTTCATTACTCTAACACCAACATCTCAAATCTTTAGCTGTTGCCCTCGAGTCCCACGGGCGAGCCATCTACCTATCAGCTGGACGGTCCTGATCTAGTGTTGCGGGCTCAACCTGTAACCAACCGGTTGGATATTCCTATTGATCCTAAGCTTCTACCTGAGAGTGAAGAGGATTTGGACATCGACATAGCAACCCAGCACTCGACGGAGCCAGTAAACTTGGAATCCCACGAGGTAGGGACTAGCATGGATACCGGTCAACCGGATGAATGATCCATGGATAGCAGTTGCGTGGATGTGGATATGGATGCGGATACTTTCTCACGGATAGGGCGAATAGACGGTTTTATCCACGGTTTTCGCTATACTTTCTGCCGACTCTGTCTCCTCTCATTGTAGCGCTCGTTTATACCCTCTTGATATGCTACATGCTAAGTCTTGATTGTATAGTCCTCTAATAATGAACAATACCATTGTCATTGCCACTACTAAGACATTTCCCACCTGAAATTTTCATGCAGCACAGCATGTCTTTGCAGACATTCAAGGCATCAATATTCAATGGCAGCGGGCTCCGATTTGTGACACTCTGCTGATGCCAGAATTCTCAGAGCTTACATGGATACTGAAGGCAAAGATGAGAAGTGATGCCGGTGAAATGTTAGTTCAAAAATGTCTATACTGCTCTGTATACTAGACAGTGTACTTGTGTCATGTTACCCAAACGTGGATGCATCTGCACCCGTACGGACAATATCCGCAGATGGCGGGGATTAAAAATATCCGTGGATATTCATCCGGATAGACATCCGGATGATCCATGCTAGTCCCTACCACGAGGAGACGTTCTGCTGGTGTCAAGGTCCTGAATTGGGGGAGGCAGTACATCTGGCTGTAAGCATTGACTTATCATTATTTTTTGTCATTGTATCTCACGTCCGCATTATCCTGCTGTCAGTACCACTTTGAATGTGTCGACCTCCTGAAACCACCGAAAGGCCCATGGTTTTGCACGGATGAATGCCATGCAAAATATCAGAAATCTCATGCGCACAAGAAAAGGAGAACAAGGTATTGATCGGCATGTAGTTACAGAGCTATATCGATAGTATATGCATCAAAAAACCTTTGTCTCTACTCTCCATGCATACAGAGACCTTCCACATATGGACCGTGGGAAATTCCCACGGGGGAGGGGGGTGTCTCAAGGGTGCTTAACCGGATTTTCTAACCCTGTGTCTTATTGCCGTTTGCAGAAGAATTGGCGGTCGCGCATTTCACGTGCGTCTTGCAGAAATACGACGCTCGATCTTCCGAGCTTCATATCTCCTTGACTGTCACTCGGACTACCTTGAACACATATATATTCCGAATCCTCTCATCGAGGACATGTGCACCCCAGTATCAGATCCGCGGTAAGTGCTGTGGGACGTGAGGTCTCGAGAGGTGACCTGTATACCAACATATTGCCTGTATCTCGAAAATGATGAAATATATTTTGATCAACACTATGCTACTGTATTCCTGACGTGTATGTGGAATGCGCCCCAGCAAAATTAGGAATGGACTTCAACATCGGACCAGCACTGTGCAGACAATCCACAGCTTCTTGTAAGAAGGCCGAGTTTCTTCACCACATAAGACATTCACAACAATATGTCACTCACCCAGACATCCTGAGCTACTGCCAATCCGACACATACACACCCTCCAGAAGATTTTGCGCAAGTCATTCTCCCATGCCACTGGTAGTCAGACAGCACCCGGCCGACTATATGCCTCATGAACACTTGTATTGAGTGATTGTCGGCGTGGTGAGATTGCAGAACATGTCAAGAAGTATACCGTACAGGCCATCAGAGAGAGCATAGCAGTGAGCCATGAGTGTAGGAGCCAAAGACGTGCGAGACTAGCCGACAACGAGGATGTCTATATGGCACAGCTCCAACATCGAACTCCGGTCCTGATTTTGCTGGGGCGCATTCCACATACACGTCTGGAATACAGTAGCATAGTGTTGATCAAAATATATTTCATCGTTTTCGAGATACAGGCAATATGTTGGTATACAGGTCACCTCTCGAGACCTCACGTCCCACAGCACTTACCGCGGATCTGATACCGAGGCGCACATGTCCTCGATGAGAGGATTCAGAATATATGTGTGTTCAAGGTAGTCCGAATGACAGTCGAGGAGATATGAAGCTCGGAAGATCGAGCGTCGTATTTCTGCAAGACGCGCGTGAAATGCGCGACCGCCAATTCTTCTGCAAACGGCAATAAATCCGATTTATGCATGCCCCTTGCCCAAAGTCGCTAATTTCACTCTGACGGCCGTCCAAACACGGGCTTCAGCACTAACTCGATGACATAGGAAGAATCCTTAGAATCAACTTCTGGAAGCCTGGTTGTACTATAACACCGCCATGATCACGTTTACCCCGCTGTCGGGCGCTGCTCACTCTTCTCGCACCGTTCCACTCGCTTATATTCTCCAGGTCGACGATGTTCGCATCCTCCTTGATTGTGGTTCACCAGATTGGTGTCCAGAAAATGCATCTACTGGGAAGCAGGAGGAGCATTCATGGGAGAAGTATTGTGAGGCGTTGGAGGAGTAAGTCTTGTCTCAGTTAGCGTTGTGTTAAGCAGGGTGTAGCCTCGTCCGTCATCCAGCAGTCGTTGTGCGCAGCTGCATGATTTGTTTGCGTGACGTTTGCACGTTACAGGCCAAGTTCGTCGGAGTGTTGTTTGGCTCTCGTGGTGATGCAATGTTCCGCCTCATTCCCGCGGGCAGTGCCACGAGCTTCGAGGCTGCAATGACCGGTTGTGCATGCTAACGATATTTTCCAGCGCTGCTCCGAACGTCGACTTGGTTCTTTTGTCACACGGCGATCTTGCGCACTCTGGACTATACGCCTATGCATATTCTCACTGGAATCTAACTGCACCCGCCTATACGACTCTTCCCGTACAAGCTATGGCCCGTATTGCTGCCACAGAAGATGCGGAGGGAATCCGTGACGAACAAGACGTTGGTGGACAAGACAAAGAGCAGCACAGTGCTTCCCCCGGTACAGATGAGCCCTCATCAGATGACGCTTCCGGCAGTACATCTGCACCTCGACCGCGCTCTGGAAAGTACATACCAACACTGCAGGAAGTACACGACGCATTCGATTCGGTCAACGTCTTGCGGTACTCTCAGCCTTACCATCTTCAAGGTACCGATATTTGCCCTCTATCTTACGCCTGCAGCTGAACTGTCACTCAGGAAAGTGCCAGGGCATCACTGTCATCCCTTTCAACGCTGGACACACGCTTGGGGGCACCATTTGGAAGATCCGCTCACCGACTGCAGGGACGATCCTCTACGCAGTCGACATGAACCACATGCGCGAGCGTCATCTCGACGGAACGGTACTTATCCGCCAGGCGTCTGCAGGTGGCGGCGTCTTCGAGAGCCTTGCCCGCCCAGACTTGCTCATCACTGACGCGGAGCGTGCGGGAGTCACCACTGCGCGGCGGAAGGACCGAGATGCTGCATTACTCGGCACGTATCGTCTTTCTTTCTTTCGCACCACTACACCAGTCTAACTGATTTCGGTGCCCCGTAGACTGCGTCACCGCTACGCTCACTTCACGTAACTCGCTGCTGCTCCCGTGCGACTCGAGCACGCGCGTGCTTGAGCTCCTCGTGCTACTTGACCAGCACTGGAACTACTCACGCCTGAAGTATCCAATCTGCCTGCTCTCGCGCACGGGGCGCGAGATGCTCACGTTCGTGCGCAGCATGATGGAATGGCTCGGCGGGACGGTCAGCAAGGAGGATGTCGGCGAGGAAGGCACGGGCCCTGCGGGAAGGAAGGGGACGAAACGGAGAAGGGACGAAGATGGAGACGAAGATGCTTTGGGCGCATTTGCGCTGCGGTTCAGGTAAAAAAACACTAGTCCATTCGTCGCCGTTGAAGGGTACTAATCATACGCGCACGGCTTAGGCACCTAGAGTTCTTCCCGAGCCCACAAGCGCTCCTCCAGACCTATTCCTCGAAAGATCCGAAGCTAATTCTCGCAGTTCCCGCCTCACTATCGCACGGCCCTTCTCGCGCGTTGTTTTCCGAGTTCGCTGAAACCCCAGATAATGTTGTCCTCCTCACCGGGCGCAGCGAGGAAGGCACGCTCGGGCGGATGCTTTTCGATCGGTGGAACGACGCTCAACGGGATGACTCGAAGTGGGATCGCGGCAAGATCGGCAACAACGTCATGATGGACGGTTCGTTGCGGCTGCAGGTCTGTGTCCCTCTTGCCGACACTGTCGCCCATGTGCTAACTATATGAACTCAAATGTAGATGCATGCGAAGGTACCTTTGCAGGGCGCAGAGCTCGAGGCCCACCTACAAAGGGAGCGGGCGGCGAAGGAGAAGGAGGCCGCACATGAGGCCGCTCTGGCACGCAACCAGCGGCTGCTCGAGGCGGACGACGACGAGGATAGCGACTCGGATTCTGACGCCGATTCTGACGAGGAGAACGAGGTGGAGCGCTCGCTGGGCGAGGACCTCATGGACACCAAAGAGGATTCTGTGGGTGCGCAAAGTCGTTCCGCAGAGAACGGGCGTGTGAAGCGCAAGACCACCAAGGGCGGTGCGGCGGACGGGGCGGACTGGGGTATGGGCATGGATGCGGACGAAGGGCAACAGATGCGGACGCTCTCGTTTGATATATACCTGAAGGGCAATGTCTCACGCGCGACGTCATTTTTCAAGAGCGCGGAGGGTCAGACACAGCGGTTCCGCATGTTCCCGTATGTGGAGAAGAAGCGGCGTGTGGACGAGTACGGCGAGATGCTGGATGTGGGCATGTGGCTACGCAAGGGAAAGGTGCTGGAGGAGGACGCGGAGAGCGAGGAGGTCAAGGAGTTGCGGAGGAAGGCAGAAGAGGAAGCTAAGGTATGTCTCCGTCGTCTCTGGGTAACGGAGGGTGCTCAATAACCTGGCTGTCTCTTTAGAAAGTCCCAGTGGAACCGCCTTCAAAATTCGTGAGCAAGGATATTGAAGTCCAGTTGGCGTGTCGCCTGTTTTTCGTGGACCTGGCAGGCTTGAACGATGGGCGTGCAGTGAAAACGATCGTGCCTCAAGTCCATCCTAGAAAAATGGTGCGTGCTACGCATTGTCCTCCACCTTCTCCGTCTCACTTCGGACTTTTGTGTTTCACCTCCAAGATCGTCGTGCATGCCCCATCAAGCGCTACAAACATACTTCTGGAGAGCTGTTCGAAGATCCGCGCCATGACACGAGATATCTATGCCCCTGCCCAGGGCGAGAGTATCCAGATCGGACAGCACACGAACAGCTTTTCAATATCTCTCAGCGACGAGCTTCTCACATCAATAAAAATGTCACAAGTAGGTGAACTACCCTTCCTTGTATGAGCGCTCTTGCCAATACGTTTCGCAGTTTGAAGACAACGAAGTCGGCTACGTAACAGGCCGCATCGCAAGTCTTGCAAGCTCTACGATCCCCGTTCTCGAACCGGTGTCTGCAGCACCCCTTTCCTCTGAATCCGAGCCCAGAAAGTCGGTTCAGAGACGTATGCTCGGCTCACGTTCGGTAGCAACCCTAGCACAGTCTACTATGATTGGTGAGCTGAAGCTGACCGCACTGAAGAAGCGTCTCGCCGACGTGGGTGTCCAAGCGGAGCTCGTCGGCGAAGGTGTATTGATATGCGGTGCGGCGGCGAAGAGAGGAAGCGCCCCGGACTCGCTCGAGGATTCGGTCGCCGTAAAGAAGACTGCGCGGGGACGGGTCGAGCTGGAGGGATCTGTGTCTCATGTGTACTACGTCGTTCGCAGAGAGATCTATAATCTGCATGCCCTTGTTGCGGCGTAATCTTATGGTAATGTGCTTTTGAACCATCGCTTCAGAGGACCTTCAGATGAATTTGAAGGTTATAGGGCCCTTATACTGGGAGGATGTTTGGCAAGATTCTGATCCTAATAAACAATTATCTATCTCGGAGCAATTTTGACGTATGTAGACTTTTTTCGGCAAAGATTTGGGAGACTTGGGAGTGCTGGGTCCGCTCTGCATACGGCACCGGGCCGGGGTCGAGTAAGTAAATCCGAGGCGAGTCCGAGCCGGATGACAACATAATTGACTCGACACAGGCGGTGAGCTCTCCTTACACCTATAATTTTCTATCCACCAAGCACGATGCCCTCGACGACGCTCGAGTTCGATGCGATGTACGTATCCTGCGTCGGGTCACACCCTGTCTATCCTTACGCAGTCTAACGCTGTTGCATACCACAGATTGTTCGATATGGACGGTACCCTCGTAGACTCCACCGCGGGCGTGGTCGGCGCGTGGTCGCTCTTCGCAGAATCATACCCCGGGATTAACGTCCACGAAATTCTCAGTTGTGAGTGTCTCTCGCCACACCGCGCTTGTTTGGACAGGTGGGAATGAGTCATGCTTACCCGGCGTTCACCCGTTCAGCCTCGCATGGGGTGCGGACCGTCGATAATTTACGGATACACTGTGGCGTGGAGGACCCAGAAGAGCTACAGGTCCGTGGTGTGTCAAATTCGTGCTCCGCAAAGGTTGACTGATGTGCTCGTAGCGAGAAGCCGTCCGCTTTGAGGAAGCCATCGTCTCCACTTCGAGCCTAAATGGCCGGAGAGGCATCGTTGCGCTCCCAGGGGCGCACGAAATCATCGACGACGTATTTCTCCTTCACCCAGTTGTTGGCGTCCAATGTTGATCTATGCCTGTCAGCTTTTGTCTGTTGCCAAGTTCCCCAAGCCCCGCTGGGCGATCTGCACGTCCGCGACGCGTAGTTACGCCTCAGCAGCGCTGAACCTCGCTGGCTTTCCATTACCCGACGTCCTCGTAGCCGCAGAAGATGTCACGAAGGGAAAACCCGAGTACGCATGTGCGCTCAACTCGTCGTCACAGAAGGCTGATGTGTTACACTGATGCAGGCCTGACCCATACCTGCTCGGTGCAAAACGATGCGGAGTCCCGCCGGAGCGTTGTCTGGTCATCGAAGACGCACCTTCCGGTGTTCGCAGCGGAAACGCGGCCGGATGCAAAACCCTGGCTTTACTGACAACGCATAGTCGCAAGCAAGTGGAGGATTCGCAGCCTGACTTCATTATCAAGGATCTGTCCAGGTAGGCTTATGGTTATATCTGTGAAGATTACTCGCGTCTGAATTTCTCCTCTCAGCGTCAACATGCGGAGAACAGAAAACGGCATCGAGGTGGAGATTAACATTGCCAGTGATTAACACCATCGAGTAGTGCGATTCAGCAGCATGTAAGATCCCGCAGAAGTATATGAGATATTAGAGCATAGAAGTCTAGAGGGACATTACAATCCGTATACAGCTGGACCCACCTTGTAGGTCATCCGGCTTTAATATACACATCAATTGGTCGTCGGAATCCTTTACACAAGTCCATGAGCTTGGGATATGAGTAGAGCCATCCTCTGAATACTCACCGCTCTGTCCGACCATGCCCAGATGTTGTGCGGGGCCGAAACCGATCTCAGTGAGGATCCTCTCGAAGTCTTCTGGTCGTAACTTCAACCCTTTGGCATTCTCTCTGAGTTTCTGTTCAAAAAAGAAAAATTCAATACAATTAAGCGGTCGAAGGAGATTCAGCGCACAGCATCCATGCGCTTAGCTTTAGCGTATGTATCCCAGTCTTGCGGCTCAAACACAAATGTGCCCCCCGGTCTTAGCACAGAATAAATGCGCCGGAAGAATTTCTTCAGCCCTTCATCTCCGCCATTGAGATGGATCCATTTAGATACCGAGAATCTGAAATAAAGCGTAAGCGAACGCAAGCAAAGTATCGAGACAACGACGGACGCGAGAATAACGTCGTATCCTTCTTTGTCTTCAGGGATCTCGCTGTTAACCCAATCGGCCGCGCGGAAGGCAACGTTATGCGGAAAGTTCGTGGAGTCGCCACTTTTGCACGTAGAAAGTATAGGTAGTGGCCCGAACATATGTTCACATGACAGGGGGAAGTAATCTGCTTGCGCGCGACCAGTACTCGTGCTTTCATCGTCCGAGGCGACTGATTCCCTCCTTCGTTTCCTGCCATTTGTCTGGGTCATGTTGGCATTCAATGTTTGGTTGTCTCTTGAAGGTTCCTGAGAGCTCCACACGGTGCGCCTCCGTTTCCATGCAGCCCTGATCAACGTGTCATCGATATCTACGCCGATGACTTTCTTCGCGCCCCATGACTGCGCTGGCTTTGCGACACGTCCCGGTGAGTGAGTTCGGCAGTACAAGATACATACAAGACTTACCTATCTCGCAAGTTACGAATCCTTCATTGCATCCCACATCCAAAACCCGCGCACCAGCGAAGGTGGAAGGAGGCAGTACTGCTAGTCGGGGATCACGCACAAACAGCCGCTTGGTGTAGTATCTGCGAAAGGATTTGTTACGCACTTCTTCAATTGTTTGGCTCGTGGTACCAACCCATGGTAGTTCCCGTGAACCGGCTGCGAGTTGCTCATCGTTCGTAGATAGCCCGATGTTGGCCGGCCGCCCTGCGCAAACGCGTCGACCTCACGTGCGAGACCGCATCGATCACGTGCAGGTCGCGCTCTCATCTACGCGCTTGAATCAGTGTGCATGGATCAACTATCATCCATAGCCATAAGACAGTCAGCAACTACTAGGTTCAATGCAAGCCCCTCTGATAATGTCGCGGACGGCCTTGATATCAGACTAAGTCAACAACGAAGACTAACAGAGAGCAGGAGCAGGAGCCTCAGGATGAGACTAGTCAGCAACGGATACTACGTAGGCGCCTCTGCGGATTTCCATCGTTCCTGCAACTTCAAGAATCCATTCTGTCAAGGGAAGGATATCGCGTAAAAGAGTTGAATAACTTATCAGAATACAGACGAAATAATGAAAGAGGCACGACTACAGAGCGACTATACCAACCGTTTATAGTACTCTTCCAAGTAATCCGTCGGTATTCACAGGATCTAATACTCAACCCCTTGCTCTTCGTCCTCCGGGGAGTCCAGACCTACCTCCTCATAGTCCTTCTCGAGCGCGGCAAGGTCTTCGCGAGCTTCCGAAAATTCACCCTGGGGAGATATGAGCACGCAGCCCGCGGAGCACGCGAAGTAAACACTGACCTCTTCCATGCCCTCACCGACGTACCAATGAACGAAGGCGCGCTTCGAATACATCAGGTCAAACTTGTAATCTACAAAATGCATCAGTTAGTCTGACCAACTAGCTCTCCGGCGAGAAGACACGTACCAAGTCGGCTCCAAGCGGCGGAAATGGACGTGGTACTTTAACGCCGCGCTTCAATTCAACTATCCTGTCACGTTGAATCGAAAGGGTGTGCTCACTTTGACAGCATGCACAAGCTGCGTGTCGTGCGGGCAAGGTCGCCGCCGGGCACGCACGCCGAAGGCTCATTACAGACTCCCAGCTATCACCGGCACGTCAGCTCAACCCGGATCGGACTTCAACCCAACGCACCTTGAAGCCCGTCCGGCACCAGTCCACGAACTGGATGGTCTTCTTCGTCTTGATGGTCGCGACGGCGGCCTGTACGTCCTTGGGTACGACGTCGCCGCGGTAGAAGAGGCCGCACGCCATGTACTTGCCCTCCTTTGGGTCGCACTTGACCATCTGGTTCCCCGTCTCGAAACACGAGAACGTCATCTCTGCAACGGAGTTTTGCTCGTGGTGTGCCTTCTCCGTGGACAGCAGCGGCGCAAACGAGGCGACAGGGAAGTGGATGCGCGGGAACGGCACGAGGTTCGTCTGGAACTCAGCAAGGTCGACGTTCATGGACCCGCCAAAGCGCAGCGACGCGGTCACGGACGAGACCACCTGCGCGATCAGTCTGTTCAAGTTCGTGAAGCTCGGCAGCGAAACGCCCAACCTCGTCTTGCAGATGTCGTAAATCGCTTCGTTGTCGACCTATTCACACGATATTCTCGGACATCGTTAGGAGACAAAGTACTGAGAGCACTCACTAAAAACGAGCAATCCGAATGCTCGAGCGTCGTGTGCGTCGTAAGCACAGAGTTGTACGGCTCGACGATGGAACTCGACAGCTGAGGCGCGGGGTATACACAAAACTCCAACTTGGACTTCTTGCCATAGTCTGCCGAGAGGCGCTCAAGGACCAGCGCGCCGAACCCTGAACCTGTTCCACCGCCAAATGAGTGGAAGACGAAAAATCCCTGCAGGCCGGAGCAGTTGTCTGCCAGGCGACGGATCCTGTCCATCACTGGGTCGATCATCTCCTTCCCGACGGTGTAGTGGCCGCGGGCATCTGAAAGACGGGTCAACGGCGCAGCTTGTGAATGACGAGACGAACATACAGTTGTTGGCTGCGTCTTCCTTGCCAGAAATCATCGTCTCGGGATGGAACAATGACCTGTACGGACCAGTCTTGACATCATCGATAGCACCGGGCTCAAGGTCGACATAGAGAGAGCGAGGGACATGTTTCCCAGAGTTGGTTTCAGAGAAAAAGCTGGTATGGTCGCTACCGGGTTTTACTTCGGTTATGCGACCGTCCGGCTGAGAGATCCATCAGCAGCCTTCACTGTCAGTATGCTAACACGTACTGTCATGCCATGCTCGAGTGTGTACAGCTCCCCTGCATAAACAATGATCAAGATCAACGCGCAAAAAAAGGGACAGACGAGCTTACAACACGCGTTGCCAATCTGAACGCCAGCTTGTCCAATATGGAGAGAGATAACTTCACGCATAATTGTCTTCGATGGCAGCAGGTCGTCGATTCGTGAACGACGCAGAGGCTGGGTGCCCAGAGATTGGGCTTAAATAGTGCCTCCCCCATAAAAGGCGACTGGGAGCCCACCAGCGCCCAAAGTCATAGTCTAATGAGTTTCTCGGTAAGCTTCTACTGTAAGTACGACCAGCATTAACTTCACTGGGACTCATGTCTCCCTCAGGTGGCTTCGTCCTTCAAAGCTTCATCTTTTATCGTTCCATAACCACGATTTAGTGGCTAAGGACTCCTCGAAGAAGGTGTGGGGTCGCGAAACGTTCGCCCCTTCTGAGAATCTCGTCGCGCGGGATAGTACCTTTTTTTCTGGTCATGACCTGGACGAAGAGATCCCTGCAGCCTGCACTTCGATCAGGGGTCACCCCTTCATGGGGCGGGGTTTGGACAGTGCAGTGGTTGGCAACGAATATGCTGAGGCGTTAGAAGCTTGCACACTGCTTGGTCGGGGCCAGGCAAACCTGATGGTAATATAGTTGCAATCGGTCATCCCGGCATAGGTACGCGTGTCTTTGTCTAGTCAAAGTCGGACTCCCAGCATCGCCGACAGGCAGGACGACATTAATGTCCTGACTTATCGGCTCCAGTGTCGTTTACTCACCTTCTACCAGGAAACTGCGGATTCCGTCCTTTACTTCCATGAATCGGGCATTTAGAGCATCCCAGCCAGTCAAATGCCGTACTCCGTGGACTGGAATTCGGATGATACTACTATTTCGTAGTCGTTCGACTGGAATGGCTACGTAACGAAACCCAGCTTTTTCTTTATGAAACCTACAAATTTCGCGGAGATTTTTATGGCGTGAGTTCCGCTGGCTATCTGCTATAAACCGTGAAACTTACCACATTGCTAGTCGTCTACACCAGAAGAAAGTCGTGGCAACAGAAGCAGAGTTTTGGCCCATCGGCTCGTGATGCCTTTAAAGGCCGTCGGAATCAGATCTGCCAAATGGACGCACATGGACGAAGGCTCCCACAGAAGACGCCTTATGCAGTCCGACCCTTACGACGGGGTGGAACACTTTTCTGCGACCACGAGGGAGGTTTTGGAGACCCTGTACGAGACGCATCTTGCGTCCCTACTCCCACACCCCACACCCCCACCTTGCACGCTTCTACCAGGACTACGGCTGTGTAGACCTCTATGCCCGCGCAGAACCCTAGGTTCCAGGAGGTCTTCTTCTCAATGCATGGTTCGACTGCGGAGTTCAAACTCGACCATTACTATCTACCCACACAACACGCATAGCCAAGTATTTCTTAGGGAAAAACCCTGAGAAAAATTCATAAAGTAAAGCACGAGAAAAAACTTTGAAAAAAGCATAATAAATTTTTGTGGGAAATACTGTGATTGTCCAATCAGCAGCTGAGAATCACAGTTTTTCCTGGAGAAATACTTTTTTCTATTTCCAGAGTTTTTCTGTGTGCTTTACTTTAACCATTTCTAGTGGTTTTTCCGCAAAAAATACTGGGCCATGCTTCTTGTGCCAGCGAAAAGAATAACGCGACTTCCGACTCCCTTATGTTCAAGCAGGAAAACGGACGAAACTGCGTTACAATGTTCCAGGTTACGCTGGCAGAGACGCACGACATCAAAAAGAAGGGGCTGGAGTTCTTGCAAGATGTATCCGCGATGTGTTGGCCGTGCAGAGTGATGCGCAGGCGGAATGCCTGTTCCTAGAAGAATGGGACGACAAGTGGCGGGACATCTTGGACGTATCTGCCCTAGAATTTGAATTGCGCTCCAATTGAAATGGACTGGCTGTGGTTGTATGGCCCGACTGTACATATAGTGCAGCGAAAACATTTGCAAGGCCGTACCAATAAAAAACTCAGATGTTTGCATTATCAATATTTTCAGTTTCTGAGTCATGGCTGCCAACAACCATCGTGCAATTCCCAATGTCAAGACATCGTCGCTCCGCTGAAATCCATGCATTATACGTTTAGCGTACGGATGGTATAGGTGGGACTGCTTGCGTAGAAAAATATAAGCCGAAACATTGATGATGGGCGTGATCGTGACAAGGAAAAGTGGACGACAAGGAGACAAGACGAAAACCATAAACAGCAACGAGAAGAGAAATCGGGCCTAACAAAGGAAGATGCTTAGTACTCGCCGACCTCCTCTACGTCAGCAGTGTCGATGCCGACTTCCTCATAATCCTTTTCCAGCGCGGCAAGATCCTCACGCGCCTCCGAGAACTCACCCTCCTCCATACCCTCACCGACATACCAATGGACGAATGCTCGCTTCGAGTACAGAAGATCAAACTTGTGGTCCAGACGGCTCCACGCAGTTGAGATCGCAGTGGTATTCGACAGCATGCACAAGCTGCGAGTGACCTTCGCCAGGTCGCCGCCAGGTATATGCGCCGGAGGCTCGTTGCAAATACCAAGCTTGAAGCCAGTCGGACACCAGTCGACAAACTGGATAGTCCGCTTCGTCTTGATGATGCTCACTGCGGCGTTAGTGTCCTTGGGGACGACATCACCGCGGTACAGGAGGGCGCAAGCCACTAAGTTATACAAGTCAACAAACAAGTATGTAACGTAGCATAAGCATACTCACTGTACTTGCCCTCCCTCGGATCGCACTTGACCATTTGGTTGCCGGGCTCAAAGCAAGAGAAGGTCATGTCAGCGACCGAGTTCTGCTCGTGGTGAGCCTTCTCCGCAGAGATGATGGGCGCGAAAGTCGCCAATGGGAAGTGAATGCGAGGGAAGCTGTGGACACTACATGAGATGGTGCCAAACGGACAGTAACGACTAGACTCACGGGACTAAGTTCGTCTGGAACTCGTTCAAGTCGACGTTCAAGGACCCATCGAAGCGGAGGGAAGCGGTGATAGAAGAAACAACCTGGGCGATCAACCTGTTCAAGTTCCAGAAGCTGGGTGACGTGATGTTCAACCTGGTCTTGCAAATGTCATAGATAGCTTCGTTATCAACCTATAATCCATCAGCTCAATGCAGATAAATCCGCGTAGAATACGACACGAAAACACACCATGAATGAACAGTCAGAGTGCTCAAGAGTCGTGTGGGTGGTCAAGACAGAGTTGTAAGGCTCAACGACGGAATTGGCCATGGTCGGCGCAGGATATACGCTGAACTCCAACTTCGACTTCTTGCCATAATCGGTCGAGAGACGCTCCAACACAAGAGCACCGAGACCAGATCCAGTTCCACCACCGAAGGAATGGAAGACAAAGAAGCCCTGAAGGCCATTACAGTTGTCGGCCAGCCGGCGGATCTTGTCCATCACGGTGTCGATGTGTTCCTTGCCGATGGTGTAATGACCACGAGCATCTCATTGAAGGAAGAGCGAACCGTAAGCGATAACGACTAAAACATCTATACATAGAGCTCACAGTTGCTAGCAGCATCTTCCTTGCCGGTCACCAGAGTCTCCGGATGGAAGAGACTCCTGTACGTGCCACTCCGGACCTCGTCGATGACATTGGGCTCAAGATCAACATAGAGCGAACGCGGCACGTGCTTCCCAGAAGCGGTCTCCGAGAAGAAAGTACTGAAGCTGTCGTCGTGAGCGGAAGGTGAACCCTCGACGAGGCGCCCGTCAGGCTAAAAAGAACAAGTTGAGGTCTTCGCGTGGACATTGACGCGCAACGAGACTTACGCTGAGGCCATGCTCAACGGTGTACAACTCCCCTGGGAGACAAACGAAGTCAGAAACATGTTGGGCAACCTCGGACGCGAAAATGGTACGATTTGACGCGTCGTTTTCGTCAAATCGCAGAACATGTACCCAAACTCACAGCAGGCGTTACCGATCTGGACACCAGCCTGACCGACGTGGACTGAGATCACTTCACGCATTTTGTCGACGAAGGATGGAAGACAAGAGAAAGGCAAGGGTGGTGAAGGAAAAGATCGACAACACGCGCAAACGGCGAAGGCAATCCAAACGATGACAAAGACGTTCCCACACACGGCGTGCCCGACTTGGTCCGTGCGCATCATTTATTCCCAGACATAGAAACTGTTGTAGTTCGCGCCCTAGAAGTAGGCTGGAACAGGTATGCAATACATATGGACACAGACTTCGACAAGTCTATAAACTAATCCTAAAAGCATCCATACAGAATCCAAAAAGTCCTCTCTGCCTAGAAAATCGCTCATGAAACGCGCCCGGTCATGATTGAGGCTCGGAATTTCCCAGTCCTGACTGCAGCTTCTGAGACGTGGAGAGTATCCCCAACTCTGCTTGTCTCTTGCCGCGCAACGCCTTTCTCGAGCTCTTGCGCATGAAGAGTCTGGCAAGTAGCTGATGAGAGGGACTGCACTAAGGAAAATCCTGACTGGTACTTACGTGAGGAGGGACGGCCAGATACGCAGGCCGTGCACAGGTATGACATGGGTCTTGTTCTGCTGCTCGGAGATAGACTGGCGAGGTGGCTTCGTGGGATGGTCCATGGGATCGAACGCAGCACGTATCGCATCAGACGTCTTGCGCCTGGGAACCGTCTTGTGCGTCGCAGGAGCGCTGTGGTAAATATGCATCTTCAAGAGCGCCACTGCTTCGCGCTAAACCTTGTATGAAGCGCCATTTCAAGAACAAACGTACGGTGACGTACCGTATCTCCTCTTGCGGCTATAGCACTAGGGGGAGGAAGCTCGCCGTTAAGATCCAGGGGACCTAGCGAGGAAGTGAGTGAGCTTTTTGCATGACTTCATAACCTGACCCACCCCATCGTCGATCGGGAGCAATACCGCCAGCGGCCGGTGAAGCTGAGCTCTGGCCAGAGTTGACTCTCATCATCTCATCATCGTTGGCGTGAACGAAACCCTGATCCCGAGCGTTCTTCATCAGCTTGGCTGTCATCGTTTCGTAATACCGCCGTCGATGCACCACTCTGCGCGCGGCGCGGTTGTACTTCTTGTCCCACTCCTCCTGGCCCGTGAGCCACCTTTTGACCGGTGCCTCTTTGATGAGTGCGACCGCTTCAGGGGGCAAACAAAGTGCCTCGATTTCCTCTCGTGGCTCCATAGGGCGCACACGGCCATTAACATCGACGCGCTCTCGGATCATAAAGACACTGGGGATGTCCTGGCCACGCTGACAAGATCAGACAACTCTCCATCTCAGGAACGAGTACAATCCCACCTTCATCGTCGCTTCGTTGCTCTGAGATTCGCCGACCTTCTCAGAGTTCGCAAATCTGTCGGTTTCGCCTGCTTGGACATCCTCTTTTACCTTCTCCTGATTCTCTTTGTGGTGCTTCACGCCTCCAGCAGAGCCGCGATGAGGTTCCACCTCTTTCAGCTTGTGACCGCTGTGGGTACTTCTACTATTCTTCACTGCACGGTCGCAATGATCGTCGTCGTCCGACTCAGATTCAGAGATTTCAGAAGGCGCTCTGCGCAATTCTGGGAATGGATTGCGATCCAAGTGCTCCTCGGAGTGCGACGTAACGTGTTTGGCAAACTCGGCGATGGAGCGATACGCATATTTTGCCTGTCAACGTTGTCAGATGAACAGCAGCGAGCCTGCTGAGTTTCCAAACGTACGCTCTTCGTGAACGTGAAGACGGTCAAGACATGGCACATTCCTGACGATGGTATGATTCAGCTTCTACATGGTACATGCCACGCAAGAACTAACCGTCGAAGACCTGCAGGTGAACCTGGAGGTTTCGACCATCAGCTTAGATGCTCTTAGAGATGTAAGTAGACGAACATCACCTTCGTTGGAGTCTGGAACTTCTCCGCGTTCTCTTTCTGTCTGCGTGCTTCCCTCAGCGCGCCGGCTCTGGTAGGGTAATCCTTTGGGTGCGCAGCTTTGTGTGCAAGGTAGATAATCTCATCTCTCAGGAGTTCGCCGTCTCCCGCGAGGATGTATAGTGGACAGAGGTTACCCAAAGAACCTTGCAGGACAGGGGAAACGAGAGGATGCGTGAGTTGCCTGCCAGAAGGACTAGTCAGATAAGTGTCTATAAAGAGGCTGCACTGGTATAGTTTACTCGGTGGTTGCATAGACCTGTATCTGAGAACGCAGTTCAAGCGGCCTCTCCCCCGGGTTCTCCATGAGGACCTTCGGGGGTTTGGGCTCGAACATGTCCAGGGCGATATCGTAGTCTGTATGCGCTTCCTGATCGAGGTGTGTGTCTCCATCACAGGTGGGGCCGTCAGCATCGGCGCATCTCCTCGGGCCTTCTTCGTCATCACTATTGGCCCGGTTCAGCATATCCTGTTGGCTCTCTATCTGTGCATCGTCCTCTTGAAGATCGTGCGCGTGGACGGGAGTGCCTTTCTGGCCCCTTTCCATACGCTGCCGGAGCTGCCTCTTCAAACGCGCTGGGTCTGGCTCCAATGTATCTGCATGCCCAGGTCTCGGTGGGGGATTCGTCTTTGTAGGAATGACGCGAGTTCGACCGCCTTCTGGCAGAGGCTGTATTGGCCACAGCGTAGATGGCTTGTGGATGAAGCCATGCGGAGGAATAATATCCTTCGCGATGATACATTCAGGGAGATGTCTCATCGGACAGCGTGCCACTCACCGTCTCAGCATTCTTCATAACACTCGGAAAGCTATGGGTAAGATCTACCCATGGGCTGATGAGCACCGCACCAGCCGGCTGAGGCAATCCCATGTCTCTGAGGACCGTGAGGATGCTGATGCATAAGCCTGCCCCAGCTGAGTCTCCGATAAAGACAATCTTGGACGGTGAGACAGGCTTGTGCACCACATTTGGAGGAGGATTGATGAGGTAGAAATCTGCAAAACGGGGATGTTATTAACGCATCTTTCCAGAACAATCCTTTCACCGACAAGCTGCTAGGACATCCTGAAGAGGACATGGCCAAGGATATTGCGGAGCTTTCCTGCAAGAGAACAAAGCGTCAACCATCTGTCTCTGCCTGCGCAATTTCAAGCGCACCGGTAATTAACCGTGAAGGCGCGACCTTTCATTTTGCGAGCTAACGTTATGCACAGTGAAATATTTTGAGACTTTCGTGGAATTTAAACGCACCATAATGTATGATCTGGTACCTGTGAGTGTCTAAGATGTAATGATATCAGATGCAGATTCTCGGGCTGAAACCGACGCATACTTATTGAACCCCAGAAATAGGCACCTAGGAAGAGAAGTTAACAATGCGCGACCAAAGTTCTCTCAGCAAGATATACCTCCATGAACATAGAGCTGGGGAGTCGCTTAGTAAATGAAGACCCAAAGCGAAAATCACTCACCATGACGGGCTCCAGATGTTCCATACGCAAAATGTTCTCCTCTTCGTCAGTAAATTTCCCTTGATACTCCGGAGTGTCTTGGAGGAACTTCTTCTCCGTGATCCATTCCGAGTCAATCCCGTCTAATCCTCTAACTTGCCACCATCGTTCACCACCTACGACGCACCTCAAGTCCTCCTGGCCGAACCAGTCGATAAGGACGTCCGCAGCTCTATTGCATGTCGATAATGGTATCCGAACTGGTGACACGGCAGCCCACCACGGAGCAGGGACATGGGTGTTCGTGCTGCGCAATGCGGTCAGTGTCAGGAAACACTCGTGTAATGGATAAACACTTACAATTCCTGCAGAGATTCTATTGTATTCAAAGTTCCCAACTGTATAAATGCCTTTACTATATGAAAGGCTCTGAAATATACACCGTCGATAATCAACGTCGTAGCGTATCAGCAGTGGGACATACTCATCGAAAAAGATGTCATCCGTGGCTTCTTGAACGGCATCGCTGTCAGTCAGCTTTTGACCTTTCTTCTTCGAGTGTTTAAGAAGTGTCTTTATCACCACTAGGAGAGCATCAAGTCAGCCGCAACTCTTCCCCACGCGTGAACGGTATAGACTCGAACCCGGGGTGATATACACAGCAGCAGAGACAGTGTTTAGGGGCATGGCGTCTAGAGATCAACTTTAATATTTCCCCGGAGAACAAAAGATGTAGATCCAAAAGGCCAGGGTTAGGGAGTAGGAAGGGGGGCAGCCTCAGCGCGTTCATGGCGCGTCTGACACGTGATTCGAATTCATACCGCTACGTCATGAGCCCATCGGCGATCTGAGATTGTAATTATACTCAACCGCCCCGAGAACCTGGGACAGACGCCCGCCGGCTGTCCATCCGTCTCAAAAAGGCAAAAATAAGTGAAATATCTACAGACGATCTCAAATACCAGTATGTACTGTAGCACAACAACAAACAACATGAAAATCTTGTACATTCTACGTGGGACGTTAGTAGTCAGACCGAGATGCACACATTAAAATACAGGTAGTAAGGTAGGAGTGATATAACGTTGGCAAGACATCCAAGAAATCACGAGTACGTCTTGATCATCGCTTACTTGAAGCGGTATTTTCTAGTCGCATGAAGGGAACTCCTGGTCTTTGCATGTATCTCAGCGATGCTGCTCTTGGATATGGCGGTTGATCCTCTGACGCCAGTTAACATATATGCCTTCGTTCGGCGAAGGTGCATATTTGCAAAGCGCAAAGAGAACCAATTGTTCCTAAGATTATGGGTGAGTTGTGATAAAGAAAACGACACGTATTTCGGACCGTACCTGGAAGCCGGGGATAATCCAAACCTGCTCGCGAGCTGCTTTAAGGAGTGGCACTGAATACAATGATTTTCATATGAGCGCATGGATGTACACACCGGCCCGAACGGCTTGTATCGCATCAGTGGCGTCAATATGTCGAGAGTACATCACTGAAAATGATCGAGTTATTCAATTCCGCGGAGAAGAGATGCGAATACTTACAGTATGCAGCGACCACGGCGGCGCTCCGAGACAGTCCCTGAACACAATGCACGAGAACAACGCCACCGGTGCTGAGCGCGTCATGTATGAAACGGCACGCCCTTGGCAGATGGATCAACAAATCCGCATGACCGATATCCTCGACGGGGATGCGCAGATGCCTAAACCCGGATGCTGGGTTATCCGCAGGTATGGGCTCCGACCCAACAGAGACGATATGGGTGATGCGCCGATCCGACAGGGTCCGGGGAGATATCGCAGCGTCGATACTGACGGGTCGCAAGTATATGAGACACGCCAAGCGGGAGGCAGTGCAAATACATACGTTCCCAAGAAAAGCTTTCCATCGATGATGGCGTTGATATTTCTCCAGCTCATCTTGACGGGTTGTGCTTCCCAAACGGAACTTCGACGCGACCATCCTCGCTGGACGGAGCTGGGTTTTGTAGAGGCCGCTCTCGAGGCGGTCTAATACGACCTCCGAAGTGGTAAGCATAGCGTACTCGCAATAAGGGCAGGTCCGGAGATTGTGGATGCATGATGGATGTACGATTTTGGCAGAAGCAGCGTCTATGGCAGTGACAAAACACAGCCAATTAGCGTGGGAATATGCCCGGACGCTCATTCCACGTGTTGTAGGCGCCCGCATGCGGCCGACACGAGTTTAGCGCCTCGTAGAAGGCACAGATCCTGGCGCAGAAGCTGTGTCTTCATGACCTCAACATTGTTCTGCCGCGCAAGTTCCGAAGCCGTGAATGTAATCAAAAAAGGTCCCATATTACTGAGTCAATCAGCCACCAGAGCAGCGGTGGCGGTACCCCTTTGGAACTCGATGAATCTCAAGATGAAGATCACTTTGGCTCCGTGGATACCAGATCACATCGAGCAGATCAGGAGAGAAGGTGTCGTCCGACGTATTCGGTATTGCAAGGGAAGTGCAGGAACAGGTGAAGACCGTACTCCGTCGTTTGATGCAGACACACTGGTATGTGAGCGACTTTGACTGTACGTTGGTTGAGACCTCCGTAAGGCGCAACAGCGCGTATTGAGAGCTTCGTGGCAGGCAGTCAACGGATCTATTGACTCGAGCGAGGGGGAAGGAGCGCTGGGGTAAATCAATCCAGTGACCACAGAACGGTGGAGAAGGCGCTCGTGGTACTAGGTTCTCACTGCCTGCGACTGAGAAGATGGTCGCGATGTTGCGAACGCCGTCGCCCAGTAGCACGGACGAGAAAATTGGCCGATGAAAGGGCGCTCGAATACCGACGAGCTGCAAACATGTTGTTGGAGAAGCATTGCATCTGAATGGAATGCTGAGGGCTGTGTGGTTTGTGGGCGCCAGGAAGGCGCCATGACTTTGCTTCGGAGCGAATGCCCGGCACGTGATACGCGGGAAGTACGCGACGCGGGAGACGCACTCAGCACTACGGAATCAAGAACGACAAATGCAGTGGGGTCCGCCGGACAGCCGCGTACAAAACGTCTATTACCTCGATGGAGGGGAGGGATGTATCTTATAGCGTGCTCAACAACTTCTGAATGCTACGCCGGTACAAATAACATCTTACTTGATCTTACTTGAACGAATGAATGTCCGTGACGTGGAGGTATGCCATGAAAGTCTCTACTCGTCGACAATATAATGCCGTGAAAACAAGTCGTTCTGGATCCAGATGACCTGTGCAGTGATCATTAGTATAGCTGAACTGCTTCACAACAAACATCGAGCGGGAAAGTGATAGAGAGATGTATGGAAATTCGCCCGGAAACACGTACCTTGTTGATGGCTGAGACAGCTGCAATCTTGTCCTCTGTCGTTGCTTTGTCCGCTGGCAAACGAAGAATTGCGGTCTGCAAGATGTTCTGCACCAACCCCAGCGTCAGAGCGCAATCCCGATCTAATTAACCAGGATGACCTAAGTTAGACTCGTCCATGCGAAGGGCTAATGGAACGCACATGGAACGTTCAGTGGAGTAATTCCGAGGGAGCGCTGGTGCTTGAACGGCGATGCTCCAGTGTGCATCAACCCGACCTTGTCCATGTAGGCCCAGGTTTTGCCACTTGCATAGTCGGACGTGAGAACGCGACGTGCCCATGATCTCATGAATACCTGAACCTCATGGTCAGCGAACGCGTAGATGAACCAACCTTGGAACTCACTTTTCGGAATACTATTTGAGGACTGTCCAAGGTAAGGTCTTCTAATCTCTTTGGGAGAGGACCATCGAATCCCTGGAACACACTGAGCTCTAATCACCGAGCATTTAACACGCAACGCACCTGGTTCCTTTTCATGAACACTTTCTTCGTGATGTCGAACTCAAAGAGCTTCGCATACATCGAGTCGACGACTTCCGGGATCACGTCGTTCACATGGGGCGCAACTTTGTTGATCACATCCGAGTCTGCCGAAGTGAAGTTGAGAAAGTCTGTGAGGTACGCGATGCGGTCCTCCAACGAGTGCTTGATAAGGATGGGATCGACTTCCTGTGTGAAGATGGCGGGACATGTAGCCTGGGGTTTCCCCGCCGGCTGTGTGTGGTCCGCGTGGTTGCCGCTGGCGCCAGAGAATGGGCAACCATGGTGCGACTCGTCAAGGAGCCCGCTCTGCGATGTGGGCGAGGACATGGATGTCTCCCCGTGATTCGAACGGATTTCGAGGTTGGCGAACGACGTTTGCATCGTAGAAGGCGGGCTCTATCGGCTGCTCAGAGAAGAGATGAAAGGGACCACAGCTTCCAGAAGGTATGAATATTAACCGCCATCGCCGAGTCGAAGGAAGTTTATAAGGCGACGCGTCAAACCGGTAGGTATTTACAAGCACGCGACGCGCGCACAACCGAATGGACCTCGTCGTGGATCGAGAACAAAACGTTCGGCGGATGGATGGACCCAGGCCAGGATCCAGACGATGGACATGAGTAAAGACCAGGCCGAGACGTTTGGCAGCATGATGATGCGGCGCGCAGCGGTTGCCGCCGTCCTGAATTGGATAACCGCCGCCACGTGTTTCGCCCAAATTTGGAAATATCCCGACTCGGCAAAGGCCGAGCTCTCATTGGTCTCCCCGTTCTCTGCACCCCAGAGCCCTCGGAAACAGTTATGTCGGGCTCTGTGACGGCGTTTCATGCGGGCGTTGAGAATTCTCTGTTGTTTCGGGAAGTGGGAAAAGAACGAGCTCGTTGAGCCGGCCATGGTTCATGGTTACAGTGCGCATGTGTGTACTCCCTACCGCCGAAAATGCCGGAAGTGCCGAAATTTGAAGATGTCCAGAGATGTCCACGCCATTTGACGGATGAGTGCCATTTTTTTCATGCAGATGCCTGTGTTCTTCGCGGTCATCGGCGAGTGTCATCAATCTGTGGGGAACCACGCCTGATTCCGGGATCCCGATGCGGCCTGCCGGTCTGTTGGAGCGGTTTATGCGTTACAGCGATAGGTACAATATGAGTAGCATACTAGCACCCTGCGTTATCTTCTGTAATTATTGCTGCCCAGCGTTCCTGACGGGGACCGATTCCGTTAATACTTATTCCTGCTACGCCGCTTTTTGCTCTGAGGCCCTACACAGATAACACGAGGTTTTCGCGCAGTCGAAGCCGTGCTGTGTCAATCCATGATCTGTGGCTGTGTCGCTACGCCAAAGACGCGACCGCGACGCGTTATACACGCGACGCGACAGTCACGTGCATATATACGTAAAGAATTTGGACAGCTGCTCCCACAGAGAAGACAACAACAACACACGGCGAACACGCTGCTGCCAGCCTCATTTTGCCCATCAACTATTGTCTATAAGTAATCGTCTACCTGCACACGATGTCCGATACCGAGGTTGCTGTCCACCACCACCATGATCGAAATAGAGTGGGGATCGGTGCGCCGCATTCTCCCTCTGCACCAGGTCCCAGCACTGATGGTGAGCCAGCTCAGCCTGATCACCATGGACGTCATCACAAGAAAGCGTCGACGGTACATGGCTGGGTCACCAAGATGCGTGGCACGCTGATTGACAACGAGTCCGTCAGACGCCTCGGCATCAGGGAGATGCGCGAAGCTCGTGCCATCCGAGAGTACAAGCACAATTGGGCCAGAGAGCGGAGAGAGCGGGGGCGCGAGAGTGATCACAGTCTCTGGGGTATATTCTCTATATTCTCCGTCTTCTCCTCACCGAAGAGTCACTCCCCCCCAAAGCTTCGCGCTTCCGGCAGACATCACTCTAGCCGCCCCCACCACTCCTCGGGAAGACATCACTCGGGTCGAGGGTATCATGACAAATCTGACCATCATCGCGACCTCGGCCATTCGAACCGAGGAGAGTCATCGTGCATGCACTTCCCCCATCGCACCAAACCCTACCACCATGGTCATGGAACCCGTCTTCGAGGCATACTCACCGGGAACAGGGAGTTAGCTGCGATAGGCAGGGAGATGAACGAGAGGGCAGCCAGAGAACGCCAGAAGGAGCGACGCAGGCGTCAGCGGCAAAGCAGGAAGGATGCTGCTGCTCTGAAGTACGAGGCTGCCGGCAACAGGTGGGACTGGCGCAGATGATTCATTAAATTTTCCTCGTTGAAGGCTCCGTTATAGTATTTATTCATCTACATCGCTATTTTGGGACGATTGTTAACGACAGTTTCGGCGCTAGGCACGTTAGCTGTAGTAGTATAGTGTAGGGACCCGTGGACAGTCTGGATATTCGTCGCTTTACTAATACAAGTGACGTCAGTATGGTTAGATAAATGTGTGGAGATCCAAGTTCACAACAAGTGCAAAGATGTGCGATTCACCGAGGGGTGTGATGAATAAAGTAACTCCATAACGGAGACGCATACCAACACGTTCCTGCCTCCGCATAATCTGTGGTGAAATAAATCAGTAAGCTAGAAGATTTGTATGCAGTGGAAGTACGTACCGGTATCCAAAGGGTTGTCACACCATCATCCCGTAGCGTAGTTAAGTGCCATCCTGCAAACACCTCAACCTTCCTCTTCAGCATCACCGCTGACGTGCGTATCAGCTAACACTTTCTTCTTTTTATGCTTCTTTCGTTTACGCTTCTTCTTGGGAGAAGTCGTCGCGTCCTCCTCTACCTCTATCGGAGGGCCGTCCAGATTGAGCAAAGGGACGCCCGAGATGAGTGTTGGCTTCGAGGCGTGCTTAGCCGGACTTGGAGGAAGGGAATTTGCATCGATCGGCTCCGGCTTCGTCTTCTCTGGTGAGGATGCGACGTTCGCGGCTGTAGATTCATCAGCCGCGATAAGACAAAGCAACTTCTGGAAAGAAACTTACCTGAAGCAACGGAAGTTCTGGCTTTATTCTCCGAAGCCAATTTCTCGGGAGAAGAGGGCACACTAATGGCTTCAGGCAATATATGAGACCACGGTATATCCACATACAATACAGTTGCCCAACCTGAGAACGCAGAGATGTCCAAACTCCGGGTTAAGTGTTTCACGCCTTGAAGGAATCGCGAGATGACCGTTGACTCCTCCTGCACTTTTACCGAGCTTGGAACGGAACCGACAGAATCGGGGGCAAGTTTAGAGAACGTAGAGAGGGGTGAGACGGTGAGGTCAACGACGGAGTTGCCGGCGACCTTGTGTTTCTTCTTCTTTTTCTTCTTCTTAGGTGATGACGGAGGCGCAGCAGTTTCCTGTTCTCCCTCGATTTGACCTTCCATAGGAACCACATCCTCGATTTTGATATTCTCCTCCACATTCACAGCGACAAGGTGTTCTTTCGCAGGCGACAATTCCGCTTTGAGCTTGTTTTTCTTCTCCTTTGGCTTGGATACCTTGGCGAATGGATCTAGTTTGACTTTCTTCCTGATCGCGCCGGCCCTGCTCTCTTCTTCATCGTCCGAGGGCACGACGACCACCTCTCTCTCCTCCTCTCGTGCGCGCTTCTTTCCAGCTCCTCCAGTAAGCTTGTTCTTGAGCTTCGCCGTATCGCGTCCGAACGCGCTGGTCGACTCCGGAATTGCGGCACCAACGCCAAGCCTATATGAACGGTGAACTACAGCACAAACAATGGCTACAGACCATGCACCTGGGAGGCCTACGCATATATTCCTCCAGCTCCTTCTCTTCATCCTGGCGTCTCCATTTTGACGAGGGGAGCTTCCCTTCTGATGATTTCATCCAAGATGCTACTAGATTTTCCGTGAAGGCCATGGACATGTCGACCTGAGCCTGAAGGGTCTCAGCGTCGACGTCATCTTCGTCAAGGATGTTTGCCATGGTCGTGGAGTCGTGAGATAAGACCGTAGGGTCTATAGCATAGAGCTAGTCATGCTTTGTACGTTCTGAACGTCAACTCGAAAGCAACTCGAAAGACTTGCAATTGTTGTGTCACGTGGGTCATGTCCTAGGCGCCAGTCACCAAAGTCCCTCGGGCTTCCTCCTTCACCTTCACTCGTTACTCTTCCCACAGATTTTGGATAATAATGGCTCCCAAGCGCAAAGCATCTGATATGGATCTCTCAGACGCAGATGAGGAACCTATGTTGGGTCGGCAAGTGCTACCGGTTGCGAACCTACCGCATGATTATTCTGGTGAACCTATGGATGGCCTGCAGTATTTGTTCACCGTTCGGTAAGAACAACGCTACTGCTACTTCAGTAATATTACACCGGAGCTGACGTTTTTACAGTCGGAATGCTCGAAAGCTACCTCACTATACACGAGTTGCGAACCCGTACGAGATAAGGGAGGACCCAGTGGAACCCGCAACGAGTACTAGTAGGTTGGGTGTTCCTCACCCAGCGCTCCCTTCTGAAGAATGGCGTAAAGTTTTTCTTGGGCGATTCAGGAATTTTCGCAGGGTAGGTCGTCGGAGCGTGTCGGCTTTATCGTTCTCACACTTTTCACCCTAGAATTCCGCGCAACCAACCATCCACGTACATGTACCCGCCTCAGCTTCTCCACACAAGATCATGCCGGAGAAGAAGCAACGAGATCAATGGTGGGCCTTCATTGAGGGGCGGCCGCAAACTGACTGGGATCCGCCTAAGAAGCCGCAACAAAACAAGCAGAACAAGTGGCGGAACGACCGTTATAGTAGAGGTCTACGCGGGTTTCCTGATGACACTGATGAGCGGGAACTATCTTATGATTACCGGGAAGAAGGCCGTGCGTATGCATCGGAGCAGGAAGCTCTGCGTGCCACTGATATGAAGGATGCAAGTGTGCTCGAGGCTTCTGGTTCTCTACCAACACCTTTCGGTACTCCTGCACCTCAAGAGCTTAGTCCTGGAGAAAAATGTGATGATGTAGACAAACAGGCTCACCGAGGACGGCGCGAACCGACACCCTCTTTGATGCAATACATCGACCACGTACGTTCCTGTGCTGTTCTACGGTGGGGATGATACACTCATCTTCTTGTCCAGCGATATGCACTGCACCTCCTCATGTACTTCACCCATTGGATCAACGTGCACCTCGAACAGCCCCACCGTCCCCCTGCATATTTCACTCACACACATGCGCGGTGGATATTCATCCTTCTGTCCCGCGTGGAAGACTATGTTTCTGCAGACGAGACAAGTCTGCTCCGCAATCTCGCTCGAGCATGCATGTCGCTAATCAAAGAAAACATGATCCGACGAACAGTTTCCATCGAGACTGCATCCCCTGATGAGGCGACTCCAGTAGACATCAGCATGGATGAGCGGTCTTGTTGGCTGATCATAACGGCGATTGTCGGCATTTGGGGACAGAGAGACTTGTGGGTGGACGCGGAGGAAATGCTGGCCAATATGGTGGTATAGATCGTTGCTGTTGTCCCCTTAATGTATGTGATCTTGCCGCATAATTCAGCTCTGGTTTGCTTACTGTCGCACGGCATGCGAGATTACTCAAGCGGCTCGACGGACTTCCACATCAGCAGTAACCAACGTTCATGGCGGGCATATAATGCAAGCCTTGGTTGCCACGTCCACAAACTCCGTCGATTCATGTGTTCTCTGAGAGGCGTGCAGTCATTTTTTGATTTCGATATCGTCTCTGGCTTGATCGCATTGCTGGTTGGTCTTCCTTCTGCGTTGCGCAAATGGAAGCTCAATCAGCAATTCCAATCAACACTATATTATTGCCAATTAATGAGTACGAGTGACTTTAGGTGATATTATGCTCGTCACTCCTCAGGAACAATATTAATGCTGTGATCACTCCCGGTCCGCGGAATCGACGATTTCGAAGTCGACGCAGAAGTGTGTGCACAACGATGTCATCACAAGCTATAGCTCAACTATCCATCTCGATTATCTGTTGCATCGAGCTGCTTTAGCTACCTGGCAATTGGCGCATGTATTGAAACTGTACTGGTCGGCACTGCGTTCCAAGTACAAGCACAGTCGAGTCGGTACTTTGTCCTTGAAAAGGAAATCCCCGGACAGCCGAGGGCGACCTTAGATACCTTCCTTAGTAGGATAGTAGACTTTAAAATTTGATCTCCGCGGCCTTTGATCGATCGTGGCTGTAACAGAGAAAGAGCCAAGACGAGTCCCAAATAGCACGGCATCCATGGTCCACTACTACACCCCCTTCCTCAGCATCACCTCACGATCGGCGGTACTGTTACTCACTTTTTTGTGGCCGTTTACTTGACACAAAAAATGCGCGGTTTTTTCTGCGAATCGTAAGCAACCCAGCGGATATCATACACAGCGTTGGACTGTGTCCGTGCAGCATGCCCAGTGCGCACTTACAGTGCTATGAAAGATGGTAGAAAACACGGCATTTGTCACCACCGTGGCTCTGTCGCATGCCGTCATATATATTAAGTACACTAAGACACTCATACTGCAACACTGGGAGACTTGCCTACGAGTATACCAGCGCCGTACAAGAGAGGTGGAGTTAGTAAAGCTGAAGGGCGCATAAACGCCGTAGGCATCCAGTATCACTTCCCAGTGCGCTCGGATGTGCACCTGCTGACTATGGGGTCATCAATCCGAATCTTCCATGGCTCAGTATCGGATTTTGAAGGACTTGATGCTTCGCCCATCTGTTCCGGAATCGAGTCTCCATTACGTCGTACGCAGCTATGGATCGTTAAGCACCGGGATGTTGGATCCAGATGTTCCGAGATATCGCTCTCGGTGACGTCTTGATAATGGATAACTGGTGTGCAAGATCACTGCACCGGTGAATCACCACTAACTGGAGTACGAGAAATATGTGGTGAACGTACTGCAATAAAGAAGTCGGCAGAATTGTCACAGCCTAATCATGAATGGCAGATATACATAAAATGTACTGCCGTCTCTTTAATATGTCGGACTAGATGCCGAAACCTTGCTTTTTCAACAGCTTCCTGCCAGAGACGGAAGAGAAAGGCCACGAAGTTATCCACGCTCAAGACCCAAGACCTGGTACGTTTATTCCAGGTATCCCTGCTTGACTTGCGCCAGAACGGTTCTTTGACAGTAGTATAAAATGCCTGCGAGTGGTAATGGTGTTACCGAGTCGCGACTGCTCGACATGCCCGTTACAATTCTGTAAATCATAGGCTGCAGATAAGGCATGGAGCCTCGAGCGTGATCAGTGTTATCACTGGCAAGGCTTCGACTGACGGTTCCTGAGTGAGATAGTAAAAACCTGGAGTGATTTCCCGCGGTGAAATTTTCTGCCGATATGGCCCAGTGGGTTGCGCAGAGATGCCCAGCTTGCGTCCAGCAGAAGGTTGGAGCCGTCGTGTCCTCACGGCGAAGAGCTTGGACGCCAACAAGAAAGAGCAGTGATATTAGCGGTGATGGAACGGGGAGGTGCGAGATCTCGACAGTGTCGGTCACTCTGGGCCGCACTGGTGGCAGCCGCCGAGCGTTCATATAAAGACCTATTCCCAGGCTTCGACCTTCTTCCGCACAGCGTACACGTTCCCTACTACTTTAAATCTTGCTGTTCGTCCTCCTCCTTTCCATCGCATTCGACACCTCTCATCGTCAAAAAAGTAAAAGCATACAGCTTTATACCTCTAGAATGCGCTCTTCCTTCGCCACCCTCCTCGCCTTCGCCGCCTCGGCATTCGCCCTCCAGGTCACCTCCCCCACCAACAGCACCGGGTGGTCTACCAGCGGCAACAACACCGTCTCCTGGGTCTCTGTCTCCACCGACCCGGCTAACTTCACCATCGTTTTGGTCAATGAGGTGAGGCATCAGCGCTTTTATCACCTGATTCAAAATATTCACCTGCAGTTACAGAACGAGTACCCGACCTATTCCCAGGTTCTAGATGCCCTTGTCGTCTCCAGCCTCGGCTCCGTCAGTGTAGGTGCCCCGAGCGGCGGTTGGGTTGCAGGCGCGGGCTACCAGGTGAACCTTGTTCAAGATGCCACCCGCCTCGATGCCGTCCTCGCCCAGTCTGGAGACTTTACTCTCCAGCAGTCGACTTCGAGTTCGAGCTCCGGCTCCAGCAGCAGTAGCAGTGGTTCCACTCTATCTGTGCCAACTTCCTCGGGAACAAACTCTGGGTAAGGTTGATCTTGTCGTGATGCGCGCCTCACTCTGACCTTGGTTCAGGCAATCGACTGGCAGTGGCAGCAGCGGTACTCTGAACCCCACCTCTTCCGATTCTTCTACCAACCCCACCACGACAAGCGGCGCTGCCCCTGCTATGGGCATGCAGGCGGTGCTGTTCGCGGCACTGGCTCTACTCGGCGTCACGCTTGCTTAAGGAGTGATGTGGATCGCTGTAGACACCGTTCTATCTGATCACTATAGACATTGATTCGAACGTTCGGACTACTCTGTAGAGTACACTGCCTGTCCTTTTTCCTGTCTTTTCGATGGTCGTAACTTGGTACGTTCTGGTATTATATTATAGAGTACGTTCTGGTGTACCTGCACCTGCGTGCATTTGTTGAACACTCTGGGTGTAATTGACAGTCGCTCACATACTACGTATTGTCCATACTATGTACTGTTCAACGTACTGTTTTAGTTGCGGATAACTGTGCAATACAGCGTCCGTTCTCACCAACCTCTGCAGAAGTATTCGTTCGCCGTCTGCGACAAGCTCCTGAATTTTGGATCGACCTCGCGCGAGACTTCCGTAAATGCCTCGGGCGATCTGATACGCCCACTGTCATCTCTGACTTTTTCCCATGAGCTCGCCCGAGTCTTATGAGTACCTCCTGCCACCGAGCTGGAAACCCCAGGTGACAGCCTGGCTGGCAGAAGACACGCCGTCGTTCGACTACGGTGGGTTCGTCGTCGGCGAAGCGCACCGCGAGGCCTTTCTACTTGGAAAGGGCAAGCAGACTGCGGTCCTTGCAGGTGCCCCGTTCTTTACGGAAGTATTCACCCAGCTGGGATGCGAGTGAGTGGTTCGCGCGTTGCTCTGCCTAACGGGCGGGACTGATGCGCGTGTGTGCTGCAGGGTTGAATGGCACATGCGAGATGGCGAGACGTTCGAGCCTGTCAAGCACGTCGCAACTGTCCGTGGCAAAGCACGGCATATCCTCCTGGGCGAACGTGTTGCATTGAATTTACTTGCGCGGTGTAGCGGGATTGCGACAAAGTGAGCGCCGTGCTGCTCGTTGGGTGATGCAGCTGATGGTTGCTTGGCTTATGATAATGTTGTATCACGCAGGTCGAAAACAATCAAAGATCTCGCGCGAGGGTATGGGTACAAGGGAATCATTGCTGGGACGCGGAAGACCACGCCTGGGTTCAGGCTCGTGGAGAAGTACGGGATGCTCGTCGGGGGCATCGACCCTCATCGGCATGACCTCTCGAGCATGATTATGCTGAAGGATAATCACATTTGGTCTTCAGGTGTGCCCTCTCCTCGAATGCCCTCGTAATCATTAATACGCGTAACACTCCGCAGGATCCATCACTACTGCCATTCAGCAAGCGCGCAAGGTCGGCGGGTTCAGCCTGCGGCTAGAGGTGGAGGTCGGCTCAGAAGCAGAGGCAGACGAAGCTATCGATGCCGGCGCGGACATTATCATGCTAGACAATATGGAGGGCGACCAGCTCGTGAGCGTCGCTCGCGAACTGCGGGAGAAGTGGAGTGGCAAGCGTAAATTCCTCTTTGAAAGCAGTGGAAACATCACCGAGACGAACCTGCAGGAGAGAGCCATCAATGGTGTGTGTTTGTTACTTCTCGCGAGGGACAGCACTGATTCCCCGAACAGAAATCGATATCCTGAGCACCAGCGTCGTGCACCAATCTGTCCAGCACATTGATTTCAGCTTGAAAATTCAGATTTGACGACTTTAGAACCACTTCGAGCTTACATCTGAAGGGAGAAGAAAAGAAGACTTTTGTCCAAGACCACATGTATTCTATCTTTTTATCCAGTCGTTATGGGACATGTAGCAATACCGGTTCCATTTGTACTCGCTATCAAGCCAGAAGTACTTGACATTTGTCCGGAACATCTATGGAGACATTCTATAAGGTAGAATTCACCCACCTTCCTTTTTCCAACTCATTTCGCGGAGGGTATGCCGAAGAGCGCGAGCGCATTTCTACCCCGTACTGCGTCCTTCTCTGTCTCGCTCCACCCATGCACCCCATCGATCGCCTCTAGGTTTTCCACGACGCTCTTCCACTTCTCCGTGCTGCTCAAGGGTGGGAAGAACGGGTGGTCCGTCCCGAACAGCATCCGTTTGCTGCCTAGCGCACGTAACGCGAGTCCCTGTTCTTTTGACGCGGCAGCGGAGGATGGACGAGCTGCAAACCACTCTGCGCGCCCGATCGCGTCACTCACGAACCCGAGCTCCTCTGCGCCATACGCGACCGCGTCGAAGTAGAGCTTCCCGAGGTAGTATCGCGCATCGTGCTGCAGTCGCGACGCGACAATTGGGTCGTGATCGATGCACGACGCGAGGCGCGATGAGAGCTGCGGGAGCGTCCCGCCCGAGTGCGCGAGCAAGATGCGCAGGTCGGGGTGTCGGTCGAACACGCCGGACAGGATCAGTCGCGTGGCTGCCTGCGTGATGGTCAGTGGGTGAGAATCGACAATCTGAAGGCGCTCTCACAATCGTGGTTTCAAAGGGGAAGCCCAAGGCTAGAGGAAGGACATGTCCGTTGTCCTTCTTGCCCCATTCCTTGCCGTCCACACCGTAATGCGGATGGAGGAACACGACGAGCCCTGCCTCCGCGATGGCGGACCATACCGGCTCAAGCGCGTCGTCGTCGAGGCCCTTTCCAACTCCGTGTGTGCCGAGTATGATACCCTTTAGATGCTCTAGCTTTGTAATCTGCTTGACTGTATCCACGAGAGACGTGATCGGGACGTCTGGTACAAGGGGAAGTAGTCCGAACCCGTAGAGGCGTTTCGTGGTACCTCCCGCGGCGCTCAAGGACGGCGAAGTCGAGCAGTATTCTTCCAGGTCGTTGTTCAATTCATTCGCCAGGCTGTGCGCTGTGGAGGCCGGGAGGAAATCGAGCCATGGGTTTGCCGAGCTTCCAAGTCGCGAAGTGAGCCGCTCTGTGAGGAGGGTGAACAACCACAGCAGACCTCACGAGCGAGATATCAATCCCATGTCTGTCCATGAAGCTCAGCTTCTGTTCCCTGTCCCAGTACTACTTTCGGATCCGTGCATTCAGTCGCATTTGCTCGCAGTGCAGAATGGGTGAATACCTGAGGACCCATCGGCCGTCCACCGCTGGGCTCGCCATCTAAGATCAGAAGACGTTCCTCTGTCTTTCCCTCTGCAGTATTTCGCGAGAAAATACGCGGTACAGATGAACGGGCGCGTAGAAACGACACATAGCGTGGTAGATAGACGTGGGTATGGATGTCGATAAGAAGTTTCGCCATCGATGGCAGTTCAGCGGTTAGAGTACACTGAAAAGAAATCTGATACTCTCAGCGAAAGTCCCTCAAGATGATTTGTATATCCAAGTGGTCAAGCGGGAGTGAGTATGATAGACAAGTACGACAGGGAAACGCGAACACGTGCTCATGTACCAAACTACAGCTCCTCTGTCACCATACATGTGAGCATCCGATAGCAGAGAATACCTTCAGAGGGATCACTATCTCTGCAGGCATCGTTACTCCCGGCGAGGAAGTGAAAGGATCTTCCCTTGTGACGAGCTGTATATACCATCTGCGGTCGAGCCGCAGAACAGAGCTTCGGCAGCGAAGGAGACAGGCCTGGATATGGCCTTGTAATGTCGCCCCTTCGTATCCCACCCTTGCTGTCTCCCACTTCGCTGTTGACCTGATGTCTGAGATTGTGACGGACCTGCAGAGTGTGCAAGATCAGGTGCGCAGCGATGGTGGTGCTCGCTGAGATGGGCAGATTGATCCAGCTCCAGCTGCTAGTGGCGGCCGCATCGATTCTCTGTATTCAAGACGAATTTACGTCTGCGAAACGTATCTCTGAGGATAGTAGGAAGAAGCTCCAGTGCAGGATTAAAGAACTTGAGGCGGAGAAGGAGGCCATGGCGAGCCGGATAGGACGACTAGAGACCGAGAATGCCGAATTGAAGAGGCTGCTTGAGGAAAAGGAACCGGACCTTCGGCGGGCCATCGATGAGCGCGACGCGACACAGTGTAAGTTAGCATCGGTCAGAATGACCATTCGGAAACTCTTGAGCGAGAAAAGGGTAAGATCGACGGCACTTCGGCGGCAGTGTGCAAAGCTGAATAGGAAATATGTGGTAGGAAAGGGTCAATGCCGAGAAACTTGAATACACGACAGCAGAAGAGCGTGCGCTCGTAGAACTATCTGGGGAGCAGCCCTGGGACGAAGCGGGCTTCACAGACCAGTCTGGAGGAGGTTCGCCAAAAAGTGGACCATCATCGGAAGATGACGATAACCCGCAAGCAACGATTCCGCAAGCAAAACAAACGGACACGACGGGCCTAATAGGTGAATCGTTACGCGACATCATACAGGAGACGGGAACAAGGCCGGGTAACGACAAGACTGCCAAGGAGGGGCAACAGGCAAGGGAGCAGGCACCCACAGGTGTTCGAACAGCCAGTAGTGTTAGGAAAGAGCAGACAACAGTCGCATCGCAAGAAGGCTGGTACTTAGAATACTTCAAACCACCAGCAACAGCAGAGCTTTCAGTAGGAGGATGGTTGTATGAACAGCTTGCCGAACACTTACAGCTGGATAATAAGACGGTAAGATACAAGTTCTATGCAGCACACAGACTTGGACAAATCCTGACTCACCCCCAGACTATCTGCAACACAAGGTACGTTAATGTAGAAAATCTTCCTACCACCAAGATTGAAAAGGCACATAGCCATCACAAATGGTGGCAAGACGCGTGCATGCATATCCATATACACAATGACATCGCATTCCTATTCAACCCCATAGTGTTGGAAGGGCCTTCCACAACCTACCTCATCAGCTGGGGCACTCGGAAAATCAACCGAAAAGTCGAGAAATACATATCAAGAGACAGAGCCGAGAATCCCGCTTTTCACCTCTTGGTGTTACCCGCAGAAAAGGTACGTATGCCACCCAGAGTGAAACAGCGAAAAATCACCACAGTCGTAGGAAGCTTGGTGGTATCTCGGAATGCACAGCTTCACAATAGCGCAGGTCCTGCCAGTATGGTCCATACTGAATAGCCAGGTAAGTAACCTTGCCGTGCAGTGAAGAATAAAATCAAGCCTCTTCAGGATAAGGATGAGCTCACCTTGGAGCTGAAGAAGCGCTGGGATCAGGCTCCGGGTGGTCAGCGTATCGCAACGATGCTTGAGCAGGGCGACTTGCAGCAGTGTACCATCGAACTCAGGAGTGAAGGCCTAGCAGACCACTCTCTTGCGTTTCTTCATGATCAGCTGGGAATGTCAATTACAGATTGCGGGGTCGGCGAGTAATCAAGGTGACGTTGCAGCTTGTCAGTGAGCCACCGACAGGATCTGTCATCACCGCAACTTTCCCATAGTTTCTCTATGAATTCTGGCACGAAAACAAGTACATCGGACTCGTAGCATTAGCCCACGGTTTGAAAGTGAGAATAAAGGAGACTGTCCTTCGGGCCGCTTTGAGTTCTTCCATCGGTGGTCGACCATGAGCTCGAGGCAGCGCTTGGACACGACTACATATGTACCTCGCTAAAAAAATCCATGAACCTCAAGCTGAATGACTCGAATTCCAGAGCTACAGCATCACCACTTGCAAGAAGACAAGTGTCGGTTGTTGAGTGAATAGTATACGTAGATTTAAGCTTATCCGGCGACCTATCCAGATACCAATTCGATAAGTATATCCTTGAGTAAACTTAAGCGGATATTCTGCCCGACGTTCGCAACGGCGAAGAAAGTCTCGTCGCCGTCGCCGATCTCGTCTTCCACCACCACCATCGCCCACCATGCATTGCTGCTCAGCAGCTTGCATCCTGACACTCTTTTCACTCACATTCATTTCATCACACTCGTTCGTCAACGCCCAGTCGTCTTCGTCGGTCGACAATGTGCCGTCGACAACGCCGTCGCTGAGTGTAAGCGAATCGTTGAACTCGCCGTCACCGTCTAGCACCTCCCTTGCACCCCCTCCTTCCGAGTCACCGGTCTCGAGTTCGTCGTCTGACTCTTCTCAGCCATCTTCTACGCAAGATGCGAGCACTCCAGCCCAAGCGCCGTCGAGCAGCAGTCTTGATGCTTCGACCTCCTCGACGCCCTCGTATACCCCTACAAGCAGCAGCCCTTCTATCACTCCTAGCTCGTTGGCACCTTCTTCCTCGGTTCCAACTTCGTCCCCGTCTTCTGTATCTTCGTGCGTTCGCAGTCATCCTGCAAGCCTCCTGACGAACTGACTTGGTGCCGACAGCCCCAGTTATACCCCTCCGAGTCCATCCTCTACCGCCAAAAGTTCCACTCGCAGTGCGATATCGTCCACTTTGGTCATGCCTGCAACGGACAATACGGCGCCGACGGCCTCCTACGCCCACTTCTCTTCCACCGAGGTCATCGCCAGCCCGCCGTCGAGCGCCGCTGCTACTGGCGGTGCGGCAAGCAACGTCACGACCGGCGGTTCTTCGAAGAGGTGCGTGTCACTTTCTGTTTCTTCTGATCAGTAACCTCAGCTTTGGTGCAGCTTCCTACACAACACAGGCGCCATGGCGGGTACGTTCACCGTAATCGGCTTGATCGTTGTCGGAGCGGTCATCGCTCTGGTCGTGCGCGCGCGGCGACGGCGGCAGCGACGGCGGGACGAGGAGGAAGTATGGTTCGAGAAGGACAACGGCAACGGACTATCGTACGGTGCGACGGACCGCGAGCCATCGTTCATCAGCGGCGAAGGCGGCGAGGGCGCGAACATAATGGCGCCCGCTTCGGCAGACGCATACCCCGACCGCTTGACGCACTATGGCGACATGAACATGGCCGAGTACGGCAACCCGCAGAACTACGGTATGGAGTACCCGCCCGGCACCGCGTATGCGGCGGCGGCGAGCCAGCAGGGCCAGTATGTCTACACTGGACAACCTGGCGGATATACGTCCGGATACACGGATAACAGTTATAGCGCGCCGCCGCAGTCTTCGACTTCTCCTGCACAGCACCCGTTCGCTGATCCCAGCAACGTCAGTAAACGGGTTGGCCCTCCTCCAGTCATAGTGACTGGCCCTGAGCCATCCCGTGAGTCTGAGTACTGGGCAGATGCCTACGTTGAAGCCGAGTGAACCCTGTAAGCTTAGTTGGCGCTATATGTTGGTACGTGTCTGCCGCCTTACGTTTCTACCGTGTCTTCACTCATTCGCCATCGACAGATACCCCCTTTGAACCGTTCCCTGTGTAGTGTCACTTCCGTCAATCAAATCCAGGGGTTCCTTCAGCCTTTTGGTGGCTTACTTCTACTTCGAACTGCATGGAATCCTAGCCCATGGATTTTTTCCCTATATACTCGTGTGTCTATGACAAGTATCTCAGTTTGTACGTCCTTGACTCAATAATTATTGCGTTGTCGTGTACAGTACTAGGTTGGTCATGTGCAGCGTGTTAGCGTTATGGGCGCGTGAGCTCTGGCGCTTATCGTAGGTCCCGGTCGTCCTTCAGCCGACATGCTTTTTATCCTTGGCCACAATGCTGGTCACCGTCTTGCGTCGGTCTGCTCTCAGCGCGCGTAGGCTTGCGTATAGAAGACTGATACACGCGAGCGCCGATGCTGAAGCTTACCTCGAACCTATAAAGTCTCACCCAGGCGTAACGTGTCTCCTGTTCAACAGGCCGAAGGCAAGGAACGCCATTTCGCTGAGGCTCTTGAAGGTGAAAGCGAGCCTTTGATTTGATACAAAGGGATACTCACCCGTGTTTCCGTGTGACATAGGAGTTTCGTGGATGTCTCGACACGGTGCAGTTTGACAACAGGTGCGCAATGTATGCGCCAAGGCCCGCAGTATTTCCTTGAACAACTGAGCTTAGCGTCCGCGTACTCATCGTTCGTTCATCTACTCCTGGCTCTTTCTGCGCGGGGGCAGACCTGATCGAGCGGCGCTCAATGACAAAGCCCCAGGTGGATAAGTTCCTCGTGGATCTGCGCGGCGCGCTCGGGACGCTCGAGAGCCTGCCTATGCCTACCATCGCTGCCATCGACGGGCCTGCGTTAGGAGGTGGTCTTGAGCTTGCCCTCGCATGCGATCTTAGGGTCGCTGGTTCGCTTGCTGAATTTTGTCGCGCGCGCAATCCGCATTGACTGGCTGTCTTGAATGCCTTTCAGGACATACAGTGACCAAGATTGGGTTGCCAGAGACGCGCTTAGGGATCATTCCCGGTGCAGGTGGTACGCAGCGTATCACGCGTTTACTCGGGGTGTCGAAGGCGAAGAGTCTCATCTTTACTGCTCGCACCTTGTCTGGCCCTGAAGCGGAGGCCTGCGGTACCTCTTTTTCTTTGCGGCATCTTTTTTTGCTGAGGATCTGTCTGTCACTTCAAGGCCTTGTCGATTACGTTTCTGCCCCCGATGCGACGGCGTTCGATCGCTCACTACTGTTGGCGGAGGAGATCAGTGCGAACGGTGAGTATTTGCAGCATTGTGATTTCTTCCGGAATATTTTATTCTCTGTAGCACCTCTGGCGCTTCGAGCTGCGAAGCAGGCAATCTCGCGTGCGCCGGAGCTTGGGTTGGAATCAGGTCAGTCTTCGTTATTTACTAGTACTGCAGACGTCATGTATACACCCTCTGCTAGGTCTCGACTTCGAGCGAGCTTCGTACGAACCCCTCTTGAAGAGCAAGGATCGGACAGAAGCATTGGAAGCATTCAGGGAGAAACGGCCCCCTGTTTTTAAAGGGGAATAAATACATTCCATCTTGGAGTACATGCAAAAATACAGCAATAGTGGATATCAATGTTACAGTTCCGATGCGTAAGGTAACATTGCAGAGGCTATAATTTACGCGCCAAACGTGAAAGACGAGCCCAGCGAGGTGGACAGAGCAGGCATGTGCGGCATGCCGACATTCAGGTCCTTGAGCTCGAGGTCCTTCATGATCATACTGAGCCGCCCCATGCCGAAGCGATCGCGGAGGCCCTTGTTGTCTGCGAGCTCTCCACCGTCTGCGTCGTTGAAGCCCTTCTCCGCCTGGCCCCAGTCGCTTCGCTGCGCCAGGTACGGCCTAAGCAACGACGAGTCGATACGCCCGAGATATCCCTCGGTGATGTATGATTTGAGGATGTCTGGACGAACGAGGAAGACGTTGCCTAACTGTCTGATGAACTCGAAACGCTCGTGCAGGGAGGGTATTCCAAAGGTCGCGATGGTGTCTTGGTAATGTTTCAAGTCTCTGAAAGAGAAGGAAGGGTTAATTAAGGGAAACCTAACGTAGTGAGAAACAGGGACAAACTTTGCCAGCATGAGACCGCCAGTCGCGCTAACAGGAAACTTTTTCAGATGGTCCAGTAGGAGACTGACGTCGAGTAATATGAGTTGGCGCACGCAACGTAGTAGGTATCAACAAACCTGTGGAAGGCAACGCCGATCTCAGTCAAGAAGACTTCCAAGTTCTTGCCACTCAGGTTCGACTTTGCCGCATCTCGCACTCTCTCCAAGGTATCGCAGCAGGCGACGCATGGCTCAGTGTTCACCCTTGCAAATGATAGGTCATCGTTCCGCGGTTTGAAGTCGTTCCTCTTCTGCTTCGCGAGCTGCGATGTGAGATAGCTCAGGATCCCTATATAAGAATCATATCATTATCACGGCCAGGTCGTAATGCAGCAAAAAGCATACAGTCGGCGAGGCGTTGTATGACGTGATTGACTGCACCCTCAATCCTGCTGACCGATTGATTGTTGAAAACCACCATGTCTCGTCGAACCGTCACCGAGCTACTCGCAAGCGGCAGGAGCGCCATGTTCACATAGTGCTGCCACAAGTGACAGATAAGATCTAGCTCGCGCAGAACCGCGAGAAGCTGCAGCGAAGGCTCCGTTTTCCAATCAGCAGATTGCAAGCGAGCTTGGATGCTACAAGACGACGTCGCAACAAACTCTGTGAGACACGGACAACTGCTTACGTTTCGATGGCGACCTCCATATAAGCTCCACCAACGGCAGCTGAGAGAACGCGCAGTAACGCGAACGCATGCTTGGGCCTACAGATTATCCCATGAGCAAGCAGCATCGTAGCAATCATTTATACACCCACACTTCACCCGCGGGACTTAATTCTACGCATCTCCCGATTGCTTCTGCATGCCACTTGAGCATCTTCTCCGCGATATCGACACTTATACGGCCGTCCTCTTCGCGCAGTGGCTCTTCACCGCCCTTATCCTGTGAACGGTCGGCGTTTGAGCTGAGTCCGCCGATGCGCATGATCGCAGCGGCAGCCTGGGCGGAGGTAGTGGCACTACCAGTTGTCGAAGTGGTGGATGCGGCAGCGCTCAACTGGTTCACCATGCGATCGAACATCGACGACTTCCCACCACCTTTGTGTGACCGCTCCTGCAAGAGAGCTTCATCAGAGATATCCTAGGTAGTACAATAGCCAAGGAGGAGCTTACATGGTAGCGTGTGAAGTTCGAGAGGTAGCTGGCATAGAGCTGACCTAGACTTCTACTTTCACGCTCGAGATACCTTTGGCCCTCCGTGTATGGCACGAATAGTTCCTCCATCGCGGTCTCTAGCATCGTGCTCACTGTTGCAACGGAGGTAGCTCCAAAAGTTGACGCGGATCCATTGAGAGTCACATTAAAATCCGTGGTATCGGAGGGTGTCCGAGGTGCTACCGTAGTCAATTCATACGCCTTGAGATCTTCGACAAGCAGCGCCGTTTGTTGATGGACCACTTGCATGATACGTAGGAACGACAGATCAGACAATCCAGTAGCCCTGTTCAGGAGCTGCTCCATATGTTGTTGGATCTGTGAGCCAAGAAGGGTGAAAAACATTATCCCATGTCAAGGTATCGGATGCACCACGAACAGACTGTGCGAATACTCGTTGCAGGAATACCTGCATGACAAAAGGAGGATTTGGGAAGACCGCTTGGACGATTTGGGCTTCTTGTCCGACTGTATCTCGAATTTCTTGGAATAGCTCCTGCATGCCTGCTTCCGTGGCGGGAGGACTGACATCCGGATCTGGAAGAGTCTGCCAACTGTTCGACAGAAAATTAGCGACTACCGGCACTTTCAGCCACAATGACCACAGACAGTTGATCATCCACATTATTGCTCCCTGGTACGCGGTTAATGAAGAAGTCGTGTTGATTGACGTAGACCTGAACACATGATGCACCACCATTGAACTCGAGCAGCGTCTGTGCACAATGCTGAAGACCGCACATAACTGAGAACCAGCAGAAGAAAGTAACTAGAAGGAACTTACGTGCATCATCTTGGGATCTCCTCGGCGATATGCGCGGTCGAAAAGATGGAGCATGTCCTTTTCGAACTTCTCACAGTACTTTTCAATATTTTCTCTGGTCTAACATATAACTGAGTCGCTAGTATCAACTCATCGCATGCAGGTATATCCAACCTTTTCAGCGTGTGGGAGGTCGACTTCCTTCGCTACAGTGCCTAGACGTCGCAACAATATGGCAACTTGGCGCCTGCCATCTTTGCCTTCTTTCTTGAGAGCGTCCAGTCGAGTAGTATCGTCTCGCGAGAACTGGTGATAATAGTCAATGAGATCATACGCTGCCTGGGCCCTCTGTCGTTGTTGGTGGACAGATTCCAGCTGTTCACCTAAAATCGTACATGTTAACAGCGAGGGTAAGATGTCGCATATAGACCCACCAATCCTGACGGCTGTGCGGCCAACTTCGGTCATCTTGGTCTCCATACCCGAGAATGACTGGCTCACGGACTATGCAATAGAATGATGGTATAAGATATGAATTCAAGGAACGGTGTAGCCCACTTGCCTCGAAACCTCTGTTAAGCTCAGCCATCTTCTTCGAATAATCCCGTTCAGTCGTTCTCACTATCTTCTCCATCTGCTCTGTCTTCGCCTGAACATCCTTTCTCACCGCAATCAATTTGTCTACTGCTGCTTCAAACGTCCGGATGAACGGCTTTGGATCGAACGCTGTACACCGCAGGAGTTAACGCGATATTTGGAGACATTAGCTGCACGAACGTACGTCCTGGATCTGACTTGGACTGTGCAATAAGTCTCTCGGAAATCGATCCCACAAAGTCTCTGACATCGAACTTCCCCTAAAACGACCTGTGAGTGTCACAGATATATTCTGAACATTTGGAGATCTACCTCAAAGGCCTCTACTCGTAAATGGTCTTCTACAGATGGATCCAACGACCTCGGTGGAAATCTGGCCTGCGACATGTCTTTCAGCCAGAAAGACTTCTAGTCCCAGTCGGCCCTACACTGTTGCATATGGCAAAGGCGTTCAAACACTACTAGCGCAGCCGTAGAAGCTAGCCGCGGCAACTCTACGGGCGCTTGAACACTTGTAGGATTATGGGCGTCTAATGTTTTCCTTCATTTCCGGCATCGAAATTGTTTTCCTCACCCTGCACAAGGTTTTCTTATCTCAGGCTACAAATTTGCAAAATTCAATAACATGGAAGACCCACACCCTCTAAAGGCTCTTCTCCAGCTCCAACTTGGCTCAGATTCCTATGCTGTCTTACACCTACCTTACGTCCTCGAGGCACTCACGCCGGAATACTTTTTACCCTCGCCACACACAGAGAAATGGACAGCCCGTGTCAATTCTCTTCTAAACTCGAAAGATTCGGGCGCGCGTTGGAGTGGGCTCTGTCTTGCCTTGCAGACTGCAGCCTTTTCTAGGCCTCTGATGATGGAGTGTGCACAGAATTGGATCGGGATCGCATTACCCATGCTTTCAGTCCGTGTATTTATTTGTAAACATAAAAACGCAAACTCACATTCGCCGAAGAAAAATGAGCCTCCTCCTACCATGAAGGCCGCCATAAGGCTCTTGAGACATGTTTTCTCCAGTGCGCTCGATGTTCCAGAATTTCAACGGCAGCTGTGTACACCAAATGTACCCAAATTCAGTGCTCTCCTGATTTCAATATCGGAGAAGCAGGAAGAGCTGGAACTCAAGGTCGGTATCAGTCTTCAATTTGTGTTACGTTGCCGAACATATCGCATGCACAGCTGCTCGCAATAAGCACTCTGGCCCACCTCATCCCTCTTTATCCTACTCTTCATCGCGCATTGCAAAATTCCTTGAATACGCTGGCTTTGCGATATCTTAATGGCTCTGCCCCGAAACCTACTCCAGGGCCACTTCTAGAGGTTGCTTCACGCCTCTATTCAGTCCTGCCTACTACTGGGGGCAAAGTAGGAGCGTCGAATATCTGGCGCAAGTCTATAGACGATACACTGGTTTTCGCGTGGACTGCTTTGACGAGCATCAGAACTACATACCCCTCCACAGGTTGTACCTTCTTGCTATTTTATCCGTACAACTAGTCTGATGGTTTTTCAGGTATGAGTACCTCGGTTACTCAGCCAGGTTCGTTGGGAGTGGATCCAATGGTTTCCATCCCTTTGAATACGGATCGTCTGAGAGCTGCTACCCACGTGCTGTGCGATCTTCTACGGTGAGAAACTTCATAAACGAACATGTTTGCACTATCTCACACGCTGGACTGAAGCACCACCACATCCCGCCCTATTTCGGTGCCCGTGGGCTCTCTTGTGCGCCTTTTTCTAGCCCTGTTGCGTTGTACGCCGGTCGAAAAGGTATATATAGACGCCCTACAGACCTTCTACGTACTGACTATGTGTAGGTAGACGGTCACATCGACTCGAGCGTGCGTGCACTTGAAAAATCAGTAATTCCAACGATCTGGGAATTGGCGTGCGGTGTTCTGAATGCGCTTGCAGAGAGGTAAGTCAGCCATCAGATTCTCTGGACTCTCTACTCACCGCGGTATATTCAGTGCCCAATCTCATCTAACCCCCCACTTGCCACAATTGATATCGCATGTGACATATCATCTGGAACAAAACCTAACGCCGTACGCACCTCTAGTTTTACACCACACCCTGGACGTTCTTGCTCAAATCTGGATAGCTCACAACGTCTGCCATTTCTCAAGGTGACAGCGTCGTTATTCGCCAATTGCCATACGATGCATGATGTTGTATTGTCGTCGCGCTTACTCCGAGCGATTTTGCCTTCGTTAACAGTGGTCTTGTCAACGAAGTCAGAAGTGCAGAGTAACACGGAGCAAAGCACCAAGGGCAAGAGCAAGGGTAAAAAGAGAGCACGCGGCTACGAGGGTGACGAGGTGTTCAAGGTCACCAGAGAGATTATCTGCTCAACGGTGGATGACGGAGCAGTGCTGCTCGCTGCACTGGACGGTCAGTATACTTGTCTTTTGCGCATGGAGTCACCTCTGACAAATGTTTGGAAACATGTGTAGCCATCCACTTGGTCATGCAAAGCGCTCAGATATCACCTGCCGTTCATTCACTGGCAGGCCGCATGCTCTTGTCCATCTACATTGCTCTGCCAGAGATTCCACCTGCCCTACTATCTCCTGATTTGTCTCTGCATGGTGCACTGTACGTTAAGGTCCGGAATATTTGCACCGATTTAGCCATAGGCACTACCAGCACCATGAGCAAGAGCCTCGGGCTTATCATCAGCTCTATGGAAGACGGTGATAGCGAGCCAGTAAGCTTTGATTGATCTAAACTTTTCCGTTTGATTCGCTCATATGAACTAGCGCGACGCCAACGTCCAGCGGACGATCGACCTGCTCCTTCACCCCCGTGTGCCGCCTCTTGTCCGCGCGCTGCCACATGTGGAAATGCTGTCATTGTTCCGCGAGGAGGAAGGCAAAGAAGAGATGGAAGCCCGGAGAAGACTAGGTATCGGCGCCGAGGGTGGTGTTTCCACACCACTTTCAGCGGAGATGGTGGACACAGCAACGCCATCTTCGGCAACTCCTGCTGGGGAACTTAGCCGCGAACCTCTCCCGGAATATTCGCGATCGCAGTCCGTTCAAATGCCTACAGACACCTCCATCATACATCGGGAACAGGCTCTACCGAAGATAGCAGCGAATCTGCCAGTTGTCGCTTCATACGCTGGGTTCACGGAGGCGTCTGCTGTACAACCATCACAGAACCTCACAAATCATAGCACTACCTCGCTCGGCACCCCCGCACGCTCCCCGCCCTGGGTACCCGCATCGGCGGCACCATCAATTTCTGCGGCTGCAATACCCGTCACCCCAATTGCGACAGCGGCACCTGATTTTGCGCCAATGGATCAAGATGAGGACGATGAACCGATGCCAACCATCGACATGGACTCGGATTCCGATTGACAGCGCTTGAATGATTCGCGCAGCATCTACTTCTTCAAGATAGCCTGCACCAAAACAAAATCGTAATCGGTGCTGGCATCGGTGCGAATACATCGCGATTTCTAGGTCTTGATGCGCTTGCGGCGTTGGCCTGCATCATCTACTGTCACGTCTTCGTCGTCCGATTCCGGGGTAGTGCGATCGGGCTGTGCTGGGTTGGTAATTGTGGGGAGCTAAGAGAATGCCAGGAAGACGTCAGTGAATCTCGGAATGTTTCACGTTGCCGCTATACCTGTTCAAGGAAGGTCGTTGCAACCGTGTTGTCAGCATCAATTGCTTTCGCTCGTTCGAAATGCCCTTGAGCTTCTCGCAAGAGGCCAGCATTCCAGCCAGATTCTGACGGGTATCGTTAAAGAAAGCGCTTGATAACAACTCGACAGACCGACCGTCAGACAGCTCATCTGCAATCAGCGCATTGGCTTTTGGCTGAGCAAGATATAGACATATGAGACCGGCATACACGTGCAGAACCGGGTTGTCTTGGTAGGGTAGCGAAGGAAGAAATCTGGCGGATGTTTATCCTTGAACATTTGCTGTTGGAAGTCTTTCGCACAAAAATAACACGAACAGTTCTAACTCGTCCAATGCCTTTCGATACTGACCGGCATGTATCAATTGAAGTACAAGTTCCTTAAGGATGGATTCACGCTGTGTGCAGTGTATTGTCAACGTATCGTCTGCGACAAAGTCTTTACTCACTTCATCTGCGTGCTGTCTCATCATAGTGGTCAGAAAGTTGATTCTCGTATCGTCCGCATCCATGCCATCCTCAGCCTGTGCGCCGAGAAGGAGAAGGGCAGTCTTCCACATTGATTTCCAATGAGTCTCTTTGCATCGTGCTAGGATTACCCATGCTCTACGCGCTCGCACGAGATCATTCCGCTGCAAACTGAGATGGAGAATGTCAAATAAGCGGCGTATGTGCACTTTGCGCGCAGTCGATGGTTGCTTTGAGTCGAGAGAGGTGAAGAGGAACGAATGCTCGGTCGACATGCGCAGCAAACACGATCGTCGTGAGCTGAGCGCCGAGCGCTCACCGTGTGTCACTTCTCTGCCTCCACTCCCACATAACCTCGGTCCACGCCGTGAGTGCTACTTTTCGCGAATGGAGGACGATATCACCTTTGGAGCCTCAGTATGGGGTGCACCGAACGACTTGGTGCCTACAATCTCTGACAAACATTTATCATCCTCCGTTTCACCTGCTCTTTCTTCGCAAGACGGACTCGATGAGTTCGACAACTTTGGAACACCTGCAGAGACACTGGCCGCGTCGGAGGATGAGGTGGATGATGACTTTGGGGATTTTGGAGATTTTGGAGAAGCACAGGTGGCTGGAGACGTCTCTGCGTTTGGGGAAGAGGTGGCTTTTGGCGATGGCGAGCAGACACCAACACCTGGCCCATCATTTGCGGATTGGGGACCTTTACAGTTGCACCCATTACCGTCTAGACAAGATCTTCAGGACCAGATAGACGACATACTGGGGCCGCTATGGGCAACCATCGACATATCCCACCTGACGAATGACGATATACGACAAGCAGAAGGGTTGAACCAAACATTAGTGACACCCGAGAGGTACCCATGATTTATTCTCATACCCGGCAGCTCATATCTGAAGTCACAGATTGTTCCAGTCGTCAATTATATACCATGTTACTCCCGCCTACCCCTCCTGCGCTCCAACCCGTTAACTGGACACGCTCGCGGATACGTCGGCGGCACCTTATTTCCCTCGGCATACCAGTGAACCTCGATGAAGTCCTCCCTCGAGCGAACGGGAAGCTTCCTATGCTGCAAATTACCACTCGACCCATGTCCGCGCCTCCCGGTCCTCGCACTGCTCCATCGCGGCCACTACCCTCAGCGAGCAATTCAAGGGCAGGAACACCACATCCAAGTTCTCCCATGACAAGTGTTGGTCCCGGTTACACCGCGTCTGCGGCTGCTCAACTACGACTTGGACCTAAACCCGACCTGGACGAGAATAAACTGTCCGAATTGCTCGATCTGGATACAGGTTCGCATATCTCCGTTCTGTCTGAAAGATGCTGGACTGACATATTACCGACTAGACTCCTTGAAATTGCTTCCCGTCACAAAGCTGGAAACTTTCCTCGCGGAGATGAAAACGCAGACAATCAACACTTCGACAGTCTTGACGTATCTCTTGCAGACGCGGGACGCTTTACAGCAAGATTCGGAGACATACAACAAATTGATTGGGGAGCTTGTTGGAGAGGCGCAGAAAATCAAGACTGGCAAACGGATACCTACTCGGAGGGGTAGTGGGATGACATAGTGTCTACACTTGCCACACGGTATTTTGTTTGTCTTGACAGTGATATTCACGGACTTGTTCCGACGATAGTGCATATTATTGTCTCAACCTAAGTTTACGACTCTGCCTCGTGTACCTTGATGGAAAGTTGACTGCAGTCTGCAACCGCGACACGATCGACCTCTAAATCTGATATTGATCACGTGATTAGCATGTATTTTTGGCAGACCTACGCAGATTACTTTGCTCTTAGTCCTCTGGAGCGGGGTTTCTGTCCTCCTTAGCCATGAACATTGCCCAAACTGTTCCTGCTACAGTCTCGAGCATTTCCTTCTCTTTTCTCTCTGCGGACGATGTCCGACGCATCTCTGTCCAGAAGATCGTTAATCCCGTACTTCTCGACGACCTGAACCGTCCCACTATTGGCGGTCTCTACGATCCTGCTCTTGGACCTAGTGACAGATCAGACATGTGCGCCGTACGAGTAGTCACCCTGTGAAACGCATCTAACGGCTTTCTCAGTTGTGCAACATGCCGGCTAACATATTTCACCTGCCCTGGGCACTTTGGTCACATAGAACTACCGGCACCCGTGTTCCATCCGCTATTCATGACAAACATGTATCATTTGCTCCGCGGTGTGTGTCTGTTTTGCCATAGGTTCAAGGTCGACCGGTCGGTGGTGAGTGCATCCTACTAGTCTATCGTGAGACGCTCTCACAAGCGTATTTACCGTAGCTCTGTCTCTACGTTGCGAAGTTGCGCCTTTTGGAGCATGGACTCCTTGTCGCTGCTGAGACTTTGAACGATTTCTATGTTCAGACTGAGAAAAAGGACAAGAAGTCGAAGCAGGGAGAGCCCGATGACGAGGACGCTGAGTTTCACGAAAGTTACGAGGCATTTGAGCAGAGGGTCAACACCTATGTTGCGCTCCAATTTGCAGCTGCGTCCACGAGCAAACGAGATGCGTACAAGGATGGGCTCGTTTACAAGGCGCGCAAGGCCCTGATCTCCGACTTCTTGAAGGTGGTCACGCAGAAGAGATGCAGGAACCCCAAATGCGGCGCGTGAGTCAATGATGCATCATAGCTTGAATAGGAAATGGTGATGAGCATGTCCCTAGTCACGCCTACACTTTCCGCAAGGAGGGGTACACCAAGGTCATCGAATACGACTTGTCCGGAAAGCAGAAACAAGCTCATGAAGCTATGGGTTTGAAAAGACCAAATGTTCTCTTTGATCAAAAGGTGAGGGCCGCCCCAAACGAGAATTCTAACGCAAACGACGGCGCAGACGACTCCAGTCAAGATTCAGAATCAGAGGATGACGGCGAGGACGTTTTCTCAGAGCACAATGAAGATGAGGCTGAGTCTGCGGCGGCAGCCAAGAACTTACCCAAATCGGCCAGTGGGAAGGTGAAGGGCAAACGAGGGCGCAATGAGCGTGTTATGCCACCTGAAGAGTGTCGTGCCCATTTGCGACGTCTGTTTGCAAATGAATCCGTGGTGTGTTCGCTGCTCTTTGGTCGACATGGTCCTTTCGCCCCTCTGGGCAAGCACAATTTGTCGTATGCTTCCGCCGACATGTTCTTTCTGGATGTTGTGCCAGTTAGCCCAACGCGCTTCCGACCCCCGGCGAAGATGGGTGAAATGCTCTTCGAACACCCGCAGAACGAGCTTTTATCCAGAATCATCAATACTTCATATCGACTACGTGACCTAAATGACAGCGTACGGGCCGCTTCGCTGAAGGGTTCAGAGGTCGATGATGATACCAGACGGAGACTGTTGCAGTCACTTCTTGACGCTCTCATACAGCTGCAAATCGATGTGAACAGCTTCATCGATAGTAGCAAGAACCCAGCCCCGATGCGACAAGGCAGACTTCCGCCAGCAGGTGTGAAGCAGGGACTTGAAAAGAAAGAAGGCTTGTTCCGCAAGCACATGATGGTATGCCTATTTGCTATCTACTCTCGAAGCTATGCTTTTGACTCTTGCTCTCGTTCTTCAGGGAAAACGAGTCAACTATGCTGCTCGATCCGTCATCTCTCCTGATGTCAATATTGAACCCAACGAGATCGGTATCCCACCTGTATTTGCTCGCAAGTTGACATTCCCTGAACCCGTCACACCCTTCAATTTCCACGAGCTGCGGCAGTTGGTCATCAATGGTACCAGAAACTATCCCGGTGCTTCCATGGTAGAGTTCGAGGATGGCCATTTGCAGTACCTCGTGAGCTGTCCTCTCTCATACACGAGCTTCAATCTGTAACCCAAATCCAATAGGACAAGCTCAGTGTTGAACAGCGCACTGCAATTGCGAACCAACTTCTTACGCTGCAGGAAGGCGACCACGGTTCCGCACGCTCTGGCCTTTATACCCGCACTACAGCCATAAATAAGAAAGTGTATCGGCATCTGCGTGACGGTGATATCTTGATATTGAACCGTCAGCCGACGTTGCACAAGCCGAGTATGATGGCCCACAAAGCTCGCGTGTTACAAGGAGAGAAGACCATTCGAATGCACTACGCCAACTGGTACGTTCTAATTGCGGCCACATGCGGCGTTGTGATACTGACGATACTCCGTAGCAATTCGTACAATGGTGAGATTGTTTCTTGCCGCCTCCTAGTCGTCCCCTCATCATAATTTGTCCTCAAACAGCTGACTTCGATGGTGATGGTAAATACACGTTTGGTCGAGCTAGTCCTACGCGTCTGACATAAATTTACAGAGATGAACATCCATTTTCCACGTAAGTCAAATCTTCGTGCTCATGGGATTGGATCTGAATAGTCTTTGCAGAGAACCAAGTTGCACGCTCCGAGGCAATGTACATTGCCAACACAGATAATCAGTATCTGGTGCCAACGTCTGGGAAACCTCTGCGAGGTTTAATTCAGGATCATGTTGTGGCTGGTGTCTGGATGACCGCGCAAGACTCGTTCTTCACACGTGAAGAGTACTTCCAGCTGTTATATGGAGCGCTTCGCCCGGAAGATGACTCTGGCCATCACAGTGGCCGCCTAGTCACCTTGCCGCCAACCATATGGAAACCGAAAGCTCTGTGGACAGGAAAGCAAATTGTAGGTCATCCTTACCCACGTGTATGTACTCTCTGACGGGTTTCTGTGTGTTTAGATCTCTACAGTCATGAAAAACATCACGCCCAGTAATTTTGAAGGTCTGAACCTGCACTCACAAGCGAAGGTGCCCGGTTACCTGTGGGGAAAGGATACCCAAGAAGACAAGGTCATCTTCATGGACGGTGAGCTCCTTTCCGGAGTTCTTGATAAGTCAGCATTCGGCGCCACGGATTTTGGGCTGGTGCATTCTGTGTACGAACTGTACGGATCAGATATCGCGGGGAAGCTGCTTGGCATTCTCAGTCGTCTGTTCACCAAGTTCTTGCAGCACCGGGCGTTCACGTGTCGGATAGATGACTTGGCTTTGACGCCTGAAGGTAACGCGAAGCGCACGGCGCTACTACAAAAGGGGGCTGGACTTGGTACTGAAGGTGCAATCGACAACTTCCCTTCTCTCAGCACGGTCGACGAAGATGAGAAGCTCATGGTGCTTCGTTCCCTCTTGGAGGACGTGTCACGAGACGATAGCAAGATGGCTGGGCTTGATATGACTGTCAAGGGCAAGCTAGCCAAGTTGACCAAATCGATTGCCGACGCTTGCATGCCCAACGGTCTGTTGCGCCGATTCCCGCATAACCATATGCAAGCTATGACACTTTCTGGTGCAAAGGGTAGCGCCGTCAATGCTCAACAGATATCTTGTGCGCTGGGCCAGCAAGAGTTGGAAGGTCGTCGAGTCCCTGTCATGGTCAGCGGGAAGACTTTGCCATCTTTCAAACCCTTCGAGACCAAAGCTATTGCTGGCGGTTACGTGGCAAGCCGTTTCCTCACAGGAGTTAAACCTCAGGAGTTCTTCTTCCACTGCATGGCCGGCCGAGAAGGCCTCATCGATACTGCTGTCAAGACCTCACGTTCAGGTTATCTCCAGCGGTGTCTCATCAAACATCTGGAAGGTATCCGCGTTCATTACGACAACACTGTGCGAGGAAGTGATTCTTCCATTTATCAATTTCACTATGGCGGTGATGGGCTCGATGTGACGAAACAGAAGCACCTGCTACAATTCGAGTTCATTGCACGCAATGAGATCTCGTTTGTCAATCGTTACAAGCCAAGAGCACTCCACGGTGTCGTGTCGGAGGAAGCGGTGGAGTACATGAAGACGATCTTGAAGCAGAAGAAGAAGTCTCCGGATGAGAGTTACCAGCCAACTCTCTCTCGTTTCAATCCAAGTCGGCATATTGGTAGTACCTCGGAAAAGTTCGCTGAGAAGGTCGAGGAATACATCAAGAAGAACCCTCACGGCCTCCTGAGGAAGAAAGGACAGGACGACGCGCCAATTCAAAGGCGGAAACATCCGGTCTCCTCAAAGCACTTTAGACTGCTGATGAATGTTAAATACATGCGCAGTCTCGTGGAACCCGGGGAAGCGGTTGGCCTTCTTGCTTCACAAGGGTGCGTTCCCACCTGCAGTGATTCTGAACAATTGCTGATGTCGCATTGGTTAGTGTTGGTGAGCCGTCAACGCAGATGACGTTGAATACCTTCCACTTCGCTGGTGAGACATCCGTTCGATCAGAAGAGGATTAACATTGAGGTTGCCTTTTAGGCCACGGTGCTGCGAACGTGACTCTGGGTATACCACGGTTGAGAGAAATCGTAATGTCAGCTTCCACAAAGCCAAAGACACCGTCGATGACCATGTTGGTTCGTCCGGGAGTGCCCGAGTCAGACGTTGACGAATTCTGCAAGAAAGCTAGTCGACTTGCACTTTCTCATGTTGTGGACAAGGCCATCGTCAAGGAGCGCCTCATGGGAGAAGGCAACGCCAGGAGCAAGGAATTCATGATCGAACTCCTGTTCTATCCGAAAGCGCAGTATCAAGCGGTGTATGACGTTGAAACCGCAGAAGTCATGGAAGCATTCGGCACCAGATTCCCGATGATACTCAGGAAGGAGTTGCAAGTGGAGATGAAGAAGTTGGATGCTGACTTAAAGGGCCAGATATCGGGGCTGGGCAAAGGGAAAATGGTGCGAGAGCGTCCTGGCAATGCGGGCGGGGTCGACGCCGAGGCTGAAGGAGATAATGAGGCTGAAGACAGCGCTAAGGGGAAGAAAGATGACGATGAGAACAGCGAAGTAGGAGATGGCGATGCATCGGCGGCGAAACGGCTGCGTCAGACAAAAGAGCAAGCTACATATGAAGATGATGATGAAGATGAAGAACCTGTGCTCGGCGAATTCGATAATGAGGAAATCGAAGCAGCCTATGCACGTGAAGCCAGCGGCGAGGAAGACGGAGACAACGATCCAGAGTCTACAACGGAAAAGCCACAGACTGTTGAGGAGTTGTTCATGCATAACTTCCCTAATGCGACATCCTTCCAGTTCAATGAGAAGGGTTGTACGATCGGACTCTCGGTGAGTTAATTGTCACCCGACAACGTTGGCAGTACCTCTGATCGATGGCTGGCCCGCAGTTCTCAGCGACCATGCCAAAGCTGCTACTCGTTGGCATCGTGGAGAAAACATGTGTTAAAACTGTTATACGTGAAATTCCTGGGATCACTGACTGTTTCAAGAGCAAAGAGGACGGAAAGAACGGGGAAACACTGTACAAGGTCAGATTACTTGGTATCAATCGTTCGATCCTGGTCGCTCACTTTACACAGCTTACGACGAACGGATCAAATCTCTCTGGTCTGTGGCAATTCGCTTGCAGCGATGTTGAGAGCATGATTGATGAAGACGGCATCTATTCTAACGACATCCATGCGATTATGTATGCGTATGGAGTGGAGGCAGCGCGTGCAACTATTTTGCGGGAGATCGCGGGCGTGTTTGCGGTGTACAAAATTGACGTTGATGTTCGCCATCTTGAGCTTATTGCTGATTACATGGTGTGTACCTTTCTCCACTTGTTGTATCTTCTTGCTGTAATCGACGCGTTCCATTGGCAGACGTTCGACGGCGGATACAAGCCCTTCAACCGCAAGGGTATCTCGACCAATCCTTCACCTCTTCTGAAGGCATCGTATGAAACAACGGCCGCGTTCCTGTCCGATGCCACCCTTCATGGTGACTTCGATGACTTGACCACACCCTCCGGCAACATCGTGATAGGTCGACTCAACTCGTCAGGGACGGGTGTTTTCGACGTTGTGACGCCAGTAAATGCATGAGATGACCAAAGTTCTACTAGTATTTGTATCCACGTCGAATTTATCCCGCATGTATTTTAACCGGTACTATCGATGCGATCCGATGTACCTTACGAAAGCTCTCGAGCATTCGCGATCGTTGGTTCTCGTAAACGAAGGCAGGCGACCCTTATCATGACGCTGGAAATGATGTCATGAACGAAGCGTGGAGCTTTGGCCGCCATCATTAATATTGCCCTCCTTGTCGCCGCCTTTGCAAACGAACAGACACCGAGGACCCAAAGTAGATTCCAGTAAGATAGACCCGCCATCTGCAGTTGATTCAGGGCAGAGCACAAGCGGCTTAGGTGGCCTCTTGATCTCCAGATTGACGATGCGTGATCCGTCGGAACGACCGGCGTACTGCATGAAAGTAAGTGACAACTCAGAGATGGTGCACGTCAGAAGAAAACATACACCATACGCACGAACGGATACATGCACACGCACAGATGCACAAAACTCTCGCTGCGGGTCACGATGGGCGTCCTAAGCCCCCATGCCAGAGCAAAACATCGGGTTGAACTCGCATTGAGCCTATGGACGCCATAGATGTGTTCCCTGTACATAAGCGATACCGGTAATATGTCAGCTAATTGCCGATTCGAACAAGATCCAGAGAACCACTCCCATGATACGTATCGATACATACCACACTTTGGCGCTTCACAGAAGGGAATCACTCCAAAGTGCCTCATTTGGGCGACAATCTCGGAAGGACGGCCGGATAGGCATGTCGTGGCATCGGCATCCACATTGTCCACAGATGTACGCCCCCCTGCGGTTCAGAATCCAAAACAAGTTAAACATTCTATCAACGTAACTCCCACATGAAATTTTTTCGCCTCGATCACATCTCAGAATCGCGGTGACAGGTCGCACGATGCGCCCCTCTGCACCCAAGTAGAACTTGCTAGTAACTATCGGGCAACCATGTCCTGTATACATCGTGAGCACAGGCTCCCCTTCGTATATAAAGGAGAGTCCACATCACCTCCGACACAACGCACCGGTAACACATATTCCCCAGAGTATTCAATCTCCTGCATATTTACACACGATGTGCAGAATGCGTCGGTAATGTCTCGAACTTTCATCGGTATGCCCGATACTCATAATCCTCTGTTGCCTCGGTCTATTCAGCGTCTACAATTTCTAGGTGAAGTGAGTGCCACGAACCTCCAGTATAGGTCGACTCTCATCAGCCCTCCATCTCGCCTAGGTGCCAGCACGGCATATCTTTGGTATGTCGTCTTCTGCCTTCGATGAGTCCTCCGTGATCATGGCTCCTATGACCAGCCCGAAGAGGAGGTCAGTCAATCTTTTCAGTCTTTGTTGACTACCATATCTACCGATGTATATGCATAGATCAAATGCGACAGTCCGACCTGCAAATTTAGTCTGATGCATCCACCGGATTGCGTTCCACCATTTTGCACAAGAAACTGCTGGCAATAGTGAGTACGCATTTTGGGCCGCCAATTAAGTGACTAACTAGTTCTCCAGTCGCCCGCAACCCCAGATGTATTGTAAGTGGATATGACCTGAGGCCTGTTTCGGTACTCAACCGCACATAGCGCCTCATATCGATGCGTATTGCCCGAACTGCACCGCTGCAGGCTTGGCTTAATGGCACTTGGTCAAACGGCATCGGCAGAATTTCTTGGACAGTAATATTGTAACATACACGGCGCATTGGAGAACTGCGTTGCGGGTGATTTTCTTGCGTGTGATGAGGTTAATTGTATAAACTGTACTTTTATCGACGCTGCGAACGTGGTTTCTTGTAACAATTTGTTGAGCTATCCTGTATATGGCCTTGGGAGATGCACTGATACACGCTATTAGTACCAAGTGTATGTGGGTGCGGAGCAATGAATGCATATTCACTTACTAAGTCCACCGATCCTCTTCAGATGCTCAACGGAAGGAACATACCATATAAGGCGGCACAGTTAACATCGTCAAAAAGGCATGAGAAGAACAACAAACTACCGTGAATATTCTCACACAGCAAATCCGATTCTTGCCATCACGGAAGCCGACAGACTGGGTATCAAGAAGATTGATGCAGTCACGGCATGGGGGAAAAGGTCAGCAGATAGAGCAGCCGATAAGGTCAAGAAGGAAAGAAACATTGAACTCTCTGCGGGAAGACACATCATGCACGGAGACAATTATATAGTATACAGTACGCAAAAAATACAATACAATCACAATGGGCCTCGCGTCGTCGTGAAGGCTAACATACGGAGTGAAACCGTGATACGAAACGCACGCGTCAATCGTCATCCTTGATGTCGTGCTTCTTCTTCAACTGTGCTAACTCTTCTTCTCGGCGGGCGAGGTCAGCCTTCGCCGCCGCCGCATCTTGCTTGGCCGGCATATGGTATAGAACTACAATGTACCGCTCCTGAAGATGGAAACCATTCAGATGATCAAGCGCATTCTTTGCCTGTCGATACAACTGTCAACGGTAGACTCGAATTGTATTCTAGGAAAACGCACGTCCATCACATCATCGAACACCACAAATGCAGTCCCTCTGGTCTTCTGCTCATTTCCAATGCGAATCTGGCGGATACCACCGTAGCGTCCAAACAAATCATACAAGTCTTCGCCTGTAATCTGGTAGTTCAGATTCTTAACGAACAGAATCCTGTTAGCGCCAGGAGGGAGCTTTGTCTAAGAACAGAAACGTGAGATGGCAGGCAAAGGAAAGAAAAGAGCAAAGACTATAACATACGGTGGGTCGTGCCAAAGCCATGATAGTTGAACTCAACCGGTCTAAACGCTAATGTGACCGTGACCAATAATAATCCGCGGAGTTTTAATCCGAATATGGCAACCGTGGCAGATGCAGCTGCCGAAAAGTACCATCCTCTACAAACTCTCAGGCAGAAACGGCTCCGTCAAGTTGATTTTCAGAGCTATTCGTAAACTGTGAGCCAGAAAATGGCTCAAGTCTGACTCAGTTGGAAATCGAGCCGTAAGTGTGACAGACAGCGAGATGCTCTCGAAAGGTTGGCCACTCAAAAAGTACCATGTGTCGGTCTCAAGCGGTTTAAAATTATGAAGAATTGGGACCGATAACAAGAACCTGTCTTCCACAGTGAGCTAATGCTAGTGACATTTTGTCAACTGCGAGCCAAGTCAATGGAGCTCGCACTGGAAATGCGCATGAGTGCTATAGCCGCAGCTACACTGCCTAGCATTCAGTCGAGCTCTCACACTACGATTGGTTCTGAATATGAACTCTCAGATCATGAGGACTCAGTGCCCACATGAAAGACATAAGCAACAGAAATGGTGGTAGTAGCCGGATGGTCTCGAAAGACGGGGTGAGCGGAACAATATTGTCATACTCCGGGGACAGAATTAAATTCTCAGCAGTAAGACAGCTCAGATATCCCTTATAGATAAGAGAGAGATCGCAGTCTAAGTGAGCGCTCGCGGTATCAGAAGGACAAACAGAGAAACGTACTTAGACATTTGAACTTGGGCAAACGTACCTCCAGAAGCGCGATAAGATTTTGAATTAACTCCCCGTCATGTTGGTTCCAATTCCCTTATCCACCCACACGCGAAATCGAAGGGGAGGACGGGTGCAATACTGCTGTAATTGCTGCACTGGTGTTGGCTAAGGGAGACCTGGCACCAACGCTTCCTGAAGTCTCGAAATCGAGGTCCTGCATAGCTATCCACAGCCGGTACCGCGCTTGTGAGAGTCCAACACACAAAAGCGTACTGCAAAGAGGGGGGATTTCTACTCATACAGCCCCGTGTTCAAGGCGGCATGCGCTCAACTTGAAGAGGTAGCCAGGTCTAAGGATACATAAACTCAACAGACCGCCTATTATTGCCTCAAAAACTGCTCACGATCGAAATCAAGATATCTGCCACGAAAAGGATCTGGTCAAAAGGAATTAGATGTGATCCCTGAGGGTAGCGCAAGCACACGAGACAAGACGTTTGGCGCCGCAATTACGTCGGTTCCAAGGGGCATGAGGGATATGCGAGGATATTCTCAGCACTGCGTACAGGTACAGTCGGATTCGACACCTCTCGAGATTGCTGGCGAACTCACCGCTGCTTCTGTTCCGGTATCGTCATGAGAACAGTTGAACTGTTGAGGCTTATCAATGGTTAGATAATCCGCAGGATATGCCTACAGTAGCGTTTGCTGCTTCGATAGCCTCCATCTACCGCCGTGCGGTACCTTACGCTTCACGTTAAAGTGATGATCACGGCAGAGCCCATACAACGTACGCGTGTGATTCCACATCCCGACAATGATCAGTTCCAAGTGAGTATTAGAATGGCATCTAGACAAGCGCTTCTCAAACGCGAGCGCGTCTGGTGCTTACCAGCAAAACGATATATATGCAAAACCCACACAAATGTACGAAGGCAATCGAGTCACGATTTTTCACGAAAGCACAGCCTCTATGGCAATGACTGGAAGCCCAACGCCAAAGCCATCAAACCCCACATCGCAAGAATTACTGACAAAGAGGCATTCGGATGCCTCTCTGCAATGCTGCTTGCGGCAGAATTCGACGCGGTTGGAGGAGAAGATGTCGAGGAAAGTGCAGATGATGTGCTGGAGGACGAGGAAATCATAGCATCAGGGCCGTCATAGAAGAAGATCCCCGTGACGGGGCTGCCTAATCCGATGTTGTCAGTGAAGGTGACCAGGTTCCAAAGCAGGGGTACTATGACTTAGTCGGAGGAGTTAACGTATAAAGGTGCAAGCAAGTATGTAGAAGTCGGAAGGCTGTACGTACAACAGCTGGATATACCCGTAGGTATCTTTGATAAAATAACGACACCTCAGCGATCGGTTAGTGGTTGGTGGGCTCCAGCTGCCAGCTGAGGGCGAGACTGATTACCGACCGATTATGCCACACGGAAAACGGGCGCACTGTTAAATGAGAGTATTGAGAGCGAGTCCAAGTCAACCAGTGCTTGCGTTTCGCCCTCGGCGCGCGACATACCAACAAAGCCACTAAATGAAGCAAGAGTGTCAGCCACAGCAGAGAAGTTATTTGTGCACATTTTGCAGGAGCTTCCGATTTTAACAGGCACAAACAACCGCCTTCGGTGACCCAGTCTGCAGTCGAGCTTAGATGTAGGCTCACCGCGGACGAAGCCCTGCATTCTCTGGCAATATCAGGCGGGCTTAACAAATTTGCTATTTCACAGCAAACGTCCTCGTCGGCGTCTGAGCCCTCATTGCAGCAACAAGCACGAGCGTGTCCATGGCGGTCACCCATTCTTTAAGTCCGCGAGTACGCTCGCGCGGGCCACGCAGATACGTATGGATATCCTGAGGAACGAAGGTTGAAGAGAACGTCTGTCGGCCATTAGGAAACTAGGGTAACGGACTTACAGTCGAGACGGTGATGCCTTCGTGAGGTGCTAGATCTAGCATGTATCTTGTCATTGAGCGTGAATGGCAGTGAATGGATGGATTGGGAGCCAGCATTAAAAAAGAATAGAAACGTCTCAGCTACACGGCACAGTATCCTATCCTTGCGCTTCACTCCTTCAACGAGGGTACAAACCCGGAGAAAGCAGCTGAGTACAACCCATGGCCCGGGCGTTAGTAAGTGCTGCCCGCATTAGTCAGAGAACTACCAGCGCTAGCCTTGCTCTTGTAGCAAACTTCTGCCAATATATAACAGACTACTGCACATGCAACCTTCATCTTTGAGAGTCGATTGACGTCAGAAGAACGGCTAACAACCCCTGCAGATGCGAGCGCCATGCTTAAGGTAGGATGGGCGAATCAGAACGGTTGCTACATTTTTGGTGCGATAGCACACTCGCTAAAGTGTTCACCTCTTCTCGAAGAATTACTCACGATCGATATCGAGAACGATTCGGAGGAATGAATTGAATGGTGTGCCTGAGACTCGCAATCGCACACACGCACAAGAAGAGGACCATGTTGCAACCGTGACACTTCCAGACAGCGCGTATACAGGAGCGGGCGCGGCAGGCTCAGCATGCAATGATAACCCTTGGTGAACTGATCATAAAAACATGCACGCATCGATGAATCTCCTAAAAGGGAGAGGAAGAGGATTCGGGACCCTTGGCGTTGGCATGCCGGTTGCGCAGCAATCAAGGCAGTTCTTACTACTAGAACGGTCCGGGTGCACTATCGTGCTGTCGACGTTTAGCAATTATCTCATACTGTGCAAGCCCCGTCGGTGAGTACGTATCACTGTCCTACAGGGTGATTATTCCCCGCACATCCTCCAAAACATGTGTAAATTACGATGCCTTCTCCTAGAGCCAATACGATAAATATTCCAGTGTAGACGGTGTGCCTCCGTTAGATGTGCTCCTCCCATTTGGAGCGATAGGAAGCATGCAAACAAGAAAGACAGCGCATATCGCAACCGTGCAGGGTGCTTACTCAGAAACATACTCTACGACAGAACTTGGAGACCCAACGCCAAAGCCGTCAGTGCCCATGTCGCGAATATGATTGACAGGGAAGAGTTGTCTGACATGCCCTTAGCAGCGGAAGGCGAGGAGGTTGAAGAAGGCGCCGACGACGTGCTGGAAGACGACGCATTTGATGCATCGGGGCCAGTATAAAAGAAGTTCCCTGCAACAGGGCTACCCAAACCGACCTCCTTGCTGAAGGAGGTGAGGTTCCAGTCCAAGCGTGCAGGGATTGAGCTGGAGGTGTTCACATATTCGGGAGCAAGGGTGTCGAAGTTGGGAGGCTGAATAAACAGAAGCTGGATATACCTGCAGGCATCCTCAGGCTTCACGATAAAGATACTGAGTCTGTACCTACCTGTGGGGAGGTGACCCTGCGGGAGGGCCGGGTGCGATGAAGGGTGTGATCGCAGCACTCGAGTTCGTCAGTGGTGCACCAAGGCTAAAGTTTCCCGACGCATGGAAATCCCCTGCCAAGATGTGGCGGACAAGCGACCACGACGTGTTCGTGGGAGTAGGCGCATCGGGATCGATCATAACAATCACGAACGTCTGGCCGTCGAGGGTGGTGTTGGAGGAAGTCAGTGCGAAACTGGGTGGCTGCGCCGTCTCTGGTTCGGCAAGTCAACCTCGCATACACCAATATTCGCGCATGGAGAGTTCTCACGTTCAACGGTGAGATTGGTTGCTGGAGTGACCCCAATGGTCGAATTAGATGTCTTGAAAGCGACATTCAATACTGCGATCGGGTCAAACGTCGGAATAACTGCAAGTTGTGATAAACCGTTAGCGAAAAAGCTTTGGCAAGGTTGCGAGCTTTATACTTGCCATTAGGGACGATTTTGGCATCCATGAACGCCTGCTGCACGCTGGAGGGTGTTATCGATTGACCAGCAGCACTATGAACTGCTGCAAGGAGGAGGGCAATAGACTGTAAGGTGAACATCATGGCGTGCGATGGGGCTGGAAGGTGGAGGAGGTTGAACGCACATATAGCACCACCACCTATCGAATTTATATCCCACTTCTGAACAGATCTGTCATCTCTTGGGAGAACTGCCTCTTCGCTCCTGCCACGAAGATGTTGGCTGTCAATGGCTGATACTCATCAACTTGCAGCGCAGTCGGGAAGATCACCGGAAGGTGCTATGTCTGTTGATAAAATCCGGAAAGATGCACCGCGCAAGGAGCATAGCGCGCCGAACCACGGCACACTGCCAGGGCGCAACGCCAGTGCTTTCTTCATCCCACCAGTATTCACCAATCAATCTATGTCCGCGGTCGGAACAGATTAAGGGCAGTGCAGGATGCCAGACAGCGACGTCAAGCGTCCTGACCGCGCGACCAGGAAGTAGCGCAGAACGTCAGGAGCAGAAGTGGGTGGATTCGTTGGCACAAGTACGCGTAATTACTGACACCAGTCCACCAAGCAAGGTCAGGGCTGCAGTGATAACTAACAGAACATGCCACAAACCTGATAACTTCGGAACGTCACGTGTATACACTGACATGCTTGAGACCTTATTCCTAAGCTCAAGAGGGTGGCGTAAAGTCAGTTCCTTACCACAGGTCGAAGAAGTCAGATAAGGGCCCCGAGGGGACCCCTCTCTCCCTCTTCCTGCCATATTTGGCAGGTTAACTGCCTTATATGGAATATTATTCTCACGGAAAGTACTAGGTATAAATTTAATATAATTTCGTATCTGCACTCACCGACACACAAATCACCCAGCATTCTCCTTCCATGCAAATCTCATCATAAAAGCAGTCAGTACCTACCAGTAGTGCCATATGCATATTTATTCAGCTGAAATGGTGCTGCAATAAATTGCCCCCAGTGCATGCAGAGATACTTACTAATGCTCACATGGCAGCCTGTGTGCCCTTACTCATATGTAGACCTTGCAGCTCACTTCTTTGAGGGATTCACAGTCACTGGGCCTTACCATGAATGCTGTGGACAATTCTGAAGCATTTGAAGTGGTTATAAAGTGCAAAAAGCCTTTTCTGAGTATTCCGAGTAGTCGCTGTCAAAACACAATTTAGGACCACAGGACCACCCCTCCCTCTCTAACCCATGGTCTCGGCATTCTCCGGCTGAGTACTCTTGCCTAAGCTTCCTTGGTGCTGGATCACACGTACTGCTGATGTGAAGGAACCTCGAACCAGCGTTCCCTGATGCATCATCCGTCGTGATTGTTGCTTGAGACAATCAAGCTCTGCGAAGATGCGGCGACATCGCACTGAATCAAAGCAGGCATGCCAAATGACCCTCGGAGTCAATGGTAAACGCCTAGAAAGAATCTGCGATTGTGCATGGGTGGCGCTGGCAAGCGCCTGTGAACGAACGCGCCATCGATCTCGGGAGGTCGAGCGGCTTATCAGCGAAACCGGGAGATAAGCACATCCGCAAAACAAGGGTGTAAAGCACCTATGAGACGTGGAAGGCAAGGGGTGTTCTCAGCTAGCTCTCGACATCAAAGTTCCACGGATTTCGTCATGCTCAAGAGCGTGGCATTGGCACTCTGTGGCCCCAGCTTCGATCGCTCTTCCAAGCTTGATGGCTAGCGTTCTCCTCGCTTGCAAGTACCACAGATCAAGCGTTCTGGCGTGCCACAAACAATCCTCGAGAACCCGCACGCGAAGCGGAGGATGCGAACTCCCTGAAGGTGGCATGTAAGATCCCCCAATCGTGGACGTCTGATCGGCGGCGGCGCAGACAATGTGAAGCCAGCACGCAAGCACTCACCCACGAAACCCTGACAACCACAACTGATCTTCGCAGAACGAAACTTGGAGGCGTTCCGCTCCTTCTAGCACGGATGTCGATTCCTCGTGAGGCACATAAGTTCAGGCAGAACGTTGGTATACTTTAATACCAGACGCCCTTGGCATGCCCATATTCCAGGTCCATCATTGTCGGGAACAGCAATATTGCGCTCGTCCATACGCAAAAAAGGTGTTCGGGTCGGCGTTGGAGCGCCTTCTGGCTAAAAATGACTATATGAGTGTCATCAACGAGGATAGGCATGCCTACAGAGGCAAAACATTCGCAGGCCCGTTGCCGGGAGACTGTATTGGCACCATGAGGGTACGCACTCCACTGGGTAAAACTCTGCCTCTGACTGCCAATAGCGGGAGGGTGTCGGAAGAAGTCATAAAACAGAGTGCATCGGATTTTCTGTCGAACAAACTCAACGTTATCGATAATGTATGCGTAACCGTCCTCGGCGGCTTCGCTCGCGGCTGCCAAGCCACGAGGGTCACTGCCGGCGGTAAGCACGCATCGACCAACGCTCACAGCAGCTGACTGAGGAAGAGCAGGACCACAGGACGACGTTTGATTCCGCTGTCCGCAGCGACGCTACTGGTTACCGTTTTCTGTGTTCGTATTCCTTCCCGCACGGCGGATAGAGATTTTGCCATGCAGTCTGCCGATGCTGACATTGAGCTGGAGCTTAGCTCCCCGGCGACTCGCTCGGCGGATCAGACGCATGTACTGAGCGCGTAAGTGATCGCTGCAATTGCACGTTCCTGTCCTGAGATCTGTAAATCCTGGCAACGGAAGCAGAGATAAACACGGGATCCTCACCGCTTGACCTGGTCGTTCATTTCAATATCCCGCTAACCACAGAAATGCTAGGACGGCGGCTCGCTCACGGTAGCAATAAGTATGTCAGAAAAAGACGCACCACCATTAACAGGATGAAGGTTCAGGGTTGCGCTGCCGCATGTCAGATATTCTAGTACGCCTTGAACGATCGTATCAAACTACAGCGTGACACCGGGCCACAGACTGTGAAAGCAGAAATCCACCAATGATTGAGACTACCACCTGAAGCGCCCTTGGCTTTGATATACCGAAGACAAAAGGCCCACCAAGTGAGTTACAGTAGAACACCGAAATTGTTTTCTTTTGACAAACAGCAACCTGCGCCCCGGCCCGGGTTTCGTTCTGGGACGAAGCAGAAACCCACCTGCATACAATCCACGCATATTCGTTCCAAGGCACTTTGATTCCTCCGCCCCACGACTTTCCACGCCTTCTACACGCGCCGCACTCACGAACATATAGACGCAGCATATTCCTACCTTATTTCCTGTATGCATAGCGTGCATGCCCTGCACGGCAGCATGAGACTTCGCTCCGAACTTCAGCCCGATTATCGAGAATTGCACCCATTGTAAAGTTCGGTCCGTGTCACAATCGCACAAACTCACCTGTCGTTCCTCGCCACTGCGGGGGTCACCTACAACCGCGCAGAGAACCTCACTGCAGTAGCGGCAGAGCAAAGTCTCTATCCGCGGTTCCCTACGCACAAAGCGCCACATGAGATCGTACGACGTGCAAATTCTGACGCACCTCGCGAGCTGATGACCCACACGCTCGGATACGACCTGCACTGGAGTGCCCTGCGTCGATTCATCCTGCGGAACCACGTTGTACTTCCACGCGACGACGACGCGGACCGCGCACAGTCCCGCACATCCACGATCGAAAATGTAAAGTTCCGTCTTTTCTCTCTCATTGGACATATTCCGTACAGCGCCGCGCAGAGTCTCGATGTCGTCGTCGCGCGCCGAACCCGACTAACCTACGCGAAAAAAAACCAAGCCTTCACAGCACCAGCATCAGCCCCAGAGGCCCGAAGCACAACCACGCGCACTCACCTCCTCTCGCGCACTCACTTCCCCAACGGCCTCGCTAACCTCGTCACCTCCGCACAGTCCACCCGGCCCCGCACACACACCACCGTGCCCCCCTCCGCAGCATCGGGCACCACGCACCGCACGTCCTGCACGTCCGGGCACGGGCACGCCGCGGGGCCCGGTGCGCAGAAGAGCGTGTCCGGGCAAAGGTACTGCGCGCACGGCACTGTCCACCGTCCCGCCTTCGTCAGCCCAAAACCATTTAGCTAGGGAAAAGAACAAACGCACCGGCGTCGGATTGCAGGACCCACTGCGGGACGCCGTCTGGCGGTCGCTGCTGCTGCTGTTGCTGTTGCTGTTGGTGCTGGCCGAACATCTGCTCGAAGAACCCGAATTGGGCGCGGACGGAGGACATGAGCGTTAGGGCGAGGACGAGGGCGAATATTCGTGGCAACATGGTGTCCAGCTTGTATGCGGAGAGGGAGAGAGAGCAACTATATAGACGCCCGGAAACGTGTCGTCTCGACGCGTCAACAGCGCGCAACAACGCGTCAGATCTTCCGCCGTCCCGAGTGAAAATGGGGGAACAAACGAGCATTCGGAGTCATCATGAAGAGAAAGTATGGTAGATACAACACAATAGAAAGCCATAACCAAAAGAGTGGACAAATCAAGAGTATATAACAGCGGTGAATCAACACGTAAACTTTTTCGGGTAGATGAGCAGATATATATCGCGGGGTCAGTCGGGGTGACTGCGAGGGGGTGACTGCGAGGAACTGGGAAGGAGAGAGGGGATTAGATGAGAGGGATGGGGAGTCGCCAGCGTTATTATGAAAAGTGGAAGGATCCTCGGTTGAACATACATCGTCGCAGCATCAGCTTACAGCACCGTCTCCACCTCGCTCTCCACAGCGTCTGCCTCCTCTTCCATCATCATCCTCCATAGCTTCCGAGCTGCTCTACCCACAGGCGTGTGAGCGGGCGTCCCGAGCTCCAGCTCCAGCGGACGGCGCCGGTTCTTTGGTGTTACCGAGCCATCGCGGAGCATAGGGAGTTCGTAGATCTTCTTCGCATGCGGCGTGGTAGGCATGGTCTTCCCCATCCCGGTGCGCTCTGTCTGGGGCTGCTTCCCCGCGGGCGAGAGTAGCCCTGCCTTCAGCCACACCGCCTCCGCAGGGGCAACGGGGGCGCCGGCAGACTTGTGCGTGCGACGGCGGGGCGCGACGTTCTCCTTCTCTGCCTCCCTCTTCGCCGCAGTGTCTCCCTGGGGCGCGTCAGCCGCGTCGGACAGCGGCTGGGAGCGCGAGCGCGAACGCGTGATAGGGCGTGGGAGGGGCAGACACGGGTCTTGGTAGATGTCGAAGCCGGGGTAATGCACCGACTGCCTGTCGGGCTGCGCGATCTCGCGCGCGATGAGGACCGGGGCGGGCGTCTGCGTGGAAGACGAGCATGGGCGCGGGTCGTACCACATGTCGGTGTCGGTGTCGGTATCTGTGTCATCGGCCGGGGATGCGCGACGGCTCCTAGACGATGTAGATGACGCGGGCACAGGTGCTGCTGCAGAAGGGGCTGTGGGGGGGCTGCGAACGGTCTTCGTTGTCAGCACTGGGGAGGGTGCGAGCGGGGCGCTGGACGCGTTGGAGGGCAGTGTTCCATGAACGGGGACATCTCTGGGCTTAGCAGCACTAAAGTCGAGCCTGCGCGCAGGGCTGTCCGGGCCCTGGAGGAGGGCGTGGAAGTGGGCGGGGGCGAAGCGTGCGCTGGAGGCGGAGAGCGGGCTCTTGAGAGACTTGGTGGGAGAGAAGACGCCCTCCTCGGTGAGGATGCGGCGCTTGGCGGGGCTGTAGTGGGTGGGTGAGTGGGGCCGTTTGAGGTGGGCGCGGTGCTTCGAGGGCGTGGGCGGCTCAGCGGGGAGAAAGCGGTCGAGGGGGAGCTCTTGGAGAGGACCTGGGCGAGTGGTGTGCGACATATTAGAATAGGGAAGCGTATGTGTAGGCTGTGAGCAACGGGGTGCGCGAGGGCGCGTGTGGCGGGTATCGCAGCGGACAAAGAGACGGGCTCCGTGGAAACTCGAACAATACGCAGAATCCCGTGACCGCGAGCCGCCACATCGGCCCGCCCAGGCCCGTCACTCACTTGATGTTGACAACCACCACTGGATGCACCACCATTCAATAATCTGTTGGAGCTGACAATCCGAGCGCATGTGTCTCCGATATACCCGAATGTTCAAACATTTGTCGCTAACTTTGTTCCCGGTTCCCGTACTACTACTATACTTAGTTTAGTTCCCGCTGTGTGTACGGTACATACATTTCTCACTTAAGGAAGTCTTGTAGATGTAGCACACCTCAGACGTTGTTCTCCCACCCGGAGTGCGAACGGCTGAGGTGAGTAGTTTACATGCATGTATTTCTTGCCGTGTTACTTACAACCCTGTACAGCTGACTTCTGTACAGGTAAATACATTCAGACGTTGTTCTCCCGCCCGGAGTGCGAACGGCTGAGCTGACTTCTGTACAGCACGCACTCCTTACAGGTTATGAGCCCCGGCTCTTCATAGCCTTGCACGTCTCACGAAAAATCCACTGTGTCTATTGCTTCAAACTCTATTCTCATTATGACTACACTTGTCTCGCTATCCGAGTATGCCAATGCTTTCGAGAAGCTCGATACGACCGGCCGGAACTGGCTCATGTTCCAGCATCGTCTCGAGATCGCAGTTCACCAGAAAGGTGTATGGTCACACTTTGATGGCTCGTTGAAGAAGCTCATCGCTGCAGATCCAGGCAAGCCGACGGCGGACGAGACAGACCTCATTCAGGAATGGCAGAAGAAGGAGAACCTTGCCCTCTATCTTCTCACATCAGGAAAACCCCACTTTTCCTTAAGAGAACACTTATATAACTTAAATGGACTTATAGTCCTTATTTAAGGACATAAGGACAAAAAAAGGCATATTCCCTGAGTGTCTGAAATTCGACTTATTGAGACTTATTTCAACACTTATGGACTTAGATAAGGGTTGTCAGACCCCAAAGTCTAAATAAGTCCCTAAGAAAAAGTTGGGTTTTCCTGATGCACGCAGAAGCTATCTGACACGACAGTGACAAAGTACCACCGGAGGAGTAGCGTTACCGAGATCTGGTCTGCCATTGTCTCGGAGTTCACGCAGAAGTCGATATTAATCAGGTCGAACCTCCGGACGCAGTTCTCGAACTTGCGTTATAACCCCGGTGCAGACCTACATGCCGAATTTGATCGTATCCTTGTAAAGCACGAGGAGCTACTCAACCTAGAGATCAACATCAGCAAAGCCGAGTATGCTTCACTGATCATTGCTTTCCTACCTCCCGACCTCTCTGCATTCATCTCGCAAATCTCTGCGACAGCCAAAGCCACGATGCTGATGCAGCAGCGTGCCGCGGCGATGTTCAGTACTACCCCAAGTACCACCGCTGTGTGGAGTCAGATTAACCTTGACAAGGAGAAGCCACTCCTTGATGCCGAGACCTTGATGGCACTCGTTCTTGAGAAATGGGATCGCCGGAAGATGTTGAAGGGTGCTATGCCAAAGGCAAAGGATCTCAGTGTCGCAGCCAGCATGGTGTTGAGTGAGAAGCCAAAAGGTGGCAAGGGAAAGGGTCTGCGCAAGCCTGTTGGTGTGTGTTGGAACTGCGGTGGCAAGAGACACAAAGAGGCTGACTGCCCGACTCCAAAGCAGGGCAGTAAAGATAAGGACAAGGGCAGCAAAAGTGCCGAGCCATCCAAGTCCACGTCGAAGCCTATCGCAGTGTCAGCAGTCACCCTTGACGACATTGCAGGTGCCTGGTCAGCATTCATACCTGCCGACTTCTCGGATGACAGTGTGTCATCTGTGCTGGACCTCTGGTCTGTCAGCGATGACAACTCAGATTATAGTGCACTCACAGAGGCCTCCACTGACAATGTCGAGATGCCAGACTTGGTGTCCGTGTCAAACTCGTCTGCCAGCGAGTTCGATGATGAGAGCGCGAGTGATGCACAAAGCTGTGATGTCGGCGATGCCATCTCGCACGAGGACGGTCTTAAGGTTGCCAGGGCACACAAAGCTGCCCGCCACATCAGGAAAACCCAACTTTCTCTTAAGAGAACACTTAACTGCCTTAAACAGACTTATAGTTCTTATTTGAGGAAATAAGGACAAAAAGGGCATAAGCCATATTACATTAAGTGCCTGAAATCCAACTTATTGAGACTTATTTGAGAACTTATAGCCTTAAATAAGGGTTTTCAGAGCCAAAGGTCTTTAAGGAAAAGTGGGGTTTTCCTGATGCACCCCATGGATGTGTTATCGAAGATGCTGTGGGTCGACGATTGGGTAATTGAGGTTGCAGTGGCCAAAGATGAATCGAATGAGGAAGATGCTCCTCGCATTCCTGATATTGTCTTAGGCACTGGCAGCTGCAAAACCCAAGTCAAGTTACCCTACAGACCTGTATGATTCAGGCGCGAGTCATCACATGTCACCATTCTGAGAGGACTTTCTCACCTTCCACGAGACAATGCTGCAGCTGCTGAATGCAGCAAACCAGCAGGACTTTGTTGCTACTGGCATTGGAGATATGATTATCGCGGTGCCAAATAGTCCCGGACCGATGAAAATGAAACTTACACGAGTCTTGTACACCCCCGCGATCACATTCAACTTGATTTCAATTGGACACATTGATGATGCAGGCTGCACTGTGACGTTCAGTGGGCAGCGCTGCAAGATCCACGATTGTGATGGCCATCTTCTCGGAATGATCCCGAAGATGAAGGGGCTGTATACAGTGGTGCATCAGCATGAGAAACTCTCCACGTATGCTGCACGACATGTGAAGAAACTTACTGTCATGCAATTACATTGCCTTATGGGTCATATTGCGCCCTGCGCCGTGCGCGAGCTTGTGATGAAAGGCCTAGTGCATGGTGTTGAGCTCGTCAAATCAGATGAGCCTGAACTTTGCGAAGTGTGCATTCGTGCAAAGAGCACGAGGCGACCAGTGCCGAAGGAGCACGAGGGAGAGCGGGCAACCGAGTTCAGTGGTGAAGTCCATTCTGACTTGTGGGGGCCATCTCGCATCTGAACTCTTGGTGGTCGGAAGTACTACATCAGTTTTACGGATGACTGCAGTCGCTTCTCAACTGCTTACCTGCTGCGCCAGAAAAGCGAAGCCTTCATGTCATACAAGGCCTTTGAAGCATGGGTGAAGACTCACATGGGTGTTGACATCACTGTCTTGAACACAGATTGTGGCGGCGAGTACCTGAGCGATGCATTTGTCAGGCACCTCAAAGAGCAAGGCACGGAACAGAAGCTGTCCGTACATGATACTTACGGCGAGTCGGGTGTCTCGGAACATTTAAATCGCACTGTTGCTGAGAAAGGCCATGCAATGCTGATTGCTGTGGGCTTACCACAATTCCTGTGGGGAGAGGCTGTGCTGCATGTGATTTATCTGAAAAATCGGATGTCAACGAAGGCACTGAATGGTCGCACACCATACGAAGCTGTGACAGGTGACTTACCGGATCTGTCTGGTATTCCTGAGTGGGGTGCACACATCTGGATCCACGATACAGCTACAGGGAAGATGGGCGAGCATGCAAAACCTGGTCATTGGGTCAGTTTCGATATGCAGAGCAAAGGCCATTGGGTGTATTGGCCCGACAAGCGCTCCATCACAGTTGAGCGCAATGTGCAGTTTGGGGAACCACATGCTGTGTCGCCAAACTCAGATGACGGCCTCGAGCTTGAGGGAGAGGAACCTGCTGGTGACAAGCCCAAAGCTGAACTGTCCATCAGTGCGCCCGACCTGCCCGTTAGTGCACCCGAGCCTGCATCAAATGTGCTCGTGCCGTCCAATGTGCCCGCTAAGCCTGCATCGCACTAGACACCTGCCGAATTACCACATATACCGCTGCGCCCTGTTCGTAACCGCCAGCTGACACGCTATGTCTGCGACATATGCGCGGGGAAGGCAGAGTCAAAGAAACTGCCCACCGGTATGCAAGTGCCTGATGAGGCTGAAAAATCCCGCAGCGCTGAAGCTTCGCTTCAGGGGGAGCTTGAAGAGCTGATAGGAGGCGTTGTGATGGCGGCAAAGATGGCAGATGTTGAGGGACTGGAGCCAAGGATGATAGGCAAGGTGAAGAAAAGGCCGGAGTGGCCACGCTGGGAAGAGGTGATCACAGAGGAACTGCGCGCTCTTGAGGCACACGGTATGTGGCGTCTTGAGAAGGCACCTACAGGTGCAAATGTTGTCAGTTATCGTTGGGTCTTTGCTGCGAAGAAGGATGCCGCCGGGAATGTTTACAGGTATCGTGCGAGGCTTGTTGCTCGCAGATTCTTGCAGATTCCCAGTGTCAATTTTTTCGATACCTATGCACCTGTTGCCAAGACGGCATCCATCCGTGTCACGCTCGCGTTCGCTGCTCGTCACGATTTTGAGGTCCACCAGATCGATGTGAAGAGTGCCTATCTTCATGGTGAGTTTGAGAAGAACGAGGTTATTTACATGAGCCTACCTCCTGGGACAAACCTCACAAAAGAGCCTGGGATAGTGCTGTGACTTCTCCGACCTCTGTATGGCCTCCGCCGGAGTGCTTATCACTGGCACAAGAAACTCCTGCGTGCACTGCAGGAATTCCTCCGCATGGTACAGTGCGATGTCGACCAGGCTGTCTTCTTTCGCATAGAAGGGACTGACCTCATCGTGATTATTGTATACATCGATGACCTGACTGTCATCGCGTCGTCGCGCACCTTGATCGACGAGGTGAAGGTGCAACTCCGAAAGGCATTCGGAATCTCAGATATGGGTGAGATCCATTGGATTTTCAGATTCGCCATAGAACACGATTGCTCTGCGTGCACGCTCGCCCTATCGCAAATGTCATACATCAATTCCATCATCTAGAGGTTTGGTTTCGAAGATTTGAAGCCACTCACCACACCTATGGACCTGAACATGATGCTGTCAAGTGTGCAGTCACCACAGATGACCGCTGAGGCTGCTGCCATGCACGACATCCCGTAGCGCGAGGCTGTGGGCTCATTGATGTACACTTCACTTGGTACGCGGCTGGACATCACGTATGCCATCTCGTTTCTTTCGCGGTTTTCAGACAATCCCGGGAGAGCGCATTGGGAAGCTGTCAAACGTGTCTTCAGGTATCTGTCCGGCACCAAGGACTTGAAGCTTACCTATGGTGCGCAGGGGCTGGATCTGGTAGGCTATACGGATGCAGATGGGTCGATGCACAAAGATCGGAAGGGGCTATGCTTTCCTCATCGACGGCGGCGCGGTCTTTTGGAGTTTGAAATGCCAGGAGCTTATTGCGCTGTTAACGACCAAGGCAGAGTACGTGGCAGCGACACATGCAGCGAAGGAGGCGCTCTGGCCGTGCTCCCTAATCAGGCAAGTTTTTCAACCATTCTCTGAGACCATTACCCTGTATTCCGATAATCAGTCCGCCATCGCTCTCTCCCGCGACAATCAGTATCATGCATGCACGAAGCACATTGATATACGTTTCCACTTTATTTGTTGGATTGTTGAAGAAGAAAAACTTAAACTCATTTATTGCCCTACCGAAGACATGGTAGCTGACTGCCTCACTAAAGCTCTCCCCAGTCCAAAAGTCAAGCATTTTGCCACTGCGTTGGGACTTTGCTAGGATTGAGGGGGAGTGCTGGAGCTGACAATCTGAGCGCATGTGTCTCCGATATACCCGAATGGTCAAACATTTGTTGCTAACTTTGTTCCCAGTTTCCGTACTACTACTATACTTAGTTTAGTTCCTGCTGTGCATACGGTACATACGTTTCTCACTTAAGGAAGTCTCGTAGACGTAGCACACCTCAGACGTTGTTCTCTCGCCCAGAGTGCGAACGGCTGAGGTGAGTAGTTTACATACATGTATTTCTTGCCATGTTACTTACAACCCTGTACAGCCGACTTCTGTACAGGTAAATACATTCAGACGTTGTTCTCCTGCCCGAAGTGCAAACAGCTGAGCTGACTTCTGTACAGCATGCACTCCTTACATAATCTGCCCACATTCACGGTGAATTTTTGGCAAAGATAGGCTAAATAACTTACCTGTTATCTAGGCAGGTTCTGCTGAAAACATTTGAAACCTATCCTGAAGTAAATATAACTCTACAATAAGCTTTCCATATCTACAACTTTTAGATAAATCTGGAGTCACTTATGCTAAACTTTTTCACTTTAGCTTTCAAATAAGTTTTGTGTAACTCTCACCAGATTGTTGGAAATTGCATCCAGTGCACATTCACTGCTGCAGAGATTCCCAGACACAATATACATATATTCTGCTCCTTGAATGGTGCAGAAGTGGCCAGTGAGCTCAACTCTCACACCATGGCCTCTCTGTTTACCAAGTCATTTCAGGCTTCTTTCAGCATAGAGGCATTTCAATCTCAACCTTCTTCAGCTGGATCAACCCAGTATGCTACATCTCTTGCAATGAGCTCTCTATTCATCTCGAGTTGAGGACAATTGCACTATGGCTGGTGCTGCACTTGATCCTGGCAGCAATGATGAGCTTTAGCCCAGATGTTACATCATATGCACTTCACATCCTAGTGAACTTCTTCTCTATGCTTTCTTTTATACTCACTACTGATATATTGTACATTCTACAGAGTTAGATCAGATCATCGTGTACCTAACCACAGATGTCCCCCACCTGTCACTGTACTCCATTAACTATACACACACTCCACACGTCCATTTTTGAGCAATGTCTTTTACTGAAATAGCTGATAATGACTCAGTTAGAAAACAAATTTCATACTGTGAGTCTGAGACTGCAACAGATGCTGTATTATGAGCCAATTAATTAGTTGCAAGTGCAGATTACATCAGACTTGAAACTGCTCATATCTTCCTGCTCAGTGAGGTGGACACTGTAAGCTTCTTCTAGTCATGTTCACTTCAATTTCATCTTATATGACTGTCAGTGAAGTGCACTTCAGGGTATCTCCCATCCCTAGCTCTTAGCCTCAATATAATCTACTGTTCGTTGTGGCTAAGAGCCTCTCAGGAGGTGGTCTGCCCATGGAATTTGTGGATGGCCCACTGGCCTTGTGAGATATCTCACAGTTGAGGAGGTTTTGATATGGAAGCTACTTATTGGTACTATCTGAAGTGACTCATGAGCTTCAGGTCTTCCCTGTTATATAGGTTCTCCCATGAACCTCCCTCATGTTATTACTGGTCAAAGGGTGCCAGGGGGTATTTTGAACTTCCTATAGTCTGGTATTTGTTACGGGGGCCAGTCGTGCCACCGTGCATCCGGTTCATTGTCTAGTGACTAGGCCTTTGCAAGGGCTCAAGTCAATCGTGAGGGGTCCAACCTCCAGTCATAGCGATGACCAGAGGTCGGCCCAGTGGAGCAGTCTTATGAACGCTTGGCCGCTGTCTGCAGACCAAGGTCGATCTGTCGCACAGATGTAGATGGTAAAACTGGTTGATGTGTAACCAGGACAAGATGGGGACTCCAGCTTGTCCTGTCGGTCTTATATACAAGTACAGGCGTCTGTCTACCTGTAATACTAGAACTACGATTGGTCCATCGGTATCAATACAAGGGCACAGGGTTCGTATACCTGTCCCACGGTCGTGAGAATGCTGAGTCAGTCATGACTCTGCGTGAGAGACAATCTGTCCATATGGAGATAAGGTCGTGCTGCAAAGACAAGGCAGCAGCGAGGTCATCGTGCATCTAGCGCATGTATCAGGGTCTAGGGCCATGCCCATGAGGTTCGGTATTTGTATCGTAAGGGTAAGGCAAAGGTGAGGCAAACATGCCTTTGTCGCATGTGTGATAGGAAGAGGATCCAAGGCTTGCGCACAAGGCGCACATCGTCAGATGATCATATAGATCCGTGCCAGATAGATAAGGGCGATGACCATGATGACATCATGGTCATGTGGTAGGTGACATCATTGTCACATGGTCAGTCTAGGCTCTGTGACGTCATTGTCACGTGATCGGTAAAGGTAGAGGTGGAAGTCGTCCGTGCGTTCCTCAGAGAGGAGCTTTGTAGCAGTATTTTCCATTTTCTGGCTTATAGCTCATATAATAGATACTTTGCTGCTTGGTTTCTTCTTACTATGCATGCTAGACCTATATTTCTAAGGCTGTAAATGTATATTGCGCATTTCACAAATGTAAACTGACATTTGATTATGGTATATAGGTGTTTTTCTAAGTATGTTGAGACATTTTGCCAGAGTATATCTTTTAAGCTTAAATGACTTGTTAGAGTAGATGTCATTCCAGACCTTCTTGAACAACTGACTTGTCAATGCAGGAATAAATTATATATTTTGTACTATATCATATAATAGAAGCTGCTATCATAGACTACCAGTTAACTTTAGATTATAATATATGCAAATTCATTTGTATATGTAGTGCTGAGTATATACTATTTATTACCACTTCAGGATACCCTTCTGACCTAGCTCTTAGCTTCAACATAATCTATAGTGTGTTGTAGCTAAGAGCCTCTCAGATGTCAGACAGACTATGGACATTTCTTGATATAAAGAGACAATGGGATATCCCTCTGTACTGAGGCAATGGGATGTCCCTCTATATTAGGACAATGAAACATCATTTTATAGGTCCTATTGTGTCCTTTAGCACAGAATGTTGTGTAGTAAATACATCTGCCCCAAGTACAACTTCCTCAGACTACTGGACTAAATACCTTGCTTTTCTGTTTAAATATATCTTTGTGGGGAGAATCTTATTTCTTTTACTAGTATATAGCTTATTCTATCTCTTAACCTCTATAATGAAAGTTATAGAATGTCCACATCAGATACTATACAATAAATATTGTATGAGGTTAGATTGGGCACTATAACAGAAAGTGTCAAATATATTTTGAAACACAGAAATAAGCACTATTATATAGCCTGTTTCAGTTATTATATAATCTGATAAACCTGCTGTATATACTAGTAAAGGCAATAGAGTATTTCTAACATCATGAGTGAATTTAGAAACTTAGTGTGGGATTTTCCACTTTTTTTAGCATTTCTCCTTTTATAGACACCTCTGCTCTTATTAGATACAAATAAAGCAATACTTTATACTATTATATTATATACTTTTATAATCAGCTTACCCAGAAAGCATACCTGAATGCTAGCTAGAATCAATTAATTTAGCTGTGGGATGGTCCAAAAGGGATGTCCCAAAGATGACCCCAAGCATCATGTGACAAGTAATGATCCTTAGGGATATAGGGATATCAGGGCAAATAAGGGGCTTTAGGGCAGACAAAGACCTTCCTTTACTATCAGCCCATTACTTTCCTATATAGGACTGCCCACATATTATGAACTGCCCACATAGGGACGTAGTCCTTAGCATTAGACTCTGGACTGACCTACCCCTGGCCAGCTCTTAGCTGTGACCAAACACCAGAACTGTTATAGCTACTTGCTGGGGACCTTGAGTATTCTGAAGGGATTGCCAAACTAAACACAGTGATGCTTCTCTCATTGATGACATACTGCTTGTACAA